ACGGGATATGGTATTTTCTGCGACGTTTGACCCTACCTGAAAGAGCAGAATCCTTTTGGTGTTCTTAAAGCAGCTCTCCAGTCATGGCCTGAGTCCTGCCGAGAATTGTGGGCCTTGAGCGTCACCAATCATGTCGATAGTGGAGGCGTCGAAATCCGTAGGAGATATCATTTACTGCTGTAATGAATCTGTTATAAGCAATAATGAAAAGCCCATGACTGTCAGTTCGACCTTGAGTTGCATTGGTCCAACATTCACCTGAATCACACTTGATCTCCACTTTGTAGTTTACATCTGAATTAATGAATTAATTCCTCATAGGTGAGATATTGTCGATAGTGGAGTTCTTGGCGTACTATCTTTCTGTGTGGCAAAACCACGTTCCTCCCTCCTCATTCGGCTGTAGTAACGCAAAACCTGATTCGAGCCCAATGAGATGGATCTAACGACCGTAATCAAAGTAGCTGTGATCACAGTTGGAGCAGTGACACTTGCTGCCTACGTTCTCTTTCCTCAATCAAAGAGAATCGGAGGCGTTCCAGTGGTAAGTGTTTGCAAGTTGTTTGTTCTGAACATCTTGTCGTGAAAGCTGATAACGTGCTAATCATAACTTTTATGTCAATAGTTTAACGCGTTGTCGAGAGGCACCTATGATCCTACTAAAGAGCCTCCCTTCGTCACAAAGTGAGCACATGAAACTGTCGGCATTTCTCAGAGTAGCTCGAGACTCACATATTTCTAACCAAAAGTTTTCGTCGTTACCTAAAAATGGGCCGAATATATGGATCATATGTATTGAATCCGTTTCGTGTCGTGAACTTGAGCATCGCTCATCCAAAGATCTTACGAGAGATGTTACAGAGTAACTACCACGTGTTTGATCGAGGACATCCTATTTTCAAGATATGGTATGATGTAGCAGGTGGACTGGTATATCAGTCTAATGGAAAGGTGTGTCTCGTGAACGTGCTTTCTCATTTGTGTTATAGTCTCAACACTTTGTTTTTTTGCCAGGAATGGTCTGAAGCTCGCGCCTTATTCCAACCATTCTTCACAATGTCACATATGCGTCTCGTCAACCCCCTGCTCGAGGAAAATTTCGCAATGCTGATGCACAAGTTTGAAGAGGCAAACATCAAACACCCCGAAGGATTTGACGCACAAGAATATTTCTTGATGGCAACGTTTGACAATATTTCTCAATTGACATTTGGCGCTAGTACCAAAACACTTGAGAATGAAGGTTCAGCCTACTTGTCTGCTTTTGAGTATGTGTGGTGTTTGTTTGACTTTGTTTCATATCCTTCGCCTTTAACATTACTTTTTGCTTTCAGGTTTATCATGGTCGATGCAATGAGAATGTTTATAAATCAGTTCCGTCTGTTTTACCCCTCATCATGGAATGCTCCGTCCAAAAAGTAGGACCTCGTAAAACCCATGATTTGCAGCTACTAACAGGCATTGGTTCACTAGATATACAGACGCTGTAGCCCTCATTCGATCACTTTGCTACGACAAGATTGACGAGTTTGCTGCTAAAGGAGAACTAGAAGGCTTCCAACAGTCGATATTGGGCACGATACTAAAGAAGGGAGCAATACCAGCTTGGATGGATCGTGAACATATGACTACCCATTTGGTGACGCTCCTCTTTGCAGGTCACGACACCGTAAGATCAAAGTTAATCTGCCGGGTGGCGTTTCTTGAAACACTCTAACAATTGAACAAATCTACTAGACTTCCAATTTACTTACGTTCGCAATACATTTTGCTGCCACATACCCTGAATACCAAGAAATGATTCGACAAGAAGCTATAACCACTTTTGGCAAAGATGGTCCGATAACTGTCGACAAGCTGGAATCGTTGAAGTTTGTGAATGCTTTCATCAAGGAAACTTTGAGATTAAGGTATGTTCATGCCATGAATTGATTGTTTTTGCGTAGTGCCAAAACCCGCTTCCAAGGCTCATACATATTGCTTCACTTTCAGGCCTAGTGGTCCTGAGCTCGGTCGTGTGACGAACGACAATGTACATTTAGAATGGGAGGAGAATGGTGAAAAGCTTACGGTCGATTTACCACCACGATCAATTGTTTCGTACTCGATCTATGCTGCTAGCCACCATCCTCTGCATTATCCTGACAGACCTGAAGAGTTTGATCCACGTCGTTTCTTGGATGACCCCATTGTAAGAGAAACACAAGAAGAATCTGTTGTGAAAGTTACTTTCTTTACTAACACGACTTGTACTTTCCTCAGGGTGGCGGAACTTCAGTATACGCCTTTATACCGTTCTCATATGGGCCACGAAGGTGTCTGGGTGAGCGACTAGCCTTAATGGAGGCAAGGTGGATTCTGTGTGACGTCATGCGTCGATGGAAGGTGGTCCCAGCTGCAAATTGGACTGTGAAAATGGAACAAGGTATGCTCGTTAGAAATGGTTGCCTTCGGAGCCATGTTTCGTTGGAGCTACCTTTTTATCTGACACCATCATCATCCTTGTTATAGCTGGAAATATGAGAGCAAATGCAGTCAAAATTCAACTTCATCCACTTTGATACACAATTCTTTTTTATCAATTATTGAATATAAACTTGGAAGCAAATTAAACAATGTCATTATATGAGAGTTTTCTTTATTCAGAGGCCTTCTTGATTTCCACATTACATTTTTACTTGGGCATTTTCTTTATTCAGACACTTTCTTGGATTTACCACCACCTTCAACATTCTTCTTGGGCAGCAGTTGTTCAGCAATGTGTGGCAACACACCTCCTTGAGCAATAGTGACATTACCCAATAGCTTGTTTAGCTCTTCATCGTTACGAACAGCTAGTTGCAAATGACGAGGTATGATACGTGATTTCTTGTTATCTCGGGCAGCATTTCCAGCCAATTCCAGGATTTCAGCGGCGAGGTACTCGAGGACTGCTGCCAAATAGACGGGAGCACCTATCATTATGGTAGTTGAGGTCAGCAACATTGTCACGGTTCACAAGCATCAGTTCTGGTCAGTATACCTGCACCGACACGTTGAGAGTAATTCCCTTTACGAAGCAGCCGATGGATACGACCAACAGGAAACTGTAATCCAGCTCGACTGGATCTTGAAGATCCACCTCGCAAGGTTCGTGGCATCTGATGGTTGAGTGTCAGATTTCGTTTTATGTCATGAAGTGGCCTAGCAACCACGAATATAACAATCTAGAGCTTACACGTGGTCGTCCACCAGTCTCTCTGAGAAGCTGAGAGCCTTCTTTAACGGTCTCCAGCATAGTTCTCGCTTTCGCGAGCGAGCTTGGAGATTTTCCAGGAGATTGTTTACCACCGGCCATGATAATTGATATAGCTGAGTTGTGAGTTGAATCTAGAGAGTGGATATGGATTTAGACTGTCAAGTCGAATGCAGAATTAGCGTCTTATCTTACCTTTCTACAAGTAAGGGATGTTGCGTTCGCGAAGCGGCTGTGCTACATACGCAAACATAAACAACGAACAAATTCCACGCATTAAATACCTCAGAAATGCACTAGATCAACTAGATCCATGCTCCAAACTAGTTACTTACTGCGCTGACGCGGAATGATTGGTTGTACTGGCTTCCACCCAAAAATCCACGTCTGAGTTTCGAAGACTTTTTACAGATTGCAATCATGAGTAGGAGAGCTAGCTTGACGATTACTGCTGACCAACTGCCACCCGCTGCACGTAGACAATCTCGTATGTACCTGATGCATTGCCATATTGATGCAACTATGAGGGCAATCACGCTGACAGCATTTCTCTCTTTGTAGTATCAGTACAACGTGGTATACCCCTCGTCGGCGAAGATGGAGACAGTACTACATTACATAGACGCCCTTCTCTGCTCCTAGACCCAGTATCACGTCGTGCATCAGCTATATCAGGTGGGGGTTTATCACATCGAGGATCCAACGTCACATCACGACGTACTTCTATATTCCAGACTCTCAGTAATGGTGGCTCCTCAAAGTCCAACCACAACACAGCACAGCATCCTCCACCTGCATCAACTGTAGTCGTACGAGCAGGCCCACGACGATCATCCATAACAAGCCTATCATCTATATTCGCACAAGCTGTCGCAGCTCCACCACGCGCTGAAGTTGAAGCACCTGTCGCTGTACTGGCTGGGATTGAGAACGACGACGAGTTATCTATACCTAGAGCAATGTCGAATAAGATGACGTTTAATGGCGGAGATACAAACAAGCTTGCTGAGATGGTTATTCATGAAGATGAGGAAGAGGACGCTGCTGCGGATGATAAAGCTCAAAGTACTGGCCATCACAAATTAGTGGCAAATAGTTTTAATGGCGCTGGTGCAAGGTCCAGACATACATCGGATACACCGAGCCCCGGTGCTCCTGCTGCAGACCAAATGCCAGAATCACAAGCACCACCTCATTCAGCTGAGCAGCCAATTACATACAATGAATCCCCGGAACCACAGCAACATGAATCAAAATACGCCAGATCAGAACCCCCTCCATACGCTCACGCAGCACCATCAGTCGAACGCTCCGTCCCCGTAGGAGCATACAATCCATACCCATGCACGTGGTTTGAACGTAAATCAGGAGATCCAGACGTATGGAGTCGAGACAAGACAGATCGGTTCAAATATGCCATGCCAAATACGACTCAATCCCATCTGGGACCTGGCTGCTATACTAGCAGTATAGCTAATACAAGTACCGTTAAACCAGCTATAAAACCATTCGGATCATCACGTGATAGGTTCCATGTTAGCATTGTTGAACAATCACAGCAACAGGGAATCGATATGCCAAGCACAAGTCAACCAACTGTGAATCGAAGTGTGAATGAGATTCCATGGGTGTGTGGCCTCCAAAATGTGTTGGGAAGATCCGTTGAAGTTGTTGAACAATCTCGTGAAATGCCACCGTCGAGTATTTTATCAGTTAGAGTGTCTGTGCCAACTAGCATATCGTCATCATCCAAGACACGGCCATATCCACCGATACAAGGCAGCAGACAGCCGACTGCCTCATCACCATATAGATCAACGCCATCGTCTGCTGGGACTCGTATGCATCATTTTGCACCTTGCTTTTTGGCTGATCATAGCCCAACTACCACAGTATAAGTCGCTCTTTTACCCTGGGAATCTTCTCGTACTTAATGATAATGTTTATATAAATGTCCATATGCAAAAGATAACCACAAATGAGTTTTGTTTCCTCCTTACTAGTGAGTAATCGATTTACGAGTTTCAGGTGACGATAGAGTCAAATCAGCAGTACAATGTCGGCATCGTGTGGCTCTATTTGGAATGACACTCAAACAATAGGGACAATCCCTGTCATCAAACGACAAGTTCCATTTAAAGAATGCTGATAGTACGTGTAGCAGTTGGAAGAGGGCAACTGCCACAGTGAAGAAGGATACTAAAGAGAGCGAAATTGTTTCAGGAGTCAATCCAACGTAAAGTCGAACGGCAAGTGAGGCCTAACTTGTCTCTTGAGCAAATCGACCATAGTTTATCGTGATTGCTCCATCCTTTATCGCATTTTGCAAGTTGCTGTATGTTTTGGCACCAGACTTTCCTGGCCGTATAACAACGAAGCGGTCATTCAACGTCTGGGCACCTAAAACAGGACAGGTGTCAGCGTTGTCGAAAAGAGTCCAATATAAAGACAGAATATTGAAGGAGGCTGGTACACATACCAGGCAAGGCACATAGTAGCGGTGGTATAAGGATGTCATTCACGAAACTTCTGACCATGTATTGCAAACTCCTGCCCATCACGTATGCGATGCTTTCCGACAGAGAGAACGAGCGTCAGCCATCACTCATCGTGATCCGTCAATATTCAAACGGCCCTCATCGTCAATCGATTCGATTTTGCTCCCCATTTGACTCACCCCGTATCAACGACTCGCGATGTGATGACATAGCGCTTGAATTCATAGTAAAAGGTATGTGCATGCTTGCCAGCCTTGCCAACTTCACTCAAGACCTACAAAAGTGACGTGTGATGAAGTCTGTCTAACTGTTCACAACCTCCTCGCAAATGTGATGTTGATTTCGACAATTTTGATCCTACCTTTGTCAGATTAGGTCTCACGTTGATCTTATCCGACGACGATTTTACGTCAGTTGCAGAGACTAGCGGCTGGTCCACCACATCACTTGAATTCTTTCGATACTCCATCCTGCAAACTGTACAAACACGTGAAAATTAGGAAACTTGATAGGAGAGAGTGCAGCAAGCATGTCTTACGTGTCTTCAGCTAGGGTAAGACCTGGTCCTCACGTCCTTGAACTAGTCTGATCTACTTGCATTGAGCTCAACGTCGTTTTCTTGAATTCTATCCACAAAACCTTGCATTAATCGACCAACTTTAACCCATTAGGCAAATGAAGGCGCTATACTGCAACGACGTGTATCAAGCACAGGATCCTATCCTAAAACTTCGTCAAACTCCCTCAACAATTTGACGTCGCCAACATCTGGACAATCACATATACCAACCGCATTGAACAGCAACAACAGAAGGGTATCCAAATCAAACGTCAATTCTCTAGATGAATTGAGTATTGCTACGGCTAGACGAGAATCAAGGACATCGTCCAATGCGAATACTGGGTTTCGCACTCCAACGAGCGGAACACCCGTTTCAAGTCCACCACAAGTAATTATACACATTGACCGAAAATTTCGACGAAATGCATCTGCTCACACAATGTCTCTCCTTGTTCACTCAGAAACGAGCATCAACAAACACAAAGATCGTCCTCAAAGAACTAGAATCCTATCGAGGAGCCGCAGAGAAAGCTGCTTGGGATTGTCAGCAAGCTGCTGACTTTGCGCTCCGAAGAGTCGATGCCCTAGTAGACAAAATCAGTGAACTGGTTACTGCAGGAGCCCTTGTATCGCCTTCCCAGTCATCAGCTGCATCAACACCACCACCCGCGTATGGAGCTAAAGATGTTGCTAGTATCGCGTCCTCTACAACCATAACATCGGCACTGGCTTCGTATGGTCTTGTTGTGCCAAATCGCTTGGTTAGTATGAGTGAGTTTGTGGGTGCACAAATTATGCAGGTGGGAGAGCATGCAGCCAAAAAGGGCAGTAGTTTGGTTGAATTCGCTCGTGAACGACCTGTTGTGCGCGTCGGTGTCTATATCTTTGGTAAGAGTGCAAAAGAAAAACAAAACTTACAAGAAAACGCCATTAGTTTGCTATGCCTCAAGACTTGCCAGTCTAATCTCTCTCTTTACTGTAACAGGGTTGATGGCATCTGGTCCTCTAGCCGTATTCGGAACCACTGTAGCAGCAGTAACAGCCGCATCTTTAGGAATCGCGTCCCTAATTGCAATGACAATCACTATAATCTCAGCATCTATCTTGGCAGCAGTCTTAGGATTCGCTTTGTCCTGTTCTTTGGCTGTCAGCACTAGTCTCCATGTCATTGGTTTAGTTATGCCACGAGCTGGATGGGCATTCGGGTCGACGCTATCTAGCATTGAGAGTCAGTCACAACGTGTATTGCAGTATGGTGGTGGGCAAGTCGCGGGTCTGTCTAAACTCATCAAGGAACGGATGTAGCCATTAAGACATAGCGTCATATCATGTACCATTAGCAGTTGAATCATACCCCAAGTTTATAAGTATTCGAATCCAATAGAAGAAAGCAACAACAATAGAGTGTAAACTCAATCATTTAGAAACAAATGAAGCAACCAATCATTTTCGGTAACGATTTTGTTTTATTTTGTGTCAAGACAGATATAAATTGTGTGTGTTTTCATATTTCCCCTCTCCTTTGTTCCTTCATCTAAACACAAAAGTTTCTCTTTTCTCCATTTTGCTGTTTCTTTTTCTAACGGATGACTGATGTTCAACCCAAATTATGATAGACGGGGGTTTTTTTGAATTTTAAGCAAATCGACCAAATACGACGGTTTATATACAACAAATAAAAGAGTCCTTAAAAAAAGCACAAGGATTTTGGGGAAAATGACATTGGAAGAGGGTGAGAAGAAGGATTTTGTTGTTGTAAGGGGGTTGCTTTGGTTTCGATTATTTCTATAAACGACGATTCAAAATGTGAGTATCAAAGTTCGTTTTAGGTTGTTCAAGTTTCATCCTGCTACTTTGGCACAATATGAACTTACGCTCATCATCATCTTGACAAATTCTTCATAGTTGATTTGACCATCACCATCTACATCAGCTTCACGGATCATTTCATCAACTTCTTCGTCGGTGAGCTTTTCTCCCAGATTCGTCATGACGTGACGGAGTTCAGCAGCAGAGATGAAACCATTGCCGTCCTTGTCAAAGACCTAGTTAACAGAAATGGATGGTTAGAAAGTTGAACCTTCCCCTTCGCGAACATAGCAAGTACAGTATGAAATGCCATCAGACAAACCTTGAAAGCTTCCTTGATTTCTTCTTCAGAGTCTGTGTCTTTCATCTTTCTAGCCATCTAATCAACAAGATTGCAGTGTTGATGTTGGGGCGTTGTTTAAGTGTAAAGGATGGACGCGGGCACTCCAGATCAAAGTTTTACCATCGTTAAGAATTCAGGGAAGTCGATAGTTCCGTTACCGTCAGCATCGACTTCGTTAATCATATCTTGTAGTTCGGCTTCAGTTGGATTCTAACAAAAAAACAGTCCCAAGAGGATGTTTAGCACCATCGTTGAGGGAGTTGTTTGACATCCGGAAAACGATGGGCCCAGAGTGCTTCACTCGTTCATGAAGTAACGGATACATGGTACATAGCCAATGACAAAAACGATACGGGTGTATGGGCTATAATGAGGATAGATTACCTGTCCCAATGATCTCATGACAGTTCCCAATTCTTTGGTAGTAATAGTACCATCACCATCCTTGTCGAATAATGAGAATGCTTCCTTGAATTCGGCGATTTGCTCTTCGGTAAGTTGGTCGGCCTAGTGGTTTAAAAATGAGGGTGTTAACCACAGTTGTTTCTATCTGGTTGTTTTTGAGCCTAAGACAACATAGGAGGAGGGGGAAATATAGACATTTCTTTGGTTCTCGTTCAAAGACTTTGTTCCACGTGTCTTTTAGCCTGCATTGGGCCAGCAAGACACGCGCAAAAAATCCAAATCAATGAAAGGTTGATGACTTTCCACCGCGGGCAATGTTTTGCTTTCCCAGTTTGTGAGGCTCCATCCCAGACAAGGACATGCATCCAGATACACTCATTCTGTCAATTTGCAATTTTCAACCTGCTATCCTCTCCATCTTCATTCGTCCTCTGAACAAACTTTGCAACAATTGTGTCTGACCCCCCAGTTCGTTTACAGGATGGACTATTGAAATGAGTGGCAAACAACGATATAATGACGTACCATTTCTATGTCTACCGGTCTCTCAGTCTTGTATCTCTTGTATCTCGTTTGGGTGAGGTTTGTGAGTTGTCGTTGTTGGAGTCCTGTGGCTGTTGAGGGTTATTATTCACCGTGTTGATAGCAATGAACCACTAATATGAGACTACAGTCGTTCTCTGAATTCGCTGAAACGCTGAAATTCACTTAATTTGACGGCTTCGAAACAAAAATCACGTCAAAGGCGTGTTCCGAGAGTGTACAATAATGTCGGAAGAGAAAACCTCCCACTTTGTTTATATTCTAAACAGTAAACAACATCCTTTCCTTGCCACTAACTATGATTACATTGTCGGATCTTCAGTCTGTAATTCTAATCAGAAATTGCATAGATCAGTATCCTTCATCCAAAGTTGCGAAACGAGTACTCTACAACCCATACATACTTAATATTTTATTTGGCGAGCATCATCTTGACAAATTCTTCATAGTTGATTTGGCCAGATCCATCCACATCAGCTTCACGAATCATTTCATCAACTTCTTCATCTGTCAACTTTTCACCCAAGTTGGTCATGACGTGACGGAGTTCTGCTGCTGAGATAGTACCATTGCCGTCCTAGTTTATCAATAGATAGACATGAGCTGTAGGACTTTGATGAATTGGTCTTGGAATTCACATGTACACCCATGTACCTTGTCGAAAACTTTGAATGCTTCCTTGATCTCTTCTTCAGAATCAGCATCCTTCATCTTTCTAGCCATCAATGTGAGGAATTCCGGAAAGTCGATCGTTCCGTTGCCTATGTTGACCGGTCTTTGTAAGTTCTAGTGCATTTGACCCGAGTCATCAATACATGGACCAGAGAGATCGAAAGGCCCAAACATGAAACATAGTACAATACAACAAATTGGAATAACATCTTGTACAAGAAACCCCTCCTTGTCCTCCTTCCTCACTCTCCTCTACTCCCAAAAGTAACAAACATGCGCGCCGCCCAAAATGTCAGGCAAATGTTTCAAATTGTCTGTTCAAGACCAGATCCAACGATAACAACTCCACTACAGCATCAAATACAACACAAAACACATACCGTTGGCATCAACCTCTTTGATCATCTCAGACAGTTCTGCCTCTGTTGGATTCTGGCCCAACGACCTCATAACAGTTCCCAATTCCTTGGTGGTAATGGTACCATCGCCGTCCTTGTCAAATAGGGAGAAGGCTTCCTTGAATTCGGCAATTTGATCTTCTGTTAATTGGTCGGCCATTGTATCGTCTTCTTGCTTGAATTCTGTGTTGAAAACTGTATTTTGAGATCTGAAGATCGTGATCAATAAGATGGGTAATGGAATGCCATGGAGGTGTTAGATTGCAGTGATATATTGTGAAAGAATTTTTGGAACGTGCATTGAAGTGAATCTCTTGTTATTACGGCCGCACCTTCAACATCACGTCGCGATCATGGAATCGTTTTATGCTCCCATCTATTCTGTTTTCTATGTACGAAATTGCTAGTTTACAACTCACAACAATGATGCAAAGGTATTTACTCCTCCACTCGCTTCTTCTCGGCATCTTTTGATGATTCGACACTTTGAGTCTTTGGCAAGGGAGTCTTGGATTCACCAGCAGCCCTATTGATGACATCGTCGGCCTCTCAGAAACATGATACTTGTACCAATAAGAGACATCGTTCGTCCTCACCTTGGAGTGGCAGCAGATACCAAGCGAGGGAAGGCCTGGTATATATACGACCAGCACTATAACGAAACTTTTTGACATGGTCGCGTCTTTAACATCCAAAGAACCAGATGACTTGCTTGTACGATTCAATAAATCTGATGATATGATACGAGTGCAGATAATTCCCTCGTCAGCTGCTTGGTTGTTGAAGGAGTGACAGCTTTGAAAGCTTTGTGAGAGGAGAGATGTAATAAATCAACCAAACAAACCACCAACAGGATTCGTTTCTCTACGTGTGTTCATATACAAACAATAAGTACAGCCGACTTTACGCATCTCTACAATAAACAACCACGTCACCGCTTTGACGCGGATCATCAGCAAAGTAGCCATTAAAGAATCGGGCACACTAGAACAACATCCAATCAGTCTAGTCTGTTATCGAAAATAACGTATACTAGAAATTTGAGGTTACCTCTCTATAATCAGTCCATTGTATAACTTTCTTCAACTCATCCTCAATATTCTCATAAAACACTAGATGAGAAGGCCACTTGTATCGTTTAATGGTATAATTTTGACGTGGCGGCGGTATATCCTCACGTTCAGCAAAACGTGGACGCCATGGTGCAGTCATGTTTTCAGAGATTCGTGGAGCGAAAAACGCTACTATAAAGTTCTCGACGGATTGATGAAACAGTGTGGTTTCATCTCGGTAGTATTGTTTCTGTTCAATCCTATGGAATGAAAACAAGGTGTGAGTATGGCAACATTGAATACTGTGCAGATGCAAGAAACGGAGCTGAAAATCTAGTATTTGGCAAGTAACAACTTCAACCACACTCTTTCTCAATTTCATATCAATACATTCTAAGTCCTACCTTAATGGAGGCTCACATGACAAGAACCTCATGGGTATAGGCGCATGCAGATGAGAATAAAACGGGGTCGAATGACATGGCATCAAAAACACCACATCTGTTACATTCCCGCGTACTTGTCGCAAGTACTCTATAACTTGTACCACTCCCCGTTTATGCATTGTCGAAAAGTAGTAGGCAGCCACAGCATTCGATACGACAATCGTCAAGATTGTCGAACGAGCAATCCACTTTCCGCGTTTACAAAATACAGCAAGACCTTTACCCGCAAACATCATTCCGGGACCTAATAGAGGTAACAAGAATCGAAATTCTTTGTGTTCTAGGAGACTATATACTGATAATGTTCCTGCCATGGCTTGTGTGAGTGTAGATAGTTTTGGTGTACGATTGTTCATCATTCCGTATATCGCGAACGGTAGATGCGTGCCCATAATGACGGGCAGTCCTTGAGTTATATACCAATGCCAAGGATGCGTGCCATAGTATGACGATATGCCCTCAACGATGTTGAGATATGCAAAGTTGCAAAATGTGCATGTCCATCTCCTGAAAAATATTCTGTCTAGTGTAAATGATATTGCGATCACACTTGCACTATAGAATCAACGAAGGAAATGGGTAAGTAATCAATGAGTGTGAAGGACGAATGCATGGTTACCCAACAGCCAAAGCTTTCAAAAGAACTGAAATTTTCCTATTCGCTCGTATGAGTAGACTCAGGCCCAAGAAACTCCATAACATGACCCCAGTAGGGCGTATCACGAACGTTAGGTATGCAGCGAGTAGCGATGCAGTGAGTCTGATGGATTACAAAATAGGTTGGCAAAAAACGTTGCAAAAGTCATGCCGAATACAAGCTCTTTTACCTTGAGGAAGTCGTCCATGGCCAAAAGTACAGGCCAACCCAAGTCAAAACTGCTTCCATAGAATTGGAATATGTTCGTATACCAGCATAGAACCAAAACCAGGACGTGACCATGCAAAAGAGCTACAGCAAAACGATACATCAGCATCAATTCATAAAGAATTAGACCTTTGGTTTACACACCGTCCATTGACCAGCCTCCCGATCAAACATCTTCCTCGCTAATTTAACCATAAATAAATCTCCAATAGCAGCAACCACTCCTTGAAAGACTCGTGGACCCAGTATAATCCATTTGGAAGGAGCCCCAATGCTAGCCAGGATCTTGTACACACAACCAAAGATCAGAGGATGCAGGATAGATCTAATACCTTCCTTCCATTCCCATGTCATATAGCCATATCCAAATACAAGTCCATGAGCGACTTCAACTGATTGCCAATATTCATCGGGATCGAAATATGTGCGGACGACTAGAGCGTTGACGATTCTGTAGCCAACGAGGATCAGGAATAGGTATTGATCCGAGCTGAGTTGAGTAGTTTTGGTCATTGTTTCATGGTGTATGCGAGATGTCCGGCCACAACGAAATGTTTTGCGTCTTCTGAACAGAACGACTTCGAGACTCGTGGAGACTCAGTCTAAGGCTGCGTTACTATCAGAAAAGTGGGAGGTCCGATAATCTTCAAAGTTTAGAAGGTGCAAAAGCGCACGACTCGACGCCGCGACGCAATTTCGACGTGATAAAGTTGCGAGGCGGGTCGACATGTTCTAAACGACGACGCGAAAAGCGCTTGAAAGCGCAAAAGTGTTTCCTCCAGCTTCACTGTTATTTATTAGATTTAGCAAACTACATTTTGTGGTAGACACGTCGGCCACTAGCACAAAGTAAAAAGAACTCCTTTTCTACTCCACTGCCCTTATTCGTGGGCTTGCCACCTTCATGAAGCTCCATCTCCTTCATAATACTAATCTTCTTAGGCTGTACTTCGATTTCAGTCAACCCAGCGGATTCAAAACACCTCTGCATCGTTTCTGGGAGATATCCAAAATGACCACCAGCTGGCACATGATTATGTTGTTCAGCCCAGTGAAAATCATAACTGATATCAGTATGCTGTAAATCCGTAACGACTAATCGACCACCAGGTTTCAACAACATTGCCAATTTCTTGGCCATGCTGTTGATTGAATCTACATGATGGAAGACCAAATGCGAGTAGATCAAATCAAAGCGCAGAGGCGAGTCAAGCATGGCTTGAAACGCTTCAGCATCGTTTAGGTCTGTGACGATTGCCTTCAAGTTGTGGAGGCCCATAGCTGCGGCCTTCTTGTTGCAGACCTGTTTGTATTGTAGAAAAACAGTGAGAATGCGAGAGTAGTAAAGAGAAAATATGAATGAGCATTGATTCAGACGCATTGTGAATTTGGGGCTTCTGTAGCAGCGACTTCTTCAACTGCACTTACAGCGACCATGGATTCAGCAGCATCGATCCCCAAAACGGATTTGACCTTGTTTGCCAGCATAACCGATAGAACTCCAGTGCCACAACCCTATAGAGATCCCGACAGTCAGCATATTGGTGCTGTTGCGGTTCGCTTCCAAAGACAGGTTGCGTACAAAGTCAAGGCATTCCATTTCTGCATGGGTTTTTGCAGCCACTTCTATGGCGTTCAAAGCTTTTCCTGCCATCTCCATGACCTAAACGGAAAATAAATTATGTCAATACAATGAATCTACTCAGTAGCTGCTCCCTGTAAAGTGCTTCAGATTTTTTGGCCAAATTCACCAATGGTCGCTCATCCCATTCGGCTGCGGCTTTGCTGAACCAGGCATTGGACTTCTCTTGTCTGCTCATATCAGTGCTCATGGTTCTCGTTTCTCGGACACTTCGAAATTGCCTGGCGATATTGGAGGTGGGAAAACTCTTACTAAAGCTCGCTGTTTTGAGAAAATCAAAGCCAGATAACTGCTTTCAAGATGTGAATTTGTTAGAGAATGACGGAAACAAGCACTTTGGCACTATCGTGTTCTCAATCGACGTATTATCTATTATTTAGTATGATGCTTGTCAACAATTCATGTACAATTACAGTCTCAGTCTCATAAGTAAGGGATATGGATATCACGCTATAAATGAAGCCCAGCGAAACAGCTCATACAGTCTCAAACACTAGCAAGGATGAAGCAGTAATGGGTGCAGTGACATTCTGATATGCACGGCCATCAGTCACTGGATCTATAGTCCGGTTTCTAGACTGCAAATAATTTGATACGGCATCAGTCAGCAAGTCTCCTGCAATATAATTCGTAATCACATCCAACAAGATATTGTCACCACCACTACAGAGAAAGTCATTGACGACCACGATATATGTTTGATTGAGGTTTATGGGCGAATATGTTTCAGCTGGGTATGGATCCTGAATGGTGATGTTGACGGCTTGTTGGCCCTGTGGTCGAGTTCTATCCACATTGAACCGGATTCCTGCAACTTGGGGAACTGTAATCACGTTCTTTTTGGTTACAAGGTTCTTCCCAGATATAGCACCCTCCAAAATCATGCGGATTTGATTTCCAGTCATATTGGTGTCCACCACAACATTGGAAAATGGCTGTCAAGGATTGAGAAGGACATCAATAAGTAAACCGTCAAGTTCGACATCAATTTGAAAGGCGATATCTCACATACCAAAACTTCCATAATGTCACCGACAGTGACGTTTCCAGGGCCCAGTCCAGCTCTTACAGACCCTCCGTTGTTCATGCAAACCTGTGCGCCAACGAGTCGGCGTGACATTAGCATGGCATCACATATCATGTCTCCCTCTGCACATTCGGTTGTGCGGCAATTGTCAGTCGTATAGCCCGGTGCTACAATTTAAGATTCTCATGAGTAGTTGTCTCTCCAGAAACCACCATTGAAAACTTACGATTAACATCGGCCACAACTTGAGTGGTCAGATTCACAAATGCAGCTCTCCACGTCGTCACCAATTCAGCCATTCCCGCATCTGGACTTATAGTATTATCCAGCAATATTGGGTCTCCTTTCAGGTCAATGAGCTGATCATTCGAATCCCAAGTCATGTTCACTACTCCAAAATAGTCTCCATATCTGTGAGCTTGCACGACATACGTCTGGCTGCCATTGAGATTCGTTACAGAAGTTGGGTACAGACCAACCCATCCTGGTAAGCTGGTATTCTTGCTCAGCAATGAGTGTGAGTGTCCACCAACAATCAAACTGAGTCCTTCGGTATTGGCAGCAAGGTACTGGTCATCGAAATATCCATTATGAGACACGCCAATGATTTTCTTGACTCCTGCGGCTCTGCCAGACAAAGGGGGATGAAAAAATAGGATATGAGCTCACAATCATCATCACAGTATACAAAGCCTCAAACTGACCTAATAGCGTTGATAGAGTTCTGTACAGACGCAACTGGGTTGTAAAAGGTGATGTTCTTCCCGCCCTAAATTGACAATTGAAATCAGCAAACCTGACACTATTCTGAAACTTCAAACGCTCACCAGTGTGATATCAGCTGTAGTGTTGGTAATGAATCCGACAACGCCAATCTTCTGACCATACTTTTCAATAATCACATATGGCTGCACAATTTGACTCAAGTATGGTGCCGTGGAATAATTGAAGTTTGAGGATACGACAGGAAAGTTAAGAGTTTTGAAAAAGTTGGCTGCATACTCTTCGCCTCTATTGCGGAAACAGCGTTCAGTACGTGTAGTAAGGAACAGACACGATCTGAAGCATGAACTCACCGATCAAATTCATGGTTTCCAACTGTCATTACTTCATATCCAAGCATATTCATAGTCTGAGAAATTATAGACGATCCCCAGACATTGAAGAATAGAGTTCCTTGGAATTGATCACCAGCGTCAAACAGGATCGTGTTCAAACCAGCAGCACTAATTCACACATCAAACACCCTGTCAGTTTAGGTCAACCCTCGATCGAGGTAAGTGATATAGAATTGAAGATAATCACCTTCTGAAGGTCTTAATGGCGGTAGCGATCCTAATTTAACATAAAACGTGGGTCAATGGTTTCCCTTTGACGCTATACTCAATTGTGAGGCTTTACCTAGAATAACCACCAAAACAAGCATTGTTGGCTATATTACTTGCACTACAACCAGACCCAGAAGAACTGATCGGGTCAAAGTGAGCGTGGACGTCGTTGGTATGTCTAAACGTTTAGAATTTGGTCAGGCTGATGTTCGGATCCAGTTGATTTCATATCCACGAGATTTCCGAATTTTTGAGCAAGAAATCTTCATGTCTCGGTGATTTACAACGTCACTCACAAAATAGTAAGATGAAAATCGTCAAGGCTACTTCGGTTTCGTGTTAGACCGACACCCTAGAAAATGTTTCAATTGATGTCACCGATTATGCCACGTTGACGAATAAGACCAAAAGGAAGAGACGATGGATCAATTCAATGCAAGGTTGAAAGTTGAAGGTTTACCAGTCCTATTCCTAAGCTTAGAGAAACAATGGCAGCAAGCAAAATCACAAAAACTGGATTCTTCGAAAATCCCGGTTTAGAGTACCGCTTCTGAGAAGCAGCTTCCACGTCGACCGACATCAGAGCTTCTGAAGCTCTCGCTCCCTGCTCCCCCAAGAAACTGGCTTGTCAGAACGTTCGAGCACACCCAAACTTGAGCGAAAGCGAGGTGAAAACTGGAGCGCTCAACACAACACGAAACCACAGACAACTTTCCACGTTATAAATCTGTATTCTGTATTCTCAGTCATACAAGCAGTAGTAATCATCTATTCCTGCATCGAATTTATTGACCACCACGTAAACGCAAGACCAGGTGGAGAGTGGACTCCTTCTGGATGTTGTAATCAGAGAGAGTACGGCCATCTTCCAGTTGCTTTCCAGCGAAGATCAAACGTTGTTGATCTGGTGGAATGCCTTCCTTGTCCTGGATTTTGGCCTTGACGTTGTCGATGGTGTCGGATGATTCTACCTCCAAAGTGATGGTCTATTCAAACAAAGGCGTAGTTGAGCTTTTAAGTCAAATAATTGCGAAACGAGCTGATGACATGCGTATCACATACTTTTCCAGTGAGAGTCTTGACGAAGATCTGCATACCACCACGTAATCGCAACACCAAGTGGAGAGTGGACTCCTTTTGAATGTTGTAATCAGAGAGAGTACGGCCATCTTCCAGTTGCTTTCCAGCGAAGATCAAACGTTGTTGATCTGGTGGAATGCCTTCCTTGTCCTGGATTTTGGCCTTGACGTTGTCGATGGTGTCGGATGATTCTACCTCCAAAGTGATGGTCTATTCAAACAAAGGCGTAGTTGAGCTTTTAAGTCAAATAATTGCGAAACGAGCTGATGACATGCGTATCACATACTTTTCCAGTGAGAGTCTTGACGAAAATTTGCATACCACCACGCAATCGTAACACCAAGTGGAGAGTAGATTCTTTCTGGATATTGTAGTCTGACAAGGTACGGCCATCTTCCAACTGCTTTCCGGCGAAGATCAATCGTTGTTGATCTGGGGGAATGCCTTCCTTATCTTGGATTTTAGCTTTTACATTGTCGATGGTGTCTGATGATTCAACTTCCAAGGTAATAGTCTAAGATATGCCACTTAGCTTTTCGAATCCGAACGAGACGAAAGATAACGCAGAACATACCTTTCCAGTGAGAGTCTTCACAAATATTTGCATACCACCACGTAATCGCAACACCAAGTGGAGAGTGGACTCCTTTTGAATGTTGTAATCAGAGAGAGTACGACCATCTTCCAGTTGCTTTCCAGCGAAGATCAAACGTTGTTGATCTGGTGGAATGCCTTCCTTGTCCTGGATTTTGGCCTTGACGTTGTCAATGGTGTCGGATGATTCTACCTCCAAAGTGATGGTCTATTCAAACAAAGGCATAGTTGAGCTTTTAAATCAAATAATTGCGAAACGGGCTGATGACATGCGTATCACATACTTTTCCAGTGAGAGTCTTGACGAAAATTTGCATACCACCACGCAATCGTAACACCAAATGGAGAGTAGACTCCTTTTGGATATTGTAGTCGGAGAGAGTACGGCCATCTTCCAATTGCTTTCCAGCAAAGATCAATCGTTGTTGATCTGGGGGAATGCCTTCCTTGTCCTGGATTTTGGCCTTGACGTTGTCGATGGTGTCGGATGACTCAACTTCCAAGGTAATGGTCTATAGGGAGGGCAGAGTTCATGAGTTCACAGTAAATGTGCTTAACACCGTAAGAAAAAATGGAGATTGATGATACATACCTTTCCGGTCAGGGTCTTCACAAAGATCTGCATACCACCACGGAGACGGAGTACCAAGTGGAGCGTTGATTCCTTCTGGATGTTGTAGTCAGACAAGGTACGACCGTCTTCCAATTGCTTTCCGGCAAAGATCAATCGTTGTTGATCTGGGGGAATGCCTTCTTTGTCTTGGATTTTGGCCTTGACATTGTCGATGGTGTCTGAGGATTCGACCTCGAGAGTGATGGTCTTTCCAGTGAGAGTTTTGACGAAGATCTAATTGAAGGGAGAATGTAAGTGTGAGTAACATCATACTCGATGACTGATCATCATTTAAACATGATTAAAAAGCATGCGGAAGTCCATGAATATGTGGATGGATGCATATTCAATCCATCCACCACCCTCAAATGTTATGTACGATGATATCCATCCCCAAACAAAACATTGAACTGGTTCCAAATCATCGAGTCAATGAGACGAGGCGCCATACAAAATGAGCAAGAAGATCAACACCGTATGAGCGTATATGAGTAGATATGCTCATAATCACTCTTTCCTTGCCCCATCCTTTACAATAAACTCGTCCCGAACATCATGGAACATGAGACACCTCATCGAGTTCAATTCCATGAAATCCGACAGTAAAGCATGAAAGAAAAGTAACGTAATATAACATTCAGACGACCTTAATGCGTACCTGCATATTGCTCTGTCTTATTTCAGTTTTGTTGATAGGTTTTATATGTGAGGCTTGTTCTGACAAAATGTGAGGTGGAAATGGTGGAATGAAAGACAGTGGGAAGGCTCGAGAACCGATTCCTGGAACCGATTGGAAACTGAGCAAAATAGAGAATGGATACGTGTCAATCACGTAAAAATGCAATAGCACGATTCACAACGGATTCTTGTAATGAATCTTGAATGCAATGAATTGGCTAAACAAGCTCGAGTGCTCAGTCGTGCATACTAACCACAATGAGAATCAGATCTTTTTGCACGGCATCACGCAATATGGCATTTGTAATCGATTTAATAGTATGTTGACCTGTAAGAGATTGAACACGGTTTGCCGTTGATCGTTCATGTGCAACAACGATTCAATCGTCCATACCACCCCAAAACTATGAGGAGATTATCATTTACATGTATACTATTGGCTCAGTTACAGCTGATCTTTGCTTTAGATAATGGATTGGGCCGGTACTGCCCGAGCTTTAGTCATCGGCGTGCTGTGTTTTCCGAAGCTGACAACCTTTTCGATGTAGAACACCACCAATGGGGTGAAATTCGATCATTACATGCTTTGCTAGCTTGGAAATCCCTGAAATGCATCTCTCCTCCTCCTAGTTTCAACTCATGGAATAGATTTGGATGCGGGATCAACGAAGGTCTTTTTCGTAAAACCGCTGATCGTTTGATTGAACTGGGTAAGTGCCATTTTGTGCATTGCTATACTTGCTACTAATTCAAGATTCAGGTCTCGCCACAGGTAGATTCTGAATGATGCAAGCTGTATTGAGGTGTTGACGGAGCTTGCCAACCTAGCTGGCTATGAATATGTGAATATCGACGATTGCTGGCAAGTGGATCGCCTACCAGATGGTACTATTGGAGTTGATCCACGGTGAGCTGCCGCTGTTCAAAGTTTCCACTCAATACCGGCACTTTGACGCGGAACGTTGATCGTCTAGGTTTCCAAATGGAATGAAGGCTCTCGCGGATTACGTCCACGACAAGGGCCTAAAGTTTGGATTGTATAGTTCTGCTGGAACCATGACGTGTGAAAAGAGGCCAGGCTCGCTCAATTTTGAAGTCATCGACGCAAGAACATACGCGGCATGGGATGTCGACTATTTGAAATACGACAACTGCTTCAACGAAAACATTCCAGCCTTGACCAGGTATTCTGCTATGCGAGATGCACTGAACACAAGTGGGAGGGCAATCTATTACTCCGTTTGCAATTGGTGTGTGTGAGACTGTTATCGTCTTTGCGGTTGCTCAGATTCATACCTGATCTTGTCTACTTGCAGGGGCCAAGAGTCTCCATGGCTTTGGGGTCCAGAGGTCGCAAACGCTTGGAGAACGACAGGAGATATTCGGGATAAGTGGATGTCAGTTATCTACATTCTAGATCTCCAAGTTCCGATTGCACAGCATTCTCGTCCTCAGGGTACGCAGTATGAATCAGAGAACTCTACCTCGATATCAATGACATTCGCTTACCCCAGGTTTCAACGACATGGATATGCTGGAAGTCGGAAACGGTGTCTTGACTACAGGAGAATATCGCAGCCACTTTTCATTATGGTCTGCTTTGAAATCTCCACTACTTATTGGATGCGACTTGGATAACATTTCACCCATTGACCTCGAGATTTTACTTGCTCCTGAAATAATGGCTGTAAATCAAGATCCATTGGGCATTTCGGCTATCCGAGTCTGGAAGGAAGGCGATTTAGACGTTTGGAGTGGTCCACTAAGTAGTGGTGACAAGGTCTCAGGTTTGTCACAAGTGCTTTAAGTCGCGATTGGACAAAGTTCCTTTTGCTAATCTTGTTGATTCTAGTTCTGTTCAACCGAGCGTCTCACAATAACATAATCAGCGTGCCTCTTACGGCACTTGGATATCCGCCTGCAACACTTGTGTTGGCGAGGGACCTCTGGAGGCGACAAGATATTGGCACATACCAAACCACGTAAGGAATTTGCCACAGATTGAGCTTCGTATCATAAGCTCACAGATTTCGAACTAAAGCTTCTCGGCAAACGTACCGCCACATGGTGTGGTCGTGATTAAAACACGTTCGACTCACGAGCAGACGTCTGTGGTTAAGACCACCATCTACACCCCACTCTACATGGACGAGGATGTAATTGTAGCAGCGAATGGCACTCAAACATCAAGGGTGTCAACTTCGTCGTCTTCAATACCAAACCAAGCGATTCTTGCTGTAGCAGGAGCTGGTTTGGCGACTATAATGCTTCTTCAATCGCGAGGAAGTAGACGTCCCAAGTTATAAAGTAAGAATACAATTCGTTTAATGGACAATAACATTACTGGCTGGCTTTTGTGACAAAGCAAAGTTTTAAATGAAACCAACATGAGTTTGTCGTGAATGAAGCCGCAACGACGTGCCAAATTTGTCGATTTCTGATTTTGAGGTTGAGAAGTGGTGTTTGGATATCCAGGGTAGAAAGTAGTCTTGGTGGTGAAGTGTCGCTGTGAGTGAGCTGGATACGAGTAAACTTTAAATTTGCTTCGTATATAAAATGCATGCATCAACTGGTCAACTTTTGCTTCCGATCTTTTTTTTTCAAGTTTAGAGATCTGTTTACTCAAACAACTCAGAGAAAGACAGTGAATGTATCTTATATATTAAGCTGCCCTGCCATTACAAAGTTGCGTCTCTCCCTCTCCCTACGATATTGCATTTGATTCCTAGCTATTTGATATTCCCACTTACGCTTCTTCTAGCCCCTCCTATCGGTGTAAGATCACCACTTCTCGAAGCAAACGGCGATGTGACAAGCGACGCGTGCCTACTGTGATCTAGATGACTCAGATTCCCCGAGCTGGCAGGCGACAACCCTTCCATCGTTCTATCTCTGTCCCTCCCATCAATAGCAGACGGCCGTCTCGACAACATTTTACTTAATGAAATCGGCGTATCCGGGACATGTAGACCACCATTCGACGATGTAGTTGGTGTAGGTTCAGCAACAGTCTGGCTCATCAGAAGTTTGAAATCCATTGTTGATTGAGTCGGTCGACGTAGCTGTGTCGGGCTGACTTGAAGAAAGCGAGTGTATATGAAGTATATGAGTAGCCACACCATGGCTGATATCCATGCAAGGGGTGAGTCTACTACTTTGGGTGCTGTAAACTTTTTGGCCATTATTAGTGTGGCGACTGGGAAGGATGTCTCATTATAGTCTTTTAAAGAGAGTCGACGTTTCATTACGATATGCTGGTCAGAGTGCTCGAGTACCATGTGTGCAGAAGGATGCGTTCCCTAACATTGCAGAAGAAAACGTTATTACGAATGAATCGTGTCCTTTTTCGGTTTACTCAAATCTCTATCTTCAAAGCAACCACAAACCCCACAACTTCTACTGACATGTCTCCACCGCCGCCTTTAACCTCAATCTTCGCCTTCATCTCTTGATTGATCATATTCACAAAGCTTACCATGAAGAGGTCAATATTATCCTGTCTCGTATTCTCTTGCAGCGAATCCAGATACGTTCTTGCTAACCGAATGAGACTATCTTTTATATAAGAATCATATAATCTAGAAAAGCCCCGAAGATTCCTTAATCGTCCCATCCCACGTGCAGCTGTACCTGTATACTGTTGAGCAATAGCATCACCGTGGCCTGCCCATAATCTTCCCAGCTTTGCCATTGATTCATCCGACAATTTACGAGCACCTCTTGGCCACATTTTAGCGTGATGCAAAATATCTACTAGTGCTTCATTGGCCATTAAGTATTCCGCCACATTCACATCGTCTACACAGTCCAGGTCTGATATCCTGAATATACCTCGCTGGAAGGTGAAGACGGCATAATACGATGTTATTGAGGATGGTGAGGTTTGTACTTGCATAAATTTAACGAATTGACGTGGTTTGGATTCATATTGTGTCGGGTCTACTGCATTCAACATCATGGAGAAGAAGCCTTGTTCAGCCTGCGATAATCTCGTCTCTGTAGTTAGAGCTTCTAGACCATGAAGCGAGGACGTTGGTGATGGTCGTCTTATATATTCTATTTCTGGTCGATTGAGCTGTCTCAACAGGTCCGAATACGATTCAGACAAGATGGCTTGATCTGGTTCCTTGTCTGATAGTAAATCTAGGACGGTAATATTCGAGCCGTATCTCTTGTACACGTTTTCGAAATGCACTCGAGCAGACTCGAAACTATCAGCGGAGATGGATCCTTCGAAATCTAGTTTGGGGTTTATATGAGGGGTGTCTCCGCATTCTTGCTTCCAATATAACGGTACAGAGCCTCGTAGTTGTGTAAAAGAAGCAAGCGTATGTGGTGTATGGACTAATAATTCGGATTCTACTTCGATTGCAGGTGCTCCTCGACCGTCAACGCCTAAAGAGCCATGAGGAAACGAGTGAAACCCTGCGCAAAAGAACCTGCATTTAAATGATCCTGAATACGTACCTCGCCTTCTAGCCCTCGTCCCCGCATTATACCGACAGATACGTCCAATCAGCATTACATGTATTGGCATGTGTCCCGACTTGATATACGTAGACCCCACATAACCACATATCAACGGTAATATATACGGGTATGATGCATCATGTAAAAACATGCGAAGTAGGTGTTTGTTGAAGAAGTATGGATCATGCAAGTTTTGAAAGAGAGTAGGTAAAAAGTTGGGCCGTATAGGTGTCCTTGGATTACCACCAAACTCAATGACTCGCTGTGTGTTATTGCTCAGATCGATATCGAGAGAGTAATACATTAACCCTGAGCTCATTACTGACGAGACAGAGGCCAAGCAGGTTCGTTCGTGCTCTTCTTCGTCCAGTGTTAGGAATTCTTTGCGAGTACTAGGTTGTAAGCAGCAAAGTCAGTGTTGGCGTCAGAAATGTGTTACTGTGTTTGCAAACATTCACGAAATAACCACAGCACAGTCAGATAAAGGACAAGCTTACTTACACTGGCACCATTCGTACACTTCGAACTCTCCATACTAAGCCAACACGACCCAAACTCTGGCATACAAAGTCCTTCTCGGTGACGACAATCAAGTATTTGCCAAGATTCAGCTCGAGAAGACCAACAACACCAAATGTCCTGAATTCGTCTTTTATCTTCAACGGGTGAGGTTGAGAAGCTGGATCTGACGGAGCTAAATGTTGAGCAAGGAATGTGTTAAATGTGTGCAAATGTAAGTTTTTTGCCAACAAAATGTTTGACGAATTGGTACGGTTGACCTAGAATACAAGACGCAGAACGTACATTTCACAGCCCATTCTCCATTTGGCGAGAATATAAGCACCTGAGTCTCTGGTGCTGGTCGAATTTGCTCTACAATGACTCTCGCATCGTCAGTTATTCGTACACGAGCGGGTGCCTCGTACGTCGGAAGTTCCTCCGTGGATGCATTAGCATCTAGGACTATATTGGTAACTGACATTCTCCTCGCTCTTGTTCTGTCAAAACAGTTGAGCTCGTGCAAAGTGTTTTTGTGACGAAACTAGCAAGTGTCGAGAACTACTCATATATACGGGTAACATACCATCTCAACGAGTAGCAAATCACAGTCAATGCGTCGAACTACCTATCAGACTGCAGCATCTGCACCAAATCACGTAATTTTGTCATCAAACAACAATGAACCAATTATGCAAACATTATTCTCAAAAGCATGGCTTATAAAGTCCTAAAGACACCGTCCATTATTGTTTACTAGATCCAACATAAAGCAGCTACGGTAAGTCCCATAGAAAGCATTCCACACGCAAGCTGATTAGGAGCCGAGGAAGCTGGAGCTGGTATTGCTGTTCCTGTTGAAATTGCGGTTCCTGTAGGGATTGCTGTACCAGTGGCAGTAGCTGTTCCACCAATCAACACACTGATCTCGGTACCGCCTTCAACTTGAGTACTACAGACTGATGATAAGAGCTAGTTAATAAAAGGAATCGTCTTCATAGGGCGGCTGTTAATGAATACTTTACCTTCAGAGGTAGACCTGTCTTGATATGAAACATAGAGTGGTGCTCCACTGCATGAGAGAGAAGGTGACCACACTTTGTTTGTAAAGGAGGTTGCATTGGCTGAATACATTGAGGAGCCACTACTACTTATACTATCGCCTTGTCCTATTGGTGTGCTTTGACTGCCACTGTGGACACCTACAAATCAACATATTAACATATATTTCAAACTCAAAATGAATGATCTGTAGCTTACATGTGTCAGTCCTCACGTAAGTCCAATGGATCTCGTTGCCAGCCTTGCAACTGCTAGCATAATAAATTTGTCCAAAGAAGCTAACACCTCCTAGAGCTACAGATCCTGCTTGTGCTGGTGGAGCGGTTTCGGAACAGAATCCTTTTACGTAGACACCATTCTGCAATGTACAACCAAATTCGGTGTAGGTTATTTGGCAGAGGGGTAAAGCTCCGTTTGGATTTTGGACAAAGATAATATTGGCATTGTTATTAGCACATGTCGAGTCCGAGTATGTGACGGTGTAAAAGTAGCTGGCAGGACCGACTGGCACAGTGTAATTCACAAAGACATCGAGTTGGCTGCTGCCCATTACACTAAGGTCAAAACAATAGAAAATAAGAAAATGATTGAGGAAACGATTCATAAAACGGAGACTTACGGAGTAGAACAGAGCTCAGCAGTAGCTCGTGCTCTGTACGATATAGAATTTGCTGCGAATGAGCAAGTAGCTGACGTGTACCAAATACTGATAGTATAATGAGTGGCATTCACAGAGTAGGTACTAGCTCCGGTCGTTGAGATAGTCTATTTGAAAAAAGAACCAAAATGAGACGAAAGCGCAATAATTTCCGGACCTGCAGAAGGGTTCAACAATACGTACATCACCCTCTCCAACAGGGATGGACTTTGCCCCAGCATGAACACAAAAGTAGTTTCTAGCATACGTCCAGGTGATTCCTCCGTTAGCAGGACATCCACCGTTGTACTAAAGATTGGGCAAATTCAAAAAAGTGTTAAAACGCCATTGTTTCATTCCAAAACATGCCAATGCAAAGACAGTGGTGAGATTCATCATGTGGCGCATTCAGTGATAACGTCAGCAGATGTGATCTGCCGACTTTTCAAGCTGTTCACATTGGGGCTTACCAATATTTCACCAAAGTACGAAACAATAGGACTTGTCAATGTCTAAAGAGGAGATCAAATCGAATGAGCATACAGTTTCTTCCTTGCCAGCGACATAGGGGCTTCATACTTGAATATAATCAGAAGGTAAAGAACCACTGCAAAAGCCCTTGACGTAGACACCATTCTGCAATGTACATCCGAAGGGCGTAGACGCAGCTGATGATGAGCAAGTAGCTTTTGAAGCGTATACAATGTTTGGAGGTCCTGAAATAAACAAATGATCAAACGTGTTAGCACGTGAATGTAACATAGTACATTCGAAACACAAGACAGCAAAAACAAAGTCGAATTCAGGCTGTAACAGTACCTGAGCATGTAGTATCAGAGGACTGATACACATTAGTGTAAAAGTATTGGGCAGAGGCAAATGCTGGTAGCACTCCTACAAACAACAATGCCGAAAACATTCTGAAGATCATAGCTTCGGAATGGTGGAGAATCTATTGTAGGGTGGCGATGTATTAGTTTGCTTATGCCAGACTGGTAGAGACTATGATGTGATGTGCATGCATTCCACCTACAAGTTTCGGTTGAGTAAGGCTTTCTTGGTGTAAAGCTGCTCAGTCCTGGACAAAGTAAGATAGCTCTCGTATAAAAAAGACTTGTGTGAATGTGCTTGTTGAGTAGCTGAAGTACTCTGTTCAATTCGACTCTGCCACTAGGCTGTGTAATTGTGTTCATATGGCTTGACACAAGAACACTACGCCTTACTTTCCTTCACCACCCTCACATTACCGAAACTGTCTCGTTCACGATTTGCATATATTATTGTTAAGTGTATTCACGATTTTTGTGCTTTGTGGTATAATATACAGGGGTTCTCTACAATTCTACAAACTATACACACATCTCTTTAACTGTGTTTCTTTCTTCTGTCCTAGAACACTTCCACTGTTTCAATAGAATGAAACTTTACCATGCACGACACCATTGATGGCATCGCTCAATCGTCCTCCCGTATCGTTTTCAAGTAGAGCCTTCTCGATATGCTCAGCATCTCCAGACAAGGCAACGACGGTGGATCGTGTAGAATCTTTTCCTTTCCCTCTTGCAAGGGAGACCAGAGAGGATGAGGCCAATCCTTCCAACATACTGGTAAAGATCGAGTATGGATGTGGCATCAAACTCATAGACTTGTTGAGCAGGTCACCATACACTTCGTATACCTAAATGATCATGTATGCGTTAGTTTCAGAGGGAGATAATGACAGCTGTTCAAAAGGACAAGTTATATAACAAGCATACCTTGCCACTGGTAGACTCAACACCCTTCTTCCTGCACACCAATAAAGCAGCCATGACCATCTTTTGATGTGCATTCAGCTCGTAAATCATGGATGTACTAGCCAAGTTGGAACTGTTTAGTGCTGCTGATGCTGCCTTTGCCACGTGTTGTACAGTGACTTTGGGCATGAGATCAACATCCATCGAGGACGTTGATGCTGGAGTAGGTGACTTTGGGCCACTAGACAAGCTCGTTTCAAGTACTTCCAATGCTTGTCTAACGAAAACGATATTGTTCAGTCCGTTAGCCACAACAACAATAACAAAAAAAAGATCCTCGGTCAACAGCACGTACCGACAGACATCGAGAGCCTTCCTCACATCTCCAGTACCTACTACTTTACGCGCAGCGAACTCGATAGCAGCTGGTTGCATCAGTGGAAGTGTCCTTTTGGCGTCATTGATTTGAGGAGACAAAGTTTTGGTTGTGGGTGAGAGAGATCCTAGTCGCTCACGTATGATGGCAGTAATCTCATTGACTTGATATGGTACAAAGTTCAACAAGGTTGGCATACCTATGAGAACAGCATGTGTTTAGCAGTCTTCTTGATTCTCTGTAATGAAATCCAATTCGAAAACATACAGTCCTTGGCTTTAAGACGAGGTAGGAATCGTTCAGTCAAATCCAATGCATTGGCAATACCAATCAAAGAGAGACGAGAGCCAGTCATGAGAGGCCATTGGAAGAGATTATACAAGACTTCTTGGTCTCGTGTCAGTAAATGATCAATTTCGTCCAAGATTACGACACTGCCAAAAATGGAACACCTGTCAGTTGAATGTCATACAATGACGGAACACACATGACACGTCATTTAATACGTACTGCATCGTATTTGCCTTCTTGGTTGGAACAAAGAGTTCTCCCAAGTCATGAACAGCAGCCTTGTAATCAACCACACTTCCTTCAATCAACTCCAATAGCTTTGGATAGATGGATCTGGGTTCTTTGATAGTCATACAATTCATCTTGTGGACATGGATTTTAAAACCACACTATATGACGGGAGATTTGTCCGTCAACACATGTTGATTGATACACGCAAAAAGGCGAGTATAGACAAATGAATAATGACACATCATCGTAAGCAACCAAAATACCTCAGCAAACGTCGGTTCCAAAGATTTACAAATCTCATCAACAAGAGCTGTCTTTCCAGTTCCAGGAACACCAGATATATACAACGAACCACCCCGTTTAGCAAACACATTTTCTTGCCAGAATTGTGTAATGACAGCGCGTTCCTTGTCTCGACCAACCAATCTGCTGGGAGTTGATGATCTGCGAAAGACACCTTTGGCTTCTTGAAATATAGATGTGGGTGTACGAGCAATCGGAGTTCGAGCGGCAGCAGTAGCAACAGCAAGAGGTGTTTTGACTGTCTTTGGAGTAACAGGTATAACCTTCGATAGATCGTCATCGTCATCTTCTTTGACGATTACATCTTGTTGTTTTCGAGCAGTAGCGATACTTGCTGCAGCAGAGTGCTTGGGAGTAAGAACCTTTGAAGGTTTGACATTCTCTCGTCCTATTGAAATTGAGCAAGAAACACAACATCAGAGGCTTGATCGAAATGTTTGCATCGAGGGTTGATAGTCATATTTCTATCTTGATCTACATCAGATCAATAATACACATACCTTTTGATTGTCTCAATGAGTCAGTCAATACCCTTTTTGGAGTTGTGGGTGTCTTTGGAGTTGATGTTGGTGAGTTTCGACTGCGAGTCACCCTGACAGAAACTTCCTCTTCTACTAAAATAGTACATTATATTATAGCATGTGTGAAAATCAATAATGCCATGCTGATCTGCTTGTCACATACCTGCTTCTAATCGTCGTTTGGTCATCGTGTTTTTTGGGCAAGACGGAGTTGGTGGTGAAAGGGTTGATCTGCTACGTTATTAAGCAGGTCTACTAATTCTCGTTGATGATATTGATGTTCGTTATGTGTAGATACGTTGAAAGGCTTGCTTCGTTCTCGTTCTCCGTTGTTGTTGAATGGCAGCTGAAGTTGAAATTTGTTTTGGATACATTTTGAATTTCCGCTCCTTCCAGTTGGGAGCTAGGAGCCCGTGAATGGGAAGAGCCAGAGGGAGGGAAGAAATTCGGGCCATATATACTATTAAGTCATAATTACGATTACCGAGTCTCAAACGCGTAAAGATCAACATAGAACTACTAAAATGTGTTTGGCGACATTCAATAACTACTAGACTACACCGCATTGCCAACACGTCAGACAGCACGCTTACAACTCTTGGAACTAACAAAAAATAGCATTTTTTCAGTACATACGTCTAATTTATCGGGCGATAACGAGACTAAAGAGCATAAGTGTACTCTTATTGCCAAAGCACCTCAGCAAAACGAGAATAGCCAACGCAGTCACATAACGTGTCCTATTTTAGAAACTCTAATATATGCACTGCTTGATACTACTTATAATGTTGTAACAATACTAATAAACGCCAATGTTTTGCTCGACTTTCACGTCACTCCTGTATGAGAGACAGAGTCCTCAGTCCTCCAAATAGCTTCTGCTCGAGCTACCATACTTGAGAACTCTCGATATGATAATCGGCCGTCCCCATCGAGATCAGCAGAAGCAAACGCTTGCTCAATGACCATTTCAGGAATAAATGAAGCGTGATGATGTACCACCTTCTTCATATCTTCTAGAGAGACGTACCCGTTGCCTAAATAAACGTCTTGTCAGCAACGTTAAACCACTATGTATGAAGCAACAATGCAGCGAACTTGCAGTTCAAGTCAAACGACACAAACGTCTGCCGCACAATATCCAGTTCAGAAGTTTGTTCCAGTCTTGGAGTGATTATGGATATTAAATCAGAACATGTGATTCTCGGTCCTAAGTCAACGATGTGCGTTAAAGTGTGGTTTGAGCAGTTTTCAAGATCAGGCTAATACCTGTCTCTGATCTGGATATAGACGATAACATTTGATCAATTTCAAACTATAAGAGCATGTTAAAATCCACAATTCTTGCGATGCGTCAGCCTTGGAAAATCAATGAACGTACTTTTGATGGCACATATGCCAGCAAGCCTACTAGAGCAATTTTGAAGTCCTTCCTGGTCAAGTAGCCTTTTGCATCAGTATCAGCTCGTCTGAATACCTGATATTTCGAATAGAAACTGGTTAGATTGATGCATGGATCTACCGAGAACTAGCTTGTTTGAAGTTTTGAATGTACCTCCTTGATGTTCGCCAATTGAGAGCCAAGTTTCAGGTAGTTGGAACCAAATTTAGTGCCCCTGCGAGGCGGTGATCTTTGCATATTCGTAGCAGCGTCCTGCTTTCCAAATGTTGCTCGTCCAATGAAGTGTACGTGATGCAACGCGCACAGTGCAACACAAGGACGAAGCTTTGACCTTTGACAATGTCACGTAGATTTATCTGCACATTTATTTAGATTTTTTTGATTCACACTTTACAACTACACACTACATACAGAGGCTGGCAACATCCAACTTCTAACAATAAGTTTTTCTAGCTATTAAACAGCAGCGGGCTCAGTATTCCTTCCTCAATCTTTTTATCCAGCCATCCATTGGCATCCAAGCGTCCCTGTTCTACGATACCTCTGAGGGTAGCTTCATCACTCGGGGGAAACAGAATCCAGAGGAATGGGAATGGTTGACGAGGACATATGTTGGCTTCTCCAGGATGAGGGGATACCGTTATAGTGGTTTTACTCATGTATGGTAAATTATCGGTAAAGCCTCCATCAATATATATCGTTTTACTGCCACTAGCAGTAGTGTTGTTGGAGGTGACAGGCGTCATTGCTATGGGAGTTTCCCAGTAGATGGGGAAGTATGATGAGGCCATTATAGTGTTTATCAAGTCATCACGACCAGTGAAGTGATTCTTCATTTCGTTTTCAAAGCCGGGGAATGTTGTAAGAGAGACTGTCAGTCGTCTGCCTAGTTTTGTAGATACAGTCTCGTCGTCTTCTAGTTCTCGACGCATTCCGACTTCAATGCTCTGACTCATTATTCCTACTGGACCAAGGAATCTATCCGAAAAAAGGGGTCAAAAAAACTCCTTCCAGACTTTACACAGATCCACCACTTGACCTAACCAATACGACATACCTCTTAGCATGTTCACTAGCCACAGAAATCATCAAATCAATCATTCTCTGCATGTCGGTATTCAAGGTCAGAGCAGCAGCCACTAGAGAACCACTAGAACACCCTTGAAATTCAATTTTTTCAAATACTTCAGGCTTGAACCTTTCATTCAGGGCCTGTCCAACACCAGCATGATACAGGAGAAGCCAGGCACACCCGGAAAACGAAAACGATAATCTAGAAAATATCGTGAAACAGTGTTGGTGTCTTGTAAACGTGGCTCTGACAGACACGAGGGACTGATACGTACTGTGGACTGGTTTCGTTTGTTGGTAACATTATAATCTTTGAAAGATGCTTGTTCGATGCCCCACGAAATGATCCTTGTTCACGAGTAAAGTCATATATATAAGGTAGACGTGCGAGAAGGGCATTACGATAGTAGTATCTAAGAAGACGGATGTTAGACACAATCAAGGGGATGTTCACAATCGACGACGTTAGGCACAATCAAGAACAATCTGAGGGTTCGACAGCAAGAGGCTTACTTTTCTCTCATCAGCAGCGACAGGACGAGATCAACAGCATCATTAAATAAACGAATTACGATAGCAGTTACGATGCACGTATAGAATGCGAGCCACGGCAGTGAATCAACCAGTCCGTCACGTATCTGTTTGGCACCATCGGTAACGTATTGTCGACCCCGTCCAGGCCCATCTGTTACAGTATTATATAACATTTTGACATACGCAAAGAATGCGTTGATATACCCCATAGCCATGATCTGACCTGAGACGACAAATGTTGTCAGTGGTTGGACCAAATCACTGACATACACGGTTGGTTTCGTTTGGACTATAGGTATTTGTTTGAAGCCATTCGAATCTAGATCATCTGCTTCTTCATTGTCGTCATCAGAATCGTCATCGACGAGTGTATTGTTTGAATCGTTTTCATCGGAAACCACGTTTCTTGCCCACGTTTTTATAGATAGATATGGCGATGAAACAGGGGAATTTGATGCATCAGAGACTAGCACATAGGGCCGAAACATTGGTGCATCCATCCTCCACAGCACAATCACTGGAAGTTTGAATTTGAAAAAATGTTGTGCCGAGATTTATATGGACATTTTGAAACCACATTCGCACATCTTAGCACCGTCATTACGCGTCAATTGTGAGCATCATGCCATCATTTGAACGGAATCGGTTTCCTTTAGTCCTCATAAAAGTGAAAGAACGCGAAAGGGCCCGGTTTGCAATACGATGCGGATATGGCTGACGACAACCCACTTGAACCTACTAGTCCAAAGGAGCCAGTGTACAATGATACGCCCAATATAGCGCGCGTTCGCTCTCTCTTAAACCAGAAATCTAAAGTGGTCGTGACAGACGGAAGAGAATTCTTTGGATTCTTTGTATGTGTCGACAAGGACAAGAACATGATTTTGACTGCTACTGAAGAGCATCATCGAGGTATGAAATATAAAGCCGAATACTGTTTGGAGTAGCTTGCCAGCTGCAAGTGTTTGGATGAATCGCGGCTCTAACATTAACCACACATTGCACTTGTTAGGCAAAGTACGATATGTGGGGCTAGTGATGATCCCTGGTCCTCATCTGAAATCGTGGGCAACATTCAAGCCAGATCCATCCATGTATATATAGGAAACCAACCATCCATGTATATATAGGAAACCAATATGTATTTCAGCTGACATCATAAAACATCTGTATCTCCCACACAAGACTGTTACAGATTTGGCTTCTTTTGGCCAGTCACATTACGACCTTGCCCTGATACCATGAGGTCTTCTACAAGTTGCAGCCACACCGATGTTCCGACCATTAAGCTCCTTTCATCAACAGCGAATATCCTAACAACAAATAGGTATCAATACAGAATCAGAGGAGAAAAAGCCTCATCAGGATTGGCTCACGGTGAATGATGTGGCCTATCCAGCCCGTCTGGCAATGCGCATCCGACAAAGAAGAAACTGCCAGGTCGTTCATGCAAGAAGCGAGAAAAGTCTTCGGACCCCATAACTCTATCATCCTTGATATTCGAAGGTCCTACAATCTTTGAAAGTGACTGGTATACGAGATTGGCAGGTCCTGGGTGATTAATTGTTGGAGGAAATAAATCCACATCTACGACAAGAAGGATCAGCATTGGTGTCGAGAGCAAACGATGTCAAGATATCTCACGTACATTTGATTTCAATTGTAGCTTTGAAGGTTTTCGCAACACCTTCACAAACTTCGTGAAGTCTCGTCTTCAAAATCTTTCCGATTGCGGGATCAAAGAACCGCATCGTTCCATCTAATGTCGCAGATGCTGCGATTGCGTTGGCGACAGTGCCGGCAGAAATCTTTCCGATAGATAGCACGGCTCCCTTCAGTGGATCAATATTGCTATCGATTTCGAGAAGATATGAGCAGAAAGTCCTGGTGACATGCAAAGTGTTACAGCAAGGCTAACCGTGATACGACCGTCTGTAAAGCAGTAACTAAATGTGATGCAACAACTATCGAGTCTACTGTTTGATGTGGTGCACTGCCGTGTCCTCTATTTGTGAGAAGGACAGTGAGATTTTAACAAAAAACACAACGAGGTGTACGAATAACTTGCCCTACACCATTGACTGTCAAATAGAAGAAATCCCCACCAGCCATGATTGGACCTGGCATCGATATACATTCGCCAACTTTGAGTCCACTCCACAAATGAATGCCGTAAAACGCGTCGATATCCAGATCACCAATAGTCAGCACATTGTCCTTCAACATGGCTTCAGCTCCAGCACCGTTTTCTTCGGCTGGTTGAAAGACGAATTTTAGAGCTACAGAGACCAAAGGGTTGGTCAGCTTCGGGTTAAGCAGCTCAAACGCAAACGATTCTTACATCCGTAAAGTTCATGAGCTCGCGGAGCGATGATTTTCGCAAAGTTCAAGAGCATGGAGACGTGCCCGTCGTGGCCTTTAGTTCAAGTGCGAGGGTCATCAATTCGCGTCCACGTCGTTCTGAATAAGCTGCGATTACGCTCACCACAAGCATGCATCGCACCAGCATTATGACTTACAAAGGCAGCATTGATATCAGTTATGGCCTCCTACAAAGAATCGCAGTATGGTCAGCTCACCAAACGTAAAACCTCAACATGTCCGTAGTCACACCAATCCTTACTGTTAGTGGGAGTGCATCCATGTCAGCGCGTAAGGCAATACAAGGCCGATCATTCTTTCCACGAAGTATTCCCACAACTCCTGTCTTGCCAATGTTCTCGTAAACCTGAAAGCCTGGTAGTGATTTCAATGTTTCGGCAATGAACTTGGCTGTTTGGACCTCATTGAAGGCTATCTCTGCATTGGCATGCAGTTTTCGTCGGATAGAAATAAGTGAGCTCTCTATCTCTTGTGCCTCTTGTCGTAGCGTGTACATTTTTCGTGGTTTGACTGTTTTGTGAGGCAGAGGATTCTACGAGGACAATGTTGCTCAAACTTTCTGTAATTTAAGCATATGAGAGCTTAATGGTAGTGCTGTTTCCTGGTAAGAGCTAACTTGTGGATCAGCAAAATAATTGTGGTGATGCCCACTGTTTTCCTGCTCCTTGGACAAGAAACCGTCAAGACAGACCTTGAAACGAGTAATCCGGCACTCAGAAACATTTAGGTTTGGCTTACAGCACGAAACTCCTGTCTGTTTTGACACACTCGACATTTCGACGAACGCCACGTCAGTCACCGAAACGATACTTGAGCAAGTAAAACAGTTTCTAAAGTCAACGTTTAGCATGAACCATATATATTGCATAACTGTATTTTGCACATCAAAACAAATGTCAAACACCAACAAACATAATAGCCAATCACATCACTTCACAGCAAGTTAACTTCTTGGACTTCTTTACCTTGGGTTCTTGTCCCTTGTTGGGATTTTCGTCGCTGTCTTTCCACTCTTATTTCAAAAGTGATCAGCATTCTTGCTATTGTGATCTCAGAGTGCAATGCATTTATCAAGACAGTTCAAGATGCTCACAACGATGTCAAAAGATAGCGCACATCAAAGAAACGAAGCTTACCATTTTGATGACGCAGAAAAGGCCTCTTTGTGAGTTTTCAGGATGAACTGCCTTGTAGTCAGATCTAGTTGTGATGATGTAGCAGTGAGGAATGTTTGAGTTGTGAGATATAGCAATGACGATTGTTTGAGTAAGCAGATAGCAATAGTTTTAGATGATCATTAAGAGCATGTAAGACAGTTTTAGAAACATTATAGCTTACAAAGCATTCAAAAGATGCGTTGGAGGTATAGTAACAGAGCCGTCGTCAAAGAGTCTCACCTCAGACTAGAGCGGCAAATTGCGATCAATAACGCAAGATGGTGTTAACTTGCAAGTGCAACTCATCACAGGAAGAAACGAGCAACACCAGCGAAACATCCCTACAAGAAAGGACGGCATCAGTCTATCATTGCTGACAAAACTGGAATATTAAATGAATCGTTGTCGTAGTATACCGCTGAGGAACTTCTTGATACGATTCTAGCCCTTTCGGGTGGCCAGACAAGCACGATTCAGATAAGGGTGGAAGTGTTACTTCCTATGGATGTTGCAAACGGCTTGATCAGGGTTTTGCGTCATTCATGACAGACTACAGAATGGCTACAAGGACATATACAACATCGTTCCTTTCGGATTCAACTCTTCCGATACTCCACATCAATTCATCGACGTTTTCTTTAAGGCGCAACACATACCAAAAGGTCCACAACTGAGGAAATAGTCCAGATAAGAGGGAGGTCCTTTTTCAAGGAGATAGGTTAGATCTATAGTAGGGAGCAAGAGGTCAGGAACAAGGTCGACTTGCGTGAAACTTCCAATGATTGCAATTTTTGAGATTCATAGTCCCAAGACAGAGAGAAACAACTGATCTTGAGGCACGTTGAATTTGATGAAGCATATCGGGGACTTTTTGTAGTCATTACCTTCTCTTTGGGTCACAGCCCTCACTTTGGGTCAGCTAATCCAAATTTGGTGATCTCGATGAGTGTTTGAGGTTGAGTATTGAGAGACCGTCGTTAGTGATACAGTGAAGACAAATCTGTAGTAAGCTTGCGACATTGCCAATTTCTAAATCACAGCCTCTCCTATAACATCATACGCGTCAGCAACACATTTTGCACTGTCTTTGGAGCTCAATTGCATGTCGTGTAGCTTCGTACTTCATAGCTACTAGCTAGGTAGCAAGTCAATTATCAAAATACGCGTAATAAATGCCTAACTCACCAATTCCTGCGTAAACATCAGGTTTCCTCCTCAATGCAATCCAAGCATCTGTAATTGTTGGCCTATATAGGAAGCAAGCAAGGATGAGGCTGTATATCGTATTGTCACTGCTGATCTGCACGATATGCTACTCGCATGCCAAGTCAGCTCAAGGACAGCGTGTATTGATGATTTTGAACGACGTCAAGGACTCGAATTCAAAATATTCTAAATTCACTCAATCATTATCTCGTACGTGCATATGTATTATCACATTGTGTATTTGATGTTATTGGTGGTGTCCGTGTTGGTACTAAGCTTGCCGTTTGCTCACACATTGCTCCCATCAACCAACATCAATCTCTACTAGAACGAGGCTTCTCAATTACAACCAAAGCTGCCACTGACTCATCACTGGCTTTAATAAAATATGAAGAAAAGGTTGCTGATCATTTGATTATACTATCATCTGAAGCTGAATGTAGGTGCTCATAACTGTCTCGGCTCTTGACAATTCATGTCAACCCAAACTAGCACTGACACTTCAACAATTACAAAATATATAGCATACGGAAACGACTTAACAGTCGGTGCAATCATCGAATACGTAAATGCCGGGGGAAACGTCCTCGTAGCAGGTTCAACCTCCATATCCGAAACTCTTCGAGACTTGGCCCTCGAATTCTCTGCCGACTTTGACGAACCTGGTCGTAACGTACTCGATGCATTCTCGTCTCCCATAACAGAAAATCCAGCTAGAATCACGTCATCACACTACATTGCCAACCCACATATACTACCATCATCAATCACAGCTTCAACTATACTGTTTGAAGGTGTAGGACATCGATTGACGGGTCGTAATCCGTTTATTATCCCTGTATTGACTGGCTCTGCTTCATCGTATACTGGTGTAAAAGATGGCGGTGTGGATGCGTCTTCTGTGCTAGGGACCAATAATGTGTTGGTGTCTGCTCTACAAGCTAGGAATAATGCTAGAGTCATCTTTGCTGGATCCGCTCTCATGTTTTCGGACGAGCTTTGGGATGCTAAGGTTGATGGGTATGTCGGTGGCAAAAAAGTAACTTGAATCTATGCTTTCGGACTATGACGAACGCAACAGCTGACTTCATGCAAACGAACGTAGGAAACCGGTCGGTAATGCTCAATTCGCTATTGAATTGACTAAATGGGCCTTCCATGAAAAGGGTGTTCTCAAGGTCCGCAAATTCTGTCACCATGAAAAGAATGGAACTCAACAATTAGGAACATATCATCAAGGTCCTACGTACAGGATCAAGGACTACTTTGTACGTACTATGTAAATTGTGGGTTGATCCCTGGCCGTCGTTTTTTCCAAGCCAAAACGTAGCTCGCTGACCTTTTTGTAACAACTATTGACAACCGCTAACCTCTAACTCATTATATAAACACACCCATAGACATACGAAATCGACATTTCCAAATACGAATCCGACGAATGGAAACCCTTCACAACCAATGACCTTCTCCTCGAAGCAATAATGATTGACCCATACGTCCGCATACCCCTCAAACCAACAACATCACACACACCATCCGCATACCCAGATGCACAATACTATGAAGCAACCTTCCAACTACCAGACGTATACGGCGTATTCACATTCAAAGTAGATTATAAACGACATGGATTGACGTGGCTCTTGGCTTCTGATACTGTACCTATAAGACCATTCAGGCATGACGAGTACCCGAGATTTATTGCTGCTGCTAATCCGTATTATGTGAATAGCTTTAGTCTGATGATTGGGTTTTTGCTTGTGTGTTTGCTTTGGATGTATCATCGTGAACCCCTTGTAAAGGAAAAGGCTGCATAAAAAGGTCTGAGAGAGTAGAAGGGTGTCATGTCATGTATGTTGATATATTGAAAAGCATGAAAATGGACAAAAGTGCAATGGTTTTGGGTGTCTCCGGCGGTTTTCTTGCGGCTTCAAACGCGAATTTGCAACATCGTAGTCTTGGTGTTTGCGATTATGGATTATAGTATTAGTTCTCGAGTCTCAACTTATTACTACAACATAATACTATATACAACAAAGTTCAAATTCACCGCCCTTTAATCCCAGTGCGCGAACTCTTCCGTCTCGGCGGCCTCTTAAACACACCCATAAACCAATTCTTGACACCACCTTTAGTCTTCTTACTCTTCTCAACACCCAACAAATCACCTATCGTACCACTAGAATCCAATTCCCCCTCAATCTCTGCGGCATACAATATATCCAAATACGGTATCAAAGTCGTCTCAGTAGGCTCTACAATCTGTCCACGAGATCCAGTCCATGCCCGTGAATGTCCCGTCTTGGCAAACTCGGCTTTGGATGATGGCGCACCGGATGACAATACAGATGGGCTTGTTGTTGTTCCTCCATTTTCAAGAAGGGTATGTGTGCGTGATTTTTCATCGTCTAAAGCGTCTGATGATATACGTACTCCACCACTAGTACTATTGTTTGCCGATCGTGAATCACTTGCTGAAGAGTTTAGTTTCGGCGACGTTAATCCACCATTGCTACTCGCAAATCCGTTTCCTGATGCAGTTCCAGATGAATGGCGATGGCTTTCATCAGTTTGTGAATCTCGAATTTCGGATATGGGGCGTAGCGTTGGTCGACTATTACCAGCAGGTGATGGGTTATTGCTACTGCTATTATAAGCTGTTGATAAATCATCGTCTGCAACGGTATTGCTGCGGCTGGTGGTTTGATTGTCATCGATTACAGGGTATGCAAGGATAGCTGGTGGTGCACGAGAAGAGAACTTGGATTCTCCTGAAATACACCAGCCGTGATCAAGTACTTCAGGTATTGTCATCCGTGTATCTGGATCTTTTCTCAGTACACCTAACAAGAAGTTAAATTTGACGTAAGAGGTAGGCGGCAACCAAAAAAGGAAGGTTAGACGATAAATACCACGAAGCAAGTCATTCAACTCGGCATCAACTTCTGGTGGTGTTTGCCATTCAGCCTCTATAATATTCTGATACAGCCCCATCAGAGTTCCATCCAGTGGGAACTCGAATGGATAACGAGCTGTGACCATATTATACAAAGTAACTCCGCAAGCCCATATATCCACTAACCAGCGAAAAAAGTTCATTCAAACCCGAACAGGGATAGCAAACTGCCAAAAGATCAGACGAACACATACTACAACACACATACCTTTCGTTCCAGAAAATATCGTAGCACCTGCCGCAATCTCAGAACTCAAAAATTGATGTGTTCCTGCGAATGTAGTCGTCATCAAATCACCAGCTTCATAAGGTGAAAACTCTTCCATAATTCCATAATCCGTTAGTTTAAGTGTTCCATCAGTAGTAATTAAGAGATTTCCGGGTTTGATATCACGATCTGTGCCAAAAAAAAGAGTCAGAAATCATCCATCATAGCTTTCTCCATTCATTTTTTGCATCATCGGCATCATCAACTTACGAACAATGCTTTGAGAATGAAGGTATGCTAAACCTTCCATAAGTTGAACAAAGAATCTAACAGATCAAACATTGTCAGCCACAAAAAAATCCCCATTCGAAACATGAATCGATCAAATCTCATACCCTCTGGCTCTCTCAGCAGTCAGCTTCCCATCATGCTCAATCAACATTTGCAAGCTACATGGACAGTACTCAAACACCATATACCATTTCAGCACTTCAGCACTCTTCTCTACTTCAGTGCCATCATCGTACTTCCATATTATCGGTTCTTCTTCAATTTCTTGATACCAGGGAAAGAAACTGTTGAAACCTTCGTCATCTTCTACTTTGCAATATACGTCGATGAGCGTGATGCAGTTCTTGTGCTTGAGACGTCGCAGCAGTTTGATCTCTCTATTTGAATCAGCGAGCTCATCAGTATCTGTGATTCTTTTGCTAATCGTGGAGATAAGCAAAGACAAAAAAAGGAACCAGCAACGGAGATGCATGACAATGACTTGCCTAATAACGTTCTCAACACCATTCTGAACCTTCCGCAAACGTTTCTTGTTAATGATCTTGACAGCCACTCTTTGAAGTGTTTCTGAGCATAGACCTTCCTTGACTTTACCAAATGAGCCTAAAGATACAACATAGTTAGTATTAGTAGTTTCCAATGTAGATATTTTGCATGTAGATATACCTTTCCCAATCTGATCACCAAGCAAATAAGGCCCCACCATCTTGGGTACAATCCCTTCCTCCTCGTAAACAACCTCACTAGATCCAATCTTTGTAATAAAATTCGAGCTAGCATGTCGTTGACAAAGCATCAGATATTCATAATACTCAGGATTATCTCGATACGAGTCATCTATCGGGCCTAGTTGAGACACATTTGATATTTGTCTTTCTACTGCTCCGGGAGGTGCCAACGAGTCTGGCTGGATTTCGTTAACGGCCGTTGAAGGTGTGACTGGTGACGTGTTTTCATCACGTTGGAAGGGGACTCCTCTCCCAGAATCTGATGAGAGACGTCTTTGATTCGAGTCAGTGGATACACGTCTTGGAGCAGATCCAGTTGAGACACGTCGTTGTCCAGAGAAGTGGGTTCGAGAGTTTGAAGAGGCTGCTGAAAGACGGCGTGTTCTAGCTCCTATTATGGAAGGTCGTCGTGCGTTCGCATACCCTTCAGATACGTATTTGTCGTCGTCATCGTCTTCTGAGGTAGCTTCAGATGATTCTGGTTCTTCAGTTTGTCGATCTGGAGCTACCCAACTCAACTCTTTCTTGCTGTCATGTTGTGATGTTGGTACTATTGGTGTAGTTTGAGCTGGAGCTGATCCTGACGTTATACTATGTACAGATTCGTCTTGTGGCCTTACGGAAGATGAGCTCGGGGCTCTATTTTTGAAGGGTGTCATGATACCACCCATAGTCGTTGGATCTCTATTATTTAATGCCATGCTACGAGACGATGTCATTCCATTCACTCTGGCCATGGATCTTGATCTGCCGACGGAAAAAGTTGACTTGGAACCTACTATAGTGGATCTTGATTTATGAATCTTGTTTGATCCACTTCCACCGTGTGATGAGCTGTTGTGGTTTTCGACATTGCCTGAAGATGATTGTTGTGTCCATCCTGATCCAGACACTGATTTACTAATATGGGATATTGATACTGCGTTCGAATTATTGGCAGGTGGAGGTTTGGTAGTTGCTAGAGAAGCCTGCGATCTACCCACCATTTGCTTTCTTGGATAAATATGAAGCACGGGTCTATCGGCAGTACTAGGTAACCGACTCGTGCTTGTCAATGAGGATCCCTGTGACAGTGCACTAGTACTGCGACTCTCTATACCATAAGTAGGTTGCGATGACGACTGGTTTGCGGACCTAGATCTCACTGGCCGCTCATCATCGTCTACACTCGTTTGACTTGGTCCACCTGCAGAAACGACACCTCTAGATAACGTGCGTTTCCGTCCAGCGATGACAATACGTGATGCAGATAATGTAGATGAGGCTCTCGACGAATTTTTGCTCATTTGTTGTGGGTTTGGTTGGCCAAGATTATTGTTTGACGATGAGGGTATATATGGTGGCCGATCAGACGTATATGCTGATTCTGTATCATTGGCATCTGGCCTAGACCGTATTCTCTCGAGCGAGGGCATGGAAAGGGACGGTATGTCCACGTTCATCGATGATTGATTCCTACTCCCACCATTAGAATGGTCATGATTTTGAGTAGTATTGCGAGATCGTCGTCGTTCGTTTGGTTGTGCCGTGGTTGTAAATGTCTCTGATGTTGTAGCATTCTGATCTACGCCTCCACTCCCATGCTGTTTCTGTTCACCAAGTAATTGATTTGAAGACTTCGAGTCAGTTGTTTGCGAGGAATGACGACTACGAGTGAATGCAGGACGTGGTCCCGATGGGGGCTTTGCAAATGGGACTGATCCTCCTTCTTGCTCCCTTTCAGCCATCGCTACATTACTGGGTTGATTGTGACAATGAATGGACGGAGTATGTGTCTTGTTCTGCGGAGTGTACCGGTTTAATCCAGAGTAGATGCAGTACTTTAGTAGGAGGCTGTATGTGATTTACACGTATTGAAAGCGTATTGGCGACTGATCCTGTCTTGTTCGTTCCGCAATGAAGCAACTGATGTAATGTGCAATCAACTCACGCTGGACCAAGACGAACAAGGCGGTGAAGACGTGATTTTCGCAAATCTATTCAATCTATTATAGGTGCGCTTGGAGCAATAAAGAACTGAAAACGTTCCGTAAAAGTAGGGCCTTTTCGATGGATGATGTGGTGCCCAGTTGTGCTACATTGCTCGTTTTACTGAATCGTGAGTTTTCGTGGTTTTCCAGGCAATTGTTGTACTCGGCCTTTGTGAGCTCCAGTATTGCATTTGTGTTGAATATCAGATCTATACAAGATGGGGGTAGTTAAAGACTTGGCTAAACGATTTTTGGATGGTGAAGCTGAATTGGTCCAAACTACCCAAGTAAGTTCGCAGTGGAGAGTTAATCGTCGTTAAAGTCGCATGCTCCGAGTTTAAAGACCTCAATTGTACTATCCCTTATGTCGTATGACTTTTTTTGATGAAATGCGTTGACAACATCACTAACATCAACCAACATCACTAACATCAACCGACACTTACTTTCACGGTTCAGGTTCACGCTTTTGCCCGCGTACAAGATGACAATGGTCTAAACTTGTTTGAACACGTTGGGCCAGAAGGCGTGGGACGTGTGACTTTCATCTATACCTTTGCGAATGTCACGGTGGTCGACACGTCTGCTGGTATGTCACGCATCCAAAAGACATATGGCTATTGTCTCAAAGAAGCTCTTATGCATGAACTTGGCGTCCCATACTTACATTTTCACGCCATAGGTTTGGTCTTGATTGATGGTGGAGCTATGGGTCCCATCTTGCAAAGCGAACTAGTCGACACAATCAGGTCTTTCTCTAAAAAGCCAATTCATTCAGTGATCTACACCCACGGTCACGTTGATGTAGGTATCCTACAACCCATTGCTGATTTCGGCACTATTGGAAATCCGGTGTTATTGCTGACTTACATGATCCTCAACTCACACCTGCTTTACATATAGCACATAGGAATAGTCGCTGGAATCAAAACGAAAGAACCTGATCATCCAAAGATTAGAGTTATAGCACACGAAAACGTTGCTCCACGATTCGACAGATACAAATTCACGGCTGGATACAACTCCAAAATCAATTCAGTCCAATTCCGTCACCCAGTCGCCTTCCCAACCGAGTTTGCATATCCAGACTTGACATACAAAGATAATCTGGATATCACTATTGGTGGAATCACATTCAAGCTGTTCCATGATAAAGGAGAGACTGATGATTCTACTTGGGTGAGAGATGAAACACTGTCGGTTGCTTTGTTGGGAGCCGGTTTCCTAAATCGTAGGTCAACGTTTAGGTTTACATGCCACATATTGGTGCCATCTGCACTGGTGACCTCTTTGTATGGTCTTCGCCAAACTGTGGTAACCCACAAAAAGCTCAACGATATCCCATCGAATGGGCACTCGCAATGCTGAAAATGGACAAGCATGATGCTGCTTATTTGTTCCCTGGCCATGGAGTTCCAATGTAAGAATTGCTGAAAGTTCAATTCGCAGACAGGAACTTGACGATAGTTTATTATGTAGTTTTGGAAAACCCAACGTTCATCGTGCACTCACAGAAACAGCTCTATTGCTGACTCTGATCTGCAAACATGGGATGGAGGGTATCAACAGTGGCAAGACTTTGAATGAGATTGTCACTTCTTTGGAATTGCCACCTGATCTTCTTGCTCGACCTTATCTGAGGGTGACATACGATGAGCCTGTATTCATTCTCCAGAACTTGTGGAGACGATACGCAGGTATGGTGTATGACTCTCATGGATGTATCGTTCATTGCTTTCTATCGTCTGACCGTTCAGTGATACTACAGGATGGTACGACCAGGTGCCTTCCCACTTGAAGCCACCAAAGAATGCTGAACTTGGTGCTGCTCTTGCCAAACTAAGTGGAGGACCACTTGCTCTCGCCAAATCAGCTGAAAAGGAATCTGACTTGGCCGTTGCTTGTGCCCTTGTTGATTATGCTGCTTACGCGGCACCCACTGACAAGGCAGTACATACTATCCGTGCTCATGTGTACCGTAAGAGGCTTATGGGTGAAACTGCGGTATGTTTTTTGCTTGTGAACCTGACAAACTGTCGAGTAATTATGGTGCTAACATGCCTTTCACACCCAGTTGATGACACAGTCGATATACGCGTACGTGGTTGTGTATTGTTCCCCCTTTGAAAGGCAAATACTTACCCATTGAATTCACTCGTTTGTAGGAAGGCAGCTCGTGACAGTGAGGAAATTGCAGGATTGGAAGAAGGGGACGAACCTCCTTCTCCTCAACCTGCCAAACTATAACCCAAATTATGTACCCTCTAATTCACAAACTCTTTTAAGAACGTTACCGGTAGAAGTTGAAGGATTTGTACGTGTGTAACATTTCGTCGTGGAGTTGGACTGAAAGCGTATTTTACGAGCGAACAGCTGCATCAGTCCACTTGAAGCAGAGAAGAAGCAACCATGGAGCAATATCCTATGGACGGTACGTTCTACTCTTTGACCGTATTGCGATCACTTAAGTAAAACAACTGGAAAGTTCATTGACGTTGCGTGATTTTTACGTTTAGGTCCCGTTACCAGACTCGCCAAGCGGTATCTAGATGGAGAAGAAGCTCTTGTTGGAACTACGCAAGTCAATGCTGGAGCTAGGTACGTATTTCGTTTGTCAGTGCTGTTTTTGGTAGAAACAATTGGCATCGTGTTTTCTCATTACATCACCTATTCAAACAGAATTTTAGATGATAAAGGTATCGTACTGCATCAACACTATGGCCCAAAAGGTGTCGGACGAGTTACATTTATATGTATGTTTTCTCGAAAAGCGTTATTTGAACTTTACGTTGTGCTTCATTTAATCGGCTTTTTTTGCACAGACACTATGGCGTGCTGTACTGTAGTCGACACTGCTGCTGGTCTAGTGTTGATTGATGGTGGTGTTATTGAGAATTCTATGATCCAAAAGGTTGGTGTTTGGCAAACGTGCCAGTGTTTCAACACACAAGTACTGAAAGCAAGCTTGGGATCTCTCAAACAGGAACTTCACAAAACCATCCGATCATTCTCCTCAAAGCCTATTCATACGATTATCTACACGCATGGGCACATAGGCAAGTTTGGACAGGATGATCCGCATTGAAGAAAGAACTCATCAGGTCCCATGTTGTAGATCACATTGGTGCCGCTCACGACTTCCCATTACTTGAACCTGGACATCCTAAGATTCAAGTTGTCGCTCATGAGAATGTTGCTGCTAGATTTGATCGATACAAGATGACAGTACGTTATGAATACACTCTGCCCGTGGGTTTTTTTGCATCTAAACGATTGCATCTCTCTGTAACAAAATAGATGGGCTACAACACCCATATCAACAGTGTACAATTCAGACGCCACCTCCCATGGCCCACGAAATACGTCTACCCTGATGTCACATACCGTGAGAATCACGAAATGACTATCGGTGGCATCAAGTTCAAGCTGCACCACGATAAGGGTGAGACCGATGATTCTACTTGGGTAAGTGATCAAAAGACAGTCGTAGCTGCTTTCAGGATTTTTGTTGAACACTTTTTCTTGTGTTGTATAGGTCTACATGCCTCATATTGGCGCTATCTGCACTGGCGACTTGTTCATTTGGGCCACACCAAACTGTGGTAACCCTCAAAAAGTCCAACGATATCCAATCGAGTGGGCACTTGCAATGCTGAAAATGGATGCTTTGGATGCAGCCTTCCTTTTCCCGGGTCATGGCGTTCCAATGTAAGATTTCCTTGAACAAGGAGCTTCTCACCCTCATGCTAACTCACATCCCTTTCCCGTTGTCATAGTTTCGGAAAAGCAAACGTCCATCGAGCACTTACCGAAACAGCCTTACTCTTAACCTTGGTTTGCAAACACGGAATGGAGGGTATCAACAGTGGCAAAACCCTGAATGAAATCGTTACAACCTTGGAATTACCACCTGATCTTATCGCTCGACCCTATTTGAGAGTCACGTACGATGAGCCTGTATTCATTTTGCAGAACTTGTGGAGGCGTTATGCAGGTATGTTTCTTTATTGTAGTAATTACAACACCAAAGTCGAATTTTTTGCTCTCTCACTAATCACCGTCACGATATTTATAGGATGGTACGACCAAGTCCCGTCACATTTGAAACCACCAAAGAGCGCCGACCTTGGAACCGCTCTTGCAAAACTGGCTGGTGGACCAGTCGCGATGGCCAAAGTTGCTGAACAAGAACCGAACTTGGCTGTCGCTTGTGAATTGATTGATATGGCCGCCTTTGCTGCACCAAAGGATAAGGTCGTCAATGCTATCCGTGCTTCAGTATACAGGAAGCGATTGGCTGGTGAAACTTCGGTAAAGGGCACAAAAAATCGCCTACGGCCGGTTCACGTTAATTCTAACAATATCTCTCTTTCTTCTCCATTAGTTGATGAGTCAATCGATTTACATGAAGGTCGCATTAGACAGTGAAGCACTTGCTGGCCTTCCTCAAGGAGCTGGTCCAAAGCCTATTATTCCAGTAAAGTTATAAACGCTGTAGTCGTATTGCGTTAACAGAAATTAGTTGCTGGTGCACTCTGCTCCCAAAAAAAATAAAGATCAAAATGTCACTGAAGCCATGAATTTTATTATTTGGTCCGAAAAACAAAAGTATGTGTCGAGTGTTTCTTGTCTACATCTTTGGCTTGTCCGGGTACAAGTCTCCACGGTCGACGATGGCCAAGACCTTGTCGATTGATGGCCCGATGGTTGCAGCCCATAGGCCTAATTTGCAAGATTTTAAGATTTAGTAAAAAAACAAGTGACACTGGACATTTAACCGTTCAGTTACCTGCACTTTGCGAACTGGCTTGACCCAAGGCGTATCGCATGGCGATTCCTTGTCCAATTACAGCGCCCTAATAGAAAAGAAACTCAATTGTTAGACCCCATGGGAGAAAAAACCACAACATTCACAAGCCACTGTAACTCGACTACACGGCAGTGACTTACTCTCCAAGTATTAAAGGCAGTGAAGAAATCCCAGTATGGGATTGGGTAAGGTCTTCCGACCTTTTTGCAATAGTACTGGAGCAAGTACTCGAATGATGGATGTCCTGGTGCAGATCCATTCAAGAACTGACCACAGCAGACCAACAAGTCTGAAATTGGATGTCCAGTGGTACTGAGTTCCCAATCCAGTATAGCAATAAGCTTGGGTTCAGTCTTGTCAAAGATTACATTGCCCAACTATAATGAGCGAGTCAGTTTAACTCATCTACAAAACCATAGTAAGAGTTCACACATACTCTGTAATCACCGTGAACCAGGGTGTTTTCATCTGGAGGCAAGTTACGCCTCATCCAAGCAACAATGTCATCAAGACGAGCAATCTGTACGATTTTCTCGCCAGTTCGGATATCACGAGCTTGAGATTGAATCCTGGTAATGTCGGCAAAACGGTTTATACTACGTTCGTAGAATTTTCCTTTGGCTCCATAGTTTCCTAGACCGACTGCGTTGATGTCGACTTTATGGAAGGCTGCGAGAGTGTCGAGGAGCTCGTGGTAGCTGTACATAAATTTTCCAGATGAGCTTTTTTAGTCGCGTAGTCCAGATGGAAGTGATGAAACTTACTAGGCGTATGCGTTCTTGTCTGGGACAACTGGACCAATGGCCTTGGAGAAGGGGCCGAAAACTCCAGCAAAGATACGGCCTTCGCAGTACTCCATAATGTAGAAGGGCTTTCCGGCGATAGCTACAGGCATTGGAGAATTTAACAGTTAGAAGTCAGTGTATGGAGCTTTTTGGAGATGAAAGCAATGAATTAACCATTCCTCAAAAGTGCTGTGTTTGGCTCACCTGGATCTTTACACAGAACGTAAACTTTGGGAACTGGCAAGTTTGTCTTTGTAGACAAGGCCTCCAAAATAGTGTACTCGCGATCGACACGATGAGCAGATGGGTTGGCAAGATCGCCTGGGGGTTGCTTCCTCATTACATATCTCTTGCCACTAATAATTCCGAAAAGTGTGAGTTTCCAAGTTGTTGTAGCGGTCGGTGGTAATTTCTCGCTTACTCGGCATCGTGGATACTGTAGGTAGGATTTGACTGACCACCTTACAACAGAAAAGGGGTGTTTACAGTTTGATGAGATCATGGTCGTGTTTGGTGCTCAAAAAGGCAGATCAAACTTGAATTTTGAAGCACATACCTTCAAACTGCATGATCTTCAGGGGACCTCTTACTTTCATGTTCGCAGTGAGGTATTCAGTAAGCTTGCCCAAGTCGAGCTCATGTCTAGAATGGAAAATGTGTTTGGTTACTTTCTGATGTTTGCAGCAACAGTGTGAAGCTCGGATTGGGACCGTACCCAGCTCGAACTTCGGTTAGCTCTTGACCAGTTTCACTAGACATTTTGCTTCAAGTTTCTATTACGTTGACCTGGTTTTCAGAGTGTCAACAAGGAATGGTAATAACACTTGACCCGAAACACTGCACTTTTTTCTTTGATTTTATCGAATCAAGACAAGAAAAATCGAAGGAAAGGCTCAACTTTGCTCACCTCACCTAGGAGCTTCCTGGTGCCACATGTCCACCGTTGAATATCTGTGGACGATACAAAACAAGTACTTAAGATAGTAAATCCCGAAGCCTACCTTGAAATTGTAAGTTTTACGATTCTCATTCGAGCTTCTCGTCGGAGTTTGCATTCACAAGTAGTCAACGTACAAAACAACATCTTATTCAAGCTGCGTCTTGTTTTACGACCCATTCAGGAACCGCAATGACAGTCCTAGGAAACTGGATAACGCCACAGCATGAACGGAACTTGTTTTTAGCACTCCATATGGTAAAGCTCGGTGTGACTCACTTGGTACATTGCAGGAGTCTTACCCTTTTACTATATTAGATCTTTAGTGCAGCTTTAATCGGTACCTCATACGCCACATTTGCATCGATACCATCTCTCGGGTCCGCTGCGCTTGCAAACTCGAGGTCGTTATTCTTCAACACTCCCGGACAGTTTTGCAGTTTGCATAAGTACGGAGGCTATTACACTGAGAATTTAATGAGTTACGTCGCACCCTGCGATTTGCTGGTAGCTGTGGGATGTGTCGGTCTAGTGGTGTCGACAATGATTGGCACTAGTATGCTTGCTAGAAAGATGGGCCTGCTGCCTCGAGAGAAGCTTGTGGACGATCAACAAATAGTTCAGATATTAGAGGGCGGGCTCGTTGTCATTATGACTGGTAAGCAAAATTCGTGGCTGTCCGACTGACAACTCGGTTTCGTTAACATCAGCACAATTCAGGTTTATGGGCGACAGCTGCAGTGAATGCATTAGTGGGTCTCATGGCCTCATTTTCGTGTTCATCATACTTTATATTTGGCGCTGGAGGCCAGACATATAATTTGTGTGATGCTATAGGAGTCGGCAGTTCAGGAAACAATCTGTTAGAAGGAGGCCTAACGAGCTGCATTGTTTCAATTCTTGGCGCGTTCAGCTGGGTATGTGAAACGTTAAAGCGTTGCTGCCAAAATTAAAGTTTTGCTAACTCCTTTTTGTAGATATCATTTTGTTTGGCTGTAAGGAAACGACGCTCTTTCGGTAAAATGGGGACCGAATATAATATGAAAGATGTCGAAAACATCAATGGACTTCCTCCGCAGGGTTTCCTATCTGGGGTTGGCCCTTCGAATGGTACACTGAACGGAACCATGAATGGCGGAACCTTGAATGGTGGAACCTTGAATAACGGGTTCAATCATCCCTCATTGAGTCCTCCTAATGCTGTCGCTACACGATATTAGCTGGATCTACGTTTCGTGGCCGTAATCTATTGTACTTTTTTCTACCTATTCCTTTGCACATATTGTAATGCATCATCACAACTAGATCCTCTTTTACCACACATTTTGAGATTCAAAGTGAAGCAAAAGTTGTGTTTGTTGAAAATCACAAAAGCATCTGATTCAAATATTGAATGTGACATTGACTGTGCCTTCATTCCCATTCATCATAGGAACAATTGGAGGGATTAATCAATGTTATGGTGGCTGCATTCTAAGTTCCAACGATTGATGACGCAAGGAGCAACAACGATGACGGATTGAGGCACATTGAGAACACAATCAAATGAGTCATTCAGGTCAATTGCAATCTCACCGTTCCAAACCAGATCCCAACGACAGCACCAGTAGCAAGGTTTGGAACAACAGGTGGAATTCCAGGTTTTGTGTTGATGTCAATGACGAGAGGATTGTACACAGAAAGGGCGCTATCCAAGATCGAGAGATGATCAGGAATGCCACGTCATGTTGGCCGTCAATCCGAAACGTGTTATATTTACCCAGTTTTAGTATCGACAATGGTGGCCTGATCAAATATGAATAAATTCATCATCAGTAATCATCAGAATGTCAACTTCAATGATTAATATATCTGAAAGTCATCAACATGAAATGATGAGCAACACGTCGACGCAGTACACCATACCTCGACGAAGCTTGGTATAGTGGCTTGCTTGCATGTAGCATCTCCACTGAGTAGATAAGGGGTAGCAAGCCCTTGAGCAGTCAAAGGATTTGCGGGCACCGTAAGCTGACAATTTTGAGCTGATGAATGCCAAACAAGAACGACCAAAATGATGATGCAAAAGGAAAAGAAACTCATGGCTGATTAGATGTCGGGTATGATATTTGAAACGTAAGTTACGACCAGCGTATAAAGCGTTTTTTGTGTTTGCAGTTGAGTTAGATGTTGTTTGTTGGGTATGCTTGGAGGTTGGTCAAAAACACGAAACTCACGTGAAAAATGAATATGTACATGTAGAAAAAGGGAGAGAAAGACGTGTCAATCTTAAAATACTATATTCAAAGCAAGTATACATCAAAAAAACACGACTTATAAACACACGTTGGGGATACAGACACACAAATCAAATCACAACATCTTTGGCACAAATATATAGAGATTATCATCTAAAAATGCGGTGCTCATGTCTTGCAACGTAGCATCTCGCGGTGCATCCCACGTCAAGTTGACTTCACGGATAGATAGTTGTGTTGCAGAATCGTTTACGACCAGTTTCAATTTGTTTAGAGGTATGGTAGTGTTGACGATTATCAGGTAGTCAGATGCTGATTCGATTACTGTGTGGTATGCTGGTGGCAAGTCTCCTGCTTGTGGCTGTGATGTGTTTGACGATGATGCTGCATTATTACTATAGTATGCTGGCAAGGCTTCAGATGGATCTCCGGATATCTGAATTGATCTTCCACGTCCATTTGCTACGTAGACAACGCTGGCCGGCCTAGATGTATTGATGAGTCAATATCACGTTTTGTTGATGTTGCACTTTCTACAGAGCGGAATGTAATGGAAGTAGTTCGGCAGCAACTTACCTCTGTTTCTTGACAAAAAATGCAGAGACTCGATTAGTCCTAGGAGCTGAATATTGGTGTGGTTGTCCATTTGATGCCAATTCTTGTTCTCGCCTTTTCTTGCGTTCCTTCTTGATTGCGTGCGAGATGGCTGCAATGGAGAACCCTACTACTATGATTTCAAGAATGACCATGTCTTTAAAGTGCTCTCAAGGTGGAGGAGGCTCTACTTACTGTCAGCAAGTTTGACGGCAATGTGCTTGCTTGGAACGAAACTTGACAAAAAGTAGGGACGTGTGAACAAAGAAATCAGTATAGCGGCAACGTGAGTGAATAAATGTTATTATTATTAAATGTTTTGTGTCTTCTTGAAGTTACTAATTTACTTATACTCATACGTGAACTTTTAGGTGGTGCCCCAATGAATCGCGCTTTAACCTTCGTATTGGAGAATGGAGTCGAGTTGCCTATAACACTATACGCTCTCGCATCTGCCCTACCGAGCTTTGGTGAGAACAAGATTGTCATTGTCTAGATCAATAACATCGCATATGGGTTCATCATCAACATCCAATATCTATTTTCGCTGTTTTTAGTAACGGCACTCCCCTCTTGGTGGGATCCTCCACGTATCTCATACTCTCGATACCCATTTGCTCCCGACGTTTATGAAGATTCCGTCACAACAATGTCGTTGTTAGCAGACACTACCCTCGTGGGCGAATTCACCAGAATATCGACGGGAACTCACTGGTTTCTTGTACCCGAGTATTCATATCAAGCTGCTCGAATAGTGGCATCCACTCCCGTTTTGAGATCTCACGTCAAGAAGGTGGCATTACGAACATCGACCGCAGTGATTTCCATAACTACGCTGTCTTTGCTAGACAGATTGATTGTATACAAGCCCGATTCTCTAATATCACAAGCACTCTATTTCGCTGTTGGTATACCAAGGCTGACAGCTCAAGTCATCATACTCTCGCTGCTTTCAAAGTCAGGATACGAACTATTTCGACGATTGACGGATCATACCAAGACAGCCGATGATTAAACATGCTTCATGTACAACCTCAATTCCCTTTGTCATCCTCTTCTATTCCAATAAGATCTCTTTGTGTTATATTGTCTCCAGTCTCGCCTGTTCTCTCTGCAGTTATCGCTTTCATTATCAGTCAAGTTTCCGCCACAAGGACTGTCAAGGTGGTCCATTATCACGCTATGAAGCTTTGTATCGACGTCTTTATAGTTTTTTCAAGATATTAGTAACGTGCTTCACGTGACAAAAAATCTCCGAATCAATCCCTTGAAAAAGGATCTGGAGTGACCACTCCGTTTCATTCCGCTTGTGCAAAGATCAAACTCAGTAGTTGCTTTAAATAAGACAAATATCGTATCAACGAACGCGTAGCTTTCAAAGATGGGTTGTGGTGGATCAAAACCTTCTGCTAATACTGTGACGCCTATGGAGGTTTGTATCTTAGTGCTTGGGATGAAGGAGTAGCCCTGTATTCAAAGAAGTCCTTTTGGAAAATATAGGAGGTGCTCGTGCCAAAGCACAAATCAGCAGATCCAGAGACTAAAGCTGAAATTAACGCCAAGAAATCTGGGAAGGCTGAAAAGAATGCTCTGCCGTCGATACAAAAGAATGGTATGAAAAGATGAGCGCGTCTCTTCTTAGTTGCTAGAAGCTAGTCCTCACAGATCTGTTTACATTAAAGGTCCAATGAGGCCAGCTACCGCTAAAGGCATAGCATTTACCATACCACTCGACGAAAAGGCAACAGGTTCCAACGGATCAATAAAGAAGTCTCTTCCCAAGCTTAATGTTGATGTGAATAGCAAATTGGCCAATGCTGAAGCTAGATGGCAGGTTTGTAAATCATTTTGAAGATGAAGGATCCGCTTTTTGCTCCACACATATTCGCGTTTTGAAACATAACCAAAAACGAAACAAATATTCATACCATGAAGCTCACAACAACCTTTATTTCCCAACCCAACAGGAATTAGACTCAAAATCCTCTCTGAAATCATCAGGTAGCGGTAAACGCCAACCACCAGCAAATTTGACGAAAAAGACTGATATGGATACCGAAGAATTACGAGAAAAGCTTCTTGAACGTGAAAAGAAGGCAGAAGAAAACCGTGCCAAACAACTCCAGCAGAAAACCGATGCTTTAGCTAAAAAGGACAAATATGCAGACACTGTCAGAGAACGAGCCAAGACTCAGACTGGTGACGATGGAGATGACGTTGAGTATGGTGGAGAAGGTGAAGATGACGAATGAGAAATGATCATTTAGTAGTAGCCCACCCACATATCGGCACCAAGAAGTATCCTTTTTTTGCACCTTTGTGGCCACAAACAGTAATTATGCAAGACAATAGAATGTATTTGAGAACCCAATTTGGTATCCGCATTGTTTTCGACCAGGTGGTCGTTAGCAATTGAGCATAACAGCAGTTCGGATGGTTGCTATCAAGGCAAAAAAGTAGATCTAGTGAAGTAATAAACATGAAGTTTTTATTTCAAACAGACTCCATATGCCCTCGACTAAGTACAAAGCAAATAAATAGCAAACGTGACGCCCTGTCTTCAAAATATATGGGTACAAGTATTCGTTTCGGTGAAGTATAGGTAACCAACATTATAGAGTAGCCATTAGCTTTTACTTTTTAGAGCTACTGCGAGTCTTGACTCCTTTGTTTGGATTCTCTTTTGCGTTCTTCCACTACGAAAGTGGGAATGCGTCAGTTCACCCATATTATATGAATGTTGCGACAACAGTGACCAGCAAAACAAGTTTAGGCTTTCTTACTGAAGCTAGAACAGTTTCGTAGCTTTCATGGCGGGCAACTCCGGATTGGCGAGTTTGAATTCAGCTCTGTAAAGGTGTACCAGATCTTTGTGAGTTTGCATCCTTGTGCGTTTGGCTGTCAAAACTGGGGTGATTTGACTATGCGATCACTCTATCAAAAGGCAAGGACAGCATATATCGCCACTATATAAGAAGATAGCTGGTTGACTTACAGGTGTGTCTTGCTGTCAGACGAGAAGTAAATGGATAGCATTGTGCAATCTATGATGGTGAGATGATTTGACAACACAACAAGGATCACAGAAGTATAGGACTTGAAGAAGGGAGAATATGACTTACATGTACTTGTTGTAAGGAGAAGCCACCTGCCTTCCTAGAGAATTGGAACCGCAATGATGTATGATGTGAGATCCATTGGTGCTAAGTTTGCACTTCGAGTATGAGGACAGAAACAAAGAGAAGCTGGTCTACTTTTACCAAATTCGTCTTTTCCCATAGTAAATTCTTGGCCTGTAGGCTTATAAGTTAATGTTGAATGTTTGACTGGTTGCTTGTAATGTTTGGAGGAGGTTGTTTAGCTGAGGCTCCTGCCTCAAAGTTCGTAAAAAGAGGACTGCTTCCTTTTGAGATAGACCAGACATAGATATGATCTATGGAAAATACTTCGCGTTATTATTCGCCTTCGATCTCTGCGTCGGTGTGATGAAATGTGTGATTAACAAACGTACAGAGAAGCACCAAATCTGATCTGGAGTAAGCAGAGTTCGCATCAAAAATGCTCCATACGATCTCACTGTTAAAAGGCTCAAAGTTGGACAACCTCTTGTATCGATGATGATGTATCGATCACCCACATTGAAAGCGATTAACATGAATATTGAGCGACATACAAACGCGATAGAGCAATATCAACAAAACGTAAGTTCGTCTATGAATTAAGGTTCTCTATCGTGGTTTTTGTTCGCGTCGGCCCGTTGCAACATTCCCTATTCACTACGTGGAAAGTGGAAGGTGTGTGGTCGGACGTTGTCCCGACAAATGGAAATTAGAGTAGGAGACTATATTTTAGCCCGGAGAGCAAGTTCTATACTTCATTTTGATGGATGCCATGTGATCTATCACCTATTCCCAAACTCTCAAACCCAGCAAATTGAAATAACACGAGCTGAATGAGGATCTGAGACATGAAAATATCACGTAAATCATGTACATTCAAATCGACATCTCTGTTGCCTTTGTTTGCTCGACTCCTCCCAACTTTGACAAAATCTGTTTGACATCAACATCAACCCCGCTGGACGTGCAGAAAGAAGCAAAACCATTAACAAGACTTCCATCCTTCCATCATTCATTCAATTCAGACAGCGATGACTTTATCATCCATTTGCATCATCATTTTGGTCGTTCTTGTTGGGCGTTCATCAGCTCAAAATTGTCAACTTACGGTGCCCGCAAATCCTTTGACTGCTCAAGGGCTTGCTACTCCTTATCTACTCAGTGGAGATGCTACATGCAAGCAAGCCACTATACCAAGCTTCGTCGAGGTATGGTGTAATGCGTCGACGGTGATCATCATTTCGTGTTGATGACTTTCAGATATATTAATCATTGAAGTTGATATTCTGATGATTACTGATGATGAATTTATTCATATTTGATCAGGCCACCATTGTCGATACTAAAACTGGGTAAATATAACACGTTTCGGATTGACGGCCAACATGACGTGGCATTCCTGATCATCTCTCGATCTTGGATAGCGCCCTTTCTGTGTACAATCCTCTCGTCATTGACATCAACACAAAACCTGGAATTCCACCTGTTGTTCCAAACCTTGCTACTGGTGCTGTCGTTGGGATCTGGTTTGGAACGGTGAGGTTTCAATTGAACTGAATGATTCATTTGATTGTGTGCTCAATGTGCCTCAATCCGTCATCGTTGTTGCTCCTTGCATCATCAATCGTTGGAACTTAGAATGCAGCCACCATAACATTGATTAATCCCGTCGGTGTCAATGCTATTGGACAAGGTCTTTGTGTAAATGGCATTCCTGGCTCTATTTTTGGACAGTTTGCAGCGTGTAACGCTCCTGCCATGTTTGCTGGTATGAATACGATTGATAGTCACTTCACGTTCCATGGAAGCTTGACTCGGTGTTCAATTTCGTGACAAACCCAAACTCGTTCAATAGCTGCTACGGCTGCCAAAGTCGCAATTCCACCACTTGGTGTTGGATTGAACAAGTTGCCCTGTTATACTACTCGTAGCTTCCAGATTGTTGATATGGTAAAAAGAAAGGCCTTTCCCACGTTCAAATGAGCTGGCACTTGTGTTCGCTCTTAGGTTACATCTACATCTGAATTTATAGTTTTAATCTCATTTTGATCTTATTTAGGATCCATCGGACAATGTGGTTGCATCATATCTTGTTTTGGCAAATGGATTGATTGCTCAATCTACTGCAGTAAATAAGAAGGCCAATGCTAATGCTACTGAGATCAACAATGGAAGTGATAATCTCTTATTGGATGTTGCTATGAGGTACGACATTACTGGTTTATTATAGGTTGCCCTGTGACGTTGAATGGCACTGGTTAACTCAATTTATCATGAATTAGACCAGCTTTGAACTGCACAGCTTTTGTCGCACCTGACTTGACCAATCCTGGATTCATGAAAGGCTCTCTTGCGTTGAATGAACTTCAAGCAGCCAAGTTACAAGCTGCGCCTATTGCTCGTGTACCTCCTGCAGATCCTGTAAGTAGATCCCGTAAGGCACTTGCGGGATATTTGAATCAGAAAGAACCTTCGAAATCTAATTCAGATCACAAAACGGTCTAAGTAAATATATTTCGTTTCATGTCATTAGATGTGTCTGGCGAATGGAGCTCTCAATGCTACCAAACTCAATCTCTACAGAGCTTCAGTCAATCAACCTGCTACTGCTGCCAAAAACTTGACTGCTTTGACAGCAGTTGATACCAAATTTTGCAAGAACTTCTTGGCTGTAAGATTTATTTTCGCTTTAATCAGTTTGATTTGCCATAACACTAAAAGACTCAAACACAAATTCTAGACTGGAGCATCTTCCATCAAGACTGACAAACCATTTACCATGGGAAAACCATCTCCTGCTCCTGCTGTAGCTATTGATCTCTTCACCTTTCTGGCTCAACGTTTTGCAATCTCCTTTGGTGCTGGTGGGCTCAACTGTATTGGGTTGTTGAATATGACGACACCTCCAATTGTTCCTGTAATGGATGGCAAAGGAGTAACAGTCAATGTCACATTCAAGATTTGATGGTTTTTTGTGTGATTTGTGCCTTTATCATGGTGGTTATTTTGTGCTTTGTGGTTTCAATAATAGACATCCTTGTTTCTCTAAACCATTTTGGTATTGAGATATAAACGCGTTAATAGCTCAGGCATCAGTTGAACTCTACTGTTACTCGCTGATATAGCGCTTTGTCCAAGTCTCGAAAGATAAACACTGACACGTCAACACGTTTTGGTCTTCATATCTTTGTAAACTGTTTTAATAACTTAAAACCAAAGCGCGGCCATTCCAAGTCTCAGATATTCTTTACATAGAGCTAATCACCCCCTCCTTTATCCTCCTTTCCTCAACAAATAGTTGACAACATCAACAAACACTACAACTACTACAATCACTACTTTTCATCAGGCTGCAATTTGAATTTATGTCTCTACTTCTTGGTTGACTTCTTGGACTTGGCCTTGTTTTCCCCCATTTTAGGCTATTGGAAACAAAACGGCAAGTTTGTAATCAGTCACTTCAAGATCAAACAGTGATAATCTAAAAGCCTGAAATAGCACATATGCACTCACATTTTCAGGAGCATCAGCCCACTAATGTAGCCAAATGTATGTGTGAGATGCGTAATTCGCAATCATTTCGTGATACAGCGCTTGGATTTCATAAACAATGATGGATGACGACTTACGAGAGCCCTTACGGCATCCATGCCTCCCTTTTCATTAGGGTGATTTGCCTTCCACTCTGGTCTATGTTTGAAAACCCACAACAAAAAAAAGAGAGTTTAACACATGAACTGTCAAATGTTCGATATCGATCGGTCTATATGAAAGCATCCTTTTCATCGTTCAATGATCACACAAGATGGATGGATTCACTTACAGCTTCTCTTTACTAAGTAAATGTAGGTGAAATCATGTTAAATTCATCGTCATCTGATTTGCACGAGGGTGATTTTGATGAAAGGAACGACACAGAAAATCAATAACAGAAATGATTTTTGATGACAGTAGACTATACTTTACATGAACTTGTTGTATGGGGTTTCTGCTTTGTTCGTTGATTCTAAAGCGAGGAATTTCATGGATCAGAGTCTGAAGATTCAATGCACTGATATATTTGATAGTTTGCATACAGAAGCTCTCCAAAAGAGATGCGACGTACCTTTCGTAGATTTCGATGCTTTCGGCATATTGGATTTAGCTGTCAGGCTTTAGCCTTGATTTTGATTGCTTAGCTTACTGTTGCCTTTGTTGCGAATGAAGGGCTTGAATGCCTTTCATGTTGAAGATTGCCGGACATCTCGTTAGAAAGAGACAAATATGTCGCAGGGGACGACTCACAGCGAACGTGGAGAGGAGAATATTGAATGATATCACGCGTCATTCCTACATCTCATACGCCACATACGTGACAAACAGTAGGACTGAAACTTATCGATGAGAGCAAAGTCGAGGCAAAAATTAAGAGAAATGTGTCCCCTTACAACGTACTCTATTGAAAGGACTCAAATTTTGCCAGATGTCGTATCGATCGCCCACACGGTACACTGCGAAAGTGACTATGAGAGATGATACGAGTTCCATGAGCCAAGATAATACGAGAGCGGATTAGAGCTGACTGATAGTCTCCGGCAGTACAATCCTTGTCGGATACGTGTTTTGACAGAATGCAGGCAGTATTGTCTGCCTAAGTGTGATGATTGGCCTCGGCATGCGTGCCCAATATAGTGCCTTTTAATATTTGGGGTTGTTTGACAGGCGACATATAGCTCAACACTCTGCTCGCTTACCACATTGAGAACACATGACTTTGAATTCCTTCCGATATCGTATGGATGAGCTGGAGTCACCATTTGTTTCTATGGGCATAGTTTCAGAGTAAATGAAAGTTTCAGTTTGACAGTTTGAAATGTGTTGTTTCAACATCAAGATTTTTGTCAAGAAGAAATGAAGTTTGAGCGATGCCATAGAGAGGCAAGAGATGAGAAAGTCCATAAACGTTACAGCAGTCCTGAAATGCTTGCGAGTCACGCCAAACACCACTTTCGGGGGGGTTGTCAGATTAGTTGACTTTACTGTTGTATAACCCGACCAATGCTGTAGACAATCATCAAGACCAAAAAAAGGATGTTGTGCTCATAAAGATATAGCCCACTACACTTTGGTTCACGACGAGCCTCAACGAATGTTAAGCAGCGAATAGAGACTTTGATGTCGCTCTGTCTCCAAAGTATGTCGTTTCTCGTTTCTAGAGAGTTTGGGAAGCACCTACAGCAACACACAGCATCCACACCCATCTTTCAAGAAGTACTCAGCTCTCGCACCGCTTACTCACCTGTTAATTCTTCGACCGGTTGCTTAAAAACCGACAAGGATGCAACACCACAAACAGGTTTCGAGCTTCTGAAAGTGCACTAAAAACCAGACCAGACCTTGTAAAAATCATTTTCTAATCATATTGATAAATTGCAATACATGAAACACACTCTTTTTCAAACCCTCACAATACTCATTTTTATAGTAACTCAGATTCGTTTAGCTAGGTGATCCAGCCAGTTCCTCAGTCATGGAAGACTTTCTTTGCTGAGCCACGAGCTTGGTCGCTGCCTGCGACCACATTGCTCTAGTCTTTTCAGATCTAACAGCTTCACCGAATCTAATCGAATTGAGAGTGGGAATGAATATCAATTTGACGACATGCTGGCTTGATTGTGCAAGAAAAGAAAGAGACAAAATAATCTCTACATCCATTATTCACGTCTTTACGGCTTTTTTAGCAACAACCCAATTTTACCTAGCCATCTTGATAGTATTCGAAAGTCCGGGATATGGAGAATGATATCCAGCCGCAAAAACAATTTTATCTCCAGTTTTCAACCCGATGGACTGTCCTGAAGGCGATGCAATTACATCCTTTTCTAAGTGTGAATTATTGTGAATAATCGAATGATTGTAGATCTTAAAATGATTTCCAATACCAGTCTGAGAATATATGGTATCCGTGTTTCGGGTCAATGGAATAGACACCATCTTGCCCATTCCACCACCTCGTTCAGGTGACGGTGGTCTGTACGGATCACCAACGGCTTGTGTTGGTGACGTTGGTGAGTGTCTATCCCAAGGCAGCGGCGAATCACGTCCATTGGAGCTGGTAGACAATTCTTCCTTGAGTTTGGAAATGCCATGTACTCCAACTGCCCCAACCCAAAAAAAACCAGTTATAATCTTTGTATCAACCAAGGCATTGTAGGATATGATTTCATTACCTCTCTTCACACGCATGGCACTGGACAATACCGGCAGAACACCATACAGAAGATTCAGCCTTCGGAAGATACTGGCAGTGGGTGTGACAGCCAACAGTGCATATGTTGGTCGGCGCTTTGAGCAGTATATGGCCATATCGCCACTTGTAGTGAATATGATCATAGCCTTCACATCGCCTTCTCGTCCTGCATCAGTGGCTGCATCTGCGATACTACATTGACAAACCAATGTAAATGCTTAAAAAAACCGTCTACCAGTTGATGCATTGCTTACGCATGTGCAAACTCGGATGGCAGTTTACGCCGTGCAGACACAGCACCTTTATCAGTGACAATAGGTGGGGCTAAAGTCAAAGAGTTAGTCTAAGAATGTCTAAGAATTAGTCATCGCTGCACTGGGTCTATACTTGCCTTGCATAAACACAGCGCCAGATTCGGCAGTTTGACAAATCGTACTACAGGGAGCAAGCAATGTAAATGGTAGGACAACCTTAAACTTGGCGAGACCATTGCTTACGCCATCTAAAAGTGTGGGATTTTATGTTGGAGATGAGTTACAATTCAAATATTTTGAGGAACAAGAAACCGCACAGTTGACGTACCATGGCAACAGTTTCAACAGGAAAGTCTCCAGTGGCCATCTCAGCAGACAACATGACGGCATCAGTACCATCGAACACAGCGTTTGCAACATCCGATACTTCTGCTCTGGTTGGTACCGGCGCATGAACCATCGACTCTAGCACTAGAACGTCAAGATTTGTTGAGACTTTGTTTTTGCCTTGCTACGTTTAACAAAAAACATCGAGAATCATACTTTGCGTGGCAGTAATAACCGGTTTCTCAGCCTGATTCGTCTTTCTAATCAACATCTTCTGCAGCACAGGTACTTGCTCCAATGAGCATTCAACTCCCAAATCACCACGAGCAACCATAATACCATCAGTGATTCGAATGATATCATCGATTTGATCCAAAGCTTGCGGCTTCTCGATTTTAGAGATGATATGTGGACGCCAGTCCTCCCTGTAAACGAAATTTGTCAAGAAAATGCCTTGACCTCGAGAAAAGTATAGAAATGACGTTCACACAGGAACAACACGCACTCGATTTCGTTATCTTCTTCTACAGTTCTCATGGGCTCTTCTACCCCGCTTGCAAGCGCTTCTGCTTTGAGACGGACAAGTTCCTCCTTATGACATTCAGTAAACAAGTCTAGGAGATCTTGTACGTCTTCTGGACGTTGGACAAAGCTAGAAAGAGGGTAGATAATTAGGTAGAGAATTAAGTTGTACTACCAAGCCAAGAAAAAGCAGCAAATATCGCGTCAAAATGTTATGAACCATTGTCGTGTTTTGGACATACTCGCCTGAGTGCGACATAGTCTAGTCTCATTTTGTACATATACTTGGCATCCCTCTTATCCTTTTCAGTCAAGGCAGGTAACGGAATTTTCAAGTCAGGTACATTGATACCTTTAAGATCTCGGTTTTAGTTCTGCGTGTCAAAGAACAATCATGGCCAGCCATTTGAATACCTTTGCGTGGCTTCAATTCTCCACCAGCAGTAACATGACAAACGATCTCATCGTCGTTGGTTCTGGAAACCATCTTCATGGCAATGTTTCCATCGTCAAGTAAGACACGATGACCAGGCTGCAAGTTCCGTACAATTTGATGAATGTCCGTAGTAATGATTCCTGGTTCGCCCAACTCTAGAGTTGAGCGGAGAAGTACGTTTGTGCCTGTCACAACTTGTATTGATGGAGCTCCTTTGAAGGCATTGCAACGGATTTTTGGGCCGCCCAAATCACCTGTTAGCATAAAGGAGGTTAGAGCCAAATATATACGGGGAACACTACTGTTGGTGTAAACAACGCCCTGTTTGTCTAAACGTACCAAGAATGGCAATAGCAAGATGAAGTTCCGCCGCAATAGATCGAATTTGATGTATAATTGGCGTTTGAGATTCTGGATCCGAGATATGACTAAAGTTGAGTCGGACAACATTCAATCCTGTATAATAACGTGAATGTGGTCAAAACTCATTTTGTGACATTCGAGCCGGTTCTAGCGTCATTGATTACCTGCCAAAAACAATTCCCGTAATTTGGAAACTGATCCAGGTCCCAAGGTGCCTCTACAAAATGCAATGAAAAGTATCAATAATTTTGCACGTTTTTGATGAAAGATGTTCAAGATTCCTTACACCTATTTTCAAAGAGGAGAATAGATTAGCGGAATGTACGTCGATAACAAGTACAAATAACGATACTCACAATTTTCGTTCTGCGAATGGCCTTGTCAGCAAAAAGTCGTGATGTGATGAGGTCTGACTGTGGTTGGGACATTTTCTGTTGTGAAGCTATTATTAGATACGTGCGGTACCAGTACCGATAAAAAGTATCAAACGTAATGCTCAATACTCACGAAAGTTTCTCCTTGCTTGTAGTCTGATTCTGCGATGTTCTTGAGTTTTTGCAACAATTTCAAGTTTCAATCTCAACGCATGAGCCGCATCAACCGCATCGACGTGGGGTTTCGCGTTTCAAACGCTTGCAATTCAAAAATCACGTTCATACTTTATTTCTTATTATTTGATATTTGATTTCAGGGCTGGAAGACTATCAGCTAGCAAAGATTCCGAGAGAAACTTCACAAAGTACATCCAAAAGAGTCCCACGTTATACACATATCAAAGCTTGCTACGACCACCAACAGGTTTATCTTCAGGATACCAACAAACAAATCGAGCGAACACAGGGTTAGCCTTGAGTCGTTCCAATTCGTCTGGAGCAAGGAACAATTGGAATGCAGCACCAGATTCACCACCTAGGTGTGGAGCCATGGGGAGAATGTAGCTGATGTACACGTATGGGCTCTTGGCGTGTACAGGACTAAGACAATGAAGGATACCTCTTCAGGTGGGATTGTTTGGATGCTCCACTTCACTAGCAAAACAGCTAGCGATTGCACTTACATGAATCCAATGGGCTTTCCAAATCCGAAATCAGCGTCGTAGAGGTCAAATCCTCTCCATGAAGTAAAGAAGAATCCCATAATTGACGGATCACTAAAGAAGGGGTGGGGGAAACGAATGTTGAGCATCAATGAGTCTCACACCCGGTCGTTTGCTGCATGGTTCAAACTTACGGAGTAGCAGGTCTAAAGTTTTTCATATACCCATTTAAATAATCTTCGGTCAATTCACAAATCCCATGACGAATAGCACACGCACCCATCCGAATCCCATCTTCACCATGCCCAATCAAATCATCAATCTGGAAATTACATGTACGTTCATGCATAGAAAGCCATGCATTACCAGAATAATCCATTTGCACAAGTGGTTTCTTCAACGAACGTAGATTGACGGGTGATCCGAAAATAGTCCTTGTTTTGAGGGTTCTGGCATTCGATGCCTGGGCGATAGACCACCAAAGCAACGCAGATAGGCAGTCGGATGCGGATACTTGGGAAGCGACGTGTTTCATGGGACCTTCTGGAAGTGGTAATGTATTTACGAATGCTTTGAGCGCCTTCATGGATGATGGCAAGACGTAAAAGTCTTCTAGGATTGGTTCGAGTGTTGCCATTGGAGGTGCGGCAGCAGGAGCAGAGACTGAAGCCGATGCGGGCTTCACTTGGGCGGCATGGATATGAGAAGGTACTTTCAAGACTGATGGGTCACGAGTGAATGGTTTGAAGGTTTCAGGGCTTTCACCGCGAGCTGCAGCCGCCCAGTCTTTTGTAAACTATTTGAATAAAAGGAACGTTAATGCGCAGGCTCCTTGATTTTCTTTAGTCCTACTACGTCCCAATATTCTGTGACAATGATGACTTGCCTGAAAGATGGCATGGCCATCCCAACATGAATGGAACATGGAATTAGTGACGACAATTCCGCCATCGCCTTATTGGTTTGGTAAAAGCGAGTCTAGTCAGCAATGCATACGTCAAACATAAACGAAACCTCTGATGCAAATTACCAAGAACATTGACACGAAGCCTCATAATCTCAATAGAAGTCCAAGTTTGATCAATAACCTGAGACAGAACAGGATACAAGGCATCAGGTACGACTTTGGCTGTAAAATTCGCCTGTTTCATGTCCTTCATTGTGAGATTCGGGAAGTCAGCAAACTCCAAATGGCATCCACGATCATTTTCACACAAGACCAAACGAGTAGGCGATTTTCGAATGACTGTTCCAGTGGTGAATCGGTAATGTGAGAGGGTTTTGACGAGAGCTGAAATCCAAAAGTCTGATGAAAGTCGAGTTTTGGGAGCATCAAAGAAATAAGCTTGGCGAACTAGAATATTTGAGAAGGAGATCAGTTTGCTGGTTATCATAATCCGATTCCCTTCACAGTGTTGCTCTTGCTTTCATCAGACTAGCGTCAGCTGAAAAACCAACAAGTAATGTCACTATGCTTACTGAATGTTTTCGCCATGGTGCTATCGATTAAATTCAAATCGTATGGCGCCGTTGGAGCCACTGAAGTTGGTGGTGCCTTGACTAGATGGATTTCACGTACGTTTGCCATTGCCATTATTACTGGATGTTGCTTGTTTGTGATTTAATTGTGTTTCGGAGTGATGATTCATCAAAATCCAAACTTCAATGGCAGAAATACGTCAGTGAGCCGATGTCATGGCCCGATTCCTTGCTGGCGAGCAGCCGGTATGATCACATCGTATAGACTATCTGCAAGAAAATCGTCTGCAATCGAATGGTTGCAAACATTGGTGCCGCAACAAGATATTACGACTGTGTAGAGGGAGGAGAATTGCCAGCGCATGAGCGAATCATATTTCCTCAACTTCGCGTCCTTAGGACAGCCGGGCAACATTGATTTCTTGCGACTTTTTGTGTTCTTGTCGCATTGTTGCTCAAAAATGTTTTTACTGTCATATTCACATTATATTTCACACTCATACATTCTGTTTCAGACTTTGCAGACTATCAAAGATTCCAACCCAAACACGTCACAACAGGCCTTAAGCACAATTACAAATTGCAACGCCCACCAATAGTTCCATCTTCATGGTACCAATGAGCAAATCTCGAAAAGACAGGATTGTTCTTGAGTCGTTCCACTTCTTCAGGAGCAAGACACAATTGGAATTCGGCACCAGCTTCACCGCCGTGTTCTGGAGCCATTGGGCGAATGTAGCCGACAATCACGTAAGGGTTTTTCGAGTGTTGTGGACTGTAAAGATGGATGATTTACAGTTATGTCAGCATTTGGTTGCTGTGCTTTGAGCTGGTCGCTATAAGCCAAAACAGTTTGCTAAACTGCTTACATGAATTCAACCGGCTTTCCAAATCCGAAATCAGTATCATAGACGCCAAACCCTCTCCATGAGGTGAAGAAGCACCCGAGAATGGACATATCACTAAGGAAGACATTGGTGAGCTGGTTAGGGTTCGAAGTCCTCTATATTGTTCTTTGTGGCGACACTTACGGAATAGGAACAGTATTCTTTTCCAAAAACCCTCTCAGATAATCCTCAGTCAACTCACAGATCCCCTGACGAATAGCACAAGCACCCATTCGAATCCCATCCTCACGACCAACCAAATCATCAATTTGGAATTTAGCGGTCCGCTCATGCATAGACAGCCATGCATTACCGACATAGTCCATGGGTACAAGTGGCTTCTGCAGCGTACGCATATTGACTGGGTATGCGAAGATAGTCTTTGATTTCCTGGCTCTTGCATTTGATGCCTGCACGACAGACCACCAGACAAGGGCAGACAAGCAATCGGATGTTGACACTTGGTTGGCAGCCTTTTGCATGGGACCATCTGGAAGTGGTAATGAGCATACGTATGCTTTGAGGGATTTCATGGATGCGGGTGAAACGTAGAAGTTTTCTAGGACTTGTGGAGTTGCTGGGGGAGCTGGTAGTGCTGGTGCGGCAGCGGCTGGTGCAGCTACTGGAGCTGACGCGGGCTTGAATCGGTTGGCTTCGACAGGGGCTTCGACAGGTTTACTAGTAGTAGCAGCAGTTGCTTTCAAGATTGATGCATCACGAGTAACTGGTTTGATGGTTTCTCCACGAGCTACAGCAGCCCAGTCCTTTATGAACTAGAAAAGATATTGCGTTATTTGGAATGACCCATGTATAGTTTTTTGTGGCGTGTAATATAATTGGTACTTGCCTGAAACATGGCGTGCCCATCCCATACAGAATGAAACATAGATGGAGAGAGTACAATTCCACCATCGCCTATTATTACAAATTAGTAGGTCTGTTAGTAAAGCTAATATAAAAAGAAGGCGAAAAAAGCTAATATATAGAACATAAGATATCTTACCAAGAACAGTAATACGAATCCTCAACAGCTCAATAGAAGTCCAAGTCTCATCAGCAGTAGCCAGAGAGGCGGTAGGATACAAAACATCAGGCACAACACTCGGACTAAATCTCTTGTCCCTCAACTCCTTCAACGTGAGATTGGGCAAATCAGCAAACTCGACATGGCATCCCCGTTCATTTTCACACAGAACCAGACGAGTTGGAGAGTGTCGAATGACTGTTCCAGTAAGGAATCGATATTCGGAGAGTGTTTTTGAGAGAGATGAAATCCAAAAGTCTGTTGAGAGTGGTGTTTTCGGAGCTTCGAAAAAGTAGGCTGGGCGAACTGTTGATCAAACAAAGGTTAGGTAATAATTGAAAGCAGTAACGATGCAGAATCATTCGCAAGTTGGCCCTGGCATTCAAAACAGACAAGGAAACAGCAAACGAGACAAGAGCTTACTGAGGAATTTAGCGAGTGTGCTGTCCAACACGTTTAAATCATAAGATGGCTTTGGAGCGACTTGAGGAGTTGGTAGAGCCTTGACTAGATGAGTTTCACGTACGGTTGCCATTGTTATGAAATGTTGATTGATGACTTGTTTAGAGTTGGTGATTCGCTGAAATTCCAAACTTCAGTGGTGGAAACACGTCCGCGCAGACCCATAATCGGATTATTTGATGGAGGACATCATAGAGTCTCTCTGCGATCGACGGCGATCGATATGATAAATTCCTCCAAAAATGATTTTCCATGTCCACATTTACATGCATTTATTTGTGCGACTACACACAACGAGGCGAACTAACGTAAAGACCTATTACGAAACATGGCAACCATTGAGTTCCATTACGACATCGTTTGTCCATTCGCTTATATCGGTAAATACATCGCTCTAGACTGTTATGTTGCGTTGAATACATTAAGTCAATCTAACTACTTCGTCATTTATCACCAGGCTCTCTCAGAGTCGAAGACGTAGCCAAGCGATGTGGAGCTACTCTCATCTGGAAACCATCTCTCTTGGGAGGAATCTACGATCTAACCAAAGCTCCACAAGGCAAAAACGGATCAGCATCAGACATTGTAGTAATCCCTAAACGCAAACTAGGCAACGAGGACTTCCAACGTACCATCAAACGATTTAATATCCCCCTGAAATACCATCCCAATCATCCTGTAAAATCATTGATGGCCATGAGAATGCTACATGCCCTACCACAAAAATATATACCTGCTCTCTCTCATGTGCTATATGAAGCTTACTGGGTCAAGAATCTAAATATCGCAGACACAAGTGTCTTGATTGAATTGGCTCAACCATGGGCGCAGCACTTTAAAGTCCCATTGAACGCTCAGCTATTTAGCAACCAAGAATTGAGTGATTCGCTCCGTAGAATGACAGAACTCGCTGTTGATCGAGGATGCTTTGGTGTCCCTGGTTTCTGGTAAGATCTTCGTCTCCGTGCTTCTAGGCTGCAACGCTCTTAGAAACGTTGATTTAGGTGTTATGGCAGCAGAAGTCTTTTAAAACCAGCAAGATTGTTCTGGGGACAAGATCGCTTGCATTTTGTTGAAGGGTACTTTTTCAACAAGAGTATTCCCTCCTACAGAGTAATCGCTCCTCAAACGCTAGTTAAACCACGTAAATTGACATTATACTATGATTTCTCGTCACCGTGGAGTTTCCTTGGCTATACACAAATGGGTCGCATTCAAGATGAGTGTGGCCCACTGCTGAAAGTGGAATTGGTGCCTATACTTGTTGGCGGACTATTCAGAGAGTACGCTATTTCATAAACGGTGGCGTCAACGTCGGTGCAAGGTCATTAATATCTCTCTCATTTTAGCATTGGAACGCCGATTGTCCCATCTCTCGTAACTAGCAAAGTAAAAGCTGCCTACGGTAGCAAGGACAACAAGGATTGGGCAGAGTACTGGAGTGGACTGGAACACGCTGTTACTGGTAAAGGTCAAACTGTAGTCCAAGTCAAGTGCGTATTGGTTTTGTCTTCAAAAGTTTCACGTCTTTTCCTTTTATCGAGTCTTGCTCATTCTCATTCATCGTTTCAGCTGGCCAACCCAATTCCCAATTCGAACTGTGACTCCCCTCCGAATGGCATGTTCGCTCATGAACGATCCCGTACAACTGAAACGCTTCAGCGATGTTGTCTACTGGGCCACATGGCACCGTAACATTAATACCGGAGATCCAGTAGCTCTGAAGAAACTATTGGATGAGAATGGTTTTGATAGTAAAGCACTCTTTGCTGCTTCTGAAACCAAGGAAGCCAAAGATCGTTTGATTGCCCACAACAACCGTGCTATGGCTGAAGGTCTATGTGGCGTTCCATCATTCCAGGTCGATGGTGGTGAAGTCGTTTGGGGACAGGTAAGATCCCTGCTGATAGAAATTCATTGTTGTCTTGTTTGTTCCAACTTTGGGTTCGACAACGGAATGCCAATGGTTGTATTACTAACCGCTTTAAATGAATATTTAGGATCGTATTGATCACCTACTAGACATGATTCATGGTTGGAAGGGAGCTGATCCAACACGAGGTGTTAGCACTGACAGTGCTCAACCACGATTGTAGTTTAGCGTGTTTTGCAGTACGTAGCAAAGGCGACTTTAGCTTTAAAGAATAAGACTTGTCTACCATTTAAGTTTACCGGCTTTCGTTTGTTTTGTTTCGACGCGCCGGTTGGCTTCCTGCTCAAAACGAACACCGATTTTTTTTATAACATGAAACAAGCACTGTTCAAACCAAACGTTTTCGAGGGTAGTATTAAAATCTTCTTTTGTGAAGAACGATAAGTATGTACAAACTTCACAACTAACCAGACTAGCTTGACGAAACTAGTACACTAAGTAAAAATTTCACAGTACAACTACTACACGAAGTAAAAGTTTTACAGGAAACTCTGTTCCGACGATGCAGTATATCGTGGATTCTTGTTATTGCCGGTGTTGTTATGACTATTTCCTCCATAAGCCTTCTTAGGTGCCTTGTAATCCGAGTACATTGATGGCGGATGAGATGGATGGTTGCTTGTATACAGCGACGACCTCCTCCTCATAGTGGTCATGTAGGCATCATTGCTTGATTCGTTGGCGACAGAAACTCGAGCTGGGTTTAGGTGCTCGTCCAGACCAAGACAAGCGAGTGGGAATACGCCTTCACGTTTGATTGTTACGTTGCGACCTGAGGTTGGCGAGGTAAGATGTTAATGAGACTGCGTTTTACGTACCGAAATAAGGCAAAAAAAATGTGTCTGAATCTGTCGGTGCATTGTTCAGGGAACTTACCCATAGCCCAACCATCATCGTATGATTCAATAATGTGCACCTCGTCGTCAACACTGATTTGAATTTCATCTTCCAAAGTCTACAAGGTTGTGATGATAGAGGTAGCAATCAACAGTTGTTGCAAACAAAAACATGAATACACAACAACAAGCACTTACAGGAATGTAATTGGCTATGGCACGATGAGTCTCGACATTCTTCTTTCCAAAGAACTTTTGGAAGATACCCTTAGATCCATTACCACCTTTTACATGTGCGGCAGTGACGGGAGTGACAGCACCAGACGAGGCCAGAGCAGCTGGACTGTACGATATATCCTTGTCTTGGTAACTATCATGTTTACGCGACCCATAACCACCTTCAATTTCAACCTTGTTCTTCTTTTTCATACCCAGCATGTTCTTTGTCGCCTCGCCCCAATCAGTGATGCCTTTACGACGACCAAGCATACAGCAACCAACAATCGAGATGACTGTGAGGACAGTCACGATAATGGCTGAAGCGATGGTAAAGAAGCTTTGACCAAATATCTTGTTGTTTGTAGCAGCCATAGTCATTGTAGCTACTGGAGCTGTTGTGGTTCCAGCTACTGTAACGGTAGTTCCAGTTGGACCACCGCCAGTGCAACATGTATCTGCTGGTGTGGCAGCACAATAAGCGGTGAATTCAGCCATTGTAAAGAAGCCACAGCGTGTGGTTTCTAATACACTTGATTCGGCAGCGACACATCCTGTTGTTGTTGAAGTACCGGTTGAGCATAATGTTTTATAATATCCTAGAGTCAGGGTTCGGGATGCTGAAGATGCAGTATCTGGAGATGCTTTACATATTGCGGGGTTGGCGAATAGGTTGGTTAAGCTGCTTATAGCAGCGGAACATGTTGCAGAGCATAACATTTTTGTTGGTGGGGTGCATCCTGCGGTTGCTGATTGGGATACTAGTAGTGCACAGAATGTAGAAATCTAGGTATGAGGCATGGTTAGCATACGGGGTTGCTCAAATTTGTGTCGTTGAAAGGGTTGTCGACATAACAACGGTATCGGCTCAACGAATCGAGTTTGATAAAGCAGCGAATCGGCCTGTCTGACGTACATGATATCTTTGTCCAGTACCATTATACTATTATAAGAACCTGATTATGTCAGTTTCAACATCACAAATAGGTCAACCACTCATGAATTCGAGCTCACGTTTGGACATCCATAACTGGCAGCGAAAGACTGGCTGTATATCGAATTATTATCAAATCTTCCACGCATATAGGCATCGAATGAATTCACATCAGTATATCCCGCAGCCGGGGCAATGAAATCCTAATAAAAGATGTTAAGATGTGACTAATTACTGAGAGCAAGATAGAGGGTACTTACATTAGAGAATTGACTGCAGGTCGTGCTTCCAGTAAGCTGGAAGCAGTTCTGAGCTATAGCTGTTGGTATTATCAGCAGTAACAGAGTAATTATGGTCATCTTGAATGAAACGGTCGAGAGTTTTGTTTTATGAGGTCACAAGGTTGAAAGAGAAGTAAGGCCGCCGCAGATATCAATAATTTAGGTACGATCCGATATATATGGCCTCCTTCCGTTGTCGCCTTCTCTATTATTCAATGGCCTGTTTCGATTGAGTGTGTGTGATAGCTTGATGAAACGAAACGGGCACTCGTGACGGTGAGGAGGTTCACAGGAAACGCTATGCAATGGAAGCTACTTTTGAAATATGAGACTTGCTCCCCAGAGCATTTGACGCGAGAATACCTTGTCTTTGTTGCAATTTTGCAAAGTGCGTGACGCAAAGACCGTTTCTGACCTTGAAACTTAGAGTGAAGGAGCAGTTTCTCATATCCTCATCCAAACGAGTGAGATCACAGCAGATTCATGGTTGTATTGAGCGGGATAGAGAAGGTGGATAACTGGTGTGGCTTGTATGCAAGATATGTTCAACATTGCTGATGCGAATCTGGAGCACCAACAGCAATACCAATAGTCTGCCATGAGAGTAATTCACTTGTTTGTGTGAGCTTTAATATCCTATTGCCCATGTACGCTGCCTGTCAGTATCTGTGTTAGTAAATCGCATTGTGATACCTTACTCGTTGTAATCCGTGTTGTCTCGTTAAACTTTCCACGACAGAACAGGACACCGTGAAGAGAACTGGCGAGTAAGCCATTGCCATCGATATTAGTCGCCGAATCGTGCATGCATTTGCGCGTTACTGTTCTAATTTATGCTTTTGAACGAATCGCCATTTCTAACGACAAAGTCACTACTCCGTACTTACGTAGAACAAGCAATGGCAAACAAGACTAAATTCCCTGCCCCGATTGAACTTTATCACGCTCACATATGCTTCCCAGCACACACTGTGGAGTCAGTACAAGCTGCTGTGGATCTGAGGAAGAAGATTGTCGAAAGATACCCAGACCTGTAAGCAAGATTCATTTTGTAACGCCATCCAATGAAGCTGAAATTGAGGTTCCTATAGATTTTGCTCCCCACTATACCCACCGGTCGGTGTAAGTTTCCTACTTTGAACAATTTGCACTTGAAATCACGCACTAGAAGCCATACCACAGCAACCATCTCTTGATTCTACTGCCAAATCAAGTGACATTGTGTCCTCACTATTTCTATCTAGCCTTTTATCATTCCTATGCTGCAAGTTATAGTACCGAATGATCCAGCTGTATGGGTGCGTGAAACACAACACCTCGCTACAACTTTGGATACAATCTAACTCACATTCACGCTTTCCTCAGGGTGAATTCAGTGCATGGCTCACCTTACAACGACATCCAGCTCACAGCATACTCTTCCACCCTGTCACAAACTCTCACCATTACTCTGAGATCGCCCATATACGTCACGACCACATTGACTTAGCCATGTGGGTTGGTCCTGTAATTCCGCTAGAACTCAATTTTGGCAACTGCATGTCGTATCTTGAGAATTTGCCGACAGCATATCAGCCTGTTGCTAACGCAATGGGTATTGCACGTGTACATGAGGAGAAGAAGATTGAGGAGATACTTGGAAAACTCAGCAGTAAAGAGCAAATGATGTTCGCACCGCTGAGCAGTCAAGAGCAAATGATGAATACCAAACCCAAAAACAAAATGTAAAGATATGTGATTTTAATCCAGTAGGAGGTCCATTTTTATGTCATTAGACATTGGGTATTAGATCTATCTATAAATGCGACAATAAGTTTTGTTCGGCAGCGAGTGTCTTCACTGTGAGCATGGCTTCTCGAAGAGATTGCTGCAAATCTTCAAAAGATTCCAAACCGATTGATACTCGGCAGATGCCTGGAGCGATTTTTGGGTCTACACATGACATGATTCGTTAGTACATCGTTCCATTGTATTGTATTTCACTGTCATTTGTTGTGTACATACCAATAGCAGCACGCCATTCAATCAAAGACTCGGCTCCTCCCAATGAAGTAGCATTCACAAAATATTTCAATCGAGTCACAATCAGTCGTGCATAGTGATGTGATGTAAACTCGACACTGAAAACGCCAGAAAATCCATCGTGTTGCTTCAATGCGATTTCGTGTCCTGGAGTTCCAGGTACTGAGCCATGCCAAACTCGTGCTACGATGTCCAGACATGGTTCACTCTTGCTATTTAGCCATTGAGATAGTCGAGTAGCAGTTTCAGATTGTTTCCTCACTCGAACTTCAAGCGATCTGTCGATTGAAAATTATGAGAAATGTGATGGGTAAAACTCGTCCATGGACTATGAAGCTTACCGAAGTGAACGCAAGAGAAGGAATGCCTCTAAGCTTCCCATCACAGCACCAGAATATACACGATCCGACGCTAATCCTGAAGCGACTTTTGGATCCTTGGCCACCAATACACCTCCCTAATAACAAAAATCAAGTTGAAAGAGCTGTCAAGGTCAATTGGGGTTGGCGCAGTGTGAGTTTATTGAGTCCAATCAAGTTGACATTTCTCAAAACTAGCTGCGTCAACAGCAGCGTCGGTTTGCGGCTTCAAAGCTTACAAGCAAGTCAGAATGACCACCCAGAAATTTGGTTGTCGAATGCATCACAATGTCTGCACCAAGTGCCAATGCGTATTGAATAGGCGGGGGTGCAAAAGTGGCGTCCACGATCTAACGAGTATGTAAATAATCAGTTTCAGAGATTTCTACACAAATCAATCCGACCCCTCAAAGACACACATACCAACGTAGATCCTTCAGGTCGTAATTTAGCATACTTTTCAACATCATCGATTTCACCTCTCGGATTTCGTGGTGACTCGAGCCATAAAAGATCACCAGCTTTGAAAGCAGAAAAGTTTGAAGGCATCTCTTCCCAGTATTTGATTTCTACTTGACGGTTTCGAGCATACAGTTCCAGAACTCCGTGGGTACCATGATAGCCTTCTCTTGACATAAACACTCGTTTCGGTTGAAGATATTGGACTGCACCAGTAACTGCAGAAAGTCCACTCGCGTAAGTTACAGCGTGGCCTCCTTCTACTGCTCCTAGAACTTGTTCCAATCTAATGACATGGATTAGATCAAGTTGACAGGTGTCATTGACGTTCGCAAAAACAAACCTGTCTCGTGTATCTGATGAGTCTCGAGAGTAAATATGTCCATTTCCAGCAGCTCTAGTCCAAGAATCACCGTTGAGACCATCGGAGGATGATTTGTCTGATGGAAGGTATCCCAGTGATCGAGCCTGGCGATCATTCCATTCAGGCGAATAGCGATGGGTGGAGGTGACGGAGATCTTCGGAGCGACATCAGACTCATTTGAAGAGTCAGCATGAATACTCAGAGTTGATAGAGCAGCCTTCATAAGTGGTTTCGGTGCCATTTTTCTAGTTTTGAAGAGTCAGACACGACGTGAGACAGACGCAAGATGGTGGAAATTACTCAATTATGCATAGCACATCTCGTTAATGCACTGCGCGGCCAGGCTTACTTGTCACTCAGGCTAACTCCAACCGATTCCTGTTAAAAGTTGTTTTTGACTTGAGTCAAGCAATTCTGCTGCAAGCTTTTTACGAATTATTTGTCAACCGATCGTGTACTTAGCGACACGAAAACATTAATGAATGGTTATGATACGTGAATCTGAATCTACCGTCGACTAATGCACAATGTATCAACTTTGGTCAGGTTTTTTTGAATGTCTGTTTATTACAGCTGGCAATGTACTAAACAACGGATATACTTTATGCCCAATTAACCCATATAACCTATCTACCAACGCATTGTCCATCACGTGCTTGCCAAGGTGGACGTTTTTCCAAACGTGTGAAACGACTTGTGAGCTTGCTCTTGGTCTCGATAGAAAAGGGCCGGTACATGTCATCCACATCAGCTCGTAGATTCCCATTCTCATCTAAATTAGACACGTCGTCATGCTGGCAATCAATCTCTCCTTGATCGTCACTAAAATTGCCATTCAAATCTAGACCTCTATAAATGTTGTTTTGTCGAGTTCGTCTATTACGTGGAGATGGTATAGAGGATGTTTCCTGCATGTTTCTCATATGCTGTTCGTACCAGTCAATCATAATGCGATCTTCGTTGCTTAGCATGATATCGGTTGGGTCTGTTGGGTCGTGATCGTTTTGGTCGTGGTGATGGTATGGGTTGTTGTGATGGTATGAAGAAACAGACTCCAATAGTTCAAAGTCCGGGCGATATGAACGTGAAGGGCTCAAGCGTTCCAGGATTGGTTCGTCTATCTCGTCAATCTCGTCGACAACAAGAGAGATACCTCGTGGAGGAAGGGCTGGCCTAGCTGACTCTGGCATCAAGGAAGAGCCTACTATCTCAAACTGGTCATTGTCCTCTTCTTCTTCTTCTTCTTGAAGACGTTCATCAAAAGTTTCGAGGTCTGGTAGAATCATATCTTGGTTATGTTCATGGCCATGGCCCAAACTAGAATTTATTGTTTCGATAGCTGATTGACAAAGAGGAAGAACAAACGAGTAAGCATTGTCACATTAATAGTTCGACTTTGCAAACGAAAAGTCTCCCATATCAATCCTAAGGCAGGACATACCTTGCAGAGCATTCTCCAAGGCATGTAGTCTCCTCCGATGAGCACGTTGGGTTTCTTCTAGCATCTCCAAATAGTCGAAAGCATGTAGTAAGTCACCGAGTTGAGCAGCTGTGGCAGAATACTCCATTTGGGTTGAATGTAAAGCAAAGAATGTAGTTCCTATAAAAGCTTGGTTGGTTTTTGGCAAAGTTCTTGTCGAGCTGTGGCAGAGAGCGATTGTCTTGGGTTTTTGGACTCGTTCGAAGATGGGATGAGGGTTGGGATTGGAAACCCACCACGGCGTTTCTTTTTTGGTAGAGCGAGCACACTCGTAACCGAAGCACCACCAAGGTGCAATTGAAACAGGGTAATTCGTCCTGGCTGCCAGAGACTGATGACCTTGAAGTGTTGAAACTGGAAGTGCATACCTCGTGAATACGAATGTCAGTGGAGCAAGTGCTACAGCAGTGAATTAGCAGTACATGTTTGCAGTAGATTCCATTTTCCATAATACCCATAGAGGACTCGGTGCTTCTCACTTCCTGTTGCAACCCTGAGCTAGTCGATGATCACTTGTTGTGGAAACAAAGCAAAGAAAACTTACCTGTTCGAACCTGGCGAAAGGAAATAAATGCTTTGACGTATGGCTCAGGTCTAATCCTATAAGAGAATTGGTCGTCCGCAGGTCTTCGTCACCAGATGCGTACTTTTTCTGATCGCTGGTCGCAAACTATTTGGACGACAATCATGGAGAGCCAGACTCATGCAATCGAATTTTCGTGCGTTTCTTACAAAAATTGTATATATTTGAAGGCCTTCTTTTTCAGGACAGCTCAAGAATAATCAACACCAGACAAAAAAGTCAAAAATCCCTGAAACAAAGCTGAAATGAGGAAGGGGTCAACTTCTTGGTGAGATTTGGAAGAGTTTCCTTTGGTTTCGTTTTCGGGAGCATTAGCCCACTACAATTGATGGATGTATGTCAGTCCGATAATGACTGAATGACTGAAAGCAAGATATTCTCGACGAAGATACCTGCTGTTGCTTTGGCCATTGCTGGAGTATTGTTTTATTGTTCATCTGTTTATTTGAAACCGTATTTTAACGCTTCACGTCTGATAGGAGCCGATAATCAATTATATCCAAAATCCAAACGTTGTACTGTATGCTGGCCAAAAATCATGTCTAACAATTGCATATCACATCCTTAGCAGAATTTATACGTGTTAAATACAGACATTTCTCTCTGCACATTGCAAAGTGAAGCCTCCTGTCAAGTTGAAGCTCATTTTGCGGCAGTCAAACATTCTTCTTGGGATTTCGGGATTTCAGAACTTGGAACGATCTCGAAGTGTGAATAAGCCCATCAAAGTCATTCTTTTTTCTAACAGAAAATTGGTTTTAAACTTGGAAAATTGCTTGTTCTTGTGTTTGTTACGCCAAAAAAAATGGAAGAACTCAATTTGAACGTAAGAAGCGTCCTGAAAGAACTAACAGAGAAGCAGAATCATACATGGGATAACAGAGATTCTTTTATATCAAAAGTCGAAACATTCGAAACAATCGAAACACTCGACACGCAAAAAGTAGAGTACGCGGAATTCCTGGGTGATCTCTCACCCCAGTACTGCCCGCGCCGGTCGCAGCTTGACTTCACAGAGCTGACGGGATATGGTATTTTCTGCGACGTATGACCCTACCTGATGGGAGGTACTACTTTTAGTGTTTCTATAGCTGCTGTCAGTCCCTGACCTTTTTTGTCACTTGGGAATTTTGTATCGCTTTAAGGAACGATGGTATGTCAGTCGCGGCCCACTGGTAGTTAATATAGTAGGGAACAAGTATGGGTTTCACTGGATGGGGAGGGGTTGGTCATAACTAAGTCGAGGGGCTGACGCAAACGTAGTTCCAGTAACATATGGGGAGTAATTAGCAACTTTAGTGTTTTTTAAGTGTTTTAATAATCGTAAATTTGCGGGACTAATCCCAGTAAAATTCACGAGCCAAAAAAAAGGGAATGTGTTGTGGTGCAGCATCAACATTCACTTGATTTTACGCTTTGAAAGCTATAAACGACATCATTGGCTGAAGTAAATGCACACCAACAAAAAACAATAAAGAATGCTGCCAATACTAGCCAAACCGTTCTGGAAGTACTTTTAGTGACACTGACCTTCCGTGTGATTTTTACAGTCGTTTGGCCATTTTCACCGTGAATGCAACGCGTTAGACACGTTTACCGTCCGCGTCAATTTAAAAGGAACGTAACGCGTTGTCACTTTTTTTCAAACACTTCAAATACACTTCAAACTCGTCAATTAATCTTTGCGTTGAGTTCACAAGACAAAGAAACAGAGAGTATATCAAAAAGAACATATCATATACTCTACAGGACCAAAAGATGCAAGCAAGCACTTGTTTAGTATAGCAGTATTTGGTAGTTTGTTGAGGAAAAGTCAAATTAAGACGCAATATCAAGAAGCAAGACATTTGGGATGCATTGCAAGAAGAAGAACGAAGTATGGATCGCTATATGCATTTTCATGCTATTAAGGTGTCGATTTAGTATTTTCTACGTCGTCTGGAGGGTTATTCGTCTGACATTCATTCGGTTTGTTGGCTGACATGTGAAGTCATTCGAAGATGTTGGAAAGTGGTTGCTATATGATTAAATATGATCGCATGATCATTTTTCAATGATGCAAAGATGCATCATGTCGTCAACTGTAGACAGGTATCGGAAAGTTGATGGCTCTGACCTTGGTGGGCTGACATTTGAAGTCATTAGAAATGTTGAAGAAAGATGATCGGTATACAATTCAAAATGATCATTCGTTGATGGTTTTATCATCATTCATGTGGTTACTGCAGTCGAACGCTGACTGAGGCCTCAACTGATGATATCTGTGAAACCTTACCTATTATACTTCATGAACACTAACGAACGTTTCTAATAACTTCACTAGATATTTGTCAAAACTCCCACTGGCAAGACCATCACTCTCGAGGTCGAATCCTCAGACACCATCGACAATGTCAAGGCCAAAATCCAAGACAAGAAGGCATTCCACCAGATCAACAACGATTGATCTTCGCTGGAAAGCAATTGGAAGATGGCCGTACTCTCTCTGACTACAACGTCCAAAAGGAGTCAACTCTCCACTTGGTCTTGCGATTACGTGGTCGTATGATGCAAACTCAAATGGCTACCTCTCACATAGCTACCTCACAAATCTTTGTCAAGACAATCCAAGACAGCAAAGTATGCCAATAGTGATTCGTCACGTTCTCTGTATTCCCGAACGACCAAAACAACGGACAACTGACATTCATAAATATCTTTAGACTATCGCTGTGGATTTCCGTACCAAGATGACTGTCGACCACCTCAAATCAAAGACATTGGGAAACATTGGCACTCCCACTGATATGCAGCGACCTATCTACGCAGGAAAGCAATTGGAAGACGGTCGTCTTTTGAGTGACTACACCATTTCCAAGGATGCCACCCTTCACATGGTCTTGCGTCTCAAAGGTGGAATGCAAAGAAGTCTGAGAGCCATAGCTTTAAAAGTTTGAAAATCGTAGCTTTAGCAAGATATCTTAAGAAAATGTAAAAACGAATGTAAAAAAATTGTAAGAAAATGCTGGAAGGAATATATCTGCTTGCTTCAAGCTCCCCCAAACTGGTGTCAACATTGCAAGAAACGATCACCAGTAGCAGAAACTTCATGGAGCAAACTTCTTCAATTTCACATTTATTCGCTTCAACGAAATAAACTATCTCTTGCGACTACGTTCAGCAGCACTCAACAATTCATCAAAATCACCAGACTGTTGGCACATTCCATTGAAGATCCCACCATCCTTTTGCATAAGTTCCAAAGGTCTTCCTGCTTCCACTAGTTTGCCACCAGCGAGAACTAGTACCTTGTCATAGTCAATAATGGTTCTCAATCTGTGAGCAATAGTAAAGACTGTGCTTGAGGCAAATGCTTGCTTTATAGTTATTGTGATTTTCTGATCCGTGGAGCTATCAGTGGACGAAGTTGCTTCGTCCATACACACGATCTTTGATTTTCTCAAAAGAGCCCTTGCAAGACAAATGAGTTGTCTCTGGCCTTAGACAAAGAAGCGCAAATGTGAGATTTGCGGCACTCTAGACATTCATCGACTTCACAATCTTTTACCTTGACTGAGATTGCTACCACCTTCCAACACTTGTGAATCAAGAGACAACATGGATCCATTTATAGAAGTATTGGAAGCCGTTCGTTTCAGATCTACACCGTTACCAGCAGCAGCTTTCGACGATGGTTTGACACCAGCTTTTACGGCTGTCACTGAAGTTCGTAATGCTGCAACTTCACTTAAGGCTACTGAGGATGATGATTGCTGCATGCTGTCCAAGAAATGGCATTTGGTCAAAGCCTAAAAGTTTCAGAAAAAGGAAAGGCAAATGTTTCAATAATGATGGTCCTTCGCAAATTCGAAAGCACTTACATCAGCAAGAGTCTCATCTCCATGTTCACCAAAAGGATCAAGGTTTGTTCGTAATGTGCCACGAAAAAGCACAGGATCTTGAGGAATAATTGTCATCCTGGATCGAAGTTCTCGGATATTGACTTTGGACAAGTCAACACCATCAATCAGAATGCGACCAGTACGCCATTCGACAATCCTAAAAAGTGCCAGTGACAATGTCGTCTTGCCACTTCCAGTTCGTCCCACTATAGCCACCTAGATTATTTCAGAGAATTAGCCTAATCTTTTGGGGGGAGCGACCTCTAAAACGAGTACTTACTCTCTGCCCAGGTTCTACTTCAAAGTTGATATTGCTCAAAACATCAGGAGAGTCTGGAGAGTATCGTACACATAGATTCTGGAACAAGACTCGTCCAGTAACAGGCTAGATAGAAAGGAGTTTGACGATGTGTTTGCTGGAAGGCACTTTTCCAAAATCCCAACATACCCAGTTCGCAGGAGGCTTATCACCGCCCGAGGGCTCTTGTGGGATGGTGGTATAATCCACAACTCGTTCAACAGAGTTGAGGCACATTTCCATCTATTGTAGATTCAATAAATTGAGTACTCGTGTTTCAAGAACTCTGAAACTGACGACTCACCCATGCATGATTTCTCGTAATCCTAAAACAACAGATATTAGCACAAATACATTGACAAAGGAAGGTTAGCTAAGCCAACAACATACCAGAGCAAAGCATCAGTAATGCTCAACGCATACATCAACACAAGACCAGCCAATCCAGGATCTGGTCGGATAGCAAGTATTCCCAATGTGGTAGGAAGAACAACACAAGCGACAACACAATCTGAGATAGACATATGGTTTAGCCCAAGGGAAGCCCAAGATTGAAACCCAAGAAAAAATGTTGAATTGTTCCAACTCCGATTGCTCACCAATTCTGAAAGCCAACCACCTATTAGCTGCCCATATATGGAAGAATGCTCGATGATAGATATTAACACGTTTCTGAGATTCTTCAGTGAATCTCGTTTCATGGCCAAATGCTCGAATTGTAGCCACTCCACCTAAAAAAAAGCAAGTTTCAGAAAGATAGTTGATGAACTTCTACTCAACCTTCGAAGTTTACACTTACCAATAGTTTCGCTGAAAAGACTGTATATCGGACTAAATTACGTGGTACGTATGTTCAATTCAAGATCTCGTAACATTCGAAAGTTTGAGAAACTCCTTTTACCTGCGACTTGTAGACTCAATACGTTTCAATTCTCTCGAACAAGTGAGGTATTTGTTGGCAATTGAGTAATAAACGTAGCTTATAGGAGGCACAGCAAGCAGGAATGCTGGGAATACGACAGAGATGACTCCGATCAAACTGATCAGATCTATAATGTTCAAGGCATATATGAAGATCGAGAAAATGACCTAAACCAAATCAACAGTTCAAAACTCTGTTTAAATGTTCAAGAGGATAAAGAAACTTTCAAACGCACGTCAGTGTCTAGACTGGATATATCTTTACTGAATCGATTCACAATTCGACCCAACGGTGTTGTCTCGAAGAAGCGCAGAGGAGAGCCCAGTACTGATTCAGATGGGTTGATAAGAGTATCGTAAGCTTTTTTGTTTGTTTTCAAAGCAACGCGTTTTCCTTTGAAAACGGCACAAATTGCTCACCACTGCTCAACAACTGCTTGTGCAAAGTCTGAGAGGCGCGATACGAACCCCAATACATAATAATAATCGTGATGACATTCAATAAAATCAAGGTCTGCGAAACAAGTAGGGAATTAGCAAAAAAATTACGTAAAAGGATACTTCCAACTCACCAATCCCAACAATCCATAAATACCAACATAGTACATAACATCAACTCTCGGCTGAGAATCAAATGAATCAATCAGTGCCGTATAGACACTATATAAGTTTGGACCACCAGCGTAAGCAGCAGACCACCAACGAATCCACCAATCGGACATGACTTGGTCTACACGTTGCGATAGCGAAAACAGAGCCCAAAGAACGACAAATGGTAAACCACCAGCAGCTGCAAGATAACAAGCATACACAGCCCATCTTACAGCCCCAGAATCCTTCCGTTCCTCTTCTACTAGTCTACTGGGTGGATTTAATTGGGTCAAAGACACTTGCGAGATGCCAGCTCCAAATTTAGGCTTTGCAGACTCAATCATCACTGCTTCTTTAGAGTCATCATAGTCGAGATCAATCAAGTTTGCTTCAGCGCCCAAGATGTGTTGAGCACGAGCGTTAGAAAGGACTTGGCTAGGTGTGCCTGTTGCCACGACTCTGCCGAAATCCATCACGACCACAAAATTTGCGGATGGTAGCACTACAGGTAATGCGTGCGAGACCTACCAGAAATGAAGGCCTTTTGTATTAGGAAACTTCACTGTAATCGTGTTTTTCTTCTCTGTTCTTACCAACACAACTGTTCGACCAGCTAGTAGTCCACAAATGGTCTCTTTGAACAGGTGGCGTGCAGTGGGAGCATCAATTGCGCTTAAAATGTCATCCTATGGATGATGAAACATGAATGCCGGTCCAAAAAAAAAGAAAAACAAAACCTCCCCTACGAGTAACACGATTTTGGCAAATGAGTATGCGGCACGAGCAAGTGCGATACGAGCTTTTTGACCACCTGATAGATTGATCCCTAGGAACAAGATTGGAATGTTACCGGGGTTGTGGTCAGAGATTTGAAAGCTACAAAACAAAAAGGCGACAAAAGCCGGGAGGCCCATCTTATAACAAACCTCGTTCGCCAATCTCTGACTGATCACCTCCATCGAATTGCTCAAAGTCTTTTTGGAGAGTTCAAAAGTTAAAAGCAGACTTGAAAGAGTTAAACGTTCAATTGCAACTACCTCGATCAAGTGCACATGCTCGAACCACTTTTTCGTATCGGGTCGAGTCATATGGCAGGCCAAACAAGATATTCTCACGAACAGTCTACCAATGGCGTGGAATCTGATTAGACAAGAATCTTCAAATCTTGGAGACCAATTTGTTCACTTACAGCACATTGCAGCCAAGGAGTTCCGGCGACGTATGCAGCTCCATGATAATCGACAGGAGCAGCTTGTACTGATGCTCGTGGTAGGTGTATGAATCCAGTTACGCGATCCATTTCTGAGCGAAAAAATCCTTAAGGAAGTGTTTCAAATGATTTTGTGTACTCTAGTTGTACCAACCTCCAAGCAACGCTTGCAACAAGGAAGTCTTTCCAGCTCCTGTTGCACCAACAATAACAGACAATTTTCCAATAGGAAACTTGACGTCGATTCCTTCCAAACTAAATGACCCAAGCTGACCAGTAGTCGATGCTCGTGGAGTAACAGGACTACTACTAGTGGCTTCTCCATTTATCGGTTCACTCTGACTTCCACCCCATATGAAGTCTCCTTGATCAATTCCAATGGCTTCTTGATCAGCAGCACCACTACTAGTACCTGGTTCTGCATTTGCATCGTCTTCTACAGCATATCGTTCCAATTCAGGCTCCTTCAAGAATGAAGCAATACGGTTGAAAGAAACTCTGACTTGAATGCCTTGCACAATCGCTTCTGGGAATATCATTAAGGGAAAGTGGAGGACATTAAACAAAGCCAAGGTACTGAATGCTGTAACAGCGTCCAAGTCGTGTCCTGCGATAACCTGGGAGTCGCAATTGAAATATGGTGAGACACGATTATAGCAATAGCACGACGTAGTCCTAAACCAACACCGTGTGTCAAGTTAGATCAAACTTACTGTATAGAAGTAAAAGGTCGCTATAGAAACAAACAGTGGAAGACAAGCCCACAGCAAATGCTGGAAGATATTGATAGCCATGATACGAAGCAGCTGCGATAGCTCGGCATCTCGAGCATCCAAGACTTTCTCAGCAAACTTGTCTTCGAATGCCAGGTATTTTATCAGACGGATTCCATTCAGCATCTCGTTCACAATATCGACTCTAGTGTCGGTTTTCTTCATGAGGAGCGTTTGATACTTGTTTGTGACGATTCCAATTAAGATATTAAAGGGTATTGCGAGAGTCATTACAAGTACGCCACCAAGTGCACTGGGGCCAAGCAGCAAACAGAGAGCTGTAAGACATAATGCAATCTGGACGGGTGCAGCGGCAAATTGATGAAGATCTGCAAAAAGGACGAAGAAGATTCACTAACCAATCTAAATTTGAAAAGCAAGACAAGAGAATCGCTTATGCTTACAGCAAATGAAGTCTCGAATCCTCTCGGCATCTACCGACATCAAAGTAACGATCTTGCCCACACTAGCATTCTCTTCTCCTTCTTTACCAGTCCTACCAACAGTACGTCGTAACGCCTTTTGGTAGACTTGATTAAGCAAGACAGTCCTGACTTGTAGTCCAACCCTTCTTCCGTAAAAGAACGACTGCCCATCCATAGCCGATCTGAAAAACGTAAAGAAGAAGAATCCAAATACGATTAAATATACCGTTACTGGATCAATCGATGAGTATCCTGACTGAATATATCCGACGATCAAATTAAGGAAGAACGGATTGGCAAATGATAGGAATGGTGTGCATATAAATCCAAAAAACATTTGGACTTTGAGATTCCTCCAAGCGAGTCGGAAAAGGTCGTAAAACAAACCATGCTTTGGGTTTCGTAGTTGCTTGAAGCGTTCATCAACGTTTTCTGCCTTATCTTCTGGCGAGAGATCTGCGTAGGAAAGAATAGAAAACTTGAGACAATTCCGGAAATAGTTTTTAAAGAGTGTCGAGACAATGTACCTGGAATGTCGTCTTGCGTAATGGTCTTCGTCAGTCCCAGGTTCAACAATGGATTGACCCATCCAAACGTCGGTATCTCAAACCATCTGGCACTCATTTCCAATGATGGTTTAATAGACCCATGTTCTGTAGGCAATGAGGTGTAATACACACGACGAGCTCCTTCCAATTTATATCCGAATATGCGTCCCAGAACGATCAAGAGACCAGCTGTGATGGACACACTACCATGCAAAAGAATCCTGAGATCTAGATTATTGCTTTCGGTCTGCAAATAAGCTTCACATGCATTCGAGATCGCGAAGACTAGGCATATCAAGTCGAATGGTGCTCGTGTATACTCGTTTGGCGATAGTTGATTTGGAAACACGTACAGGCTGAGTACAGCCAAGCAAACCTAGTGAACAAGACACGTATTAGCAATGTGCGATTGCATGAAGAAACTGAAGGAATGATGGTTTTTAAGTTTTACCCATGTGAAGAATTGTATTCCTGCATCAATGCCTTCATATAAATCCCATGGCCGGGTATCGATCAAGATCAACAATAGCCATAACCCAGTGAGTATAGCATTCAGCCAGTGTAATGTTTGTATCCAGGCTGAGAGGAGTTTAACAGGAGGAGGTTTATCTACAGTTTCGTTGTTTATTGCTTCATACCCAGCGAAACTGCGTCGTATACGTGATATTAGATACGGAGATGAAAGCAATAGCAGGAATACTGGCAGAGCAGTCTCCAGAAGACTGCCGGGTTTGAATTGTGTCAGTGACTTGGGGACAAATCGCAATTTTGATGTCTGCCAACTCACGTAGTTCTAGCACAAGGAGTGAGTTTGTCATCGACTATAGGGCCCTATTTAATCAAAAGAAATCAGCATCTAGCTAATAATGGTACTGGTTTCTCTCTCTCAAAATAAAGCTACGTCGACAGTTTTCGTTCAGAATCAAACACTAACAACACGTACAAATCCAAGCTCGCCACAAAACTGATCCATACGGAAGCCTTTGATCCGAGGTAAGCACACTCTATTTCATACGCTTGATCCGGTCAAGCATCCTTATTCTGTTGGTAGAGCTTTCCTGTTTCAGCGCACAATGCTGAACTACGTGAACTACCTAGTAGTAGGGCCATATCACGTGTAATTTTACCAGTTTTACATTCTATATAGCTTTCTACCGCTGTCCCTTTTTACTAACTCTCGTCTTGGACGGACATCAATACCACTCGTCCAAACTCAGATACAAAATATGGACAGCCTCGAAACGACTCGCAATTTCACATTCTGCGAGTTCACTCGCTCAATAGCTAGAGCCGAGACTCGCTCAACACTTGGTGTCGAATGGAGCAAAAAAGGAGTCACTGAAGCTAGAATGCTCGATGTTCTCGCAGAGATTCTTCTTTGGGATGAATCCTCTACAATGTGGAGGGCTCCTATACTCAAATCAGACTTCGAGGCCATTCATCGCAAGTACAGGGCTTCAACCTCAACCTTGTCCGTGTCGGAATACATTGACAAAACACAACGAATCTTTGCTGGTGAAGAATTGTCGACTGGTAATAAATTACTGTTTGCAATCAATGAAACTGGTCTTCTTACTTGGCATTCGAGTTTGAATGATGGTGATGGTGACGATGAATTGGATGCTACATTTGGACATTTGCAATTACAAAAGGTGGCTCCAGAGAATGCAGTGGAGGTTTTGAAGAAGTGGATGAGTGCATTGGTGTATGAAAGGATGACCATACAGGTATGCATTGCATTTTGTTCACTTTGTTAGTGTCATCTGCAAAATCAAAGACGTTATTGCATGATTTTGACGTGACGCTGGCACTTGCAACTTGCTTATTAGATAGAAGGAATAAAGATGCACAAAGTGTCTGTATATGCCCAGGAGCAACTTGTGGAGGCTAGAGCAGTCATCCAGCAAATGCAACGCAGTCAAATGGAAGAAGAAGAGGACGCCGCCATCCAATTCCTCGAAATATTGAATCAAAAGAAGGCTGAGATTCGTTCTTTGAAGAAGGTTGTCAATCGCCTCAGTAAGCAAAATTAGTTTTGACTCAACTGTCGTTGGGTTTTCTAGAATTCTGATACACACTTTCCCTAGGTCGAAACGTGAAAGTGGAAGCTCAAGTTAAATCTGAAGCAAAAAAGGAACCAGAGGATCAAGACCCGTACGTCAATTCATCATTGATATGAAGACTAGGCTGGACGTCTGACTAAGCCTGATATCTCTCCTTTTATAGTGCTTCCCACAACCCTGATTCAGATAACACAGATATCAACATACTATCACCACCTCAACATGATACATTACCATTATCTGGCCCATCCACATCAGCAAACACAGGGGGTGTCCTCACATTCGCAATTACAGGAGCACCATCGTCATCATCAGCCAATCCAAATGAAGACGTGGATACTGTTATGCGAGATGTCGAAGAAGAAAATCTTCGTAGTTTTCCAGTAAATCAACCACCAACAGCTCCACGATCATCTCCCTTCTCTCTTATACCTTTTGATATACCTCTCGGCTTGGCCAAGACTGAACCTACCAACGAAGACATGCTCTCTCTTGCAAGGCAAGTATCAATTGCAGCAGCACAAATGGATTGGAAAACATATTGTAGGTCCAACCAACAACAAAATCTAAAATACTTGAATTGCGAAATAGGGGAAATGCACTACTGGGACACCGCTCATCGCAACAAGTCAAACGAAAAGCCGAGGCAACAACAGAAACATCATCTTCATCAGCCAAACCCAAAGCAAGCAAGGTCGCTCCTCCTCCACAACAACAAACCCGCGAGAAAACTCCTCCGTAAGTATCGATAAGCGTCATCGTTTCCAAACACACATGCACTTAACAAACCTTTACTCCTCCGCTCTCAACAAGTATGAAAAAGCCATCAGCTAAGCCCAAGAAGAAGGACGATGATACCCTGGACTGAGATAGATTGATGGGATTGAAGTGATTCGAGGCAGTAGCGGTCACGTTGTCGAAAGAAGTGTATTTGCAAGAAAATCGGCACCCCAACTTATAAAAGGAAACCCTCACAAACCTCAATTGTAACTACAAAACTAGTGGCTGCCCTTGTTTTTACCCATCTTGTGCTTTTCTGTATAAAAAACTACATACCCCTCTACAATATGTCTCTGCCTAGATGACCCTAAGACTTTCATACAAGAGCGAAGGCGCAACACCAGGCTATAAAATCATCAAATGCAGTATGAGCAAACTTGATTGAAGAAAAGCAAACAACAAAGACATTGAATGGTTCATCGCAATTGATTCCACGCCATACTTACAAAGCTGTGTGCATCAGCCCATTTGATCAAGTCCTGTTCAATAGCAGCCAAATCAACTCCAGCTCTAGCCATATTCCTCAATACATACAAGGTGGTCAATGGTACTCCCAACAGATTATCAGATTGTGGTGGCAATACTATAGATCCTGCTCGACCAATTCCAGCTGGTGTCGATGGTAGCAACAATGATGCAAGTGGCTTACTATTACTACTAGCAGGTGGTCGGAATGGAGTATGGGTTTTCACATGAGCAAAGAGTTGTTGACGATCATCAGTTGGACAAACATAATCACATGTTCGCCATTGACAAGTCAATAGTGGACTGGCCATATCGGGTTGTATATGCTTGCTTACGATATGAGCCAATACGTCGGCATCTGTATCAAAGGGACCATTACATGATGCATCCTGTGGTGCTGATGGCGCACCCGTTGCTGTACTTGTCCGACCCCACCAACACGACATTGGAGCAGCAGATGATGGTCCTGGCGTTGTGGCATTACTATTGCTACCACCAGCACCACTCAATTCTATTCTCTCATTGGGAGGTGTCTGTAACGCTGGTTGAGATTTACTACCACCTGAAGCACCTTCACCACCAGCATCTAGATTCTTTCCGAAATCTAGAAATTCTAGTCCAGCTTCTGCCATGTCTGTATCATCATCTCCTACTATATCGACGATCGTATTGGGTGCGTTGATTTTTACTGTAGGTGGTCCACCCATTGGCGCTAATGTAGCAGTACTTTGATATCGTAAACCCATAAAAGAGCCGTTTTCATCACGCACTGCAGGGAAGTGCTGTTTGAAGGCTGTAATTACTTCTGTGGGTTGGAGCTTTACTTGTTTATCTGCACAAAACTTTTCAGCGAGACCAATAATCGCTTGGTGTGATAACGAAGATGCGGGGTCATGCGCAAACCAAGAACGAATCCTAGACATATTCGTAGAATGGAGATGTCAGTGATCGTGGCCTTTGCGGCATTGTGCCAGTTGGATTCTGAACTTTGTAGTATCAGCTCACCAATTTTGTAGCAGATTTTGCGCAGTCGGACGACCAGCAGATGCAACTTTTTGTGCTTGTGCTGCAGCTGCGGCCTTTTGCCTCTTACTTGAGTAAAACAGCATTCGTAGCAACATTCTCAATCGAGCACCTGACGAATTGGATATACCATCACCACCTACGATAGCCCTAGCGGTATCACCACCCAATGAAGATAAATGATAAAAGTGATCCATAATATAATGTATAACCTCTTCATGCGGTGTCAAGAGTAAATCCATCAACCTCTTCATGAATTCAGGGCTGGGATTTGAAAACACCTCTTCGTGTTTATCCTGCATAGCCAACTGGTTGAGAATACGTAATGCGGGTAGTATCAGTCCCAAGTCGTTGGAGTGCACAAGTTTTTCGAGATATGTTACAATATAATCTCGTCCGTTTTTCGACACATCCAAGTACTCTGACATTTCTTCCAAGATGGTTAGGCAGTATCGTTTCAGTTCTATATATAATGTGGATGATGGGAGTGCGATTCCTTTGGTCAAATATGATAGCAAGTGGTCTGACTCGACGAGATTCTTTATGTTTGGGATGTAAAACGTGAAGTTGTTGATGACTAGTAGGCTCTGTAGAGCTCGTTCAAAGAGAATTAGTTGATCGGTCGAGGCAAATATGGTGATCTCTGTCAATGGAGGTAATGGGTTGAGTTGACCAGCTGCTGTTGGTTCGGCTAACACGGCATCGGCTCGAGCCTGTACATCTAAATTGATTCTACCAAATACGGGAGCCATGTGTGTGAGGAGTATATGCAACAAGCCTGGTATGTTGCTAATATCTATAGGCTTGATGGAATTATAACTACGGAAGGATATTTTGATGAGCTTATTAAACGCCCAATCAATCTCGTTCGGTAATCCTGATTCAAGAGCCAACAACAGTCGGCTATGTGGTCCTCCAAACAACAAGAGACGATCTAACGGTAATTCAAGTGTCAACAATAGAAAGACGGGAGCAACTTTGAGGTCAAACATAGACACACCATCAAAAGGTTCTTCGTCTCCACTCAAAAACAGTGTCATAGGTCTTGGAACCACAGGTTTCGTAGTTGGAAGACCTTGATCTACCTTTCTCTTCTTTCCTTCTTCCAGCTCTGATATAGTAGAAGAATAAATAGGTCAAAAAGAGGGACAAAACGTTTGTTGGTTGAATGGTCTGGTACGTACTTATACCATTCACAGGCTCGCCAATGCCAACGCCATTCAGTTCAGTATCAGCTCCTCGTTTTAGTGAATTTTGTTCAGTAACCATCTTCTTGATGGCGTCTACACTTGGCCCTCCTCGCTTCTTGTGCAGTTCATAGTGAGCAAGGGCCTGTGCGTACACTTGTTTGATCACAAATGCCGAGTTTGTACATGTAGATGGCAGATTGAATAGATCAGCAATCTTCTTCCATCCTTTCTGGCTCGATACCTATCAAGGAAGTAATTGTTCAATTCTGCGCAGAGGATAAATGTCGTTGTGGGAGTTGATGAGTACTTTTTCATGGCCGCCAGCCTCTACGGTAGCCTTGTATATCTTGAACAAATCTATCTTTTTACCACCAAGTATGGGTTCTTTGACAAACGTAGTCCTGTGAATAGTTGGATGTTAGGAATGTTTTGATGACAGTCGTTTGCAGACAGAAGACACACGATTCAACGATCGACACACCCTATTTGATTATGGAATTTCTCGAGCTCATGTATGAACTTGGTGTAATCGGGTGTCCTTTCTATGGAATCCATTCGTCGTCCTCGCTTTTTTGTTGTGGGGGAGTGAGTGAGAGATTCAACGAGTGTTGGATCTAGGAGTGGATGGCAATTCAAATTAATCAGCACGCTCCAATGCACGTGTTGATACGGGCCAACTGTCCTCCCTTTTTGGTCACAGCTTGGAGTGAGTTGTCATCAAAGAAATTTGGAATTACGGAAGGTGAGCGAGTAGGCGAGTAGACCGCATTGTTGAGGGAAGAGAGCGAATGTTTATAAATACGGCACGCTAATTAACGCCCACGAACGAGAACGGCACGTTCCAGGCCACTATTGGACGAACAATTCGTGTTTCATCAAAGTCGCTTTGCTCGTAATGAATCTTTGTGGGTTCTCGTTGTCCAAAAGTACAGAAGACTGTGGTTGTGGTCATGAACTCGTGCTCTCTGTCGTCAAGATACCAGAAACACGACCTTTTTTTCCTTACTGCTCAAAATTATAGTCAGCCATTCTTGATAAGTCTCAAAACTGGTGCCTGACGCGACTTACAACCATCTCAGACCCTTTTTACGACTGCTGATTACATGGAAATTTGTTTTACCTATTCGTCTCTCTGTGCGGTTGATATGGAACTGAACTTCAACTGCGGCATTTTCTTCCAGCACATCCAACACCAGTGAATACTCTTGCTGGACAGACATCAAATTAGTTGAACGTTACCGCACAACGTATCTGACTATCAAAGTTCAAAAGTGTCGTGATATCTGCTGTAAGTGGCCAAAACGGAGCATGCTTAATTGTTTTCGATCGATGAATCTATCACAACTTGCAGAGAGGGTCTCGTGTCGTAAAGTGCCTCCACCTTTCTTGAAAGCATCCAAAATTGGCGGAAGATTTAGATAGTACAGTGTCTCATCAAGATTTCGACAATGGAACAGAGCACATCGCGCTCCTGACAGCCTGAGACTTTGACTGACTTTGAAACCCTACATGTAGAGTAACATGACGATCTCTGGTTCTTATAATATTGTAAAGGAATTCGAAGTTATGTGTGCTCAATGTGGTAAGTGGACTGTCGCTAGAAATGATATGAGTAAAGCGGCATTTCAAAATATTGCTAACATCCAACTATCATATGCACCAAAGGTGCTATTTCTTGGGTAAGCATACCCAGTCCGATCCGGTTGTCGTGCTTGTAAACGGGAATACTAGTTGTGTCTTGCCGGGTGCTTTATTCGAAGAAACTGTTGTCTTTGAGGTCGCAGATTTTGAAATCTCCAAAGGCCAGAGACCCCTCGCCTTCAAGTTGCCGCTACGGTCATATTACTGGTAACGTCCATTCCGTCTCGACAATTTACGATCCTGCTATACTGGATACTCCACCTTATCTGTGCTGGAGGCGTAGTCTTGTCAAATAAAAGCGAGACATATCTCTCTGGTCTTATATCCGAGGACTCCCCCCCTTCAGTACTGTTTTGATGACAGTAATGGTCTGGTCTGTCGAAAGGGGCCTGACTGTGACAAGTTCCCTGGCAACTTGCTGATGATACGATGTTGTGGTTCAACCATTGTCGCAGCAGTCAAGGGTCAGTCTTACTCGTCAGTTCTGGCATCTGCTGAAACTGGTAGTACTGTCGGCACAATCTGGATTCCCCAGCGCTGGAGTCGTGGTTGGAGACCTGATGGCTCTGGAAGCATTCCCATTCATGCCGTCAACGATAAGTATAGCAGACTTCCAGCTTTGTCCCCACGGCGTGAATCTACTCAATCTCGTCTAAATGTAAGAAACCTTTCCGAAATTTGTAAGTCAGATTCAATATGCTAAAATCCTAACTCCTGCTCTAGTGTACTTGACTACTGCTACGGATTTAGTCCACACGTCTACGTCTACTGAAGGTGTGACTAGCTCAGATACTGCTGTCTCGCCTGTTAAGAATATATCTGGTGCTATAGCTTTGCCAGCATCAGCAGCTGGATCTAATACGTCTGCAAAAAACCGTGCTTCATCTGCTGAAGTCTTGGATGGTGACCTTGTATCTGCTTCTGATGCTGCTGAGGACAATGTAATTACTACAATAACTTCATCGTCAGGTCATACTGAGACTCTTGTGGAGACCACAGAGCGTGAAGCTGGAGAGATGGTCTCAGGAAATAGGTAAGTGTGTGATTGGTCAAAATGACTGGTCCTCTTAAGACGGCGCACGAAACGTGGGCAAGTCTGATTGTATTTTCACCCGTAGTGCAATGAAAGAGATGGCAGGTGTAACAAAGAACCAAAAGACAGTTGCTACAAACACTACCTAAGTTGAAACAACTACAGTTGTTACCACCACTACAATCACTAGTACAACGTCAAGTGATGAAGCTTTATATTTATTCAACATGCCATACGTAGCTCACGCAAAAGATACAGGCGAGGGTGGAGATGGTCAAAGAAAAAAGGAGGGGAGCATTGTTGATTGAGGTTACGGTACAAATAAAATAGATCTTGCTGCATATTCCTCTATTCATCTTCGACGTGATCACATGCGTGGTTCGCGTCCTGTGAAATCGTGTTGCAAGCCCCGCCCGTGTCTCGACTCCTCCTCAACACGGAACCAACAAAAATGACACTCACTTTTTGCGGAACAAAAATTTTGAGAAAGAAAAAGAAGATTTGACAAATTTAGGAATCAAAACTTTGGATTTTGAAGCCATGGCACTTTGGAATGTTCTCTTCATCTTAGTAGGAGGGTTTGAGTTTTATGTGGTCGCAATTTAACGTTGAAGGTGTTTTTGACCACGCTGGTGCTTATATCTTACCAGAATATCATATGCAATGTCATTGGAAGTAGCTACCTGTAAAATCTCATTCTTGTTAATGGTCTGAACCTTGTTTTTGTTTTGTTTACATATACGGTTTGTCAAAGTGAAAACTCTTGCACGAAGAACACAGAAGTTTCAACCACATTCCAAAAATTTCTGTCTTCGGTCATGGAATGAAGCCTAATAAGAATCAATCTTGGTTCCATGGCAAATTGAGACGTCTATTCTAAATACAAAATCTCCCCAATTATGGATGTTGAGACGAATGTCGCCTCTCCAAAGTATACTGCTCCAATATGAGATCAGACGTAAACGGCCGCTGATGGGCCGTAGCTAGCGATCCGGCCGCAAAATCATCTCTTTGGTGCACAGTTGCCGATGATGTGAAATTCGTCACAGGCTCCACATGGATGGATGGTGTCTCTTGATACGCACAAGAGGCCAGTATCGAGTACTCTGGTATAAGAGCATCTGATTTTGCATTAGCCTTGTTTGTGGTGTATGGAAGGTATTCCGGCTTGGCTGTGAAGAGCTCTGATTTGTTGCGTTGAAATGTTGGTGGTGCCATTAATGATTGCCCCTGAAATGAAGGTCGACCGTATTGTCCTGATTTCAAGTCGTCGTTTTTCTTGATTCCTTGGGCGAATGCTGTCACCATTGCCAGAAAGGCTTCTTGTAGTTGGACGAGTTCCGTAAGGTAAAATTTGTGGTTTAGGAGTCCTTCTTCAACCACTGAAAACTTGAGTCTTGACACCTGAAAGTAATACAAGTTGTAAGAAGGATGTGTGCTTCCTCATTCATCCCAAAAAGACCTAAACAAACCTCGTCCATGCTCCTAATCAGTCTCTGAAGCTGCTGCCGTAGTGTAAGACTGGCCAAAATAGCTAAAACACCCAGAGTGACAGACACCAATACAACCACCAATATGCTCTGCATATCACAAAGTAATCAGCATCCGAACACAATATATTTCAAAAGCAGGCCATCACCAAAATGTACCTTAAATTTCGCAGCACTCAATTCATCAGTAAAGTTGCCAACCGGATCTGCTACAACCAGTCCGATTGTAACTCCATTCGAAGTCAGCACTGCGACGTCCATCATGTATTGCACGCCACTGAGGTAAAGTACAGTCGTGTTGGTAGACTTGACGAGTGATACCTGATTACTATACAACTTCAATACGGCCTGATAGACCGATTGTGTCAACAAATCTGGGGTCGTCGTCGCATTATACGGAATTCCAGTATCGGAATCAGTGGAGGCACCAATTCGTGATGATGCCAAAATGTTTCCTGAATTCACGTCAAAGATCAGGACCACCGACGTATTGCATAAGATAGATTCTTGGGTCTGAGATTCGAACGCAGGCCAGCCAGATGCAACTAGTTTGAAAAATGTTAGCAACCTAGAGTCTTCAAGCTGGTAACAGTGCAGTATTACAGTCTGAGGGTAAATCACTAATCAGATCCGTTAAATGTGTAGTCCGGAGCACCGTTATGAGATTACTCACTGCGACCTGAGCAGCATTAAAATTCACTTGAGTTACGACTAGTGGAGAGATGGTCACAGTGCTATCAACAAGTCCGCTATCAAGATTAGCCTTCGATACTTACAAATTGAAACAACAATGACACCAGTCCAAGTCAAAAGCAATCCAACAATAGGAATCGAGACTGTACATCGCCGTTTTGTCATTGGACCCCAAAACGCTCAGGATGAGGAGGCCGGGAGAGAACTTGGAGCCTCAGATTAAAGGTCTGTAAGGTGTCCAGGATTTTATGGGAACAGTCCGCCTCTGATATACGGAAGACTTGGGGATCCATCGAAGATTTAATTTCCGATTGTCCAAAATCTTGATTCCGAAATCATAGTTCCTTACCACGATAGAAGAATCGGCGAGCGTGTTTTGAAGGTGGACTGGGTCGCCATATATTGTACCCATTGTAAGAAGCCAACAAGACACATACTCAATGTTTCCATAGTTGCCCACCAGGATGCATTGCCGCAACTGTGATAAATCAACAGAAATAACACTCAGTTGTTGACTCTTAAAGGGTTAAAACAGTTTTAGAACTGTGGAAAATCAGATCCCAGCTTGTGGCCTCTCCCTCGGCCGTTTTTCCGGCTACATGTCTCACTCTTGGCAAACGGCTGGGTTTCAAAATCCTCCAGTCTACTTTTACGCGAAACACAACACGCCAACGGTGAATATATATCGAATTGTTGTAGAGTTGTGAAATCATGGGTGTCGTAACGTTTTGGAATGTACTCTTCTTTTCGGTACGAACAGTTGTATCATTTGCGAGTTTGATCGCATTTTGATGATCGATGGGTGGACGAAGCTGTTGCAATCTCTGATAGTTTCTGAATGCATTCATATTCTACTGATATGCAATGATGTGGTTGATCTGACTGCGTTCTTGACTACATTAGGTTCTCACTTTTGCATCGGATGTGTCTGCCTTCACCAACGGAACGCTACTGCCTTCGTATCTGTGTGGAGCTGCAACCGATGGATATCCCAAATCACTGTAAGTGACGTACAGCCTCTTCGTGATTTCAGCGAAACCTAAGACATCTCGTTTCTTTCGGCAGAGGAGGAGTACTAGAATACTTTGTCGAGCCCAATGCAGCAACAGCAGTTGCCGGATTTGTAAGTTCTTCATGTGAGGTTGCATAAGCTGGAATCCTTCAACTCATCATCATCATTATCATCATCATCATCATCGACACAGCACAACCAGGCTTCTATTGTGGCTCAAACCGGCGTCATCTCTGTTACTTCCTCGCCCGAAATAATCAAAGCAGGGGCAATGCATAACCTGACTCTGCACTCTCTCAACGATCCTAATGCTCCGCTGGACGGTGCGTTGATTTATGCAGAGGACTGTAACGGTTATCGGATTGGGAAGTTTGTCTCGACTGGTTCGAGTATGAGTATATTCCCTGGATGTGGTAAATCCTATGAACGTGCATACCACGGACTTTGAACTGTTTTCAAGTCAAAAACTCACACTAGGTCGAGGAAATGGTGGTGCGGTACACAATTCGGTTCTATCGGAATCAGCCAACTACACGGGACTTGTTTGGCTGGCGCCGAGAAGCTTTGGAACTTGCCACAACAGTAAGTTTTTCTTTGTGTCAGAACCAATATTCTTGCAAAGGTCTCATTGCTATCCTCTACATTTTTTAGTTACTTTCAAAGGTTTGCATTGTGGACTTTTTCAGATTCTTTATTCTGATCAGCCTACAATTAACCATCTTCCACTACGTAGGACTTGCAGTGACTGATGCAGGTTGAGATTCAGGTTAACATTGAAGTATGAAGTTTGGGAAGACTAACTGCGACTAATTGTATAGGGTTTGGAAAACATAACACCACCATAAGCGTGGTGGCCACAAACACCACTCATCATTCATGAGAGATTAGACTGCCGCAATACATTTGTTTGGTACAGGGACTTAAATCAATCAAGTTTGCGATAAATTTTTGTTATTTTGTTATCATTAAACCAACAGCAGTACATTTCTACAAAAGTTGGCTTGAGGAGGGTCTTCATGCGCTAAATTTGTTGTCTCAAAAGTCGCTCAGAACAATCGTTTCAGAGAATGCCAAGAACTTCACTTCGCAATGGGCGTTCGCGGCAATCCAAAACCCAACAAACAAATATGGAGGTTTTCTCAAAGAACGACTGCCTCTTCGACTGAAGCCGTCTCTACACTACTACCTCAAGTTTCGACACATATTCTGTTTATAAGATCATCTTTGAAAAACTAAAATGGCTCTCGCCAATCCTTTATTATTGCTCGCATTGGTACGGACAAGCAAACGAGCTTCATTGTATACCAAACACTCGACTAACTCAACGCCAAGAATAGCTTTTAGCTACATCTACTCAAATTCTTGCATTCTCTAATGGCACTCTATTGCCTGGATATCTATGCGGACCAGCAAATGATGGATTGCCGAAATCTCTGTATGTGTTTGGCAGTTCTTTGAATATTAGATCTACTAACGCATGCATACGACGATCCGGCTATTCAATTAGTGGTGGAGTCCTTCAATACATAAGGGACCAGGAGGCTGCTAAAACGATTGCTCACTTCGTAAGTAAAAACCAGTCACCATCACACTGATGAGAACCGACAAGCACGGCTTTCATAACGTCATCAGAAACTTTCAAATAAGACTTGCATCAATACGACTTGATCAATTCGGCTGCTCACATCAATCACTTTCTGTTTAAAACAGCACGATCAAGACAGTATCGTTGCTCAAACCGGAGTCATTTCCATCAGCTCTGTACCAGCCATCATAGTTCCGGGAGGCGTACACAATCTAACTCTGAAAAGTTTGAATAATCCTACTGCCCCAATTCGTAAGTGAAGTTAATCTAATGCCTTGTCCCAATCTCGCACTAATATTTCGTTCCCGCTTTATTCCTTCTTTCTGAATTATAGTCGGAGCTCTTGTATATGCTGAAGACTGTCGTGGAAATCGAGTTGGCTCATTTATTTCAATTCCAAGTAGAATGAGTGTATTCCCAGCCTGTGGTATGTTTCAGAAGGACTGGTTAAACTCAAGCTTGCAACAAATTCCGCGTGTGCCATACTCACTCTACGATTGCCATTTTTTCCTCGTAGGTCCCAACAAAACAGGAGTTGTTCATAACAGTGTACTCAATGAAGATGGTCCAACTTTCACTGGTCTAATTTGGAAGGCTCCATCACTCTTTAATTGCTTGAATGGTAAGATCTCTTAAAGTGTCTTGAATCTCAGGATTTGCAACGTAATTTGCATTCCCTCCATTTGTTGCAACAAGCAACACTAACAAATAAACCAATCTTGATAATATAGTTACTTTTAAAGGCGTTGCAGTAGATGAGGTTGGATTTGGAAAGCACAACGTAAGTTGTTTGATTATCTGGTCGCTTAAGTCACCAACAATCTGACAAGTTTCTGCTTTCTTAGACCACTTTCCAGGTCATGAGAACCAAAATTGAAGGATGAAGGAATATTCAAGTGTTAGACAGCTAAACACATCAGTACAATGCGAGTGGACAGTAATATCAGTGAAAGTAATAATTTAAAACACGCATAATTTATAACGACATCGAAATAAAACAAACGTATAGACAAAATGTGATAAAGAACCCCATATATGACATTTGAAACTTTACTAGTTAATGTTCTAAATACTTAGGAACCGTCCAAAATTATTCTGCACCTTTTTGTCTCATTATCCTTCATCATCTAACCAATTTAGTTGACTAGGCCCTCGTCTTCGCTGACGTGGCAGATGGTTTCGGTACTTTCATGCCTTTGTAGCCAACACCACTTCTACAATCACATAAAACGGTGTCAGAAAGTGTGGAATGCAGTGGATATACAGCCATCCTCTTACCCAAACACATGACGAGCGAAACCGTCATAAACCGTCCAAATAACAGACGACAAGGATTGTAGATACACATGAGCTGATTCTGGAATCCCAATTTTGAGCAACCTGTACAACGCAAACACAGGGATAGCGAAAACCACAAATGTAAGACCAAAAACGATCCTTCCAACATGTTGTCCGATTGTCTTTGGTGCGTACACTGGATACGACTTCATCCAATTCAGGTAATCAGGATTCACTTGATGTAGAGCCGCACCGTCTGTACACAGCGCTAAATAACGGGCCGAGGGTGCTATTGAATGTTCCACATCTGCAGCTCGTGTGTATAGGTTCTTTGGATATGATTGCAGCGTCCAGGCTTCAATTTTCTGACCATCATATGATACACACTTTATACAGACTGCTTCGTAGCCCTAATTATATATTGATTGTTAGACAAAGAGCCAATTTCATAGATTCATGGTGATTAACACTTACCGAACCCTTCCTACCACCTCCACCTTCAGTCTGCTGAATCTTCTTAAACTCCTGTTTGGTGATTTTGAATGCTACACCGTGACAGGTTGGATAGTACTCTAATTTCTTTGCAAGATGTGGGTGATCGTGAGGCAAGACGGTTGCAAAGCCTGGTTCCACATAAGGAGCTCCTCTCATATCAAAGACGAGAACATAAGCTACGTTTGAATAGGTAATACTGTCAGTGAGATGTTTCTTAACAGTGTGTTGAGCAAACAAGGAAACATCAAGCACTTTTAATGATCTCACCCTCAGCAAATACTGCAACAGATTCTGTTGGTTTGATGCCTCTTCTGCCTGTTAACACTTTAGGGCTCATATTAGAGCCATATCCCAAATACCTGAGAAAGACGTATTGTCAGCACTTTTTTTGAAATGATGAAAGGGACTACAACCTTGGCAAAAAACAAACTGGACTATATAGCACCATATAGGCTCATCATCCATTACTGCGAAAGGTTCGTCCATGCTGAGTCTGCTCGTCGAATTGCTGAATGTTTCAGATCACAGTTTGGAAGTTGTGTGTCTGATGGTTGTAGATGCACGATGTCGGGCAAATCTAGTATGGGCAGAGCTACTAAACAGTATGCGATTATGAGGTTCGAATCAGATCCACTTAATTTTTTTGGCTTGTGACGTGGCAGCGAGTCGAAAAAAGACAAAAGGAATTTCTAATTTCAAGCAGGCTGACAAAATCAACGGAACGCGAAACTAGGCGGCGGAATACGTGCATCCTGTGTTCAATGTCCTTTATATCTATAATGTTGCGTAACTACAAATGGTATCTAGCGATTATTTCTGTGTATGTGCAAATGCTCCTGAAGCTCTAATAAACAGGTGCCTTCAAATTACAGCCTACGTGCCCTCGACTTCGGACTCAGTCGTACACAGTCCTGCTCATATGTGTGCCGGGTATAATCTTCGTGGTCCCCATGATCGTCGAGTTGAGCGACCGTGGACTTTCTATAGTGGAGTGTAGACCATTTTCCAGTAACATCATGCCAGCTTTCATCCTTCGTTTGAGTGCTAATACGAGTCTTGAATGGGCCTCTTGGCGGATCATTGAAGACATAAAACAGATATGGGAGTAGATCTCTCACGAGCGACGTGATGAGGAATATAAAGACGAGCCCAAAGACAGCTTCATACAAGTACATCATAAATGACATGTTTTCCTTCTTTGCTTGATGCAGTCCTGTTTGAAGAAGGAAAGCTTGGTCAAATTCGGAGCTAAATACTTGTGACGCAAAAACTGAAGCAGCGAATCATACCAGAGTAGAGTTTTTGGTATCAATCGCTATAGGATCAAGAGATAAACTTCCCTTTCTATTGCTCAGAAGCAGTCACGTAGTTTCAGGACGCCCACGTGCTCTTTATATCCTCAATCACAGAGTTTAAAGTAGTTTGTGGAGAAACATCTTCGCACGAAAGTGTGCCACCAAAGTCTAACGGAGAGTTGTACGTGACAAATAACCAAAGTATACGTGCATTCGCTTCCTGAAAGATTATATTACTGATGTACGCGATAAACACAAATCCAAATATACATATGAAATTCCAAAATATTACAAGTTTACTTTTTTTTCAGCGAAAACTTCACTCCAGATCCCAAACCGCCAACTGCACCTGAGCTGCCAAAACTGAATTGTACTTTGGTTGGCGGAGCATTGTTCACGTTTGATGATGTGCCACCACTGGCTCCTGGTGGTAATGGCTCGACTCCAGGCGGTAGGTCTACTAAGATCGACGACAAAGATGCATCTGACGATGTAGTAGATTGTTTGATACTAGTATTAGCAGCATCCATCAGCTTCTTGACCTCTCGTTCCTCCCGTTCTCGTTCTCGTTGTTGCTTCTTATCAGCTCCATTTCTTGTGCCTGGTATGATGCCTTTTCGAGACATTTCCTTCATCTCTTTGAGGCGCTTGGTATGATTATGGTCGTATGAGGTCAGATGGGCGTCGTAGTCCTGTATCTTGCGATATTGTTTCTCACACAAGTCGCAATAGAATGGCTTATTGATCTCCTGTACATCGTCTTGGATTCGTTGCTTCTTAAGTGCGAGGAGCTACGATTCCAGAAAGATAGGTAGAGAGAGGAATGGAGAAAAGAGCGTGAAAGAATCCATTTTTGTTTGACGTAAGAAAAGTAACAACGTGTGCTCAAACTTACCTCGCGTATCTCCTTCTCTTGATCAGTCTCAGAGGCGATAAGCTCTGTTTCCAGAGCCTTCCTCTTGGCAGTTGACGCACTATGGATAGCGTACACTTCTTCCGCCCTTCCTAAACCTTGCGTGTCGAGTTTTTTATCTATAGCTACAGGTTCGAGACGTCCTAAAGTCAGAGGAAATGTTCATATCATTAGTTTTGAGCATTTATAGATCGTGATTACGACGATTGTGTTTCAACGAATGGTGATAGGAGTTCACCACCAAATGCCTTCCCAAAGAAGAGGGAACACGTATGAGTACCTTGAGCTTGGGATCCTAGTCCCTTCCCTTCTATGTATCCCATCTTTTTCATCATCTCGAATCCTTTATTACTCTTGCTCAATGGTCTAGTCAACGACGCTGATTCCTCCTCTTCTTGCTCATAGTCATTTCCAACAGGATGAAAGTAAGTACTATCTTGATGGCCTTGCAAGTCAAAGTCCCGAAAGTCTTCGGCTGTCCACTCTTCCCCCATTATTGCTAGTAGCCTTGTGAATATTTTGTATCTTGCTTTGTTGCTACGACAAGCAGACCCATTGAACATCATACAATCCTTAATCACGTCAATATACACGTGTATTTTATTAACTAAATAATTTACAACCATAGGAAATGGACTGGCAAGAAGCTCTCCCAGCTCTTGGTCTCACGACATCAAGCAAACATGGATGGAATGTAGTCAGTCAACCAGACGCATCCAAATCTAGACGACTGATGGCTACTCGACAATCTGAACTAGTCATCGCCCTGCCTGGAACTGATAATACTTCAAGGATACGGACATTGCCATTGCGAGAACTGAAGAGAGCGTGTATGGATCAACAAGACTCGTCGGATTCTCAAACAGACAAACTTCCTTCATTCAAAGTAAGCCCCCAATACGAGATCTTGCTCACATATATCGCCCCTGTCGCCTTTGTAAATGTTGTAGCAGGTCCATAGTTCGTGGTATCAATTGAACATGCGTCCTCGTTCTATTGCTAGGAACTGGATACTCCTAAAATAACATTCACAATCCGTCAAATGGAAATGAATCCTAAATCAAGCTTGTTGGCTGTAGCCGGTGATCACGATCTTGTTGTTCTCGTATTGCCACAACCAGGAACATTTGCAAGCTCAAAACCACCAGAGTAAGCTTTGAGTTGTGGACTGGTGTGATTAGACCAACAGTGTCCCTCACAACCTTTGTTTCTAAAAGGAGCCACATTGTTGGTGAATTGCATCATTCGGCTGATCAAACAGCACGCATCGCTCGATTGTTATGGCATCCTCATAGTCTGAATGGAACATGTTTGATGGTCTTATCGACAGATGGCAATTTGAGGTAAAATGTATAGAAGTATGAATGTGGTATTTTGTAGAAATGTCCCTTACATCCCAACCTTCTTAGATTATATGATATCCAAAAGGACCTCACAAACCCCAAGCAGACGATTCCAGTATTCAAGGCGACACTAACTACCAGACTACAATCGAAATCAAATCATTTTGGGTTAGATGATAATGACGACGATGACGATGAGGACGATGAAGATACAGACGAAGAGGCTGTATCCATGTGTTTGGGTGAAGGACTAGGCTGGGGACGATATACTGCATATGTTGTTACAAAGACTGGAACAATGTATTCTATATGTCCTGTGATGCCTACTAGCTGGTTAGTGTTGTAAATGAGTCACAATGTTTTTTGCTGATCGACAAGCTCATTCGGTCTCTCCTTTCCGCACGTTTAGTGAAGTAGATTTAAGCCATCTCGCACATTTAGATCTTCTCTTATCAGCCAGCACCCCAGAATCTCAAGAACAGGAACGACAAATACAATGTCAAAGAAACCTACTAGAAGAACTGAGACGATCAGCATCGAAATCAGCCAATCTACCGACCGAGAAAGTAGTCGTCATCGCTCCTCCACGAGGATTACAGCATTTAAAAGCCCAGTCGCGTCCTTGTCGACTTGTACCTCAAACAGCAGGATCACGGAATCAAGTTGCTAGTGACATTGTATATATGCCTGCAGATCCCATGGGCATGCTGGTAGTGGCTTACAATGGAGGAGGAGTAGATCTGTTGCTAGAGATTGAAAGACCGCAACCATGGTGGAAGTTTGAAGTCAGAGCGGTATGTGAGGCCACATTCAAGCCAGAATTACATTGATCTGGCAGCTAATGATTAACACTGTCTAGGTTCCAATCGTGCTCGCTGTACAGGATCGACTGGATTTGAGTCTCAATAACACCACTTCCAATACACCGTCAACCATACCCTCCATCATCACAAAAGATCCCAAATATACCGATACATTATATATAACGCATGAAAGTGGAATGCACCGAATACGATTGTCGGCAGTCTTTGACGAGTTACGGACACTCAAGAGTCAGGCTAGAGTAGACGCGCTCAAGAGTGAAATGGAAGTGGACTGGGTTGTTAATACTAGAGGCTCTTCACCGTAAGTTTCGTCATAAGGCTTCTCATATATTGGAAGTTTTTTGCGCACTGTGGTAAGAGGCTAAATCGACCTCAATTTAATGACATGTAGCAAACCATCTCCCCCACTCGGTCTAGTCCTCTTGACAGACGTATATTTATCATATTCTTATATCTTTCTTCACTCATCTCTCCGACTACACGGACAACCACTTCCTCTACGTTTATTTCATCCCACAATACCAAAACACATGCAAGACAAACTACTATATCCAAAATATTTGCCAGCTCCCTTCCAGGTACCTGCTGTCTTGCAGCATGACTTGCCTCGTATACCTCAAATGGTGCGAGCAGGTAATATGACTGCTGAAGATGCGTTGAGGTTTATAGCTGATGTGGGTGGTAAAGTGATTGAAGAGGTTGCTGCTGTTGAAGGAGCTTGTGATGAGTTACGACAAAGGTGAGCTCATTCTTGTTTCCTTTAGATCTTTTTTGACAGTTTACGTTTGAACATGTTTTATTAACCTGGTCTTTTACTCCCTTCACACTCGCAGACTGTATCTACAAAATAAGGAATTCGAACTCCAGTCAACAGACTTGCAACGTCTGAAATCCATCATCCAAACCTCGCTACATCCAGGCCTAGACAGGCATACCACGAGACTGGCTGATTTGATTGATGCTCAGGAAGCAATAACAGCACGAGCAGATATAGTGCTTCAGATATTGACGGATCGAACGCAACCACAATTGTCTCCCGAAGAACGAGGATTTATTCGAGAAGTTAGCCGTGTGATGAGAGAAGTGAAGGACAAGTCGTCAAAGCAGATTGGAGTGGTGAGGCCTTGGAGTTGACAGTCAGGATTCTTTTGTTCTCTCACCTTTCAATGCACAAAACAATGTTTCCTCACATCATTTTCTCCTCTTTAGCTAAAACAACGAGTTGAATCAATCATTGAACAATCCAAGAAACAGCTCTTAGGAGCTGAAGACGAAGAAGTAACAGCACAGTCGTATGATGTCGATTTGGGTACCTCACAAGCCAAACGAGTCAAAGAAGCTCTCAAAGTCGAGCTAGAATTGCTGAAAGATGCTCGAAATAGAGTGAATCGGATTTGGGATTTGGTTGGTACTAGTTGAAAACCAAGTCAAGAACGTCCTTTGGACAAGAAGCCGACATAAAAGGAGAAGTTCTTGTACTACTAATGTGTATGTCTATCAACAAAAAATGCTATACAAATATATAAAACTTGGAAAAATATGATAACGAGTAGGTGTGTATAATGTTTGTGACATTGCTCCATCCTCCCACTATGTAAATCATGATTCGTCTTCTTCTTCGAGCAGCCCATCATCTAATTCAAAACCAAACCCATCTTGTAACTCCTCGTCATCTGGTGGTTTGTCACCGAGTCTGGAAAAGCCTCTATGCCGATTCAACCAACGATCCGCCCTCCTCCACCAATTCCTAAACCTCACAAAGAGGTTATCATACTGGAAAACGTATCTCGCAACGGCCCATACAGTCCCTAACATAAGGAGCAAGACAAATCCAAACAACAACGGTCCAAAGAAGATCGTGTTGGCGACTTTACCACCTATTGATGTACCAGGTCGTGATGCCTTTGCAGGTAATTGTGGGATGACAGATAGGAGGTTTATAATCGCGTCTGTATGGGGCGATATGACAGAGATCAGCTGATCTGAAGCAACCCATATAGAGTCGCTTGCAGAGTGTGAGCCGACAGACAAGACTAATTCGAGAGAGAATATACCACGAGCGTCGAATGCGTAATCTAATAGGCTGCCTGGTCGTAAATATGGGAGTTTGGAGAGTCCGCTACCTGCGTACAAGTCCATTGCTGATGTGGTGTTTGTTATAGACTCTACAAGGAGTTTGTATGCGACTTGATCTGCTGGTGATGGTATTAAAGTTGGCGAATACGTGTATGGTGAGACAATACGTGTTTTACGTGCTTCGAATGGCGAAGAGTTATTTATCACGGGTGGAAGTTGAGATAGCATGAGTAGTGCTAAACAAAACGACAGTGAGTAATCTGACTGCGAAAAAGACAAGTTTTACATCGAAAGCATACCTTTCGGCTTAAATTTATCCAAAGCGCCCAACACAGCTCTAGTCTCTGGCTCTTCATTCGGCCTTTTACCATGATATATATTCGAACAACCGTCTTCGTGATCCATGCGGGCTGCATCAGTGTCATTACCAGAATATGTGGTCCAATAGACATCATAATTCCTTGTAAGATCCACTCCGTCAAGGTCAGCGTCAGCACTACAAGTAGAAGCCATATTCTTATTACGAGAAACATATCCAGGCTCTGCTTTCTCCCAAGCGTCTGCGTTTACTAAAGGCATCACCACGAGACGTGTCGACGAGAGTATCGGCAGTTCCGTTTCAGAGAGTTTGTTGATCAAATACAAGGACGTCATGAGTGCTAGTGGTGTCTGGGCATCGAGCAAAGAGACTATCAGTATAGTAGGCCGATCTGTTGTTGGGATCGTTGTGTTCTTGGCAGAAGTTATGACGAGTCCGCCGAGATTTCGATTTCGTAAAGAACTCCCGGCCTCGAAATAGCTCATATAGTCGACATTTGTTGATTTTTGCTTCAATAGAGAGAGAATGTCGTCGGAAGAGTAGTAGCCTATACACAAAATACATTGATCAGGAACAGAAGCCCGAAAGGTTCTTGACAGCAAAGTTAAACTTACCTTCACGACTTCCACTCGGGAAAGCATTGGACATTATCCTACTATTATTTACCAGCCTTTCTACGAGTCTTACCTTTTCTTGCTTGCCGTTAGAAACGAGAAAACTGGCGAAACACAACTTGGTGAATCGTGGCAAATGGCAAAAGAGTCGCACCCAAGAAAACTCAGAACCCAAACATTTACATATATTACGCGTCACTAACACGTGTAAAGTGTAAATTAGTCCTAAATATATACACACTTTTAAGCTAGTCACGGTATTGAGGTCGCATCGTAATAGAATAGACGCTGCTCAAGCCTCTGTGCCGGATTTTCAACAGCACAACTCTTCACAGCTTCCCAGCCAGGTATTTGATACGTGATTGTCACGACGCGACTGCCCTTTACTGCACGTAACCACGATGCAAGCAATGGATCAAGTTTTCCAAGCCCGATGGGCAGGAGATACAGAATAGCGACAGACACGTTCAAGCCAGCCAAGTCTACAGCAAACATGTCCCCTTGTATAAACGTGAAGTGTGCTGCTTTCTCATATGAGAGGAGTGTCCTTTCGATGTGCTCTGCGAGATATGGATCCATTTCGATGCCGATACAGTGTTTTGGAGGTGTGGAGCTGTCTAGAGCTTGAAAAAGTATACGTCCATCTCCACAACCTATAAGTGACGATGCGATTAAGAATAGTCCCGAATTGACAAGGACAGCGTCGTTTGTTCACCTAAATCCATCAAAACATCGTCTGATTGTATTGCAACCAATAGCAGACTCTGCTGAATAGCTGGTTCTGATGCGGGTACGTACGGGGCAACGTATGCGGTTCCGTCCAGAGGTTGCGTGTTGACCAACTGTTGATCGTTGAATATTAGTGACAAATGTCGTGTTTTTTGGAGCTAAACAAAGACGTACGGTCTTCAAAATTGATGTTTCTGGTGTTTTTATATCATTTGGCATGTCATCGGAGTCAGCAAAAGCCAACAATTCCTCTTCTTGCGCATCTTCTATCACCATTTTCTTTCAACTGCAACACCACAGGTAATAGCAATAATGGAACAGTTCCCTGAATTAAAGAATGACTTGATTCTGCGAGCAGCTCGTGGAGAAAAGACTGAACGAGTACCTGTCTGGATTATGCGACAAGCTGGTCGATACTTGCCAGGTAAGTTGAATGCTGAGTTGAGCTGAGTTGAAAAAGGCAAATGAGGAAAGCTGTGAAGGAGAGAACGCATCAGATGCTTGATCATGCTGTCCATTGTTAGATCTTTATTGCTATTTTGTCGGCCTCGCTTTTGTCGCAGAGCTCTAACATCAACATCATCTCATTCCAACCCAGAATTCCGAGAAACACGAGCAACAACCGAATTCTTCACCGTATGCCAAACTCCAGCACTAGCAACTCGAGTAACTCTCCAACCAATCGAACGATTCGGTGACTTACTCGACGCCGCAATCATCTTCTCCGACATTCTCGTAATCCCTCAAGCTCTAGGCATGGAATGTCAAATGCTACCTGGTGTAGGCCCACACTTCCCAGCTCCTATCCGACAAGTATCTGATCTAGAAAAGCTAAACAAAAATGTCGACGTAAATAAGGAACTGGGCTATGTGTTTGAGGCATTGACCATGACGCGACATGAGTTGAAGGGACAGTGTCCATTGTTTGGATTTGCTGGTGCTCCGTGGACTTGTATGGCTTATATGATTGAAGGCGGTGGAAGTAAGAATCTGGCTAAAGCTAAAGGATTCTTGTATAATCATCCAGACGAGAGTCATCAGTTGTTACAGCTTATAACGGACGTAACCATCAATTATCTGGTTGGCCAGATCAAGGCTGGTGCTCAGGTAATGTCCCAGGGTTAATTCATGACATAACGAATTTGTCAAAGCAAGAGAGCAAGAAGAGGTCGAGTCCCTTCACGATACATCACTCAACCATGTGTTTTCGATTAGATCGTTCAAGTGTTTGATTCAAACGCCGGTGAACTATCACCACATGTCTTCAAAAAATTCTCACTCCCATATCTCCGTCAAATATCCAAAGACGTCAAGGCAAAACTGACTGCCATGTCAATAAAACCAGTACCAATGATTGTATTCGCCAAAGGAGCCCATTTCGCTCTCGAAGAGCTGACGGAGTCGCATTACGATGTGGTATCATTGGATTGGACGTTAGATCCAAGTAAAGTCCGTAAAGTGACTACAGATAAAGTCACTTTACAGGGTAATGCTGACCCCATATTGTTGTTTGCGGATCGAGACACGATTCGGGCTGAAGTGAAATTGATGCTGGAGGCATTTGGTACGCAACGATATATAGCTAATTTGGGGCATGGGATGCTTCCAGGTAGGATATTTCAAGGTCGATGTCGAATTCGATGTACCTCGTGTGATACTATTTTTTGCTTTTAGATCACAGCCCGGAGCATCTCAAATGGTATCTCGAAGCTATTGTAAGTTCTTCTCTCAACCTCTTTGGACTGATTCCAAACCAAATACGCTCATCAACTAACTCTTTCTTGTACAAATGCAGCGTGATATATCTCTAGAGATGAATGCCAAAAACTAAAAAATTACACTGTACAATGTGCTTCTTTTGTTCTCAATAAGACCTGCAATACGTCTACCTCATTATAAGTTGCGAAAAGGGTACCTGATTGACTTTTGTGCTGCCATTACTATGATAGATGAAGCCAATGTCTGAAGATGCTACCAGTTTTGATACACTAGGTGCAACATTCCCCAGGGATTTATCGATCACATCACTTTGGCCGTCCACATTGGAGAAGTTGATGTGTGATTCAGCGTCTTGTGATGATATTGCGAGTGGAGCGGCGGTGTGGCTCAAGAACTAAAAGTGAAAACTTGTTACAACATAGACCTTTACGTTTTTGCAAGTTACTAGCCTTGTACCTGTACAATAGTTCCTTCAACTAGATCCTCATTACACTCGACGGCAAGGTTCCCTCTAGCAGGATCTCCACCTGTTATTCTATAAACATCCGTATCTCGTATCTTGAGATAGAGTCTCCGGTCTGTTGCGTCCTTTGCTGAACTGCCTTGTACTGATGAAATAAGGCGTCGTGCGGCATTGTCTCCGTCTACTCCCAGTATAATGTTTCCGCGACAACTGCGAAAGAATGGGTATGTACAAATGAGTATGCGAGAAAACGTATGGATAATAGGAGGGAGTATATATTTAGTACCTTGTGATCTTCATTGGTTCTCCAACAGGCTGCAAATGATGAGAAACTTGAGCCAACGGTTTACTTGGTAGTCTCATTAATATACCAACGACGCCATTCGACAATATCGTATCATTGTAAAAGAGAGTTTGTGGGAAACTTGTTGTAAATGGTGTATTTGAACCAATTAGGCCAATCTAAGGTGCATTTTTTTAGCTCAAGGCTGCTTGTAAGACGAGTCTTAACACATTCTTACCTTTGTTATAAGAGGAAAATAACGATCAAGAGCACTTAGTATGGACTGAGGATATGCATTTGAAAACATGAGCATCAAATTCCTAGTGATCAACAGGTGAATACCAAACCCGTCAGAGAGAAAAATGGATACACGAGAGCTTACGAATCTGCCAATGGCTTTAAACGTTTGATTTGATCATCAATATACTGATCCTCTTGACGAGTCGACACGGACTGAAACTTGGCCATCTGAGCTTCCCGAATCGTTCCACCAACGCCTCTCTTTGAATCATGCCATCTTCCTACTGATTTCTGAATACCTTCTGATCCACCGTTAACTTTGAAAGGCTTGACACTCGATTGTATTGCTGCAATGGCCAGGTTCGAATTCGATGGTAGCGAATAGGTGACGGCACCGATGAGGGTGGAATTTTTAGGTAGTCTTGACATTATTTCGATTGGTAGACGTTTCAATGATTGCAAATTGGGAGTTGCGAGAGCTATATACACGCTTGAAGCTGAAGGTGTTAATGGTTTGAGGCAAGCTTCGACTGCAGTAGCCACATTTGGGTCAGACGAGTGAGCAATAGTGAAGATTCTGCGATGATACAGCCCATAGGCTCTTCTGCAAAGTGGTTTCATTATAACGGAGACACCGATCGCCATAGTGTCTGTTTTTTTGATGTTTGGTGGATTAAAACACGGTCGAGCAAGTGCGAGCCCGGAGATAGATTGAACAGCTAGCGGTGTAAATAGGATCTGAAAGATTGCCTGGGGAGTGGTCCAGCTTATGAACTTTTCATTTGAACATGAGTTTGCACCGAGAATCAAAATAAAAAAGAGACCCGTTGCAGCTATCGGAACGACGTGATTTGCGTTGATCTAGTTGAATCAAAATGATAAAATACATACTGGCTTCAAGCCAGTGCCTATTGTTGTTCAGAAAATGGCCGTCATAGCCCCCCTTTGGCCTCCCTCATAATCTTTTTTTTCTTCACAACATTTTTTTTTTTACGCTTCTAAACAATCAACGAAGACTTACTAGAACAGCAGAAGGTAAGCAAGATCAAGAAGCTAGTACAGTCTATTCATCGCACTCGTTAGCCTTTAAATCAATGCAAATTCAGTAGCTCACATAACTCCTTAATTCGATTTTAGATATTGATTATAATGGGCAAACCTGTTCAAAACGGTGTTGCAGTTGCCAATGGCAAGAAGGCAAAGAACGCCGCTGCTCCTACTGCCAAGAAGCCTGAAGAATCCAAAGCTGTCAAGAAAGGTATGCTTGTTCGTGTGTGCTCTGTCTAATTCAACATTTGGGGGTTCGTGATCTTTTTTTTTCGCAACGGGTGACATGAAAAAAAAAGATGCCACACATGTGAAAGAGGGTTTGCAGAGTTATAAAGAGTATTAAATTGTTGAGTGATCGACTATACAATGATGTAGTATGCTCCTGCAGCAGCGATCTCTCTTGAAACCGCCTCCTTACAAACTTTTTTCTCACTTCCTCGTTTGGAAAAAATCCCACTTTCCATCACAGCTCAAGTCCCACCACCCAAACCGGTTGTAGAGGAATCTGATGAAGAAAGCAGCGATGACGAAGAAGAACAAGTTGTTGCCAAACCAGTCGCAAAGAAGACCGCCGCTGCTCCAGTAGTCGCCAAAGTCGCTGCCCAAGAATCATCCGATGAGGAATCTAGTGATGAAGAGGAAGCACCAGTAGAAAAGAAACCAGTTGCAAAGAAGGCTGCTGCTAATGGTAACGGTAAAGCTGCTGCAGCTCCAGTAGTAGCTGCTGCTGCAGCCAAGAAGGAAGAATCTGACTCTGATTCATCTGATGATGAAGAGGAAGAAGTCAAGGCTGCTGCTCCACCCGCTAAAGTCGCAAAGGCTGCTGCACCTGCTGGCAAGCCCGCCGCTGCACCAAAAGCTGCTGCCAAGCCAGCTCCAGTAAAAGCTGTAGTCGCTGCCCCAGAATCATCCGATGAAGAATCCAGTGATGAAGAAGAAGTTGCTAAGCCAGTTGCTCCAGTCGTAGCCAAGAAGACTGCTGCTGCCCCAGCTGCAAAGCCCGTAAAAGCTGCTGCCAAACCAGTCGTTGCTGCACCGGCTAAGGCAGAGTCATCAGACGAGGAGAGCAGTGATGAGGAAGAGGCTGTTGTAAAGCCCGCCAAGGCACCTGCAACCGTCGCCAAGACACCTGCAAAGCCAGTAGTTGCTGCTGTTGCAGAGTCTTCTGATGAAGAGAGCAGTGATGAGGAGGAGGAAGTTAAGCCTGCTGCTCCTGCCGCTGTTGCTGGTGGTAAACGTAAAGGTACGCAATACGTGGTTTCACGAATCCTTTTTTTCGCTCACGCCAACCCTGTGTATTGATTCTAATTCATCTGTTCCACTACCAGCTGAAGAATCTGATGAAGAGGAAGATGATGAAGACGATGAGGAAGAAGAGACTGCTGGTATGTCTCACTTACTTGATTCATTCATCCGACAGGCGGTGCTTTTTCTCACGCCATCTACTTCGTTTGAACAGCACCAGCTGCCAAAAAAGTCAAGACTGACGACGACGAAGAGGAATCCAGTGACGAAGAAGAGGAAGAAGACGATGATGAAGAAGAAGAGAAGCCAGCACAAAAGAAGAGATCTGCCAATGGTGTGGTGACTCCTCCCACCACTCCAAACAAGAAGGCTAAAGCCAACGATGGATCAGCTGTCGCTACATCATCTGGTGAATCGAATACTATATTTGTTGGTAACCTGTCTTGGAATGTCACTGAAGAATGGTTAGTTGAACACTTTGGAAGTTCTGGTGAAGTCGCCTCTGCTCGAATCATCACTGATCGTGAAAGTGGCAAACCTAAAGGGTAAGTTGCAATATTTCGCAATGTAAATCGTTGTGCTTAAGACTCAAACATAACTCACACATTCGTTTCTTCAAACAGATTCGGATACGTCACGTTCGCTTCTACGGAAGGTGCCAAGTCAGCCATGTCTATGAACGGCAGTGATCTAGATGGTCGCGCTCTTCGTATTGACATTGCAGCTCCTCCTACACCTAAAGGTGATCGACCCAGTAACGGTCGAGATGCTGGTAAATTTGGTGGTCGAGCTGAAGCTCCTACATCGCCTCCATCTGCGACTCTCTTTGTTGCCAACATGAGCTTTGGATGCTCTGAAGACACCTTACGTGATGTCTTTGGTACTTATGGTGATGTGAGCTCAGTTCGTATACCTACTGATCGTGAAAGTGGTCGTCCCAAAGGGTACGTTCGACACTTCTGAGGATGTTGTTTTTTTCGCCATATCTCAAGTATTGACCTTTTCCCTCCATCCAATACTAGATTCGCATATGTCGAATTCTTTGACGTAGACACTGCCAAAAAAGCTCTTGAAGGTGTGAACGGCACAGACATTGAAGGCCGATCAGTCCGTATTGACTTCGCTACTGAAAAGCCAGCTGGTGATTCAGGCAACCGTGGCCCTCGTGGCGGGCGAGGTGGAGGATTCGGTGCTGGACGTGGAGGCCGTGGTGGGTTCGGTGATCGAGGTGGCCGAGGCGGCCGAGGCGGAGGACGTGGGGGATTTGGTGATCGTGGTGGCAGAGGTGGAGGACGTGGGCTAGGATTCCGTGGTGGTCGTGGTCAAGGTGCTAATGCAATGTCGTTAGGACCTCGCGGCAAGAAAACTACATTTGACGACTAAACGAGATCTGGCTGGTGGATTTCACATCTCTCATCGACTATGGTATAGTGTTACCGTCAAACCATCCAAAAAAGACCCACATCAACAAAAACCGAATCATTTATTCAACATCAACAGCCGACACCCAACACCATTACATGTAAACGTAAACGTAGCTTTCAAACATAGATTGAGATTTTTTGTTGCAGAGTTAATAAACGCCTTTAGATTTTAAATTCGTCGAGTCAGTCCTTTCGTGAGCTGACATGAACTTACGCGCCTGTCATGGTGATGGTGTATTTCATCCAAATTTCTTAGTAGCTAGTCTCTAGTCTCGGAAACGAATTTCTGTCCTATTCAAGCGAAGCTTGCAAGATTGGCTACATCCATGGACCAGGCTCCAGGTAAATGAAGCCATGATTTATGTAGAAATATCTTTCTTTAATCAATCTAATCGACTTTTTCAACACTTTTCCTCACAAACAGAAGAATATCAATGTCTGCAAGCTGATGTTCCAGACTGGTTTGCCTGAAGAAGCGATTCTTCAATGATTTACAATATCAAACGGTCGCTACATCGTGTCTGAATTGTTGTGAGTCTCGAAAGCTAATCCTGTAAACATCAACATCAACTATTTTCAATCAATTTGGTGAAGCTCTCGAAAGCTTGGATGTCGACGTTGGAAGTCCAATAAGTGTGGAACAATGGTCGACATTCTTCCAGACTCACTCATGTCTTGAAACGCTTAGCATTTGTGCCATGGATCGTTCCACAACCCGATATATAGACAACATCGCCATGTGGCCTACTAGTCTTGCCACTGCTTTGCCAGAGAAGTCCCTCAAAATATTTAAAGCAGACGGAGTAATAGGCATTATCGAAGTACATAAGATGCACATTGATCTCATCGGTGCATTGACAACAGGATTTTTAACCGGAATTGAAGACTCTTGTTAATAGCGGATGGGAAGTATCTAGAGTTGGATTAGATTGGTTGGCCTTGTTTACCAAGCTAACATCGCTTGGCATGAACAAAAATATGCTGAATGATGATAATGAGGTGGAAGCTACTGAAGCGCATGTTGGAATCGCTGGGGAGGTCTGCCTCACTCACCTCAACATTGATTACTCTGTGGCTTTTCTGCCTGAAGAGTTACTGATAATCTTTGAGCAATGTAGCACAACTCGTACGTCTCTCACTTTGGAGGAAAGAAGATGGTTCGATGTACGAGGTGTCCTCGCCACTGCAGCAGGACTTGCGCTGACTATTCGTCGTAAACTTGTCGTAAATTACACTTTGCCAATGGTACATGGCCTTGTCGACTGGACCTGAAACAATGGTAGACAGTTGGAATCACTATCTATCCATTCCGCATCACCTGCTTCACCAAACAATGATCCTGAAGATGAAGACTACCCAAAGACATATCGACATTATAGTAGTATCATAGAATATTGCCCAACCTCGTCGAATTGAATGTATATACGATGGTCACTGATCTCACCAGTCAAGACGTATTGGATACATCGACAAGCTTGGAAAAACTACGAAAGTTTTCTGCAGCAATATCCAAACTCTCCGGAGATGCGTTATTGTCTGCTGCTGTAGTCATTGCCTCATCTGACAGGAATACGTATCATATAACTCCATATGTCGACCAAAAACTAGTATTTGGAAAGAGTTGCAGTAAGCTCAAGGGCCTTGACGTGAATGGCATCTCTGAAAAGGAAAATTTGGGTGAAGTCCTTAAAGACTCCTTCAACGCCTTCTCGAAAGTCCTCGTCATAGATCGCCTCAGTTTGTATGGTGCAGCAGTAGTTGACGATGGCAGTTGTGGTTGGGCTGCTATACACTGGGGAAAGTCCAGCTGCTATACGTAAGAGTATGAGCAAACATGAAAGGTAGGATGGTGTATTTGGTCTTGCTGATTTGGAGTTTGGTTGGCTTACTACCGAAATACACCTCTAGGTCGTTGTATGTTGGCTGTGAGCTAAGCTAGCAATCTGCAAATAAATAGAGCTCACTGTATAAGAAGAATTTAAGAAAAAAACGTCGCCGTTGAGAGCTTCTAGAAACGCGTTGACCATGGCTTTCACGTTCTCTTGGTTCGAAATTCGGGGGGTGATCAACCCCCATGCAACAGGGGCCATTGTCAAATGCTTGACGACGCAGTAGCATATATCAGGAGGAGTGGGATATCAGAAGAGATACTAATCCTTGAGGTGTGATGAATATTGATAAAGCAACCATTCTCCGTTTTGCTTTGGGCAAGAGTATTAAAGAAACAGAGCTTTGAGGGTAGAGGTAGGGGTTTTCCTCATTTTCTCAAACTCTGACCTATAAACCTACACTCTTGTTCAGGATAACGGTAGACCAACAACAACATTCCCTAGATTCTTTGAAAAATTTACAATAGTTTTTACTCATAAGCCAATACTCTTGTTGAAGGTTTCAACCTCGACACTAAGAAAGTAAGACAATCATGTCATTTTGAATTCAGTTTACTTCATCTAGTCCTATCCAATTCTTTTATTGAAATGTATTGTCAAAGATCAAATACTTCGCGCAGAGCAGTTAGAAACTCAAAATAACCGAAGTGTTAGGTTTGTCCTCCTCAGTTTATTTACATTTGGCCCAACGCTCGTTTCAAGTTTAGTCTGCAACATTCTTTGGATGCCCTCAATATACTGCTTCTCAGAGAAACTGTTTTTCAGTCTAGTTTCGGTGTATTAACAGTGTTGGAGAGGTCTGTTCATTATAAACTACCTCTTGTTTTTGCCTCCTCCCTGAATGCTCTTGTGTCGAACAACTGCTATGAGTTTTCGGCCACACCATATCACCCAATACCGGCAGACGCGTACATTGCTCTGGTTGCTCCTTGTTCTCTCGAGTTGTCGTGTTATTAATTCTTCGTAATCTACCCGTCGTATCTTTGATGTGATGTTGTAGTCATTGCATCTGCGTTTTTTGATGTGTAGTTCTGCAAATATACATACTTTTGCTTGCTTGAAACAAGAGATTGTCAACAGGTCATCACACCTTGCCGTATGGCTGAAGTTGCCAGGGAAAAGGGGATGAGTGGTAGTATAAGGTCACATCGTGTATTTGGCTTTCGTAAAACTCTAGTCCCGCATAGCTGATATATGTCTTATCGATGTAGTGTACTACCATCTCACCTATATCGTCTTATTCTTTATAATGTCTTCTTAACTGCTCGAAGAAATCAGGGGAAGGAATATCTTCAGGAAGCTCCTCAAGACGGCCATTTTCTCCATTTTCATGATAATTTGAATGGCCTGCCTGCAAGTTTAAATGAGGATCAGCTAGAGGTGGGGCATCACTGCAACGGGTTTGAGGCTGAGGTTCCTGTTCCCAATATCCATTACAACTAACGACACAATGAAGATTAGTAAATACGCGGGGACGCGTACCCGTCATTACACACCTTCTGCAAACGAATCTTGCGATGAGAACAAATGCATGTGCATTGCCCTTGCAGGAATAGCGAATCGTGGATTTATGGTCAATCATCTCTTCCGCGACATCCGCCATACACCTAATGTATGATTGTTAGAGGCAAAGAAACGGCGGCCACTAAAGGTACTCACTGCCCACAACAAAGGTATAGACCTTTCTCTCCCAGATGCTTCACCTCTATCTTGCGCTCGATCAGGGCACCAGTACCAGGAGTAGAAATAGCGCCCACAAAAGTGCCCATATCATTATTTGGCAACGATCCTCTGCCGTTGTAGTTCGCAGCTGAGAAGATCACATTAGTACATATAAATGGGCTTAACTCATTCTTAAGAATGCCGCCTACGTACATCTTACATAGAATCCAACAGAAGTAGCGACTAAGCCATTGTTGAACCTTACTTTGAATTTACAGAGGCCCTTATCGCCCGACTGCCCCGTCAGATCTTGTAAACCGAGGGGCTTGTATAAATCAACGTCAACCTTCGACCAATCGTCCTCGCGGCTGTTCCAAGCGTCTACCTTGTCTCCGTTCTGCGTCAAAAGCCACTCAGTAGGCCCAGACTTGGCATTTGGAAAGACGATTCGTATATCTGAAACGATCGGATATGCATGTGCATCAAAATGGAGAGTGGTAGCGAACTCAAGTTTTGCGTGATAGGTGTAGGGAGCCTTTTTCTCCTGAGGCAACCAATCGAAGCCCTCTGACACGTTCCAGTCGGTACTCTTTTTCGTCCAGGGCCTGGCAAGAATGCTGACCTGCATATCTGTATCAGGAGACGGGAGTCAGATTGGGGCTCGTCTTTATTACGCGGTAATGAGAAGATGATGGCACACACCCGTTAGTCCAGAAAGATATGTCAGAAAAGCGGTCGCTCCCACGCGATAAAAATTATGTAAAGTGTTGCACAGGCAAATTTGCCTATAGACTGACCACAAGCCTGAAACGTTTCAGACCTTTCAAACCTTTCAAACGTTTCAAACCTTTCAAACGTTTTAAACTTTTCAAAACTTTCAAGGATTCAAATTCATCAACTCTTCATTTTTCAAGCCTACCATTCTCCATTATACAAATACTTTCATTGAACATGCCTCACCAAGGACCATTTCAAGCCATTCCTTTTGAACGTGTTGAAAGGAATCATACGGGAAACTGGGGCGGATTTCTGAACGGGTGGTCATGCTGCGGTCAAGGTAAAGGAAACACTTCATGGAGTCATAATGACTGTCACCCCCGGACTGTAAAGGGATCTGAAATTATTTGCCTTACGTACGTTATGTATCTCACATATTTTGTCATCGAGCCTGGAGTAAACTTCTCTCTGCATGATATTTAGATGCGGTACCGATCGGAAAGCTCCTCCTCCACCTGGATATGCCTGCAACTAGAAAACTAGGTATCACTTTTTTTGCGTTCCGTTTATCTTGTGCCTTCTAAGCATTGCAAACCCCTACCATCCAGGATACTGCTTATGACACAATAAGACTTTGGTGGCAAATCGTTATCTTTGTAGTTGTCCCAACGCATTATTGATTAAATTTCAAGTCATTTCAACGTATAAGCACTGCTGATGGATGATGTTGTAGTATGTTACGGGAGTTGAAGGCATGTTGCCACCGTCGTGAACCGATCGACAGTGGAACCTCTTGGCAATCCGTTGGGATGACAACACAAATTTATCTATGTGCAGCGTTTCTGAAACCACCTTTTGAACATGCCATATAACATTTCAAACGTTTCAAACCTCTTAATTCCTAATTTTAAAACTTTCAAACGTCAGGTACCCCTATTGCTATCCCGATTTGATGAGCTTTTTCTGGACTCAAACCTTTACTCCAGTACACAACGCGACGAGGAAGTTTCCTCCGATGCGGCCAATGTGAAAAACCCTGCCAAATTCGTGCTTTAAATTTCAAAGGTATCAAACCTTTCCACTCTTCATTTTAAAACATTCAAACGTTACAAGTTAAGCACGCTCTCAGCCCAACCCAAACTCAAAGTTTTCTATTATCAGAAATTAATCATGCCAAATCAAGCCATTCATTCTAAGCGTATTGAACGGAATCATACGGGAAACTGGGGCGGATTTCTGAAGGGGTGGTCATGCTGCAGTCAAAGTAAAGGAAACACTTCATGGAGTCATCATGTCAAGATGAAAGGAATTTCGAATATGCATAAAGGAAAGCTGCGCAAGAAGTATGTGGATACCAGGCTGGTCAAATCTGCTGTGGTGAACTCCATAGCAGATACTCTTGACAACAGCTGCTCAGCCTATGAAATGACGGAGCACTTGCAAGAAGTATATGGCCAGAGCTCGCCAGTATCTATTGTAACAAATTCGAGGAGTTGTTAAGTCTCAGTATGTCAGCTACTGAAGATCCAACGAAATTTCTTAGCAAGAGGACAAATATAGATAAAGAAATCAAGGTTATCCTCGCTTGTAAAGAAGTGACGGATGCTGAAGCTCTTGTTGGGATTATATGCCGTATTCTGTTGGTCAAGCAGATGGTCTTTGATCCCTATATCCATCTTCGAGAAGGTTTGGTCTCTGAGCCGAAGAAGACATCATTGACATGTCAATGGAAGAGATCCGCCTAAAAATGGTAAACCTAAAGGTCATGAATGTTACAAGCCCGACTTTTGGACTAAATGCTAGAAGCCAACAACAATCTCCAAAATCCACCGAATAAAAATAACTTCAATAATCGTGATACGAGAACCAGTAGTAACAGTAATAACCGTGTTGCTCGCCATTGTCGAAAGTGTTGGTCAAATGACCACTTCTTCAACGAGTGCCAGTCTATCGTTTATTTGCCATTCCCTGGTTTCATGGATGATCTGAACGATCGAAATATTGGAAGTACGAATACGAGAGTATGTACTAGGTGCGGAAATCTAGTCATCAACCAATTCCCTGGATTTGTAAAAGTCGCCGTTGGATTGACTGCCTCTTCATCGACTCTCGTATACCTCCATCGACTCTCGACCAGTGCGATCCGATGGCTACTTGATTCTGGTGCTAGCACACACATGACTGGGAATATTGAATTACTGTCTGATGTGGTCAAACCTAGTGCTAGGACCGTATCTGGACTTGGATCGTCTGTATTTAGGTCTACAGCTATTGGTGTCCTTGTTGGATCAGCAAATGGATTCGAATGGTCTATTCCGAACGTCTTGTATGTACCAGATATTGGTCAAAGCTTACTCTCTGAAGGACTGCTATTTGAACAAGGGATGGCTGTACAGAATCAAAATGGAAACAAAGTTCTTTTCAACGTCGAAAGAGTATATATATCAAACGAATTAATAATATATATCCCATTCCATTCGAAATGAAACCGCTTCGTCTTTGGCATTATCAGTACTAGCTGTTGATGATGGAAAACTGCTGATGATGGAAAACTTTGGCATGCCCGATTTGGACATCCATCTACTACACGACCAGTCAAAACTCTACCCTACCAGGTGTAGAGACTGATGATGAGCCGTGTAGACCGTGTATCAAACCTAAAATAATTAGATTACCTTTTCCTATATCCGTATCTCCAAAACCAGAAGCTTTGGAAGTACTTCATATTGACCCAATGGGCCCATTCCGTACAAAGTCACTTGATGGATCTGTTTATATCTTAAGAATTATAGAGGCAGGATTCCATTACGGATGGGTGTTTCCAAAGAAATCGAGAGCTGAAACTCCCAATTGTGACTAATTTGATGACGATGATTCGTAATCAATTTGGACTCACAGTCAAATTCTTTGAATCTGATAATGCTAGAGAGTTTGTTGTGAATACCGTGTCATCGCATTTACTTGAAAATGGCATTATACATCGACTCACGCTGCCACATGCTCATCAGCACAACGGAATGATTGAAAGATACAATCGCACCCTTCAAGAAGCTGCTAAAGCTCTACTCTTAGGTGCTAATTTAGCACCAACGTTTTGGGCTGAAGCTATCAAAACAGCATGCTATCTCCGAAACACGTTGACGACGACAGCTCTTGAGAAAGGGACTCCATTTGAAGCACTGTATGAGAAGGAACCAGTATACGATCATTTGAAAGTGTTTGGATCTAAAGCGTTCTTACACGATCCGACTGAATCCGATAAACAGCAGGATAGAGGTATAAAACCTGTATTTGTTGAATATGAGGCTGAATTTGGGACCTCTATACGTGGATGGAAATTTTATATACCATCTACATGAAAGTTCGTGTATTCTCGTAATGTAAACTGGTTGGAGGATACGAAATCTGATGGTAAAGGTGATGCTGATGTTGACTGCTCGACCCAACTCGAAATTGAAGAGGAAGATGTTTCGGATGGAACAGTCTCTGAAAGTGATGATGAAGTCATTATAGTCGATTTAGGAGTTGGTGATACGAAGAGATCTAGACCAGGTGGTATGAGTGGACCTTGAAATGTAGATGCAACATCTGATGGAGGAGGTGCTGTATCTCCACGATCTACTCCTCGTGAACGCACTGCAACTCCACCATCACCTTCACCACAGTCACCACTATCAACTGTTGCCACTCTCTTCAGCAAGTCGCTCAAGACGTTACCAATAGTGACAGTGATGATGGTTTTGTCAGTCATCCTTATAGAAAACTATCGGATACTCCTCTGGTAATAACACCACCACCTGCAACTAGGTCCCGTGGTGATCTAGGCTTGTCTAAGGGATAGTGTAGGTAATAAATAGGTCTGCACATGTTAGATATGATATGAGATCTGATCACGTGTTAGGAGGGCGAGCTCAGACACGAGATGTGACGAACGAATCTGTCGGATACGTATCAGAAGCAGGAGGATTCACTACGATTCTTCATCTTATGCATCCTCGTTCCTCTCCCTCAGACTTGACTTTGAAATTTGACACTTCCCTTCTTCAACCAACTTTAACAGAAATTTGTGAGTCGTTTGAAGAAGAGAAGATCTAAACAGTATATCACAGTCCATTCTATTATCTTTAATGATGTGACTGACACATTTGTGTCATGAAGGAATGGAATCTCCGAATGCGATGCCCCAATTACGTTTTAGATATTAGAAAGAAGCGAATCGTGAAAGAGCAAAAATTAGATTATCAATATCGTCAATTCCTATTCCGATTCCATTTCCATTTCGCTCCTGTTCATCTCTATAAAAGGTCCTATACAGCGCACGAGACACATCAAATTGAGTGGCATTCAGGCATGGGTTGGCCCGTTTCACAGAGAGTGGCTCTCCTACGATCGTAATAACATCATAGTTCAGTTCGAACCGAGATAAACTCATCTTGCTACCGTCGCTGCGCTAGGAACAGATATGTACAAAGATATATAATATCTCTTTGCGCGGTACAAATCGATCGGTGGGCAACAGTACATTTGAGTCTGACTGAGCTCGACTTGTCTGAAGCACGTTTAATATGTAAGAAGAATAGGAATACAGCCTGTACACCCCAGTTTTCTCTATCCAACATTGTATTGGGCTTAGATGATTTCACTGCGAGTTGTCACATCCTATTCATACATAAAGTTTGTGTGTGAGAGAGACCAGTAAATGGGACAAGGAGCCACTGACACACCTGCGCTTTCTTCAAAGCTCAACTTTAAATTCGTTGTTCACGATTTCACTGTAAGTGCCACATCCGGCGCATTTATAGCGCTGTTACAAAAAGAACGTGTGAAAAGAATGTCTGATACTAGGAATCAGATGCCATTGACACACCTGTGCTACTGCATTCATTCCTCCGACACTATTCCATTGCGTCGTGCTGCCGTGACATTTTGGGCATGGTGCTTGAATCGGACAATTAATGCCAACTATACGGGCCGGGGTTGTAAGTACAGATCCCATCCTAGACAGCATGTAGTATAGTTAGTGGATTACTTCCCTTGAATTGCATTGATCAAAGGGATTGACTCACTCACCTGGCTTCACTACTTCAAATGGTTTAAGTACTTTAAGAGATATGTGTGAGGTCCTCCGCGATTGTCTCTAAAGCTGAGAATTCTGAGCGCAACTTTGCTCTTTCCACGTGGTCATTTTAAAACGTTTCAGACCTTTCAAACCTTTCAACCCCTTTCAACCCTTTCAAACCTTTCAAACGTTTGAAGCTTTTCAAAACTTTCAAGGATTCAAATTCATCAACTCTTCATTTTTCAAGCCTACCATTCTCCATTATACAAATACTTTCATTGAACATGCCTCACCAAGGACCATTTCAAGCCATTCCTTCTGAACGTGTTGAAAGGCATCATACGGGAAACTTTGGCGGATTTCTGAACGGGTGGTCATGCTGCGGTCAAGGTAAAGGAAACACTTCATGGAGTCATAATGACTGTCACCCCCGGACTGTAAGGGGATCTGAAATTATTTGCCTTACGTACGTTATGTATCTCACATATTTTGTCATCGAGCCTGGAGTAAACTTCTCTCTGCATGATATTTAGATGCGGTACCGATAGGAACGCTCCTCCTCCACCTGGATATTCCTGCGACTAGATAACCAACAGATTGTAGACAGGTATCACTTTTTTTTGCGTCCCTTCTATCTTGTGGCTTCTAACCAATTGCCACCCCCACCACCATCCAGGATACTGTTGAGAAAATAAGATTTTGGTGGCAAATCGTATCTTTGTAGTTGTCCCAATGCATCATTGATAAAAATTTAAGCCATTTCAACGTATAAGCACTGCTGATGGATGATGTCGTAGTATGTTGCACGAGTAATGCTCAGATGTAGATGTTACAGAAGACCACGCTGCCACCGTCTTGAAGCAGTCGAGAGTGGATCCTGTTGGCACTTGTGCGTTGGCATTCCGTTGCGATGACAACGCACTTTTGATCCATAAAAAATGCATCTGTGCTGCAGCGTATTCTGTCTAGCAAAGGAATGCATCGTAGGCCATGATACTTTAGAGTCAGAACTGCGGTCTTGCTGAAAGCCTACAGATTCTTTTCATTTCAGCTTAAAAATCGGTCAATGCGGGGATTCTTCCATTGACTGTCCGGCCAGCATACCAGACGTGTCGACGTTTGCGCGCCAATCGAGGGTGATTGCCAGGAAGGAGATGTCCCAGTGGTGGAACGAAAACGTTTTTTACTTGAAACGTAGCACAACGACTCAGCGAGTGAGACTGGGATCGTTACTCTGGAAGATTGGCGTTATCACTGCCGGTGACACTTTCTCTCAAGTGTCCAAAGCCAGTGTCTCAAACCCAATCGTAGGTGCCAGTCTCATCTTTGACTTTCCAATCAAGAACTTTCTAGCAGAGATCAGCGTCTCCAATTCAAACCGGTCGTACGTGTGGTAGTGGAAAAAGAGAGGAACGTCTGTCTCTTTAGTGTCTGTACGAGTGACCGCACATAGATCCCGGTCTATAGTCATCACCCTCTTGTCCATGTAACCACTATTCTCGAACGTAGTGATTTCAACAGTGTAGAAGTCAGCTCCTTCATAGTCTTTTTTGTGAAATGGTGGGCATCGGAACCATTGGAGTCGTAAAGAACGCCATCTGGCAAACGCGTGGCTGAGGTCTTCGGTAGACAACGGTCAGCCAGAGCTATGTTGTTTCTTAGTGTACATTTCGGTGGGAACAATAAACAAACATCCAACATGAGACTGACTGCTTTTGTGAAGAGGCCAGTGTCCCGAAACCCAGCAACCAATACTATAGTGGAGGTGCTGGGGTTGCCAGACTTCGAAGTTCCACTGCCTTTCTTGTCACCACACAGGTTTAGCAGCACCATGTTGCGAATGTTAGGTAGGCCAGTAGTCGTTCATTTGTCATGTCCCTGTTCACGAGATAAATCTTGAAATCTCTAAATGGGTAGTAGAATGTCATAGGCAGTAAACGACCGTATTGCGAGTGCATGTATTTACCACCCCAATCCATACAATAAAATTTAGCTGCACTTTGGAGTACTGATCCGTTCGACGGTCCAATGGTACAGACAAGTCGTTATGAAGGTGACGTTGGCCGCTCCATTGGAATTCCCTTTCTTCGTCGCTTCAGTCAAGGTAAAGTGGCACCAACATCAGCAGCATGATCTCCTTCTCCAGTCTACCGCCTTTCATTTAGTGTTTGATGCTACGTTGTACACTTTTGAGATTTCTAGAGTGATCTGTAAGTGACGAGACTTGGCGACAAAAGCCAAAACGACTTACACAGCATCCTTGATATGAATACTGTTGCCGTCGACAGCTTTCTCTGTGATGATATAGTGTACAACGGCTTCTTCATACTTCAAATCCCTCCGTAGTCCATAGAATCCTCCTTTTATCGTCAAATACCGGGAACACCAGCCTCGAAAGAATCGTGTGTCCCTGAGATAAGGGAGGGTTCGAAAAGCTCGACCATCATTTCGTTTGAGACCGACCAGACCGTGTAAGGTCCTAATCAAGGGTTCCTTTAGCGTAATCTCAATACGGTTCTCCCCAAAATACCAATACGTCGAAGAGAGAAGTACCCTGTCCTGGTTGGCGTCTTTACCATCCACACGGTTTCTTCTGCTCAGTGTTCATATTTTCACACTTTAAGAGTTTGTTGCCGTTCGGGATGTAGCTTTCCATGACGGTCTTGTTGTTGACGTAGAAGCAGTCTCCTATACGGCCAGTCCAAGTTTGAGGGTTGAATCGTTCGTTAACCAAAGCAAGACACACGTTCAACAATGACACGCCTACTACAGGAGAGAACAGGACAGAAGGAACATCAGCACAGGACCAAAACGGCAAGAGCAAGACACATCTGTCAAAGCAAAAGCGGTTTCCACATTTTCCACATTTCCCTATGTTCAGATTGTTCAAAAAGACACACCGGCAAAACATTCAACAGTTGAGATAGTTATGGATAACGGAGGGAGAGAACAGGACAAAGAGACATGATAAACAAGACAAACAAGGTAAGGACAGTAGCATCTGAGTGATAAGTTGCACAGGATGCACCCCTGAATCACATACACGTAAGCAGGACCAGAGGGTCCAGATCAGCAAACTCTATGTGCCTTACTAAAATTCGGAAGTTGCTGTTCATATTCTTGCTCGGGAATCAGACATCCGAGTTCGCTACAGAAAGAGGACTCCGCGGAGATCCGTTTGGCATCAAGTCAGTATAGAATCGCATTGATCAAGCTGCCATGGTCTTGTACTTTGAGAGTGACGGTATTATCATGTAGCATTTGAACATTTTTTGTTACTTCACTTTGACCTAACCTCCTTTACAATAGCCGTGAGTCCTTCAGCCATGATATACATGGGAAAAGACAAGTTTGAGAGTATGTTCACTTCCCCAATTGATTAGTTCTCTATGTCTTTCAATCTGACATTTAACGATCCACAACATTCACATCAACCAGACGAGGAACTCATCAAGTTTGGATTTGAAGAGGACGTATGGTTTCACGTCGACAAACTTTCATCTGCGCACGTCTATCTGCGGCAACAGAAGGGAGCTAGTTGGGAAGATATACCTGAATTGCTGCTGCAAGATTTGGCACAATTGACGAAAGCTAATAGCATTGAAGGTAAAAAAGGCAAATAGAGTACTTGGTATACTGTTACTGTCTTCGCTCATTCTGAACCATCTTAGGAAACAAGAAGGACAATATCACTGTCATTTACACGCCTTGGGCAAACTTGAAAAAGACTCAGGGAATGGAGACTGGACAAGTCACCTTTCACAAAAATACCATGGTAACCAAAAAACCCGATCAGACTAGTATTTTCAGGGTCTTTGCTAAACGGCTCTCTCATGCTAGGTCAAGAGGATACACGTCCAAACACGTGCAAATGCAATCATCAACCGACTCAACAAGACCAAAGAAGAACGAGAACCTGACTTGGCTAATGAAAAGGTCATTAGAGCACGTGAAGATCGTGATGTGTCTAGAGAAATGGAAAAGAAGCAGGTAATGCTTATGTTCACTAGAATTGTAGAGCTCATACAAAACAACAGATTGACAGTGGTTTCTTGCTAGCGCCAACAAGAAAGAGCAGAAAAAGAAGCCAAACGTATTGCAGAAGAAACCAAGTCTTATTCTGCTGCTATGAAAGAACGTAACATGAAATCCAATCGACGTGACTTGGATGAGAGTGTTAGCGTGCAAGAACTCGAAGATTCGTTCATGTGAGGGATTTGATTAGAGTAGGAGAATAATATGTACATGAAAAAAAATATAAATTGACATCATCCATATGGACGTGTTTCCCTTGTGGTTTCGTCTGCATCGACTGCAACGTACTATTACCGTAAACAGGCCAAGAGAACTCCCTTCAAGGACGCCATCTCAACAATGAGCTCTTTAATCAAGCCAAACCCTACTCTAGATACTTTATGCAGGTTTCTCAACTCGGTTCGAGGCACTGACAAAGTCCTCATGGTACGTCTTGAATTTGCATTGGGAAGAAGAGCTTTCTAGCCTTGTCAGTGACATTAATTATGTTTTGGAATTTACATTGCCTCCGATTTACGTCTGCCATGGTTGATTTGCCTAATCTCGGGTCAACATCAACAATGATATAAAATCTTTCAAAAAGGATTTTTAAAAACTTGCAGCTTGAAGTAATACTGCATCATACTTGCTAAGTCAAGCTCTTATTGTACAATAGCTAATGGTATACGCTTCCAAAATCGGCATATACGCCCTCCATCGTAAAGACCCGAAATCTCCCATCGCAGTCCGTCTTCAAAACCTCATTGGACCAGCATCAGACACTCGTATGCTCCTCCGCTACTATGGTCTCTTACCAATGTATCAATGGATTCTCTACTCGGAAGCACATCCAGCAGCAACAAGCTACCTCCAGACTCTAATCCGTCTGCAAAATCTAGCAAACGTGCTCTACTACCCCCTCGAACACGCATATTGGTTGGGCGCACACAATGTGATTCCAATGTCTGAAGAAACGCGTGATAAAGTATTTGGATTGTGGAGTAGCAGGTTTTGGGCTTTATATGTCGTCTTGTATTTTGCCCAGTTGTGGGAAGAGCACAAGATCTTGTTGACAAAGGAGGTGGCATTAGAGAAACGGATTAGGGCTTCCAGTAAAAGTGGAGATGACAGTGTAAAGGTCAAGCAAACATTGGGGGAACAAAAAGTCGCGTTGGCTGATGAGAGGAAGACTTTGATGATAAACTTTGTAATTAATGCTGCATACTTTCCATTGACTATTCACTGGAGTGTGGAGGCTTCACCATTCCCTGAGATTGGTGTGGGAATCTGTGGGACCGTTGCTGCTCTTGCTCAGGTAATCAGTGCTTTGGCATTGCCCAAGTGGGGTTTGTAGCAGTTAGTCTAACAAACTTTTTCTCGTCTCTCCGTTAGATATACACTGCTTGGATCGCCAGTTGTTAGAGTGAAGTGATGCTCCTGGTAGTTGGGATTGGTATGCTGAGGATCTGACTTGATAAAGCCAAAAACCTGTACGCCGTTTTTCCGAAAACATAAATGCTGCAGAACCAATCTAACATGTCTCGAGTTATTGACTGAGCAGCCACTTTCCAGTGGGCATGTTTTTCTTTCATTTTGCGCTCGAAGCCGAAACAAGAACCCATGTTTTGTGAATTTTGCTTTCTTGTTTTTTGTTTATAGATCATGTGCTCGTACAAACGCATACGGCTACAGTGCAGAGCAAAAAAATATATTTTGATAACTTCTACGCCATGTTATATATTTTTGGTTGTTCCTTCCAAACTCATGAATCACTACTACCGTTTAGTTGCGTTGCAGCCTTTGATTTCTTCTTCTTTGGTTTCTTAGCAGCTGTTCCAGCACCGCTTTCACTAGAAGCATCAGTAGCAGGAGTGGCATCTGCTGGTGCTGGAGTAACTGGTCTAGTATTCGAGGCAACTGATGGAGTTGCACTTGGAGTAGCTGCGGCTTCAGCCTTTTTTCGATTATCTTTGAACTTGCGGACTGAAGAGACAGTACTCCACTCATCCTCCGCTGGCTTTTCTGGTGTTGTCGTCGTTTCTGGTGTAGTTGGTTTAGCGGTTTCTACAGGTACAGATATCGGTGGGGTGACAACAGCTGGTGCTGTGACTGCTGGTTGAGGATGATGTTGCTTAGGTGGGGCCGCACCGGGTGGTAGATTTTGCTGTTGTTTCACCTTTTTCGGCTTACTGGCACTAACACTATTGGATTGTTGTTGTGACGAGACAGACACAGTCTCGGGTACAGTGACAGACTCAACTACACTACTACTAATACTATGAGTCGGGACTGGTTGTTGCTGTGGTGGTTGTGGTGTTGGTGTTCCTGGTATAGGTTGTTTACCGTCAGCTGGTGCCGCCCTAGCTTTTCTCGACTTGACATCTTGCCATTGAGTATCGGAATGACTACGTGATGGTGGAGTCATGGTAGCAGCTGCAGGTAAGACAGCGGCAGAGTTCTGGCTAATATTGTTACTTTTGTTGGATTCGTCATGCTTATTGACACGCCTTCGATGCTGCATTGCTGGACGACCAGACCATCCTGGTACACCAGATCCCTCTGCAATAGATCCAGTACCAATCGACATTCCACCTTCTGAACTCGTTTCATCATCTATACGAGCAGGTGTACCATTGGCAGGAGCTGCAAATGACGTTAATGAGGTGGGTTGACGTGTTGATGAAGCTGTAACTGATTGGGATCTCCTCTTCTCTTGATCTTTGAGGATATCATTGACTAGTTGGGTCGCCAATTCGACTGATTCTGGAGTACCTCTAATGACGACTACATCACGCGTAACACTGTTACGCCCTTCACTGGGGACTTTGAGAAGCTCGATATATGCACCACTCTCTGCACGCATGCGTACTAAGTTTCGGCCTTCACGACCAATAACATGAGGTCTCATAGTGTTGTCGATTGGCATATGTGCAGCATGCTGACCCTAATATACGAATGGTATGTATTAGTATTCAGGAAGCAAAGACGAAGAACCAGAAATGAGAAGGCAAAACTGACGAACGAAATTCATTCTATAACATACTATGTCGTTGAGAAGCTTTTGTACTTCTTTCAAAGCAGCTGGCAGAGTTTCACCACCGCGAACAACTACACCACCATCGGTAGTCTTGCCCCTCGACAACCCATTTGACAATTCAACAGTAACGCCCATATTCGCTTTCAACTGTTTAGCAAGTTCTGCGATAGATGCGACATATACATCCCGTGAGAGGCCACCAGCTTGGAAGGCTTCCATCACAAGAGCGGGTAATGATATAGTTACAGTAGTTCGTAGCTTGGAAAGGACTTCAGCTTTGGCTGATTCTATGTCGGTATCTCGTTTACCTACTATTCTCACTTGAGCTTCATTGCCTTGAGGGGGGAGAATATAGATAGTGACATTATTCTTCTTCATAATAGCAATAGCTGTTTCACCATTCTTGCCTATTACTCGTGGTGCTTCAGTAATTGGGATTGAAATCACCTGTTCTATCGATTCACCAGATATCGAAGTACTTGGTGTAAAGCTTGTCATTCCATTGCCACCAATTGAATCTGAGTCTGGACTATCAAGACCAGCTACACCGACAATCTCCTGTATAACCTTTTGCAATTCATCCTTCAATATTTGTAATGTGGCAGAGGATCCTTTCAATTCCACTTCATTGGCACCTTCGAAGGCACCCATTTTTGGAAATTGGACCTTGGCTTTATCTGGACCACCAGCAGCATCTACTATGGCTTTTATACGTTGCCCTCCAGGACCGATTACATGCTTGTGTAGGTGTGAAGGTAATGGGAAGGCGCAGGTTTCAACTGCTACAGTATCAGTGACAGTTTCCAAAATTTTGGCATGTGCCAATTCGACATTTTTGGGCGATCCTTCGATCGTAACACGAGTTGATGGTGGTTTGGTGCTCGGATCTTCAATAATGTCGACCTGTACATCATAAGTTTGTCGAAGACTGGCAATTCTTCCACCACCTTTGCCAACAACGTGTGGTAGAGCGTTGTGTGGAATATGGAAGGTTTTAGAGTACGAATGCAATACCTAAAACATTTGATCGTGCCAATGGTGAAATTTATGAAACCAAGGACCATAGCAGACCAGAATCTTACCTCATATTCAGTGAGTTCTACCAACTCCTTTTTAGCGCTTTCAACCTCCTTCTTCATGCCCTTAATTTCAATAACACCATCTGCAAATCCATCATCAAAAGCAGCATCATTCGAATCAGATACGACCGGACTGCTATCAGCATCCAGAGTAGACTCTTCCAACTTCTTAGGAGCTGGCTTTTTCAACTTTAAATGTATGGATACACTATGTCTATCCTCAAGCTTTTTAAGGTTCCGTTGACTCTGTCCGATGACACGACGCACCATTCGAGTCTTGAAGTCTAAAATATCGGATTGACCAGCTAGCAGGGTTTTAGCTTCTGCATTTATAAGATCGAATATATGAACGGCCAAGGTAACAGTGTTTGCAATAGCGACAGCTCGTTCGGCGATAAGAGGCTTAGCCATAGTGACTACTACTTTGGGCCCGTATATAGTAATAATATCTCCTTTAGCAGATTCAGAGACTTCGACTCTCATATTTAAAAAGCCACCAGCAGAGGCACCTGCATCTTCTACTGATTTGCGATCCTTTTCTGGACCTTCAGCTAGTTTTTCTCGTATAGCTTTAGCAAGCCACCCGATAGCATTACCACTAGCTCCGACAGTCTTTTGAGCTGTACCTACAGGGACCGTGATGACCTCCTTGAAGGATGACAAGGCTTCTAATCGCTTCCACTCGACAAGCATGGCTTGAAGAGTTTCGACGACTTTGGGAACATCACCTTTAGGTCCACGAATGGTAATAGCATGCTTATTGACAGATGCGTCTTCTGTTTTAGCATCAGGGAATCGAATGACTACACGATCCCCATATGGTCCAAGTAGAGACTTGAGAGAAGTACCACCAGCTCCAATAATACGACCGTGATATTTACCTTCAACATCTAAAACATGCGTAGCCAAATCCGCTAAAGCTGTAGCTTGAACAACCAAGTCGTCCTTGACCCGAGTTGCCATGGCTATCGCTTCAGCTTCAGCATTCTTGGAAGCAGGATTACGACGAACTACTATAACTACATCGTCTGATTCCTTGTCGTCGTTAGACACTACGACATCTGCCAACAAGCCCGAGTATTGTGGATTGGCACGTAATCGTTGAATATTTGCACCACCTTTACCAACTACATACTTGTGCATTTCTCTAGGTATGGTAATAGGCACAAACACTAATTCGCGACCTAGCTCGGAAATCAACTTCTTCAGGGGATTTCTAGCAGCATCTGTATCAGCTCTACTCTTGGCATGTATTTCAAACATTGGACCATTGCTCGGTGATGTGGTATTGATGATGGAAGCGGAATGGGCTGTTTCTAGTTCTTTCAAAAAGTCTCGATACTTCATGGATATTTGGCGTACAAGATGGATTGGATCAGTGCCTATGGGTACGAGAGACCGTATATCAACCTCTTCGATGATGGTTGAGTTGGCCTAAATAAACGGAAGCAAGAAAAATGGATGAGCAAAAAAGGATGCATGGGTGGACTCCCTCAGTTGCCTTACTCTAGCATAAACGGCTTGAATGGCCTTTCCAATCCGATCTTCAGCCCCTCTCACTGCAATCATCTCTGATGGATCTGATGCAGGAGGCACATCCACAGCGCAACCGGTTTCTTTGAATATCTCTTGCAGACCTGATCCTCGTTGACCAATAACAAATCGATGTTGCTTCTTAGATACTTGTAACGAGCTCGTTTTGATTCGTCGTTTCTAACATCGAATATTCATATTCATGAGACCAAACCCAGATGAATCACAGCAAAGGAAGCAAAGAGATCGAAGGTTCGCTAAACTGAGAACTCACCACATCTTCATGAATCTGCTTCAATCTCTCCTCAATTTGACGAACAGCATCTCGTTCACCAATGATGACAATCTCATCTGGATTGTTGACTTTGCCATCTTTGTCTTTTTTGGGTTCAGCAGCAGCCTTTTCATTGCCCAAGATGGGTGCCATATGAATACGAACACCAAATTCGTTTTGGAGTTCTTCAAATGTTGCATTACCAGGACCTGCTACGAATGGTTGATATGCTCTATCAATATTGACTCTTCCAACATGTTTGCTTGTCTATGGACGATGTGAGACGGGTTAGTCACAATAAACCGTTTCAGCCATTTTATGTTTACTGACCCTCTCAGAAACAATAGCATCAATTTCCTTTTTAGCCAACTCTACACCCTCTGGATCACCGATTATAATTACAGGTTGATCTTCTTCATCTTGCTGTTGAGTCTCCTCTGGAGATGCATCAGCAGGAGCTTGCCGCGGTATAGTGATCTTGGTCATTGTACGTGTTACCAAAGCATGCAGGTTGGATCCACCTTTACCAATAATAAAAGGTCGTACTGCAGGAGGCACCATAAATGTTTGAGTGACCTATACATGTTGTTGAAAATTAGTTCAAAATTTTCATCGGTTATATTGTTGTCATGGGTGCTGTTTGACACGTCCCGATTCAAATCCCGATAACAAGGTAAAAATCGACTGACCTGTGCACAAACAGCACTTAATATCTCTCTTCTGATGAGAGGCAACATATCAGCTTTAGCAGTCACAGTGAATGACAATCCTGATTTCTTTGTGAGGCAGTCTATCGATGCTCCCGAATACTTTGATGCAGTAGCTTTGGCGACTTCAGTTGGCGTAGCCTTTCGATTCGTTGCCAATAGACTCGCAGCGACATCAAACTTTTCCTGATAGTTACCGACAACAATGATGGGTGAGTTTTGACAAGTTCCGACAATCCCGAAAAACCAAAACAACGTCCATCCAATTGTCCATGAAATGTACCTGTGGTAGTACTCTTGATCTCCCATTAGCCTTTGATGAGGTAGTAGTGGTAGTTGGAGGTGGACGCGGTGGTGGTATCCAAGCTGGAGGTTTCGTTCCCGACGCTTTGGGCAAGGAAGGGAATAATTCTTCATTCTTTAAATCCACTTTACTAGCAGCAGATGATGGCGGTGATGATGATGCACCATCTCCCCCTGGCCCGAAAGTAGGTTGTTGGTTTCCTCTCACATTTGATGCCAATGTTCCATGCAGCTCGTTACTAGCAGACAGAGCAGGCTCCACTGGTGTTTCCGGACTGCCAAATTGTAGTTCATGCTGTAGCTGCTGGAAGGCAGAAGAACTTGGTTGATGTGTCTCGTCCATCAATATTGCAATAAATTATCGGTTTTGTCGTATTTGAGTTTGGGAATAGATTATGATGGGAGGAAGGAAAGGGAGTCTAAATCATATGTTAAAAAGATAAATCACTTCGCTTCGATGCCTTACTTATCCAAAAAGGAAACAATTCCATGCGATCCTGAACGAGTTGAACTTTGCTTCCAACAGAACATCAAAAATCAACAAAGTTGACAAGTCGAGAAGTCGCATGCTAGAGCGCTTCGGATTGAGCCTTTAAACTCTTTATTCGGGTTCATTCGTGCTTGGACATTGGGCAGCTTGAGCTCGCGAAACTCACGTTGAAGTGTACACTTCGACACTTTGTACACTTCAATACTGTACTATTTAATTGTATTTGGCATTACGTCGACGTAATATTATCACACGTTTCTACCAAGGCTGGTCAGAAAACCAACGTTCCAAGACCCTCGAAATCAATCTGTTCATATAGACCAGACATGGTCCTCGATCTTCGTCTTCCTCCTCTTCGGAAGGACTCAAATCTTGCATTACCAAATCATCACTCCATGCGTTCGTCTCTCTCACCTGTCCAGGCACTCTACTACTACTGCCACTAACGCTACGACTTGATCGACCTATGGAGCCTGCTCGTTCTCGCTTCTTGATTCGAGAGTCACGCCAACGTAGGATTCCTCTTTCAACCAGCTCCTCAGCTAAGCGAAGCTTTTGGGCTGGAAGAATGTTTACTGGTAGTATACCATTGCGAGTTATCATTTCGAGCACCAGATCTCGCATTGCTCCTTCCGCTGATTCAGGAAAGTAAGATTTGATTTGGGCCAAATGGGCTACCTCCCTAGACCTTATATATTCTAATTTAAACATTGACGATGAGGGAGCTTCTGTTATACGTGATGCGAAACAAACAACCTGACGGATACAAACATGATAAAGGGACAAATGAAAACTATCGAGGAGCCACCATCTGAATTTGACATGCTCTCACCTTCACAGTTCAGATCCGACTTGACGTATCCTTCGACTTCTGTCAAGTTGCAGTCAAACGTAGCTACAAAGGTTGCAGCAGTTTCTTCATTGAACCGCCTGGACGGCTCATGTATCAGAGGATTCACACTGATCAGGTACTTTACAGCTAGCTCATCATCTACTGCTTCTACCGATATATGCGAAAGACGGCCTTCATACCCTTTACACCTCTTCAGACTCTGCAAAACACTCTTTTCACTCCCACATAAAATTACATCTAAAAAGCCCTCAGCCTCACAGGCCAGCAGCCATTGTAGTACGGACTCGATATCGTCGTAGACATCTGATCGTGGAACACCGTTTTCGAATAATAGTTGCACATCGTCGATGGCAATAAGTGTTGGCCCAGCAGGAGACCGAGATCGAATGAGCCGAAGTGCATGGGCTATATGAGCAAATTGCAGATATGGCGCCGATGGATCATCAATGGTTGTGAATGGAGATGTAGGAGCTAGACGAGGGTGAAAATGCAAGTTAAACGGCAAATCGAAAATAGGTAAAAGACATAGCACACACCATCAGGATCAAACCCTAACGCAACTTCAACAGCTTTCCGCCATGCGTCTTTGGGTGGTGGTGGGATCTCTTCAGCCTGGTCAGCTGTTTCATCCTTGATGCCATTCTCTATTGCTTCGTAGACCTGATCTTGTGTCCTCAAGTCCAAAATTCCAGCTAATTTCAGATACTACAAATACGAGGATTGTTGAAAACACGAAACAATGCTTTCTTCACAGCAGTAAAACTTACAATAGCTGGTTTCTGGAATCCCTCCATAGTCACAAATCGTTGTAAAGCTGTGCCCTTCCCAATACCAGGCCCTCCTTCAACGAGTAAAGGCCTCCCTGCCACCTTAGCAGTCTTTATTTGCTGAAGCAAGTGAGCTATTAATGGCTCAAAAACAGGCAAGGCTGATTTGACGCCACCACCACCAGCAGCACCATCTGATTTAGATTCCAGTAGAGCGTTCACTATACGTCTTATGAGTTCAGGATCCATGCCTTCCGGTAGTGTTGACTCTGCGACATCGACAGTAAACTTGTAAATAGAGGGCCTTCGATGAGAATCCGGCAATGCTATAGGTGGTACTCTTCGCGACCGACCAAACCAACTGGAAGTACTCGATACACTGCTAGTACTAGCCGTTGAATCAATAGATGAGGTATTATGTGTGGTTTTGGTGGGTGACGAAGTTCCGTTGAGATTGCCATTGCTGTTAGATGTCGAGCCTCTACGTTTACGACCAGATGAGCTTGCACGTGGATATAGATACCACACTAGACCAACTCCAACTGCGAATCCTACACCAGCAATGAGCCATGGCCGATGGTCGTCATCCGTTAGATCAGGCAGCTTTTCTCGATATCGTTCTATAGATGCAGGTAATTTAAGAGAGATTCCACGTTGCGATAGGCTCAGGTTGGTTGGTATTATAGCCGAAAGGAAAGCAGGAACCGACGATGATTGCGAATGGGAGGTGTTTGACATTGTTTCGTTTAACCCCAGCGTTGGATGAGGGACTCCAAGGAGTGAGACCAGGAGAGTGACCTTATATCAACGTTAAAGTCTAGCTGGCATCCTACGTGGCTACTTTACTGCTCCTCTCTTTCCTTTGTTGAATCGTGTTAACTTGTTTCCTCAGCGAAGGCAAGTGAGTGAGAGATGGGGCCTTGGACTAAACCCAAATCGCTACCAATTTCGCGTCAGACTTTCGTTTTAACGTACTTACTATTTACTAATGCCTTTGAACTGATAGAACGTGTCCCAAGCTTACGTGAACTGTCATCAACGCGAACAACATCGATTCACAATGGCGAAAAATTGGCCTGCTACAGATGCTCGGAGGACTAATTGCTCCATTTAAACCTACTCTGCTCGTAGAATTTAGTTTCAGATCGGTGATGGTGGATCGAGAGGACGTGACGCCGCGATTGCTCATATTGCTTGGATTGTTCAGGCCCTACGACCACGGCAGAACTTCATTGGTCACATCGCTGGTCTTTAATGGTCCTCAGCATGGGAATCTCTTCTATTCTGGCGGAAAGAATCCATTCGAGTAAAAAGGTCAAACGAAGTTAAGAGTGCTGTTGCAATTGGGTGGACGATTGCGACGGTTTCCAAGGTATTGTTGACTATGAAGTCTTAGAACAGTGATCTCTAACACTTGTGCTTGTGTAGTCCTGTTCACGTTTCCAAGTTTTTACCCCTCAATACCCACGTCCTCACTGCCTCTGACGATCGGACTGTCAGATATTGGGACATATCGACTGAAGCTGTTGTCTGTACATTTGATCAACATCAGGCACGTTGATTTTGTTGGTGCCATCGCTTCCACTGCCTTTTAATGGCCAACACTAAAACTAATCGACTCTTCAAACCAATAGGACTATGTGAGAAGCGCTGCAGTCTGAAGACAGTCGAAACATGGTGACATCAGGTCAAAGAAGTCCGTCATACTACACAAGCATACTGAGCGTGAAGCCACCACAACTCATTCTACTGAATAGAATGGTAAGATCACATCGTGCAACTATGGGACATCCGTGAAAACAAGTGTATTGACACTCGACCGTGGTTACACTGTCAAATGTGTCTTGCCATTCAAGAACGGAGGAATGGTTGCATTTGCTGGTAAATGATCACAGTGTAGCAAAGCAGCGGAGAGAACATAGTTGACTCAATTATTGATTTTGACGTAGGTGGCGACAAGATCAATACATCGGGCGCGATGGCTGGTGGCCGACCAGTACAAACAATATCAAGCTCTCAAAAAGCCGAAACGTGTCTAGCATTCGATGGAACATCCACCAGACTCGTGTCTGGTCATTTGGATCATCATGTTAAGGTGTATAATCTGCAGGATTACAAGGTCGTGATTAGTATCAAGTACCCCGCTCCTATTCTTTGTGTTAGTTTTTTGGTAAACTCGCCTGGGTACCTCTCGTTTGGTCGTTGGAAGGAAAAACGGGATGCTATCCATACGACAACAGCATGTAGTCAAGACGCAAAGGACAATGTCCAGACCCTTGAGATATAGACGTGGTACTATGGCTTACTTTGAACGTGGTACCCAGACATCAAAACCAGACTCGGTAATCCAGATACGTGTTGGTGTCCATCTTTTTCTCCACCTTGCTCATATTCTACTTATTATAGACTGATTTATTGGTTGAATCACAGCTTTATCGTGGGTTGAAATCTATGATCGTTACTACAGAAAGTTCCAATATTCGGTTGCTTTGGATACTGCATTGGCCAAAGTAAGAATGTGGGTGATAATGATGAACATATTTTGTACGATCCTGTTTCCGTCAGCCCCCTTTTCGGCTCGCAGCACTCATTCAACTATGCTCTCGTTAGGTTAGGACGTTGATGGCAAAGTGGTAGTCAGTTTATTAACCTACTGATGCAACGAGATGGTTTGATAATTGCAATATCTGCCCGATATGAAAAGTCATCGCAATCTGTGCTTCGATTCCTATGGCGACACATTCTAAATCCTCGGGATTCAGTCATTCTGATTGATGTGACAAATATTGTGCTTGGTAAGCCAAGCTGTCATTTTGGTTGCTGCGACAAAGAGTGCACATATAAGCCATGGAATATCTCACGCCCTCTCTTGTCGTCGTCCTTGTTATATCTTTAAGGAAATTGTGATATATCTACCAACAATGATAAGCAGGCGGATGTCGAGATTAAATGAGCGGCTCAACAAGCACTGTACAACCTACAAGGTCTTATGAATATGATACTTGCTGCCTCCGAGAGGTGAAGCATTGTTTGTCTTCCAACCAAAAAACCGTAGGTTTAAGATAATCATTTGCAACATTTTCTCATCCAATAAAGAACGTGGATTTATTTTGCAAACCTGGTGAAGCCTTGACTAGTTGGGACGCTTTTGATGACTTTCTGATTCATTCCAGACCTGAGATATCACAGTTCTATGACTTTCAAAAGGCAGTTGAGCCCTCTAAAAGAATCACTGGGCGTCCCAATATACGTTCCAATGACTGGTTGTGGTTGGTTTGCTTACTAGTTATGGCATCGGTGTTGAAACGTCAACAAATAAGCCTTGCTTACAACGCATTGTCGATGAGGTTATTTGACATTGCTATTAGACTAGCACTATACACTCTCTGACTTTGTAAATCTCAATGCTTGCCATGGTCGATAACGAATATTCCACTCTGCATAAGGAGCCACGTACAACAATGTGGACATTTGAGCGCCAAACTGCTCACACTATTGGTGCAAGCAGGACAACTCATTGAAGTTTCAGCGGTTGGATCGAGTTTTCGTTTCAAACCAGAAAGGCCTGTTTGGAAAATTACGAACCAAGTTCAGCAGCGGATTTAACTCTCCAGTGACTTTTGGCAAGGAAACAGTAAAAACTTACCTCTAACAATAAACAACATCACCATAGCCACAATAAGAAAGTTCAAGATATAATTCAAGAATCGCCCAACGTTTTCGGTTATTGCTGCGTCAGCTTTCGCGTCCTCCAAGGTCAAGTAGCTCCAATTTCCAGACTTTCCCGGTCGAAGAACAATAAACCATTGGCGCAATGATGAGCCTAGAATAGAGGACCGGGTTTGTTGAGGCTTGTCTGAATGGGTCCAAAAGGTTGTCAAAACGTACCTCCAACCAGTAATGAAACAGGAGGCGTAAGTATATCATCAATAAAGGAGGTGATGATGGACGAGAAGGTGGATCCAATGACAATTCCTGATAAAAACAAGTTTGAATTGGTCTAAATTCAATGTGAATCCACGGAAGCCCAATAACTGTACTGACCTACTCCGAGATCAACCACCGGCCCGCGATAGACAAACTCATAGAAGGTCCTCCAACCCGTACTAAGCGCGTCCAAAGTTGCCTTTCCACCCTAAAACCGTGACGAGAGCCTGACATTGAGCTTTAAGGTTTCGTGAAGTGGCGTTAAGCCCCAACAACAGAGGATATAAATGAAAACATCGTCATAGATCTCATCATTGAGATGTATCAAATTCATATTGATTCACTCGGAAAGTTCTAATTGGCTTGTCAATAAATCTCACAGGGAATCAAATGCCAAACTATTGCAATGTACCAAACTCGCTCCCCAAGCACTATCCACTGAGATCTTAAGATGTACGTACTCGGTCGAAAGCAGCTCTCACATCCTCAAGATTGTCAGACAGGTCTCCAAGTAAAGGTTGATGCTCTTCAGCAACAGCAACCTCAACTGCTGGTTGAGGAGCTCGTCCAAAAAGATTTGGAATCATTCGTCTGCGGGCATCTTCCGGCGTCATTCTAGAGGGATTTTCGGCTCTCATTGTTGAAGAATACGGTTCTCTGTAAAATTATACTCTGCTTTCTGTCCGGATCACTTTGCGTCGACAAACAAATGTCAATGTAGTCAATCCGTCGCTTATGTTCGAGACTTGAAGCACACTTGAAATGATCTAATCATATTTCGTTGAATATTTGAAGTCATTCAAGCAACTAGAAAGTTTCGTTCAACCTGTCTTTACGTATGCGAATCTCCTGGCTCATCCAAAAATTAAACCAAATTCCTGGCCCCTCACAAACTGACCTCTAGAAGGAAGAAGGAAGAGGAGTCTGCAAGACTTTAATCTAATAATTCAGTAGATGCGAATCCTCTTGTCTCCCACCTCCATGACTGCATTTTATCATAGTATATTCAGAAACTCCAACATCTCGACTTTGACGACGGATGTAAGTGTGACGCGCTACTGAGGACTTGCTTTGACCGGCAAATTATGATCTCGACGGCATTTATAATGGATTACATACACTTTCTGGTGAAGCTTTGGTTTATTTTTTGACACAATGGCCAATTCTCCCTCTCGAAACCTTGAATATTGGCGCATTTCCAGTTTTCCATCAGAAAACATTACCAAGCGTAGAAGCGACGAGCAAGTTCTTGAATTCAGGGCACAGCTCTTGAATTCAGGGCACCACTGACACGTTTCTTCGCATAGCTTTGCTCAAACTCATCTGAACGACCATGTTTCTCGTATAGGGATGTTTGCAAATACATCCACAGTAAGTCTAAGTTTTATTAGACCCGAAATAATGGAAATGTGTTCTAGTTTGGACCTTACACACTCTTGTCTGTTTCAGACCTACCACACTTTGTGATGCGGTGGAAATGTCTTTAATGATCAAGCAGATCGTCACGGCCCAAACGCGTCGCCGACTCTCGTATGTCCGGTAAACTATAAGGGCACCGTAAACCAAAACAAAGGCTGTCATTTAAAAAACTCTGTTTGATCAGTTTACAATAATGCCTAACTTTTGCAACATGGAGGTTTCCTTTTTGGCTTTATCTGAAACCAGATTAAACGGTTTAAGAGGCAAAATCATTCCTGGGGCGCGTGGAGCAGCATAGACTATCGACTTGATAAAATCCGGAATGGTGGTTTTCGTTGGCTTCGAAACTAGTATGGACTGGAGCACTATGTTTGTGTTGTCTACAAGAGTAGTTTGATAGTTAGCACTGTAGTATTACGATAACGAAAAGTTTTTTTGTTACCAAACAAGTCCTTGTCAGACCACGATGTCTGTTCGAAGAAAAATAGAGTGAGATAAAACTCAGTAGCAACGGCATATCACAGTTCTTACGTTCCCAACAACTATGCAAAATGTTAGGAAAGGTGAGAAATCGATGCAAAAGTACTGCATATATCCATCCATCCATACCGACAGATATGGTTGCATCCTCATCAGCCTCATACTTGGTAACCCGACTCAAATTCTTGAACATGACATTCAAGTCGTCTCCAACAGTTCCTACGCAGTTTCAATTAGCTACGATACTTCGGTACGATACAGAAAGCAAACATACCTTTGCCAGGACTAGGCATCAACCCTTTAGGCCCCAAATGCCTCGCCACGTTCTGAATCACCAAATTAAACAATTCCTTGGTACAAAGTACCTTGTCGAACATTAGCAAATCGCCTTGGATCTAAAGTTGTAAGGTGTAAGAAGCAAGCCAAAAAAGTCCCTTCTAGATAGATACACTGACCTGAGGAAACAGATCTTCAGCACCAACGATAGCAGCACCCAACTTCTTTGCCTGTTCAGCATCATCACCTCTAGCAAACACCAATATCCGCTCTGTCGATGTTTTGCTCTCATCTTCTACAAGATGTGGAAGAGTAACATCTCCTCGAATGAGTTTGGGTTTGTCGGTAGTTTCTTCAGCTTTAACCAGCTGGGTGTGTAGCGTTATAGGTCGTGATTCCCCGAGACAATATATCTGGATGATGGCGATAAAGATGTGTTAACTATGTGGGTTCTATTTGAGATTTTTTTGCACACACCCTAAAGGTATCCATTGCATCTGCAAACGTGATATTGTCCTGGTTCCTAGATGCCTTGAGAGCTTTCTTCTGCTTTTGATAATGTCTCTTGTCATAATAGCGAACTTGGCAAATCTATGTTCAAAAAAAGTCAGACTTGTTTGGTCAATTGGACGCATCCTTAATAAAACTTACGATGGCCGAAGGAATTGGTCTACACATCGGCCTCTTATGAGGTCCCGACGATGGTATCAGCGTCTCTAGTATCCGTAAAACTTGTACTCGTCTAGCTGAATTCATTTTGGTCTACTTTTTGGGGTGAAGTAGTCAAAAAGTCCACCAGACATGGACTTCAAGATAGACTCAGACGGATAACGTGTCTTTCTAATATTCAGAATTCAAAATCGGTGCTGCAAGTCGCGAGATCTAAACGTTTCCGAGTACGAGCAAACAATGGAGGTTGACTAAAGATCCCTCAATGCACTGTACAAGTACTTTTATCGCTATAAATTACATGACTCGAGACAAATTCTTCAGCATCAGCAGCGAGGCGACGTGTCAAAGTTCCTACTTTGCATCACATTGTAGCACCCAGACCACATTCATCTTGACTTGGGCTGTGGCGGTGGCACTAGACCACTATGAATGCGATAGTATGATACACTCGAATCACTTTCTACCACTGCGAGCACCACACTAGAAGAAGTTGATGGTTGATCAATGCGTAGATTTGTAGTTACGATCTTGTTTTCTCTACCTTGACGGAGGCCGAGACGCGTCATCAGGATGCTTCAACACCTTAAAGTACTCTTGTAAACTGCGAAGAAAAAACAGCCGTGACTAAGTATTGATGTTGAATTGGAACTGAGGAGACAACACATTTCCACTGTACCTGCTAATAGACCAACGTTCTGATACAGGTGTCGGTATCATTACATCTAGAGTTAGCTATATTCACATACAAAAAAAAAGGGCTAAGTGACGAGCCCACACAGCGCTATCTTGACCGAGCTTACTTTATCATCCATCCGACCCCATATCACGACTCGATTCCATTCCTTGACATGTTCAGCACGAGTAGTAGCCCATCTCTTCGCTAAATGTATGATAAAATTGTCAGCCAACTTATCAAGTGGATTGAACGAAGGAAAAGGCATTGACCATATGTGCATACAACTTGCCAAACTTGAGATCCATGTATACTTGAAACGATAGTTCTTGATGAAATGCAGGTACACCCTTCAGCTGGGGCACAATATCTGAAAACTGCAGGGCAATGGTGTCGTGTTTTGGTTGGTGATTGATTTTCAAATGAAGCTTGATAGTTTGCGAGACTTACGTTTGGATGAGCTTGCATCGTTCGTTCTGAATATATAAAGAACAGAAACTTTAGAGAATTGAAGTAGCGCTTTTGACCTGATCACATCACAAAACAACTTTCAAGCTCAACAAAAAAACCAAACTGCACCATCAATCAACACGATGGACAGAAACGACAGAATGACGACGACAACCAATGGACACCACTCTCACGCTAATCAGCAGCTAGTCCCAGTAGATAAGCAGCTGTCTTCTCTTCTACACTCTGGATACTCTCATCCAACTCTGCGAATTTGGCAATCAAATGAGGGACGAACCATTACAAAGAACTCGCTTATTTTCCCCATCTTCATAACCGATGTGCCTACTGACAAAGAAGAGATCTCTTCTCTACCTGGTCAATACAGGTAATCTCGTTTACATCATCACGTCGCATCTCGTGTCAACATGCTCATACCCTTACTCGTAGATACGGTGTGGATGTCTTGAAAGCTGAATTCGCACCGCTAGTTAAGAAAGGACTTCGAGCGGTCCTCATCTTTGGTGTACCTACGCAAAAACCCAAGGTAAAATACAGGCACTCTCAAGCTTATTCAATCGGTTGACTCATCAAACTCCATCAACCAGGATCCTACAGGATCGTTAGCAGATGATCCAGAAGGGCCAGTCATTCAAGCCGTAAAGGTATTCAGGCGCGAATTCCCTGAAGTACTGGTTATATGTGACGTTTGCTTGTGTGAATTCACGAGCCATGGACACTGTGGTATGAGTCCCTGTTAGTCACGTCCTTTTTCGCTTTATTCTCAACGTACTATATTACGTAGGCATACTGAACGACGATCAGACAATCAACAATCCAGCTAGTATCAAGAGGCTTGCTGAAGTCTCGCTTGCCTATGCTAAAGCTGGTAAGCTGCATGATTGTTCCTTGCACAACAAGGTGCTGTTATATGACATTTCTTTATGCATACAGGCTGTCATGTGATAGCTCCATCAGACATGATGGACGGTCGAATTCGTGCCATCAAGGAAATCCTCTTAGAAAACGGTATTGCTCATCGAGTATCCGTCATGTCCTATGCTGCCAAATTCGCATCTTCCTTATACGGTCCATTCAGAGATGCTGCTGGATCGGCTCCCTCATTTGGTGATCGTCGTTGTTATCAACTGCCACCTGGTGCTAGAGGATTGGCTCGTCGGGCTTTGGTATGATGTTTTAGGGTTTTTTTGGCTGTATAACATCTGAAACAGAATTCTCTATCTAATTTAGATCCGTGATGCAGGAGAAGGAGCAGATATGATTATGGTCAAACCTGCTTCACTCTACCTGGATATTGTCCGTGATGCTCATGAGCTCTTGCCTGATTTGCCACTTGCTATATACCAAGTATCTGGTGAATACGCCATGTTGTGGTGGGCTGCTCAACACAAAGTGTTTGATCTACGAGTTGGTGTTATGGAGAGTTTGAATGCTGCTGTTCGTGCAGGTAGGGTTGCTTCACCATCCTCTATTTGCTCATGTCCCTGACGATTCTTTTCCTATCTAATGATAGGTGCAAACATACTTATCACTTATTATACTCCTCTATTGTTGGATTGGTTGAGCGAATAAAGGTCTAGTTAGTTTTGTTTGATTTTCTGAGTTTCATGATGCATGATGCGATTTAGCGATGCGTTACAATGATATCTAGTATGTGGACGTGCGAAATGATTGAGATCGCGCAACTCTCATCCAAGCGACACTTGTAACCAAATGGTCACATTTTCTCAAAACATCAACAACAATTGCACAGGATGGCTCCATCACAAGTTACACCCCCAGCGGGACCCAAACACTTGCGAATGATCATAATGGGTCCTCCAGGTAATTCATAGTCGCCTGTAATGTCATGTAAGACCAGCAGTTTAAAACTCAGCTTTTATTAACAGGTGCTGGCAAAGGAACCCAAGCTCCTCGAATCAAGGAAAAGTATTCAGTATGCCATCTAGCTACTGGGGATATGTTACGTGCTGCTGTCGCGGCTGGTACTGACGTAAGTTTTGAACATTAACGCGACATCAGCTTGGTGTACATGGGAAATTTTTGTGCATCATCATTGGTCTGGCGTGTTTGATGAAGCAACAGGGAGATATAATGTCATGTACTGATATTTCGAATGTGGAATTTGTATTGATTTCATGACTTGTTGCACTTTAATTCCTTCATCGAGAAAGAAGCTCCCTCGTCTCAAACACAACATCGTAATACAACCGACACTCACCCCAACACCACTCTCCCATCAAACTAGGTTGGAAAAGAAGCCAAAAAAATTATGGACGCAGGTGGTCTCGTCACCGACGAAATCGTCGTAAACCTGATCAAGGACAATCTAGACCACAACAAGGAATGCAAGAATGGATTCATCTTGGATGGTTTCCCACGAACAGTGGTCCAAGCTGAAAAGCTAGATCAGATGCTGGATGCCAAGAAACAACGTGTAGATCATGCTGTAGAATTGCAAATTGATGATGCATTGTTGGTTTCGAGAATTACGGGGAGGTTGGTACATCCTGGCAGGTAAGAATGAGATGAAGATGATTATAGGAGCTGTTTGAGCAGTGAGACCCATTATTGTGTGATATTATAAACGATGTGTGTGGGGCAACAAAAAACCTTGTATATCGGCCTTTTGAAACACATCAAGCTTGTGCAACATCTCATACCACTCACGTTCACTAACATTCAACCTCATTTTTAACCATTAGTGGCCGATCCTACCACAAAGAATTCAGTCCTCCGAAAGTCGCAGGCCAAGATGATTTGACTGGTGAACCACTAGTCCAACGTTCAGACGACACTGCGGAAGCACTAGTCAAACGTTTGGATGCATACCATAAACAGACAACACCTGTAGTAGATTACTATCGTCGTAAAGGTGTATGGCATGGTGTTGACGCTTCGCAAAAACCAGCTACGGTTTGGGAAAATCTGCAAGCCATCTTTGCTGCTTCCAATTAAGTAAAAAAATGTCAAAATGAAGGTCGTCGTTTAGTGATGATGATGATTGGAAAAAAGATATGTTATTTGTTTATGAGAGGTCTGTTTGTGGTACTCTAGAAACAATAGATCATTAAAAGGCAAGAAATCGTTCGTCAGATTTTTTGGATGTGACATGCTTTTGCTGTTTTCTACTAGTATATAGCGTTGTCATAATATTACTTAATTACATTTCGGTGATGCAAACTATGACCTTCACAACCCTGTCCCTAGCCAGCTTTCTCACGACATAGATTCACCTTTGACAGCAACTCATCCACTATCGATTCGAGTGCATCTGTTCCGTGATAATCACGTCCATCACTAGTTTCCGTCATAGCCAGAGTGTATTTGAATGTATCAAGTGGAATGATTCCTTGTCGTTGGATCTAATGTACGTTGACTTCAGTCATTCTGCAAGTCAATTGTATCTCTTTTGCCGGCAATCATTTACCAGTGTTTGTGCCAAGGAATCCCAATACTGGACACGGTCCAATGACTTCCATGCCGTTATCAGTTTCGTTGGAGGAGCAGTCAGTCCTTTAAAAGATACGAGCCAGTCAATATCAGCATCAAACACCTTCACATTTCAGCCACAACGAAAAAACACGTGAACCACACACCATGCCAAACGAGTTTCAACGGCTTCTTCTCATTCCTTGAATTCTGTACCGCCAAAGCAGACGATACAGTAGAATTCACAACCTCCATGAACGCTTTCGTCGTTCTCCCACTACCCTTCGAATCAGCAACTACTTCAGGCTCTACACCCATAACAAGTATATCAACACCCTCTAAATCTGTCCCTTGTAGCGGCACAACATCTTCTTTGTAATCAATCACGACAAGATCAAATGTCCTTGTAGCACTACCCTTTTCGGTATTACTCGTCCACGGTGTAGTTGTCAAATCAAGTCGACGAGTAACACCAGCGAATGTCGTTCTCACTTGACTTCCACCCCAGAATAATACGTGGTTTGAATGCCGTTGTTGGCACCATTGCTCTTTGCCAAGTTCATGCGATTGGTCGAGGCGACAGTGATGTGGGACCCTGCGATTATGTGGAATGCATGCAATGAGCAAAACTCCCGTGTAATAACGTCAGTAGCTGATGCTCTTACCAGCTATACGATGAATTCAACCACCCTTCTCTCTTCTCGTTAGCGCTAGGCACCCACATACCCTCAACCACAGTTCGTCGAGAGCATATCGGCTTGTGGCCATCATGAGGTGGTGCATTCAACGATGGGCACCCGCTGCAAGCATTCAATTCAAATCCAGTCAACAAAACACCTTCAACAGGTGATGATTTACGATGTCGGGGTGTTATCGTTATCTCTCGTATAGCATCATAATTTGAATGCGTGTGCTGTATCTCGACTTGGACTTTGCCTGGATTATTGACTCGGAAGGGGAGTATGTATGTACAGTTTCCTTCGTACATTGGTGGTGAGGGTGCTAGTTTTTCGTGGCCAGAGAATTGTATGTACATTGAGTCCTTTAAGAAAGAAGCGTCGTTAGCTCGTACACCCAATGGGTGATCCTTTGTTTTTGCTCGTCTCCTTTTGACATTAACTTACAGGTCCAAGTTGCGTTCTAAAGTACAAGTCATCAACCAGATCAGCAGACAACAGTCCCGATTCTTCTATTTGAGGACATGTATCTGTCCTCTTGATAATAAAGGCACCCTCCGAGCACTGTGACAGCTTGCTGCACAGTGATATCTGGAAGATGGTTGACTTGACAGCCACGACTTCACAGCTAAAGTCCTGACGACTGAGTAATGGCGTACTGTTACTAGCATCAACGATTCCTAATACAGTAGTATACGTCCAGCTGGCCGGAACAGGACAGTCGGTAGCCTGAGCAGGCTTTACATACGATCCAGTTGGTGGTGAAGGTATCAGGCCCTTTATCGGTTGGAATGCGGGTTTCAGAGGAGCATTGTTATCTATTTGAGGTGGTGGTTGCAGTGGTGGTGGCGTGGCAGTTGGAATCAGGTAGTATATGGTGATGGCGATGACTGCGAGTATTGACAATGCGCGTAACAAGACGAAGCGACGTGGAGCATGGGACGTGGCCGTTCTCCATTGGTCCCAGAATCGTCTTGTATTCGTCTTGTGGAGCTTTGGAGATGGCATTGAGCCAAAGCTTCCAAATTCAAGATTACTGTTGTTGCTCTGACCTCCACCTCGTCTGGTTGGCAATGCAGCTAGTAGCATGAAAGTACGTGATTTAGTTACAAGTAAGGAAGGATCTTGAAGGGATGAACACGTCGCACTTACCCATATACTGTTGACGCTCTTGCTGAAAACGTGCCAAGTCTGGAGCAAACACGTTTCCTAGAAACGGAGACGGTCAATCAATTATGTCGTGCATATTCATACCAAATCACGTATTGCTTCGTAGATCAGAACCTAACCGACGCAACAATCACGAAAAATGATATTCTACCAACGTTCAATTGTTCATTCAGACGTGCAACGGGTTCGTTTTCGAGCGTTCGACGCGTCAAAGCTATCAATGCTACTCAGATCGTATCAGATCTTGTTCATCCTCGGTGTCGTTGTTCTAGTTCACTCACGTTCTCTTGCTTCTGACAACAAAACACTGTTCTGAACCAGCCAACATATCCACTAGAGTGAACAGATTGTAATAGATCCGTCGCCATGGAGGAATACCGTCCAAAATCAAGGAAACCGGCTAGTAAGCTGAACTGGTCGTTGTTTTATCTCTATTCTTAAGTAAGTGTTGACAATGTTCTCACATTTGTCTACTAGATACCGCATTCAAGCAGCAGAGGCTGAAAGCATGGCAGCCTGTGTTGACCCCAAAGGCCGTACTCCCCCTATTCTTCATTGTCGGAATCATATTCGTCCCCATTGGCATTGGTTTATACGTAACTTCTCAAAAAGTATGTAGACCAAGACATGTCGGAGATGGAGTGTATTCCTGCAGTACGGATCCAAATTCTGTCGTTGCTTGATACTCACCAACCCACTTTGATCACAGGTGAACGAAGTCATGTTTGACTACACTGACTGCTCAAATGCACCCGCCACACTCACTGCTCCAACTACCCTCCCCTCATGGTCCCCCATAACATCATGGTCTTACGACACTCCATCCCAAACATGCACAATCCAATTCACAGTCCCTTCAGAATTCGCTCCTCCTGTATTCATGTACTACAGATTGACAAACTTCTTCCAAAACCATCGTCGTTATGTCAAATCCTTTGATTCTACTCAACTGTCTGGAAGCATGGTTAGCTCGGCTGGATCTATTAATAGTCAGTGTGATCCATTACGGTTTGCTAGTTGCTCGAATCCAGCTGCTACATCACCGTATTGCTCTTCTCAATTGGGATTGGATGTTAATGCTCAGATTTATCCAGCTGGATTAATTGCTAATTCCATGTTTACTGGTATGCTGGTGAATTCATTGTGGGCTTTTCCTCTTTGAAGCCTTTTGTGTTTAATAACAATACCGACCGCACCATTCAGATCAAATCGGAAACTTGACTTGTATAAGCACAACAAGCACATGGCCAAACGGTGCTGTATGTGCTAGCGGAACAACAGCCTACACCTTTGTAGAAAAGGGTATAGCATGGCCTGCAGATTCAGCCCGTTACGCATCAACAGACTGGTCATTATCCGCCAACGCATCCCAGATATCATCAATGTTGCTGCCACCACCAGCATGGAGATCCACATTCGCTAAATGGAGTAATGGATATAATGCTACAAACTTACCCAATCTAGGCACGTGGGAACGATTCCAAGTATGGATGCGTACTGCTGGATTACCTACTTTTAGGAAACTGTGGGGCAGGAATGATGCTTCGTCGCTTTATCCTGCTGTTTGGCAAGTGCAGATTCAGTCATGTAAGTGTACTTGATAAAAGCCGGGAAAAAACTTGGATTGACCTCGCAATTGACAATTCGTTCCTTGTCTCACTGTAGTGTATAACGTAACTTCATATGGGGGTACCAAATCCATTGTAATCTCAACCACATCAGTCCTCGGCGGCAAGAACAACTTTTTGGGAAGTGCATATCTAGTAGTCGGTGTATTATGTTGGGTGTTCGGGATTGCATTCCTGGCTCGTCATATGCTATATCCGAGAAAACTTGGCGATCATACATACCTTAGTTGGAATAATGCAAGTCCGGGTGCACCAAATGCTGTTGGGGCTTCTCGGTAAACAGTAAAACATATTTGTGGTGTTGCCTTGTACAAAGAGTCGGATTTTTATCGTAATATCGTTATAATATATCTTTTCACCGGAAATCAATTGAGGACGGGTTCGTTTTTTATGCAAGCAGCAAAAAATGGACATAAATAGACATGCTGTATCAATCACAAGTCCACAGGTATCCCACCACGATCTAACGACGTCCTCCCGGCTTCCAAAATAGCAGTAACAAGGACCGTCTCCTGTATCGTCGGCAAGACACCAACAAAATCCTTGACACTACTCCTCCCAAACTTGATTTCCCGACATGCATCCGCCCACAGCTCGATACTCCTGTGTCCATACGTCCCCTGCCCAGTATATCGTCCTGATGCATCAGGGGTGTATCTCATGAACAGTGGATTCACAGATGCAAATCCATTGTCATCTGTTGCTGTTTCGTAGCCACGGTGTGCTTGGTCTACACGTATTTCACCCGTGTGGCCCATGTAGAAGAATCGTTGTTGTGCTAGGACGAGAGTGGTTTGAGAGGTGGGAGGGTTAAAGCAAAAAAAAGGAAAATATTGTCTAAATTGGACACATGTCCAATACGTGGGGTCTCAACATAATAAATTAATGACACTTACAATGCACTTCTGCTTTCGGCGCTATCCATGATGCTATAGTGAAGAGGAAATGAAGCCTGAGACACGTTGTCAGGAACAAATGCGTGGATACAAGTTCCGAGCCGACCAAAAAATCAGGCCATCATATGGTGTTGGAATGCAAATAGAAATACTCACAGGTATATATAGCTGTTCCTAGATTGCCTGAAGTGTCATTCTTCCATTGCACCATGAGCGTTATCGTATCCTGAGAACATGAAATGAGACAGTTCTAAGCATAGTCGTTGAAGAAGAGCAAACGATCCAAGGAATCAACGACGTACCTCGGTGCCAGGCACACAATCATACGGCTGACTTGTAGCGACGCCAGTTGATGCGCTGGCTGTGACTCGTATTGGTTTTGCCCTTCCTATTTCAGCACAACAAAAGTCGTTGTGATTAGAGCAGAATACTTTTGCGGCAAGTTTAGGACTTTTATCTACCTGACATGGCCCATAGATGTAGATCGATATGATGACTATTCAGATCTGCATAGCGAAAAGAAATGAGCATACGTTGACTGCAAGCACGGTTTGGGCGAATTGAATACTGACAATAGCTAATATCAGAGCTTTTTCCAGCCCATGATCGAAATGTTTGTAATTGGAATTTCGGCTGTGACATGTACTAACATGGATGAAACCTTGGCATTTAGAACATGTCGGTCGCAAACAAGCAAAAAGACTCATACTTACAGCAGTCATGAATGAAAAGTCACCCAAAGTTCTCATTCGTTCTCGTGCATCAGCTATGTAAAACGAAAAGATAGTCAATACCGGCTAATGTGACTTGAATGGCATCATCAAGCACGTACAATAGATTGGATCAAATCTTTTATGACTAAAACAGACAATAATCAGTGCCAAAGAATGACAATGTCAAACATGCTCAGTACGACTTACAACTCCACCACGACAAGCACATTGTACTTTTCAGCCTCTTCAACCAACTGCTGATGCTCTTGTACAGTCTTAACAGCCGGTTTAGCAATCAAAACATGCAACCGTTTCCGTATCGCATACAAGGCGATATCGAAGTGAGTGTCGTCGGGGGTGAATATGGTGACTGAATCACCGGGCGACATTTTATCAATAGCAGCCTTGTCTATATGATGAAATCAGTGATACATTGACGCGAATAGCAAAGTGCTGATACTTACAAGCTAGCACATCCCGTTCAACAGCGTCATCAGGTATCAAATCAACATTAACATCGAGTCCCGTATACGCAGTCCCAATATTCTTGTGCAAATGTGCACGTATGAGGTTGTTTTTGAGTCCGGTAGTTCCCACAGCTGCAATGTTGCCGATCTTGTTGCGGGATCGCATATCGAATAGGACGAGAGAGACGACGCCGACTTTTTTGTCACTGTTTGATGCGCCATTGTGGACAAAGCCGGTTGTATACTATGATGTGATGTGTGATTTAGCTGATCTGAGCGTGAAAATATGAGGAATTGAAGCTGATGTGAGTTACCTCGCCAGTTCCGACCATGAGGACATTCAATAGTTCGGGATTTGACATTGCGGGCTTGATTGCTCGCTTGGCTAGAATGATTGGGGAATGGGAAGCTTATGTGCTTCAAGTTGGAAAGGTCGGTTGGAGGGATTGAATCAGGAATTGTACGTGCCATAGCGCGTATTCCGTATTCCAGACTAGTCGGTGGCAATACTGTTTGAATATTTGAACTCATACTTAAAAGTTCTTTTCTCTCAGTGATCGAGCCTAATATGACAAAGTCCATGACCTAGCACAATCAGTCACATAAGTGGATGGAACCGCACATGGACTAGCATCATCAGAGTCTCTTTTTATTCTAGTTAGTCGGCTGAAATTACCAATTTTGACCTTGTAATTGACTAGAGTAAGATCAAAAGACATGGTCAGGTTGACGTAGCAGCAAGTAGCAAGGCAAGATTTTAACCTCACTATTTACATAGAATATTAAATCAGGTATTATGTCACTTAGCAAGCTTAAAAGCTGGACTGGACTTTAAGGACTCAAGGTTGTCCTATGAATACTTGGCTAATTTGCCTACCCAAAGTAGCATCGGGCAACGATGCAAATCCAATTGATATAACAGCTCCACCTCCTGTAGTAGCTCTACCCGTGGTTAATAACAATGTAAATGCACGATCGAGGTTGTCAACACCATGGGACTCTGAACACCTACAATTGCGGGCGCATCTTGCGTCACCAATTTATTTATCTGGCAACCCCCCATTTTTGATCGCTTTACTTGCTAGGTCAAAGTTACGCAGCGAGACAGTTTCCTGCTTTGTGCCGGATGTGATCATGCAAGAAAAAGGCTGTGAAGCTTCGTATTATGAAAGCTGTGTAGATGGTATCTAGTCCTCTTTTGCAGTCAAACGTGGATGGGAAAGTTGGACGTCAACAACTTGCACTTTTGGAAGGCAATGAGAACTGTCAGAATGGGAATGTCATTGCTGCTGTTAATGGTTGGCTATTTGAAAAAAGAACGTGAATTCACTTTGCAAAAACCTGTTTGACCAAAGCCCTCTTTAACAACCCAAACCTCTTACTTTCATGTTAAATGCCATTGTTCTTGAGACAATGAGATACAACTGCACTTTTAAAATGTCACTTTTACAATGTTATTGGATTCTTTACACACTAACCTCATGCAGGTGGCAAGAAATTACAAAACAACAATGTGCCCACCACTAGATATAGTAACAGATACTCGACCATTATTCTCTGACTCTTACTCTGTCCATTCACAAACACATGTGCTACATACCAATATAGAGCTGGCATACTCGACAAGAAGCGTCCCATAATCTGTACATGTAGCATCAATCCACACACGAGTGCTTGTGCAAGCCATAAATACAGGTACGGCAAGACTGGTGAAGAGCTAAATCCATATCCAGTACGAGACAGGACTAGACCAAGAGACCAGAATGTGTCCGGATTTGATGATGCGTAAATCCAAGCAGCGTGTATAGTCATTGCCAATATAGGAGCAGCGACTATAAAGTTTGGTATTTGGGATGGCTTGTAGTATTTAAACAAGCCGACGTCCCTGCCAAAAAAAGAACGGTTATACCCAAATTACAATATCAATCTTGTTCTGAACATAACAAACATACCAATACTTTTGCTGCACGAATGAATAAATCATTGGCAGAGTATTATTACACCATGGTGGCAGCGAGTCCGCATCAACATCTTGACAGAAGGCTCGATATCCACAATATTGCGATGCAGCCATACTCGAAACCACAATAGTTATGCCGATCAAGGACGTGAGGACCTTTGTTAAGGCCTTTGGATTATTGTTATTAGCTCTTGACCCATTTCAAAGTTCAGATTCAAGCGCGTACCAATTTACGAGTCCGAAAGTCCAGTAACAGACCATATAGTAAGAAACCGCTGAGCAAGACTCCATTGGAGCGGAAGGTTGCAGCCATACCCCAAAGCACCGATGCCACAATCGGCTTTTGGTTCGAGAAGGCCAGCATTCCGCCAAACGAGAGCATGGCGAATGGGCTCTCTGTATATCTATGATTTGTGCGATTGTGTAAGCTCTCAATGTTTGAGCGTTAAGCAGGGTAAGCGATTCTTACATGGATGACATGAATGGTCCTCCGGGCCCAATGCAAAAGAGTAAAGCAGATATTGTAGCTATTTTGGGATCCTTCAATACTCGTAACGAGAGTCTAGGTTCGGTAAGATGTCAACCTTCAAGTACACGACACGGCGACGGGGTAGAGCACACAAGATTGTACCTGTAAAGCGATAAGGCCGCCAGTACAAAGCAGATGTTTGTCACAATCAATCCAGTGACAATGGTTGTCAGTTCGTCTAACACCTAAGATGTCAGTTTACCACCAACCACACATGGCTGAATGAGTTCGTTACCATCAATTCCAAACAATCTAAGAGTCATTGGCAGTGCAGGAAAGAAGGCAAAGCTCTTCTCAAATCCATAACCATGCCTTGCAATGTTGACGAAATGCAACGCGTCCCATCGATAAAAGGCAGATGCCATCAGCTTGAAAGCGCATTCCAATGGAGTATCAAGATATGACGTTATGTTTTGGCACGGATCGATATGGGCTGATGTGTCAAAGGCAATGGTTGAAGATTGTAAATATGGAATATGGACGTGTAGAGAGACGACTCCGAGGATCAAGACAGCGAGTCGTGATAGAATGGCAGTATAGATAACAATGTACTCTGACATTGCATCTTTAACCGCTAGTGAGCTTGTACATTAACCTACAGGTAGCATCGTTTTATAGACTTTGCACTCGTTGCATTAGTATGCGACCGCACGAGCACGAGCAGTTTCATACGTGACTTTACGCGTTAGAAAGGGCTCTGTTTGTTCTGATTTAACAGCCTGGCACTCCCTTGTCTTCCATCTTGATCACTGCATCGTTTTGTTTTCAAAAGAATCAGACCAGGCCCAGGTCATCGTATAAGAAAATTTGCAAATTATTTCATCGCATTATCAGGCATCTGTTGCCCAGTAGACTCTTTATTGAGAATGCATAGTGAGTAGTAGTTGCCTACAATCAATCATTGTGTTGCCAGAATCTGTATATATGTACTAACAGTACTCATTTACCTATAGCCATATTACTAGTCCAGAAAGGAAACAAGAATACCAGAACATATTTTGACTTTGAGACCGTCCCCGACATGATTGAAGGTATTGGACAGGACATTAACGTCAGCGTTTGATGACTGGTTTTACATCCAACACCCACAATATACTACCATCACAGGCATTCGAACAAGCTACGAAGAAGAACTATCAACACTATATCCAAACCAACGACAAATAAGCTATCAGCTACAAGACTTGATGAACTTCATTGACCAATTCTCGGAAATCGCGGCCTTGGTCCTCGATCAAAATACTCAGGCCTACATACCAAGGTCTAGAGATTGGATTAAGGGTAAAGCTCAGACTATATTCGTCAAGGTATAGTGGGTGCATACAGTGTGTCGTCTTGTGTGGGAAGACGACTCTCGTTCGTGTTGGAGTCTCCTTTCTGATCAATCTTATCTATACAGGCAGCTGCACCTGCTCCTCAAGTGCAATATCAACAAACTCAGCAACAACAACATCAACAACAACACCAGCAATCTCAACGAGGAGGACGTAGACGATAACATAATAATCACATAAGCAAGACAGAGAACATTTTCATGGCTCTTTTTTTGCGAATTGTCGAAATACTATTTATGAATGTAGCTCCCCTTTGATTGTATTCGTGTCTGTGTTGTCTCGTCGCGTATGTGATGCATCTTCGCCTCCTATCTCACTTTTTTTTTTGCAAAACTCACAAGACATTCGCAAGTCGAAAGATGACGTCGAACGAGTACCAGAAGCTAGAGATAAAGAAGTTCCCTCGATTATCGACTCGAAAGAGTGCCGATACTCGCTTCTGGAGACGCTTCAAAGTATGAAAGTCATCAAGCTTACTTCTTTTTCTTTAACACACATTTTTGACATTTCCTTTATAATTAGATCCCTATCACAATCAAAGAATACGCAGCTATAACCGATGTACATTTCTCATCTGCGGCCCCATACGACTTTGCAGTGACTAGTTCCACTCGAGTGCAAGTATATAGCTCTGTAACAAATGCCGTGAAGAAAACCATTTCGAGGTTTAAAGAGACTGCGTACGGTGGAACTATACGGAATGATGGAAGGGTTTTCGTTGCGGGTGATGCTTCTGGGCTAGTTCAGGTATTCTTTTTACAAGCTGTGGAGGTAGATCTTATTTGCTGGCGAGTGATAACCAACACACCACTCCCAATACGATAGCTATTTGATCTGAACAGTCGGGCCATTCTAAGAAGTTTCAGAGGTCACAATGGGTATGTCATTGCTCAAGGAAAAAAAAAAACGAATAATAATGTGATCTCTAACACTCTTGCTTTTGTAGTCCCGTTCACGTTTCCAAGTTTTCACCACTGAATACCCACATCCTGACTGCCTCTGACGATCGGACTGTCAGATATTGGGACATATCGACGGAAGCTGTTGTATGTACATTTGACCAACATCAGGCAAGTGAGCTTATATGGACATCCGGCCAAAGTTTGTTTTGCGATCGCTTCCATTGCCTTTAGGCATCAACGCTATAACTAATGGTCTCTTTAAACCCCACAGGACTATGTGAGAAGCGCTGCTGTCTGTGAAGACAATCCAAACTTGGTGATATCAGGTAAAACAAAGGCCCTGTACAGCTTTATTATGAATCTGAACATGAAGCTGACAAAATTCATTCTACTGAATAGGATCATATGATCATGTCGTGAAACTGTGGGATATTCGTGAAAACAAGTGTGTATTGACACTCGACCACGGTTACCCTGTCGAATGTGTACTGCCATTCAAGAATGGAGGATTGGTTGCGTCTGCTGGTAAAGTACTGTATTCTAGCGAAACAAATCAAAGACAAAACTCATTCAAACAACGGATGTCTCGCAGGTGGCGACAAGATCAAAATATGGGATATAATGTCTGGAGGACGCCCAGTGCAAACAATATCAAACTCCCAAAAGGCCGTAACGTGTCTCACATTCGATGGAACATCCACCAGACTGTTGTCTGGTTCGTTGGATCATCATGTCAAGGTATATAATCTACAGGATTATAAGGTTGTGCATAGTATCAAGTATCCTGCTCCTATTCTTTCCATTGGTTTATCGGTAAGACGGTCAGAAGCTATGTGCTCAAATATATCTCGCAACTAACCAAAACATCCATATCCGTCCGATAGCCTGATGACACTCGTTTGGTCGTTGGAATGAATAACGGAATGCTATCCATACGACAACGTGTAGTCAAGACTCAAAGCGCAACGTCGAGACCATTGAGGTATAAAGGTGGTACTATGGCTTACTTTGAACGCGGTGCCAAGACGTCAAAACCAGAATCGGTAATTTACAAGCATAGCATAGCAAAGTTTTCTCTCCAAATTGCTCATCTTTTTGTTGTCATAGACTGATTTATTGGTCGAACCACAACGTTATCGTGGGTTGAAACCGTATGATCGTTACCTGAGAAAGTTCCAATATTCGAATGCTTTGGATGCTGCATTGGCCAAAGTAAGTGTGGCCGGATGATAAGAATATTTCGTACCGTCCTGTTGCTTTCGGCACCTTTTTTGACTGGAAGCACTCATTCATCTTTGTGTTTTTGTTTAGGACGTTGATGCCATAGTGGTAGTCAGTCTATTAGACGAACTGATGCTACGAGATGGTTTGATAATAGCATTATCTGCTCGAGATGAAAAGTCATTGCAACCTGTACTTCGATTTCTATACCGACATATTTTGAATCCTCGATATTCAGCCTTTTTGATTGACGTGACGAATATTGTGCTAGGTAAACCAAGTGGCAGTTTGGTCTGCTGCGAAAGCAGAAGGCATAGGTAACCCAGAATGTGCTCACACCTTCTCTCTCGTCGTCTTTCTTGTTAGATCTTTATGGAAATGTGATATATCTATCACCAATGATAAGCAAGATGATGTCCCGATTACGAAAAGCTGTCAATGATGAACTGGTGGCTCAACAAGCACTGTACAAGTTACAAGGTCTGATGAATATGATACTTGCTGCTTCGGAGAGGTGAAGCCTCGTCTGCATGCCGACACAAACTCATCTGTAAGATAATCATTTGCAACATTTTGCATTCTCCAAAAATAAAGTACGAGGTTTGAGATTCTTTGCATATACTTGGTTTGCTATTCCGCACCTCATACCTTGTGGTTTCAAAAGCGAGGAGGGCTCGTTGTGTACTGAACACCATCGCTACAACACGTGTGTTTTGATGCAAACAAGAGGAGGTGGTATATATTGGTGGAAAATATTACAAAGATTAGGATTTGAACAATCCAGTCATTGCTGGGTGTTTTTCAATGTCTTGTATGGAAATATTACAAAGATTAGGATTTGAACAATCCAGTCATTGCTGGGTGTTTTTCAATGTCTTGTATGGAAAAACGCCGTGGTGGAAAGAGATCCAGCACTCCTCCCAAGAGTGAGCTCAAATCTAAGTTGAAACAAACAGAGCCAATAAGCCGAGTGCTTTCAATGAAAGGAGACTTTTTATTCAGAATAGAAAGAGAGCCGAATCTTACTTGAGTCCATCGGTGGCAGCCATATGCCAAAGAGTGCAGCTTCAGGACAGTTAAAAGGAAACGGATGTCGCCCAAATAACATCGAATACAAGACAAGGCCCACCGTCCTGTGAAGTAAAACCAAGTTAGCAACACTTGACATCGTTTGATATTTGGAATGCCAGTAGTCTGATCATATTACTTACCAAATTTCAGCCTTCTTGGCATCGAATGGCAGTCTCAACACTTGCTCAGGTGCCAAAAAGCTACCAGCTATTTCAATACTTGGATGGTCATCCGGTGGAAGATCTGCTGCTAGCCCCATATCAATCAACTTGATACAATATCTGTGGTCTACTAGTATATTCTACAAGGAGCAGAGAGACCAAAAAAAAGGGTCAGTCATCTATCAAAGGATAGCAGGGCAAGCCAAACATGTAGAGGACGCTTGTAATCATTCTTACTTGACATTTCAGGTCCCGATGGACCACCGCATTTGTATGCAGATGCTTTACTGCATTGACCAGTTGCCAGAATATGAATCTCGATATGTGCCATGGTATTTTGCCATCTAAGAGAATGAAAAGAGAGGATTATAATGAGACAATGTGAGTTACTTGGCTTGCGTACATGAGACAGATTTCAAAAGGAAACTTACGAGATTCTACGAAAAAGGAACGTATGAAAGGATTAGCATTTCATTGTATTGAGTCATTATCAAGTAAGTAAAGCTACAAAAAACTTACGAATGCAGGACCATAGGTCCATAGAGCTGCCTGACGGTACAGACAGATTTGGGAACCCGAAAGTCCATGCCGGCACATTCCAAGAAGCAAAGACAGGGTCCCACGCCGTCCCAAATAGCTCAGTGACTATGATTAAATATTCTCCTTCCACCAAGAATTCGACAAGCTGGAGCATGTTTGGATGCTTGGCCAGAGACGCCAGATAGTTGACCTCCTTAGGAATTCTCCCAATTCCAATCACGTCCACTGAGTCAGATGGACGAAGATTACTAGCGTGCATAAATTTGATTGCTACCTATGGCCATGAAATGTACGAAATAGTCAGAGACGGAGATCTGGAGAAAAACTACACGATTTTCAACCATAATACCAGCAAAACACTTACAGGCATCATTATTTTCGTATGCCATCCAGCAAGCACGAACCCGAATCCTCCTGCTCCCAAGAGCTTGTAATGGCAATACTTTGCCTTGTATCCATCCGATATGGGAAGCTCACCACTCAAGAGTTTTGCATAATGGTCATGCGGCGACAGCCGCACAGGTTTTTTAGGGTCAAGCCTGACCGAAATGTCGTCTTTGGGTGGTTCATGTAGCTCGTCGACTTCTGGCGCACATGCTAACTCCTTTGCCACGTCCACAATCAGTGAACTGGTTTCTTCATCGGCACCCCGTGTCGTTGTTTTGGGTGCGGTTGGTTCGGGTGGTTCTGCAGTTGCTGATAGCGGTGTGTCCACAACAGCTAGTGCTACTACTGGTAATACTACTACTGGACTACTGATTACTGGTACTACTATTGGTGGTGGTACTACTGGTAACACGACTACTACTGGACTACTGATGGCTGCTGCTACTATTGGTGGTGCTGCTGATCTACTGTCGACGGATGCTACTACGGCGCTACTGGCACTACTATTCAACAGATCTCGCGCTGGCAAATGTGCAGCATTCAGACCCTATGTTGTCAAAAATGAATTAGTTCAGCAAGCCAACAAGGAGTGTCTGAACGAAAGAGCAAAAAAGCATCTGAGGTCAAGACTGCCCGGCATACCATGTCATTAGGAAGCTTTTCAGTCTTGCACTGAATAGAGAAACTTGTGGAGAAATGATGTAACAAGATCTAATAAAGTAGGAATGTCAGCAAAGTGAAGAGATCGCAATGAGTCAAGTTCAACATATGGGGAAAGAAAAGGAAACGACCACCGAAACCCCATCTTACCTCGAAATCAGCTGTATCGACCAGCTCCTTTCTCGCACCCTCAACGTCCTTTGTCTTGCCCTTAATTTCAAAGATGCCATCTGAGAATCCGTCATTGTATCCGTTATGAATCATCGGTTTAGCATGCGGTTTCCTCATCTTCAAATCCATCATTACACCATGTTTTTCTTGGAGCCTTTCCAAGCTTGTGTTGTTCGTTCCGATGATGCGACGAATGATCTGACCCTTGAAATCTGATACACCAATGTGACGAGACAGCACTCTTTGAGCTTCTACACTTATCAGATCAAAGAGGCGGATCGTCCAGGTAAATGTCTTTGGAAAGGCAACTGTTCGTTGAGCCATTGTAGACACCACTTTGGGTCCATATACAGTAACGGCAGCTGCTTTAGACGATATTAAAATGCTGCTACTACTGCTTCCACTACTACAACTACTTCCTGCTACTACTACTGGTGGTGCAACGACTGGTGTTGCTACTATAACTACTGGTGGTGGCCGTTCAACTACTACTACTGGTGGGAATTCTACTACTACCACTGGTGATGGTGGTTCAGCTACTACTACAACGGTTGGTGATTGTATTACTACTACTGGTGCTGCTGGTGGTGGTGTTGCTACAGCAAACACAATCCAAAGTGCAATGGCATAAGCGAAGCAAGATACGATCATTCTAAGGACAGGTGCAGACTCCAACAAGGCCACTATATACAGAAATCCAGTAGCAGCTGTAACATACAATAACTCCTCTGTCCACAATTCCTTCACTCCTCCGTCAGATGTATCAGGCGACACGACTGTTGCAGACGCTTTAGAAGGAGACGTGACAGAGGGACAAGTTCCAGTGGGAGACGTATCAGAGGGGGAAGACGTAGCAGATTCTTCGTATGGGCAAGCGAACCCTCCGCGCGGTGCGGTAACCCGTGCTAAAGGAGCACGCCCTCCCACAGATACCGGCTGTGGGACCGTTGTCCCTAATGGAGGCATCTCCTTCGACATCAGCCAGTGATGGAAGGCTGGACTGTTTGGCTGTGTACTTTACATTGCTTTGTTGTCAGTCTCTCCACCATGGCAACCTAGAAAAACATCTCAACAACACAAAAATACAAGTGTTGTTTCAACGCTTTCCTAGATTATGTTGAAAGAAATATTGTACATTGTACAATACATCAATCAACACCATGGCACGTTCCCGTACACTCTCATTATCTGCTTTGCCAAAAGCAGTGAGACAGGCGTGTACGTTACGTTAGCAGAATAGACACAATCCTGCTTGTGCCTATTCCACACCACCTCAAAAGACATCTAGCAGATGCTAGATGACTCCGTCATCAGTGTTCACAAAGCTTCTCTTGACGTCAGGGCATACCGTCAAGCAGCGAATGCATAAGGAAAATTGAATCTTGACTTGGGGTTGGGATCTAATGAAGGAGTAAAAGTGACGTAAGTCTAAGATCAAATCTTTTTAATGGATCTTTAATAATATCATAGAATCAAACAGCCTCAACAAAGAAACTCAGAGTGGAGTCAACCGAGAAAAGAAATCAGACAACATTCGAGACCAAAGCGTCTATCGATCCCAACTCAATGCCATAGATATGAAATTAGAGCCATCTCCTTGTCCTGAAAACCTAGCAAGCGGTAGTAGCACAGACTCCGTGTTGATTTGATTCTTGAAGGCGACGTGTTGTTGCTGATGATGAGCAGCAACCAAGGGAACCAATGATTCCAGAGAGACGAGTAGCGGGACTGATGGATGAATGTATAGAGAGCCGATTGAAGGGGTTTTTCTAGTAGAAACCAATATGAGAGTTCTTTTAGATCTATGTTTGAAAATTCAAATTGGCGGCCAGTGATGTTTGATGATGAGGAAGAGCTGGTTCTTCCCAGTATGATGCAGAAAGAGAGCCACAGGCATTTAGTCAGTATAAAGTGTTCGTGTAGTGTGTTCATATACTACCATTGGGCTTTCTTGGACCTCGAGATTGGAATTGCGTAATTTTGTTGATGTTGAGGGCAACATGACCAAACTAGCGTTTAGAGAGCCCAGAGTAAGCCCAAATGATGGATGGATATCTTGATAGTCCATTGTTTAGCTTTATTTAGTAGAAGCACTTGGGGGAATGTTTTAGATCTAGGTTTGAAAATTGCAGTTGGCGGCAAGTGGTGTTTGTGACGATGCAGAGGGCTGATTAGAGCCAATTCTGATGGACATTGATGAGAAATAGCATTTACGAATGCATGGAATGCATATCTGGTGTCCTTCCCTTGCTCTTGTTCCTTCTTCCTAGGTTTCCTAGAATTCACATGATTTTTTGATGTTTTGAAAGTGTGGAGAGCGCTCTGCCTTTTATAGTGTGGCCAAACGAAAAGTCAACAAATGTTCTCATTGGCCGAAACGCGACGACTTCGCATTGAACCCTGCGGCGGTCAAACTGTCCAAATATCATGCCTTTTGTTGTTGTAACTGATTTTTTACAAATGGCTCTTGTGTATATTCTTACATGTTTTACAGCCCACCGTCAATGCCCCAACGCCATTATTTGAGATGGTCCATTTCTACATCCATCTCCTGTATTAAACGTTCATCTTCAGACGGATACAATCTGTTATCACCAACACCACCCCCATTAGACAGTCCTCTGGGAGCGGATGCCACGATGATTTGTTGCCTTGCAATGGAGCATCTACAAATTCCAAGAAGACTGATAAAGCAACAGAGCATTTACAGAGTAAAATAACAGTACTTGGGAATAGTAAGGTGCGCCTAAGTGTAAGGGAGAAAAGGTGGTGAGCTGTTGGTATCATGCGATGGGGTTGGTTGACGAAACGAGATGCAGTATAATAGATTCTTTTTTGGCTGGCTGGTCATAATCAAGGTGACCATCCCTTCATCAATTCCACCATCATCAGCCACGTATAATGACATTTATCCACTGAATATGCTATAACAATATCAAATCATTCCATGTCGTACCATTTACTGTTGTAGCACTGAAACTCCTTTGAATGATTGCGCTCATCCTCTCTCAAGCCAATAAAAGAGACTTTCTCGTCGAGTATTTTCTCTTGGCATTCACTTGTCACAGAAACCAGATTCATTTTTATGTGGTAATAAGGGACTAGTTTGTAGGTGTGTTGAGATGTCAGTGTGTAAGTGACATGTGAGTATGTTTGGATTGTCGGAAAGTTAATAGCAGAGTCTAGCCACGTTGTCGAATGTGCACCAACAATCAATCCACTATAATCAAACTAGCATGATTCAATCTAAGGATTTACCATCAGGTACAGGTAGTACTAGAGTATCAGTCTCCATCGTGCAGGAGGAGTAGGCATGACTGGCTCCATTGTGATTGAATATGGGGAGGTAATATGAGCTCAACTCATAGTCTATACCACTCGGAACCAAGCTGCAGAGCTACTTGTTACTAACATGGTGGTAATGTTACTTTAGATGTCTTGACAATGTGAATGATTCGCCCGCCTTCAATGTTGCCAAGCTCAGCGATGTGGAATGGAATAGAGTGAAGAGTACAAAAGGGAATGATTCAAGTAAGGGAAATGGGCAATTTTGGTTGCTCCTTTGATTTGATACGTTCCCATCATCCCCATTTGTTCAGCCTTAAACTCCAAACTCGCATCATCATCAGCGAGCAACATGGAAGAGCTTCCAAGTATCTAGCGAACGAGTATGGACTTACTGAAAATGTGAAAATGGGCAGCAGTAGCGTTGAATATGATCACCTTCGTCCTTTCCTCCCTTAAAGCTTGGTTGAGCTGATGATGACCGATCGGTCGCGACGTTGCCTCGCTCATTAGGGATAGATGACTTGGCAATATAGAAGAACGTCCACGGATTATAGAATTCATTGCACGTGTATGTTTTCAACATAATCACCGCAAATCTTCTGCGTTTTGAACGTGTACATGTGGTGGAGGAATTTGTTGGTATGGTTATTTGAAATAGGACGGATTCATGGTCTAGCTCTACTGACATTAGACACTTGATTAACGCGTTCTTTACTGCTAACTCTAATATAGATTGATAGATTGTGTTGCTGATCAGGCTGATCACCATCATCCATTGGTTTCTTGACAAATTCCAGTCAATTACGACTACTTGGACAGCGTCATCATCATCTGGGTGTATACCATTCGGTGAAATCTTTTGGTAATTTCAAGCATCCACGCTAGTTCATTGCTGTTTAACTTGTTGATCAGTAGCTGTTTTAACATCAATGCAACGATCTGCACTTTCTAGAAAGTCACTAATTGGAAGCCCTCAATTGTAACCGATCTCCATTTTGAACTCATGTCTAATCGGTACGTCTGTCGCTGGATATGTGGTTATACCCGCAGATCTTCAACATCAATTCCAATCAACATTCAACATTTCTTGGTTGCAAACTCTATACAACAACGACAACCCCCATACACATCGAGAAAGAGCTGAGTTTGTATTAATATTGCGTGTAATCTGAATCTAGAACATATAACGAACTATGGGCAGAAGCAAGTGAGAAACTAGTCTCACAAGCAGACTATGAAAAATCAAAAGAGGCTGCATTGGCTCCCAAGGATAGAGACTCAGCATTGCAGCATTTGGCTATTCTATATATTAACTACGTGCAGATATTCAGATCTGTTGAGGTAAACATGCACTCGCGTTATTCGTATTGTGGACTAGTAGACGGTTTCCTTTTTGGTCGTGCTCTCGTTGCTTTTAAATGGCATCCATTGGGAGTTGTATGCAACACTCGAGCGTGATTGTAGTTGAACGCTCGTTACAACTTGGCTTCAACTTTCACCTCATCTGTGACAACCCTACTTTTAGAATGCATATGATCAAGTGGTGCATCCTCAAAAGAGAAGACTGCTAAGAGACTTGTTGCTCTCTGTTACTGGACGCTTACTGGAAGTCAAGCAGGTAATGCAAACGGTCAATGATTTGCATCTCATTGAAGGTCAACCAAAATGCAACGACACAAAGTGCTAATACGAATGTCTTCTCCGCGTAGAAACTGGTCGAACTACAATGTTCAGACATCCAACACTTTCCTGATATATTAATCGACATGAAACTCGTTCCTGAAGACTTAAATGTCGCAATACCACGGTTCTATGTTGAGGATCGAGCCAAGGATCTTGAAGCACGACGACAGCTCATGGTACAGGGCACCAGATATTCGCCTCTTCTGTAAAACCTTTTTGCTATTCAAAACCTAACAACCCCATTGTCGAATCTAGAACTCACTATCAGCAAAGACATTCGGAGCAACAGAAATCACACCACTGTTTCCTGCAATGTCTGTAGATGAAGCTGTTGGTCTGATACAAAAGAATGAACGTGGACGTCAAGGAAGATTGAGAGCTAAACACATGCGTGAAATCAGGTATGCTTGGGATATCGGTAATATTTTTTTGACTCGGAATTCCCCGCGTCATTCAACATTATTCTCTTGATAAAATCATAGACTGCAAGCTAAGCGTGAACAGGAACTTGACGCGCATGATGATGCTAGTGTGGTTCAGAATGCAGCCATACGAATACAAAAGACGTAAGCGTTTAACCGTTAAGGCTGAGTGCATCAAACTTACATACGTCTACTCATTACAGATGGAGAGGATTCAGAGCGAGGAAGGAGGCAGCTGCAACACTGCATGCAGAGCTAGAGTTCTTGAGTAAGTTGCAAAAATGCATGAGTAGATAGAGTTTTCTTCTTCGCTCATACGTCTTTCCTTTTCTTAGAGATGCAACCATCTGCTCGTGGTGGATCAAGTGCAGCAAAGGCGCTTTCTGAGCAAAATCGCGCTCGTCGTAAAATCACTCAAACCCAACACGAAGAAGAGTACCAACAGGCACTCATTAATACTAAAGAAAAGTAAGCGCTGGTGCTTCATTATTTTCTTATCTGACTTTTTGGCCTCAACACCGAAGCCAAACTAAGTTCTCATTCCGTAAAATTTGTTAAACAAATGCTTAACAATTTTTTTCCACAAGGCTCATGAAAGTCGAAGGTCCTGAAATACGTGAAACCATGCAAGACAATTTCAGACAATGGTATATGGATCACAAAAAGACGCATGGGAAATTCCCTGAATTTCCAAGTGAAGACGAATGGAATACGCCTGGGTTCTCATTCATGGGACCGCCTGCTGTTACTGTAGGCGGTGACGGTGATGATCAAATTGGTATGGTTTCTAGACTGAAATATGTCTTATTGCGATTCTCCCCTTTTTTTGGCCAATGCGTGTTCTAGAACTAAGATCTTCTATTTTGTTAATTGTAGGCAAAAAGAGTCGGGGTTCTTCAGCTTCTTCAAAGAGTGCTGCTGTCAAGAAGGGAGATAAGAAGGATGCTAAGGGAAAGGGTGGTGATGTAAGAAATCGAACTTGTGAACTTGACGTGTTAGCATACACCAAAAACAGTCGTTTTTTTCGTTGTAGGATGCAGCAGATGAAGATCCATTCAAGTTAGACAAGTCTGAATTCCTCAAGGACATATCAGCTGCGTGAGTGAATTGCCTTCTGAGCATCCAGAGTGTCTCGTTTTGGTCTTCTCAAACCTTCTTTCCAATGATGTAGTCAAACAGCATATGCGGTGAAATGGGCAACAAAACACGAGACTGATAATTTTGCTCAAAAGCATGATCAGGAGACGATACGTGTTGATAAACGCAAGGAAGTTGAAGCTGAGGTAGTGCATTCATCAAGATAATCTATGATTTTTTTTGCGAGTAAATGATTTCTTGTCGAACCTCTTAGATCAAGCAGCAGATATACGAAGTCCTCAAAGATGAATTAGAGAATCTGAAATTGTCGGTAGATCGAGAGAAGAGTAAGGCCAAGAAGGGTGATAAGAAGGGTAAAGGTGGCAAGAAGGGCAAGGTAATCGAAAGTTTGAGACTACAATAGTACATGTATTTGATTGTTTATTTGGGATTTAACAGGAAAAGGGTGGTAAGAAGGGCAAGAAGGAAAAGGACTTGACTGCTAATCGCACCATGGAGGATTTGATTGCTGAGCTTGTAGAAGCTGGTATTCTACTACGTGTAAGTGGTTCGGATGTCGAGGGTAATACAACCAATCCACATGTTAACCATCGTTTTTTTCTGTAGGCTCCCGAACTGTCCATCAATGATTTCAAGGGCAGTGTTAGCTTGTTGAGTACTTTTGCAACACAAGCACCCGTCATTACGCCAACATTGTCTGATGTGAAACGAGTGAGTTCAGCGGCCATGCCCGTTTGAAGGTTTTTTTTTGCATTGACCACTTTGCTTCCTATTCTATAGGCCGTGACAGAATTCTGTATCCTCCCACTCGGCCTCCCAGCGACCGTGAAAGCACCAGCTATAACATCTATGCTCCTCGTCGGTGCCAAAGGCACCGGCAAAACGCAACTTACAGGCGCAATAGCCTCCGAAACCGGTGCCCACATATTCAACATATCCCCCAAGCACATATCCGGCCTGTACACGGGCAAAGCAGCAACAACCAAAATGATCCACATGGTCTTCAAAGTCGCCAAAGCAAACCCGCCCTCTGTGATTTACATTGACGGCGTCGAAATGATTTTTGCGAAGAAAGTACCCAAGGAGGATACATCTGACCCTAAACGCTTGAAGAAGGATTTGACGAAACAGCTCAAGGGGTTAGAAGTATCTGATCGCGTGCTTGTGGTTGGAAATTCGACACATCCGTGGGATGGAGATATCAAGGCACTCGTACCGTGTTTTGACAAGGTGCTGCTGGTTCCGTTACCGGATTATGCGTCGAGGGGGTATTTATGGAAGGAGTACATTGAGACTCAGAAGGGTGTTAGTTTGGCGAATATCAATATCACGCTGCTGACGAGGTTGTCGGAGGGAATGTCGGCTGGGGACTTGAAGCTGATTTGTGATAGGACCATGACGGATCGGAGGTTGAAGCTGGTGAGTGGTCGTCGTGTGTATGATAGTTTCTGGTTGAAAATGCAGCATGCGTTTGGGGTGAGCTTTTTCTGTATGGCTCACATATTCTTGATTTTGTATATTAGGTTCGACATCACCCGTTAAATACCAACGAGTTCATCAAACAGTTGATTAAGCTGTTACCTATCAACAGGGAGGAGGATTCACTGATGCAGGTTAGCATGGAGTTGTCATTTGGAACTGTAGTTGTCTACACATTTCCAGTTATTTATTTGGGTTTTTTTCCCGCAATCACTTTTCCACAGGACTGGTTTTCTAAGACTACTCTAGCAAAGAAACGTGCTGCTATATTGGACGATAGTGCTGCCGCCGCTACAGACAAGAAGGGGGCCAAGAAGTAGAAAACTAATTGTACAGAGCAACAGTAGCAATCCATGTGGGGTAGTCATGCTTTCTGGTTGCCTTGGTAGTCAACAGAATGCAACCATTGTAAATTTTTGGTGAGAGAGAAACTTTTATTTTCCTATTTTTTTTGCCAAACAAAATATATACTTTACTTTATCAAAAGTTCCTATTGAGAAAGAACGAGAGTTTGGCATCGCGACACCAAAAAGAACTATACATCATCTCACACGCATAGCATGACTCGATACATACCATGCATTCACCATAAACTTTTGTACAGCAATCAAAGCTTGATATCGAACATCAGAATCAGGATTAGTCATGAGTTCCATAATTTGGGTCTTGGCGCCAATTTCTTGAACAATTCTATACATGAAAACGAACAGTTGTCAGTATCAGCATTGCCATCTTTAGAAACAGGATTTCAATCCAGTTTCAAGATCACCCATTTTCTCTGTCTTACCTCTTTCCATCTGGAGCATACTTGACATACTGTCCAATATCATGTGCAGCAACTGCAAGTATTAATGGGGCAGTTGATGTAGCAATGAGTCGTGACAAGATTCTGAGCAAAACAAGGCGAGATGCAACCAGTGGATGAGATTTCTGACTCTTCAACAACACTTATGATATGGAAAAAGATAAACAGCATTCAAATTCAATACCTCAATAATTCGTAATCTCGTTCATTCAATTTAGCAGCATTCTGCTTCCAAAAGTTTTCCGACATGTGTGGTGGAGACCATTCTAATTTTCCTGATTGCACTTCCGAAGCGTATTCGTCAAATGTGCTATGTGGGTGATTGTAGTGTTATTTGCTGTTGTCAGAAGCAGCTAAGTTGTGTCCAAATGACGCAAACGAAAAACATCACTGGTAAGGCGAAAAAAGTACACCAAGGATGACCACCAACATGACGTCTACATCCTGTAACTCTACCTCAAGCTCTGTAAAGCCTTGCTCAATTCATCTCTCAAATATTCCAAATCTTCTGATATCTCTGTATCAGACCATTTCCTAGCAAGCAGATTCTCACAGGTGTTCAACACCTTGTTTCCAAACATGGCTGCCAAGTTCTCTTGCATAGCTTTACTCAACATGTTCTAAAACGAGAAAATACTGTCAGTTCAAAGGTTGTTCTATGTGGCGGAATCCGCGATCCTGCAAAGTCGCATTGAACGATTCCTCGGTCATCTTATACCTTGAGGGTGGCAACAATGACACGAACCACCTTCTCTTTTATAGCACTCTTGACTACTTCAATCAAGATGGGAATCACATCATGTTTCCTAAAACAATCCAAAAACACGCAAGTATTAGATTCTGATCTGTAAGGAACAAATGTGTTGATTCATACCTTTGAATGTCTTGAGCAATATCGGTAATATAGGTCAATGACCACATGCAATAGATGACCTGATATTGCATTTGAGCATTTGGCGTTCCCTTTCTAAGAATCTCCACCAATCTACGAGGGAAACATAGTGAGTGGCGAAGATGTCGAGTATCCGCCACGGAATTGTCGTCGGGCAGGCCATGCTTCTTTAGCTTTTAAAAGAAGCAACGTGCGCAACATCCAGCGACAGAGTACGTACACATGAACCAGGTTTGGAGTTTGGTAGCAAGGCAAGCGATATTGAGTGAGAGATAGTATAGATTGTAATAATTGGACTGTGATATCGACGACACCAGGATTTGTAGACTGCAACTGAGCAGTCATCCATACGAATAAATCTGAAGGATCGAATGGATATGATGGATCTGCATTCCTGGATGAGCAAAACAAAATAGTCAGAGTGATAAACGACCGCCCTCGAATTCAGACAAACTCCGTACAACTTACAATACAAGGTATGTGATGATTTTAGCAGCTTTTAATTGTACGAATTCGTCGTCTTTGCGTAGTAATTTGATGAATGGGTGGAATGGGAGGGTAGCATCACCCTTTCGTTGAGCGTATGCAAAGAATGCCATGACGTGTTCTTCTTTTTCTAGTATAGGGCGTATGATATGAGTGTCGAGTTCCGATTGCTACAGGTGCCATTGGCATATAGGTACTTCTGCGAATCAGTAACACACGTACCGACTAGGACATCGTCGATAAGGACGAGTAGATTCTGTAGGGTGTCATTCCTCACTAGTTTGCTCAATAGGCCGAATAAAAGGGCAATGTACTTGTCTGGAGCCTGTAAAGAGTGTCTGTTAGAGCAGCTCAAAGAAGGTCCAAATCGTCTGTGGAATAAGACGTGGATCCAGCCCACACCAGTGCACTGTTACATACTTCAGCTAGATAAGTAGAGGGTGATTTTTGGAATTGTCTAATCTGAGCCAATTCCTCTTCAGTGATGAGAGCAGCGCGTTGATAACCCTGTGTATGTGATGGAATGTACAATGAGTAAAATGAAGGCACTGGTAGATAATTAATAGATGTACTAAGCAGATACATTCCTCCCAGGGTATTGTCCTTGCGCGTATCTGAATGGTATTGTCTTCGAGATATCTGATGTGATAAGATGTTAGAGATTGCGACCAAATGTAATCAGAATGTAAGTAAGATGTACCTGTTATGAGAGGCTACGACAGGCGCAGTGATGTCGACATCGGGCTGAGCAGCTGCAGCGGCTCCATTGCTATTACTACTGCTACTCATGTCTGCTTGATTCTAACGGTTTTGGTGAGCAGACTCACTTGGAGAGACGGGGCGGTGAAGAAAGTCGCAAATAAGATAATAATGATTTTTATAATTTTTACACATGAAATAACGCGTAGATCGATAATATACGTGCTCTGATGTCAACGCTGCGTTGTCCACTCCAAACTCTGCAAAAATTCAGGACAGACCGTGTCAACAAGCAGGGAAGGAGAGAACCGTATAGCGTATATACACTACTACACGAGCAGCACAATTATCGATCATGCGTAAGTCCCTGCCGTTCAACTTATTCTAGTTGTAAAGTTTCACTTCCAGCCAACTACACATTAACACCATCCAACATCGTGAACTATACCTTGTAGCTGATGAAGCAGAAGCAGAACAGGATACAAAGCTAGACCCAACCACCCTGGAATGGCATCTGGAACCAAGTTGGGCCACAGAGGGCCAGACATTCTACATTCACACAAACTCTGGGGCATTCGGAATCATACAGGTCGTATACTCTACAATGAGGTATGTTGCATGTGTGATAGTTCCTGATGTGCATCTGAATGAGACTTGAGTGATGCTGCATCTTGTGTGTTGATTCGATTGTGTCTTGATCGATGGATTATTCATACGTGCGTACTGACACGTTGCATCTTATAGTATGAGTCCCTCAGTGCAAGTAAGAGATTCTATAAGCACGCCGCTACATTCCTCTACACCACACTCGTCACTCAATCACGTCACTGATACTCAATCACCATCTAGTTATCAGCTGTATACCATAAAGGAGACGGAACCAGCAAAAGATCGACATTCAGTCACAACGGAACCGACTTTATCATGTCCGAAGACCGTCGCTCAACCACCTGCCAACAAGCGTCAATTAAATTCAACGAAAAAGACCTATCCTATAAAGTAAAATACGACGCCGGCCCAGATCTAGTATTCGACATCTCATTCGTCCCCGTAGACGGAGGCTTCCAAATGGCCGATAGTGGAACTTCATTCTCTTCTGCTGACGATGCCGGTTACGTATCTACACGATTTATACCAAAAGGGACTGTCAAGGGAACAGTCACTATAGATGGTAGCACAGTATCGTGTGATGGAGCGGGACTGATGGTGCATGCAGTACAGATGAATCCACATCATGTAGCAAGATGGAATTTTGGGGATTTACAGGCTGGCGATGATGGACTCATGTTTTATCAATTTGAGCTACCTGATGGACAAGACTTTGAAGTGAATCTAGTCGCCACCGGTGCCATAGTCCGTAAAAATAAGACTATAGGGATCACTCTTGATGGCTCTGTCACTCATGTCCAACGTAAAATGGACGATGCATTTGGGTACAACATCCCCACCAAGGTCACTGTTGCTCTAACTGGAAAGACAACAGATGGTAAAAACGAGGATGTCAAGATTGATATGACGCTATCACCTGGTGAATGTACTGATAAGATTGACTTGTTGAGTGAGCTGCCTTGGATTATAAGAACGTTTGTCCAGACGTTTTTGAGTAAGCCGATAGTATACCAGTGGTTTCAAGATGCCAAGGCCTCCATCACTGTTGGAAAGGATTCGTTTACTCTAGAGGGCAAGATGTTTTATGAGGTTGTACTTATGGCCGAGTTGCCCAAATAGTATGAGTAGTGGGTAGGTAGTCTTGGTATTAGTTAAGTCAGTGTGGGTTGCTAGTATAGTTGAGTGTGAATGGGCGAGGAGAGTGTAGGCGATGAAATCAAAATGGACGGAAGCTAGTAGCATAATGTAGTAAGGTTAACGTAGTGAACATCATCACTTCAAAAATAGCACCTAAAGGTACAGGAGACAGAGAACAAAACATTCAACAACAAATATAAATCCTTATATACCATACACATTTATACGTGTTAAATCACGTGTTTAGACTGCGATTGCATAATTTATGGCGCTTCGAGTGATCTCGAATAGTTGTCGAACGACACAACACATTCAGCTACAGTCAATCATGAAGGGAGCCAAGCATAGCGATGGATTTGGTACTCTGGCCATTCATGCTGGACAAGATCCAGGTACATCTACCGCGTCAAAGAAACTGGACCGAACGCAATTTTAACTAATATGAATCGCATACAATGTGTTAGACCCAACCACTGGAGCAGTCATTCCTCCCATCAGTATGGCAACGACGTTTGCTCAAGCTGCTGCTGGTGTTCACAAGGTGTGTTAGCTGGTCGTGATTGAACACATGAAATTGATGACATTTGAAATCTGGTCTTGAAATTTTTTCCCAATTGCGAATGTGCTGATATTAATTTCATGCTACCAAGGGATTTGAATATTCAAGATCAGGAAATCCTACTCGACGAGCATTTGAAACTGCAGTCGCTGCCTTGGAGAATGGAAAATATGGCAAGTTTTGTTGGTATTAGGGAGCTCGTCGGCTGTTTATTAGTTTGATTTCATGATGGAGAAATAGTGCAATGACCATTTTGCGCTGGTTGTAATTCTTCTATACCAATGGCCAATCTTCCGTAACAGTTGTTTTTGCCTCGGTGTCAAATTCCTCACACATCACACCAACAACAACAGCTCTCGCATTCGCATCTGGATCAGTTACCACGGCTACAGTAGCACATCTGGCTTCTGCTGGCTCGCACGTCGTATCAGTCAACGACGTATATGGTGGAACATATCGATATTTCACCAAAGTTGCTGCCGGTAATGGTGTGGAGTGCTCGTTTGTGGATTTGGAACATGCTGAGAATATTAGGAGTGCGTTTAAGCCTAATACCAAGGTAATAGTTCAATCGACCAGGCCTGTTTTTTGGTTTTTAAAGAAGTTTGGAAGTCGTGGAAGGATGTGTTGTTGTGTCTCTACGGCACCCTCCGAAACCATTCTCTGTCCTTTTTGGTGCGCTGAATGTCAATTATCTCACAATCAGTATTTCTTCACTAATTCTTAGTTGGTATGGATTGAAACTCCTACCAATCCTACATTACGAATTGTCGATATCGCTGCTGTTGCCAAGATTGTACATGAAGTTCCTGGACGTATATTGGTTGTTGATAATACCTTCTTGAGTCCGTTCTTCCAGGTAATTCATATATTTTCGGACTTCTTTTTCTTGGAATCTCTCGGCCAGCTTTTCTCACTCATTTTTAATGTCAAACGTTTACAGAAACCTCTGGAGCTTGGAGCTGATATTGCTGTTCATTCTGTTACCAAAGTAAGATTTCAGAAGAACCTCAAAAGGAGAGAAAACTCAATGAAATGTACAGAAGATGGCATTCGCTTTTTTTGCTGATTGAATTTTTGATTTCGATAGTATCTGAATGGACATTCAGATGTTGTGATGGGTGTTGCTATTACTAGTAATGATGCCATCTATGAACGACTCAAGTTCTTCCAAAATGCTATTGGTGGTGTACCGAGTCCTTTTGACTGTTTCTTGGCTAATCGTGGTATCAAGACCTTACATCTAAGTAAGTGTGAAGACTCGTGTGTTGCTTTTGTTGCTGTGTCTTTTTGTCTCCTGGAAAATCCCTCTCGTGATCACTGATCATCATTTGCACAGGAATGAAACGCCACGAAGAAAACGCCCTCGCAATATCCAAATACCTCGAATCCTCCCCTCGCGTATCTGAAGTCATATATCCAGGCCTTTCTTCACACAAACAACACGCAACAGCCCGAAAACAACAATCTGGATTTGGAGGAATGATTTCCTTCCGTATCAAGAATGCTGATTTGGATGTATCCAATCGGTTCTTGGCTTCGCTACGACTGTTTTGTCTTGCTGAATCGTTAGGTGGTGTTGAATCTCTGGCTGAATTGCCTGCTGTTATGACACATGCTAGTGTGTCGCCTGCTCAACGGGCAGAGTTGGGGATTACGGATTCGTTGATTAGGCATGTATTTGTTGTGTGTTTAGACCAGTTTGGGATGTTTGGTCGTGGCCATGCTGCTTTTTTTCTTACCTTCACCGGATCTGACCTATTCCTTTTGCGAATAGGTTGTCTGTAGGCATTGAAGATGCCAAAGACTTGATTGCGGATATCGCTCAAGCATTAGAGATTGCATCTGGTTCTTCTAAACTCTGAACGGTCAAATCGCACTACAATTACTCTACTTTCACAATATCTATAGAAGGACAATTTTACAAAGAGACTTCATTTTCTACTTCTGAAACACTAGTTCTCGAGTTGGTTTTGCCACGTCACGGATGTAAATTTATCGATGCTATTGCGTTCACTGTTAAGAGATTTGAATAATCAAGAATGTCGAAATGCTACATGGACCAAGCATTCGAAGCTGTTGGTGCTTCCGTGGAGCATGGAAAATAGGGCATGGATTTGCTGGATTATAGAGTCGAGAGCTAGGAAAACATGTGTTTTGGTTGTCGCTCTTGAAGACCAATCAATATGTGGCCAAAGATCTTCCGTTTTTTTTTGGCTTTTGGATCACACGCTCTGCTTAGGTAGCGAAATGTTACAAACGTCGCTGCTGGTAATGTTGTTGAGTTCCCTTTCGTGGATTTGGAACATACAGAAAATGGTAGGAAAGTTTCAAGTGCTAATCCCGCAGTAAGCATCCAACTTCAGTGTTCCATTTTTTGGGTACCCATATTAGCTGGTTTGTGGATACGGACGCAGTGAAAGAAACACCACAACGTCGAGTTTGTTTATTTGTCGTTACTTGGCACTAGCTAGCCTGTAGTGTCGCGTACCAAATTTACTGTTACTGGTTGGGATGGAGTGAAGCGGCTACTAATCCGTCAACAAAAGCCGAACACACTGGATACGTACCTTTGACGTCTCCACATGTTTTCTTCAGTGACAGAGCCCTATTCAAGAATCGTCGTCCTGTTGAGAGAGGCATATATACGTGATATCTGATATCGACTTCGCTCGTGCGTGTGTTGGGTCAAACACGCGTCCCTCGCGGCGGATCGCAGCATTCAGCAGAGCCTTCTTTGCTGTTTCGGTCATTGTTGTACAGCATGATGGCAAAACACGAGACTTTTGAGGAGGGACGAGTCAACACAGCAACGACTGAGTTTGCTATGGTGTCAGTTCAGTTTCGAGATGTCACAAACCCGTGCAATTGGACGTAGAAAGCCAGCCCAGCCTGTTTCCATCATGAGCACTTTGCTGGAAATAACGTTTCATTCTTCCCACGTCTTTGACCATGGATTTGGTGGCCTACGATTTTCGAGAGATGGCGTCAAGGGCGCCAGCGGCTGCAAGTAAGCGTGTGGGATGAAATCTAATAGTATAATGTAAACGGCAGTGGTCACAACCTGGCTGGTTACAGCATTAGGGGGAGCATATTGTTCTGGTTCAACATCTATATCTTAATACCATTTCCTTGTTCAACGAGCTTCAGTACGGCCCTCAGGCTCGATATGGTTGTGTTTGTATCAGTATTCTCAGTGCCCCCAGTGACTTCGGATGACTGTATGGCTCTGTTGATAATCAACCCATTCATCCCTGCAGCCTTAGCACCTTCAAAATCCAGCACGTCATCACCAATATGTATAGCTTCCTGAGCTTCAACGTCAGTCAGTTTGAGGGCTTCTCGGAATATCTCAGTTCTCGGTTTCGCTATTCCAAACACGCCTGATAAGACTACAACGTCAAAATACTGACGAATTCGAAAGGACCTGAGCACCTCCTCTGTGACAGAAATATAAAGATTTGAGTTAAATGAGCCAGTAATGGCAAATTTGTCTTCAAAGTATCACGCTACCTGTCCTGGAATCACTGTTTGAAATCAACCCAATTTTGACTCGACCTGATGATTTCAGCTCCACTAGACACGGGACAACATCCTGATATAGTTTATATGGAGCAGAAGTAGCAAAATGATCGTATAATTCGTTTATAAGGGCCTTCGAAGGTGGTTTGTCTAATCCTCCGGCATTCAATGTTGATGTGATGATTTTCTCCCAAAACTCATAGCCAGATATCGACCTGTAGCCAAAATTAGGGTATTGAGATGACACGGTCTTGTATGATGGTACGAATGCCTGTGCACTATGAGTCGAATATCAGCAAAATATGGTTATATACCAAAACTTGAAATGTTTGCCAATAATTTACTTACGACCGCTCCAGGTCTACATTACAACCATATTTCGAGTTCGCAATGCGTCCGTATACTTTTCCTGGTGGCTCTTTGAGCTTCCAAAGCGTGTTGAATGCGTCAAACGTCACAAATCTAATCTTCGACATGTTTGCGAGAAAGAGAGGATGAACAACTTATGCGGTCGCTCTGCAAAATGACCCGATTACGCGTTATCAACCTCGTATTGACGCTTGAAAGCAGTAACGAGTCACTCCAGTGATGCAAGTCTATGCTGTAATCTACAAAGTCAAAAACCTCACTACGACACTCATTCCTCATCGTCTGAGTATTTAAACTTGAAAGAGGAAGATACCGACGTATCAATGGGTCCGCCTCTGTAAGATCCTCTCTTTTTCTAATGTTAAGAAAGTCTGCGTCAGCAAAAAAAGGCACCTGAGAATCCGAATATATACAATCAGTAAACCTACCTTTGTCTTTTCAGCACGGAAACCTTTTCCACGAGTAACAATCAAATCTTGATGAGCCCTCATTCCATACTCATCAGTCTGTTTTTGTATTGTAAAAGAAAGAGTCTGAGCAAGGTCGTCAAGCTATACTCAATTCTTTCGAACGTTCTTACCTTAGAATGGAATGAGTTATCTTTAAGCGATTCATCAAAGTATGTGACTTCGTCTATCTTGACACGTTGGAAGGGTGTACCTTTATTCGTTTTTGATTTCTTGCCACTGCTACAACACAAAAGAACTTGAGCTTGAGCCCCTACGGAATAACTTACAAGCGTCTAACAGTTCTCACCCATGGTTGGTAACCTCAGGACTAGCCTCAGCATCTTCGGAGTGGGATTTACCATTGGCTGATGGTGCCACCGGATCATCTGAATCGGCAGTAGGAGCAGAAGCAGCAACAGTGCTACTTTCGGCAGCAGTAGTATTCGCCACTTCAGTATCAATGGTCGAGTGCTTTCTCTTTAGCTTTTTCGAGCCCTTGGTAGGTGCTAGCACGTCTGCAGTTCCATTTGGAGTGCCATTTACGTGTTCACTTGAAGCGATTGGTTCAACTATTAAGAGCGAAAAACCACCTCAACACACAGTCGCAACAGAGGTCGATGGACTTCTAGGATGAATGCAACATACCAGTTTCGGGAGCAACTACGGCTTCTTGTATTGTTTCAGCATCTATCGTCCTTCTAAAATCGAGATCAAATGTTGGTTTGAATCTTTGGTTGATGAAAGCCCTGTTGGTAGTTACCTTCTCTTCTTGGACTTGGAATAGATATCAATGAGTGATGCAGCTTTACGGGATTCTGTGATCTCTTCTTCTTCCTAGTTAAAACAAGGAGGATCGATCAGTTTCAAAGAGCGATGAAAGTACGAAAAAAAAAGATCCAGTACATACCAATGCGAACTGTTTGGCAAGTTTTGTGGCTATTTTCGGGGCAATGTCTGTAAGGAAAGCGTGAACGCTGAGAATAAGGTCTCGTGGAGCTTCATTTGCGACTGTCATGTTGGTTCTCTGTTTCTGCGATTGACTGAATTTGGTGAAGACATCAAAGACCTAGCGCTTAAAAAGAGTCTAGAAACTATTCCTAAATTGATTTACGAGACAGCAAACGCATTCCAAGTTCGTGTCACGTTCATCTTCACACGGCGGTACTCTCGAATCTACTATATATTTTAACGGCGACCATGCTACATAAATGGCCTTTCAAGCTCCAAGGCACTATTGGTTTTGAATTCTGGTGGTGCTGATACAGCAGCCTATATGATTATAACAAGCGAATGAGTGATATTGTCAATTGTTTTGAATGCCAACCACAAAATCGTTTTTGCTTTACCATCTGTCTATTCACATTCCCCGTCAGTCGAGAGTCTCGCTCCATCATCTTCCTATCCCAAGCATCCACATTCCATCTCTTGGGCTGTTATGGACAAGACATGTGAGTTTGCGAATTCCATGTTTTCAGTAAATGTTTGATGTCAAAGAATTCAACATTATAAAACTATATACGATAGGGATACCTTTCCATAATTCTCAAACTTTTGATATGCTCGGACGGCCTCTCGCATACCAATACCAAGGGCACCAATACAGGCCAAGCTACGAAACAAGAAATTTGGTTGATTTGCGACGACTTGTTGGCATCTTGAAGATATTGACCTTACTTGAAAAACATTTCAGCGGGTATCGTGAATGGAGCCATGACTGCTGGACTCTCTCTCCTCTCACTTTCCAACGAGATCAAATGTTGCTAGTGTTGAGGACAACTGCAAGGAGGATGATGAACTGGACGGCCTTGAAGAGTGGTAGATTGGATATCGAAATGCTGCTGGATATCAGAATATATCGTACAATTCACTCTGAACTGGTGCCGAATCGGCGCTTGGAACTTTGAAACTCACGCATCGCTGGAAGTCTGGTTTTTGAGGTCATACGAGCCTTATATTTACATTTTGCATTTTTACATACTCCTTTAAGAGCAAGCCCCTCTTCACCTCAACACCTGCAACTACTCTCAAATAATCATCATCTTATCCCTTATCCACACCACCAGTTTGTAACCCACCATAAACTTACCTATGATAATATAACCTACCTAAAACTAAAAGTATTGGTGTGCTATGCCGACATACTTTCCCCTGGAAAGACTTGGGACCATACCTCTTGACAAGACACTCGGGCATTGACCAGTTCTGGGTGCAAGGCATCATAAATTTCCATATGGGCAACGTCTTCTTGAACTCGCGCAGCAGCTATACAATGGATGATTGTGATATAGAATGAAGCAAGTGGAGAATTGGTGGTAGTGGTTGTAACTTACAGTCCTTGACCCCAACACCCATAATTTTCAAGAATTCCCTGGTGAAGGCATACATTTCCGTTGTTTCGAATGCCGCCCTCTCCAGATCGGTCGAGTTGGGAGTATCTGTAGTGTGACTCTTGTTGCACAAAGACAACCAGACGGCCCTGCCCTGATCAAGGAGGCTTTCGCCATCCAACCCGTAAAACAGTTCCCCATTCAACTTGATGCAGTCTCGTACACGTGAATTCGGTTCCTCTACTATAGAAGGATGAGTAATATCAATAAACCGGGTAGAGAAGTCGCGAGGATTCAACAGGTTTGCACCAGTGCCACGCCGTAGATTTGATGTCCAACCAACGGCCTATTCAGAGCCAAGGCAGTAAGTATTCAGTAACATTCACGGTTGAATGGTAACTAAATATCAATATTCGATCGTCAGATTTGGCTTCAAAGTCCGAGTGCCCTCATCACAGAGTAGATCATTTTTTGACGAAAGTCGCTTACGCTTTGATTGTCAAGTAGTAAAGCCCGACTATTCACGCATGGAAAGTACCTTGTTAGTAGCAGTATTTACGTCCAAATAGGCCGCGACCAACAAACTCGGCCTCCTTTATAGGGGACAGCAATGTAAATTTAGTGAATCCAACGCAAGACTGACTCGATTCGATTACACCATCATTCTGGTTTTGTAGTATTTTAATGTCAATACTGACGCGTATGCCACGTCCTGGATTGTCGCATCTAGTTTCATCATTCGATTTGCTCGTTTCATTGACGCGTCACCAGTCTCAACTGATTCAATTGCACAGCTGCAAGTCAGAGGAGTATTAGTTAAAATTATAGTTATTGCCTAGAGAATGAGCTCAATAGGAACAGGAGTAAGTCACCTCTTCTTGCATGCATTCAAGCCAGCAAGTTAATTGACTTCACATTATGTTAGTACGATTTGAGTGCATCGACATACTCTCCAGATGGACGAGTCTTTCAAGTCGAATACGCATTAAAAGCTGTAGATAATAGCGGGTACGTCTATTCGTCCTCTTAGGCGAATCATGTTAAATATTCAAAACATCAACCCATTTGCTCAAATCACATACTAGAACGGCTATTGGATTACGAGTCAAGGATGGTGTAGTTCTTGCTTGTGAGAAACTCATACATTCCAAATTACTCGTGCCTGGTGTCAATCATCGTATTGCTAGTGCTGATACACATATTGGAATTGTATGTAGCAACTTGGGCTGCCTTTTTTGTCTATCCGTTCAGGCACCATATATTCAAATCCAAACCCGGATTTAAATTGTATTCCTCATACTAGGCATGTGCTGGATTATGGGCTGATGGTCGATCAATAGCCAACAGGACACGAGAAGAAGCTGCGAACTATCGTGAAATGTACAAGGAAGCCATTCCTGCAAAAGTGAGCATTCAGCGATCGCCTTTACCATTTTGTTGCAGCTAGACACTCGTTGCATCGACCAAAAATAATACAGCTATATTGTTTTGACAAATATCTTCACATCAACCTAGGCTATCGCAGACCGACTCGCACAATACGTACAAGCATACACTCTCTACTCGAGTGTTCGTCCATATGGTGTCTCGACCATATTGGGAGTCATGGACAAGACTGGTCCACAAATGTATGTCGTTGAGCCATCTGGAGTCTACTATGTAAGTTGTCATAATCAACCCTTTCTAGTATAACATTTTCTTCACCTTGCTTACGCCCGATACTCCGTCACCTCATTATCAGGGATACTATGGAGCTGCAGTTGGAAAGGGCAAACAAGTTGCCAAGACTGAAATTGAAAAGCTTAAACTATCAGAAATGACTGTTCGAGAGGCAGTCAAGGAAGCAGCACGAATGTGAGTTTCATATATCGACATTAACACATGACTTTTTCGCATGCCACTCTGGAAATCACGACTGCATGATATCCGGCATTTGTTTACCTTTGCATAACAGTCTTCCTTCGTTTTATAGCATTCACACAGCTCACGACGATGTCAAGGACAAGGAGTTCGAATTGGAATTGACTTGGGTTTGTGAAGAATCCAAGGGTCGTCATCAGTTTGTACCAAAGGACATTGCTGATGAGGCTGAGAGATCGGCAAAGGTAAGGATGGTTTTTTAAAGTCATTTGTCATTGTTTAGACGGGACTCGGGATACTCAATCTGGCTTTTATTTGCTTAGGCTTCCCTGAGGAACGAAATGGATGAAGACTAGAGAAATTGTAGCAGCAAATATCTTTGTATAGTTCGAAAAACAAGAGATTTAGTGTATACATATTCGACCTTTGCAACTTGGCGATCAGCGAAACTCAATCGCAAAGAAAAGAAGGTGTAATGTTTGACCAACAAGGTGCAAGATTTTGTGCATTTCATTTCAGAGTTCTACCAAGACACAAATAGTATTTCCTACAATGCTAACGTTTATTGTTGCCTTATATGATACATTTCAAAATCCCTTTGGCTTACAAAGATTTTGCTGCTTAAATTCTATTTGGGAGGATTTGCCAGAGTTTTCAAAACCTCTGCAAAATCATTCACCGATGCCGGTTCCTTGCATCGCAACATGAACTGCACCATCTTGGTCTCCTTTGGTGCATGTTCGGCACAAGATCCGACAAATCCACCAGCAGGGATTGCAAACGTGGCATCTTTACCAACTACATTCACAGTCATTCCCGTATACACAGCGCTATTCAATAATACAGCTAGTCCACCTTCAGCCCTCATCAAGAGTCTTCCTTTACTAGTTCTAGTGTCCCTGTTGACCTTCATGTCTCCCAATCCTGCTGTTTTCCATTCCTTTGTGTCTGTAAATACATATAGTCTACCACGATTACTAAACAAGGTTTCTTCCGATTCCTCTCCTGCTCCTGCTTTTACTTCGAGTTGTGGATCTGTTGGGAAGGCATCCTCGCCTCCTATACCACCACCACCTGCACCTTCTTCGTCATCCTCCTCTTTTTTAGGTTGTGCCATTACGTTTGATATTGGTGCTGGAGCAAACATATTGGTACCAAATAATGTGAGTGCTGGGGGTGGAAAAGCTGTTTGCGAAGTCGTGCCACTGAAACCACCAAATGACGGGGTGGTACTACTGCTAGTGCCTGGGATACCAAAGCTGGGAGTTGTACCAGCAATTGGAAAACTAAAGCTACTTGTTGTTGGTGGTGCAGCTACGTTAGAAGTCATTCCACCGCCAAAGTTAAATGTTGTGTTTCCTATAGTATTGTTGTTACTGCTACTAGTCGTACTACCAAAGGCAAATGGTTGTGATGATACTGGTGCCGTGCTTCCTAGTTTACTGCTGCCTGCATTACCAAAGGCAAACGGGAGTGCTTGCGATGTTGGTGGGAAAGAAGTAGCTGGAGGAGCAGCACCGCTACTCCTGCCCAGCTGCTTGAAGAAGTCTGAATCGAAGACTCCCGAGGATGATGGTGGTGTTGCTTTCGGATATAGAGATTCTGGTAGTGTTACTGCTGGGTACAGAGATGGTGCTGCGGGTGTTGATGATGACGAGGCAATAGATGGAGCGAAGGCTGATTTCATAGCTGTTGGAGCATTAGGTATAGTAGTAGGGGGGTTTCTTGTCGTTTGCGAAACGTCCATCATATTACTATCTACAGACTGCTTATTCAGGCCATTCGTCATATCTTTCATAAGTTTATCGTGTTTCTTTACAAGAAATTCACGATGAGCCTGGTACTTTTCGCATATGTCTGACAGGTCCGCAGTTGGCAATACCTTTGAAGCATCCGAGACACTCTTTTTGAAGGCTTCATTGAGAGCGTACAAGTCTGCAACCATGTATTTAATCTCTGTGCTATTAATGACTGGTCGTTCTGCTACTATTGGTGATGAGCCTGGTTGTTGTGATGATGTAGGTGGCACAAATACAAACGGAGGCTTCCATGCTGATCCTGATTTACCCTTGTCTGGCACGGGCGATAAGGGAGACGGAAAGGCTATCGGCGATTTCGGCAATGGTTGGGAAACTGGTGGTTGTTGTTGTGGCTGTGGTGCAAGTAGAGGTGGGAATACTATTGTTTGTGGTTTATCTGATGTCGATGTAGGTGTCCCAAATACAAATGTCGGTGCTGCTGCTGGAGCAGTGGAAGCTGTAGGCAAGAATCCCATCGTAGCGAATGGCTGGTAAAACGAAAAGTGTAAATACAGGGAAAATCGATAATAATGCGAAGTCTTACACTAGGAGCAGATGGTGCAGCGACTCCTGCCATACGCCGAGAGACTGGCTTCTTGATTCTGTAAAATGTTGAAATGTGTAGCATCAGCAATGTGTTGCATTCTTTGAATCCGACAAGGAGATTGAATCAAAAAGCAAAATATTACTGTCGTCGGGCCATTTCTGGAGCGCTGGCAGTCTTCCATGTTCCCTGATGATGAAATTAGCAAGTGTGTTAGCTTCAGTTCAGGCAAGTGTACGATGTCCAACGTACCTGGTCGTCTTCCTCATTGCCATCATCATCGTCTGCATCCTCCTTCCGCCGATGCTCGTCATCTTCATTTCCTCTCTTCATGATTGTTTTCTCGATGTTTTGAATGGTTTTTGTTGCAGCTTGACGTTGACGTGTTTTGACGACTCGAGTCAACGAGCCAGCACGGGAGCCAGTGATGCCCGTGACAATGTCAATTATATTACGCGAGAATTCTGACTCTGGTCGAGGGCTGTTTGCTACTGAACGAATACTTCAAGGTAAATCGTATTGAGTATTCTTCGCTTAGATACTTTTGCGCGTCAAGTTGATGAGAAATCGTGAATGATTTAATTGTGTTTGGAAATCAATATTTTGCCACCTTTCCAATGTGTTTTGAACGTGAATGATGAAGCTTTGGTCAACATCAAACTCAACAGCTCACACCCAACCACATTTTCGTTAGGCAAAACAATCTTCACCGAACAACCATATGCTGCTGTCGTATCTGATGCATATGTGGCATCAACGTGCGCTTTCTGTTTTGCTCCTGACGCTTCGTCAAAATGTGCGGTGCGTATTTGATCTCAGAATTACAACAGATCTCGAGGAGCGTGAAGGCTATACAAATCCATTATCTGAAGTAGGCTTGCTCATCAACGGTATACTGCCATCGAACATGTCAGAGACTAGACTGGGTTGACCACAAGCCCGAATGCGAAACACTGAAACGAGTAGTACCGCACCAACCAGGTACTACAGTGAGGCTTGTTTGCAGGATATTGCAAAAGCGTCATAGATCTCCTGAATCGGTATGCCATTGTTGTACTCGTCTCCCAGCAATGTCACTCTCAGCCAAAGAAACTGACAATCTCTTCTCAGTATGACCTGGCAATCTCACGACTGCAGAATTGTAAGTCTTCCCGTTTATGAACATCATGCGAATATTTATTTATCATACATCGTTTGTCAAAATAGTCAAAGACAGATTCCCTCGAGACACCATTGAACAATTCGCAACAATGTCTATCGTTGTCGCTGAATGTATAACGCATTCCAGGTGCCCAACTCCATCAGAGATGATATCTCTATTTTGTTGTCTGTCCATAAATGCTCATTCTATAACAAATGAGGAGTTGGTCAATGTTGGTGTTGGATTATATCGAAAACACTTAGCAATGATCAATCATTCATGTCGACCGAATGTCTACGCATCGTTTAACGCATCTAATGTGGTGCTTAGAACTGCACGAGTGATTGACAAGGATGAGGAATTGATGTTATGTTATGTCGATATTGAGGATGCTATGGTGGCCCGAAGGGAGGCGTTGAGGAAGCAATACTTGTTTGACTGCTTTTGTGATATTTGTGAAGGAGTATTGAATGGGAAGGTATGCCGTTGGTCTGTTGGATAAGCTGAAGTCTTGAAACGCATGACATGTCCCTATGTTCGTTCGTTTTTGTTGACACTCTACCATTCAGGAGACTGATGCTAGAGAACGAGTACATTGTCCAAGCAAGACTTGTTGGTCATCTCGAACTACATTTGTGGACGTTGGAGGTATGTGAGCAAAAGGACAGATTTGTCGTGTTTTCTTACGCGGTGTTGACGACAATTGCATTAGCACACGTCAAGGATCCTCGATGCCAGAATTGTACAGAGTTTTCATCTTTTTGGCCTGATATGAAAAAGGATATTGCAAGAGGTCAAAGTCTGTATGCTGAGGCTTTCGGTGTTCCTGACGCTAGTAAGGCACTTTGATTCTGCTTGAGAAAATCTTGTCAACAAACTTTCTTTTGCCAATCACAGAAGCTACAGAGCTATTACTCGAAGCTGAAAAGAAATTGTCTCATCACTATGATGGTGCAACGGATGTGATTCGAGTGAGAAGGGCTTTGCAAGACAGAATCATCCACTCAGCAAACCCAGATTGGGATCTAGCAAACCGAGTCTGTCAAGACACTCTGAAATCCATGAGTGAAATACATGGAAGCTGCGGTATTACACCAACCCAGACTATTCAGTTGTTGAAATGCGCAAAGATATCCAGTCTGGTTGGAACTGTTGTCGAGAGTGTTAAATGGTGGCAGAGGGCATTCGAGATGACAGTCATTACTCATGGTGAAGATCATCAGTTGACGGCAGAAGCTAGAACTAGGTTTATTGAAGCTAGAGCAATGTTGACCCAGATATGAATGTACATCGTAGATGCGGCTGATCCAAGCATAAATTAAGTATTCCAAGATAACGTAGAATTGTCGAAGAAAATGTTCAATTTCTGATCAGGCCTTCAAGTGAGAGCGACCGATATGGACATTACGTCAATCATCCCGTCTTCACGTTTTAGTGTTTGTGTGCGACGAGGGACAAGGCACCCAACTCTGTGCTTTCAACTTTTTCAAAGTCAAAGGCCAGAGATGAGTTCCAGGATCTCCATCATAAGAGATCATCTTAATCAACCTACTGGTAAGCATTCCATTTCATCCGGCCATCGCTTCCTTTTATGTTTTCACACTTGCAACTTGCGGAATTGCACTTCACCAACACTCACACTTCCAGTCCAAACTACATAGCTGATTATGGCCATGCATTTCCTAATCTCACAAGTGCTGATGGTGCCAAAATTCAATCTGTATTGGTCGCAAATCGGAGCGAAATTGCTATACGTGTGCTTAGAGCTGCGTCAGAGCTTGGACTGAGGACTATTGCTGTATACAGTGAGGACGACGCAACGGCCCTTCACGTGAAGAAGGCTGATGAAGCCGTTGCTCTGCCGGGACGTGGCGCCAATGTATGTTGAAGCGAAAAGAACGCGTCCTTCGCCTCTTGACCCACGAGCTCACTTTTCGTGTTGTGACAGGCCTACTTGTCTATTCCTGCCATGATCGAAGCTGCCAAGAAGGCGGGGGCTCATGCTATACACCCAGGCTATGGATTCCTCAGTGAAAACGCTGAATTCGCCAGCGCTTGTATTGGTAATGGACTTGTGTTTGTTGGTCCTTCGCCAAACGTGTTGGATCTCTTTGGAGGTAATTATCCTTGTATCTCTTCATATAATGTATCGCTAACGGTTCAGCTTTGTAGACAAGGTCGCTGCAAAGGCACTAGCTAGAAAGTGCAATGTCCCTCTTCTTGCTGGAACCACAGGCCCCACATCGTTAGCCGAGACTGAAGCATTTATGGCTAAACATGGTGCAGTCATGATTAAAGCCATCTCAGGAGGCGGTGGTCGAGGAATGAGAGCCGTCTTCAACAAATCAGAACTCGCAGAAGCCTATACTCGCTGTCGATCAGAAGCCAAAGCCTCATTTGGCCGTGACGAAGTATACGTGGAACAATTGCTCGTTCGACCTCGTCATTGTGAGATACAAATAGTAGGAGACTTGAGCGGGAATGTTGTTCATATGTATGATCGTGAATGCTCGCTACAACGACGTAATCAAAAGATTGTGGAGGTTGCTCCCAGCCCTAGTATACCAGCTAGTCTGAGAGATCAGTTAATCGCTGCTTCTATTGCTATGGCTAAAGCAGCTAAATATAGTAGTTTGGGCACCTTTGAATTCTTGGTGCCAGAAGGATCCACCAATTCTTTCTATTTCATGGAAGCAAATCCACGATTACAAGGTTGGTGGTCTCATAGACAGCTTTAGCTTTTGGTATTCTAACTCAATCCAACCTGTCCTTCTAGTTGAACATACCGTAACGGAAGAAGTTTTGAATGTCGACATCGTACAGACCCAACTCCATATAGCGAGAGGCGCAACACTACCACAACTCAACCTAGCTCAATCTCAAATAGCTCCTCCACGAGGATTTGCCATCCAACTTCGCATAAACACCGAAACTATGAATGAATCCGGAGAAGCTATCCCTACAGGAGGTACACTGGCTGCATTCGAACCTCCATCTGGTCGTGGAGTCCGTATAGATACTTCAGGTTATACCGGTTATACCACGTCTCCCGCTTTTGATTCACTACTTGCCAAAGTCATTGTCTCGTCATCATCACGACAGTATGCCGATACTGTTGCCAAGGCTTATAGAGTGTTACAGGAGTTCCGTATTGAAGGTGTTGAAACCAATTCAGGATTCCTGTGTAATTTGCTGTGTCATCCTGATGTTATTGCCAATAAGGTGTATACTACCTTTGTTGTTGACAAGATCAAGGAAATAACTGGTGGTAGTAAGGCTCATAAGCAGTTTTTCTTCACTCCAAAACTTGCCACAGTTGGTGGATTTGGAGGTACGCCGTCAGGAGATGTAGTGCAAGGTCCAGCTGGATCTATACCAATTCCTGCTCCCATGCAAGGAACCATTGTCAGCATCGACGTGAAAGAAGGCGATTTGGTCAAAAAAGGCCAACAAATCGCTGTCATGGAAGCTCTTAAAATGGAGCATGTAATCGCCTCTCCAAACCCGGGCCGTGTTAAACTGATTGTCGCTAGCAAAGGAACCACCTTGTTTTCTGGACGTCCACTCATGTTTATTGAACCTACGGAAGCTGCTGCAGATGATATTGAAGAAGTAATTAAAGTAGATTTAGATTATATTCGACCAGATCTTCAAGCTCTTATGGAGCGTCAGGCTTTGAACTTGGATGCTGCGAGACCTGATGCCGTCGCACGACGGCGCAAGACTGGTCAACGAACGACTAGAGAAAATATAGAACAATTGGTAGATGCTGGTAGTTGGATTGAATACGGTGGACTGAGTAAGTTTGCAGAACTATGTAACATTTGCTTAACAAAAGGTCTCAACCCAAGGTTTTCATATTAGCTCTTGCTGCTCAACGGGCTAGAAGGAGCTATGAGGAGCTACTCCGTATCTCACCAGCAGACGGAATGTTGGCTGGCGTCGCTTCAAGTAAATATTCGCCCAAGTTTTTAAAAACTGACTTGGTGACTAACGGTCGTATCTTTGTAGTCAATGCCAAACTCTTCGACGAAGACAAGTCGCGAGTTGTCGTGGTAGCATACGATTACACCGTGTTTGCAGGAACTCAAGGCAAACACAATCACAAGAAGAAGGATCGTATTTTCAAACTTGCGATGGACTGGAAACTACCCTTAATTCTCTTTGCTGAAGGTAAGATACAAAGCAGTAATTAAAATTTGACGATGAGTAAGAAAACCTCGTATTAAAACACCAAAACAGGTGGTGGAGGACGGCCCGGAGATTCAGATGGTTGGGGGGTGGCCGGGTTGGACTGTTTGACATTTTGGGACTTTGGGAAACTGTCCGGTCTCGTTCCATTAGTTGGAATCACGTCTGGTCGTTGCTTTGCTGGAAATGCTGCTTTATTGGGCTGCTGTGACGTTATTATTGCCACTGAAGGAAGCAACATAGGTACGTGAAAATATTGTCGGACGCACAAATGTCCTTTCCCAGACTTACATCTGCTTTAATATGTAGGAATGGGTGGACCAGCTATGATAGAAGGCGGAGGATTGGGTGTCTTCACACCAGAAGAAGTCGGACCCACTTCAATACAAGTCCCCAACGGTGTCATCGATGTTCTAGTGAAGGACGAGGTTGAAGCTGTAGAAGTTGCCAAAAAGTATCTCTCGTACTTCCAAGGGTCAGTCAAGGACTGGAAGGCTGTAGATCAACGCATTCTACGATCAATGATTCCAGAAAATCGATTGAGAAGTTATGATATTCGAGCCGTTATCCGCAACATGTGTGACGTAGACTCTGTATTGGAGTTGCGTCCAAACTATGGAATTGGTATTTTGACGTGTCTTGTCAGAATCGAGGTAACAGATGTCTCTGTTTCCTATTTTGAGAATTTGACAAACTCATTAATTTTGAGAATAGGGACGACCAATCGGTCTTATTGCAAATAACAGCAAGCATCTTGGTGGAGCTATTGATGCTGATGCAGCTAACAAGGTTGGTTTTTTCACCTTTTGTTTTAAGCGAAAACTTTGATGTCATTCTATATCAACAGCACTATTCCATTCTGTAATTAGGCTGCCAGATTCATGCAATTGTGCGATGCATATGACATTGCCATTCTCTCACTCTGTGACACTCCTGGATTTATGGTTGGACCCGAAGCTGAAAAGTCAGCACAAGTCCGAATCTTCTGCAGAATGTGTAAGTGGCTAGTGGTCGAACTGCAAGCCGAATATCGAAAAATCAATAACACACACTATTGAACAGTTGTAACTGCTGGCAGCTTGAAGGTGCCAATGTTCACGGTAGTATTGAGAAAAGGTTATGGACTGGGTGCACAAGGTAAATTGTTTTTTGAGAACGTGTTTGAAGCTCAATAGTGCGAATCTCACATACTTACATAGCTATGGCTGGTGGTTCTTTCCATGCGCCGTTCTTCAACGTCTCATGGCAAACAGGAGAGGTAAGCACATAATACGACGTACTAACGAAGTAGCGTTGTGCTCCGTTGTACTACTCTCCTCACGGTCCACATGCACTCATCAATATCCACTACTTTTCTGCAACAGTTTGGCGGTATGGGTCTCGAAGGTGCTGTACGACTAGCCTACAGAAACGAACTTGCGGCTATCAAGGACGAAAACGAACGTCAAGCCACCTTCCAAAAGATGGTTGATGAATCGTACTTGAAGGGAAAAGCGATCAACATGGCTGCCTACTTGGAAATCGATAATGTCATTGATCCTTCCGAGACTCGTATGTGGGTTGTTCGAGGCATGAAATCGGTTCCAAAGAGACCTCCAGCGGAAGGCAAGAGAAGGCCAATGGTTGATACGTGGTAAATTGTAAGTTTGAAAGGTCAATGAATAATAAAAGATTATAATACAAAAGATTCTCCACAGAATCCCTTTTTAAGTTTGAGAGTTTCAGCGTAAGGAAAACACAGAATAATGATACGAGGAGAAAATTGTTTCAAAGTTTCAATCCAAAAAGTTTCATCGACCGCGTATGAGAAACTTGCGTCCTTGTGCTTTGTCAGAATATTGAATTACTACAACACCAAATTGCAAACCTAAGTGACAGAATGGATAAAGCTACATGCTTGCCATGCCTAGTTGTGGTATCTGGCAAGTCTGAATGTCCATTGCTCCGCGATTGAGTTGAATCGTGTTCTCTAAAACTACTTTTCACGTAGGGCCAGACCCACAGCTCTTGAAGAAGAACAAACGGCCATTCTACTTTACCAGATAAGTATAAGAAATCATTCCACAGTCTTTGATCGTACTTATTTCTAGCTTTCTAGCACGAATGGGACGACATCATTTTCATCATCGGGGTTTGTTTTGGAGCTAGCGAATGGCGATTCCCTAGTATTGACACCCGCTGCTACCATATCCCCATGGCTAGACGTCAGAAAAGTCAGTTTTCCTTCATCAACCAGCTTTGATTTTGTATCTGTAATGCTATATCACCCTTTCTAGACTGATGCAATTCCACAAAAGCTCACTTATCTGTCGACTGTTGAGGTCTTTGTACACGGTGCGACCCTTTCTCGCTACTTCTGCATCAAAAAATGCTGAAACTGCAACCCTAGACGATCAAGACGAAGGAATCCCTGCTGAATTCATCGGTATCGCTCCCGTACCTGGGGTTTCAGAAGCTATACGCAAGATCACGCATACAGATCCTTGGAATTGGCAATTTGGATTCTCTTCTGATGCGTCATTGGCAGATCTACGCTCGTCGCCTGGAATGTTTAACATGAAGAATGGTGAGAATGGCTTTGGTGGACAATCGTTGCATTCTTGTAATGTTCGTTTTGTACCCAATAGTGGATATTGCTGGAATAGCTGTACTGAGGATTGCAGGAAGATTAAGTCGTGATGTTAGTGCACGGAGGTCGTCGATAGATCACTCCTCGGTGCTTGTGAGTATCAAGCAGCTAATTCAAAGTTTTTTTTTTTGCACTAATCGTTCGCATTGATTTACTCATAATGTTTTCAGATGGGCCAAGACGTTGAAGTAATTGGCTCCCCTTTTGGAGTTCAATCACCCAAAGTGTTTCTAAACAGCATCAGTCATGGAATTGTGTCAAATCTAGTCTATGATGGTTCAAATATAGGTCTGATAATGACTGATACCCGAATACTGCCTGGCGTGGAAGGAGGTGTCATGTTGAGGAGGAAGAATCACTGTCTTATTGGGGTACGATAATTTTCTTTTGTTCACAATAGTGTTTTCCCAATATTTCTTTCACAAGGCGAGTTGACTCAAAAGGCTTTTATTTTAGATGATTCTGCCACCACTCAAACGAAAAGATGATACTACAAACGATTTGAATTTCGGTATACCGATCTCGAGCATTCTGGCTGCTATTGCTCCCATGCTGAATGTGATGAGGGACAAGATTCCAATACAAGAAGCACCGCAATGGGAGACCATGGATTATTATATTGATAAAGCTATACAGTCAGTAGTATTAATACGGATTGGGTTTACTTGGGCTACAGGAGTTGTTGTGTCGACTGCAGGACGTACGCCAAATGTGTTTCTTGGCACATTGTCAAACTGACTCACTTTACTCCAAATAGATATTGTTACTAACTCACATGTCGTGAAGCCCTTTATGAATGGAGGCAAAATGACTGCAGATATCAAAGTGAGAGTGAATTGGTCTGGACCTCATCCATCGTGGATTTCTGGAGTAAAGTGTATTTTTGCCTCTTCAATGGATTGGGACATTGCTCTGCTTCAGATCACTGGCAAATCAAATGAATTTCTGATACAAACACTGCCATATATCGAACTACCGCAATCAGATGCCATGTATGTGTAAAGAAATTGATATTGGATTAAGCTCACAGTGTTGAAATTGCTATCTTAGACCATTACCAGATTCTGAAACCATACCGGTATATGCTATCGGATTTGGTCAATTCGATCCAGCTACTGGTAAGCTTTAATAAGGTGTGATGCGATTTTTTTCGCTGACATGTTTTTCTATCAAGGACTATTACCGACCGTCACTTACGGCCTACAAGGACGACTAATACGAGGCCTGAAGCCACCACATAATGTCTTTAGACGGCAAAGTTCGACAACCGTACACAACGGTTCAAGGTACAAGCAGCTTTACAACCCCTTCACTACATTTGTTAACCATCCTGTCTGTAGTGGTGGACTGATGCTCGGACCACCGAATTCAAATGGAAAACCGACTTTTATGGGCCTTATTGTGTCAAACTTGCAGCTTGAATCGAAAAGCAGCAAGTTCACGTCGATCACATTTTCAATACCTGCTACAGCGTTTATACGGATACGTCAATACATTGACACTGGTGATTACAGCTTACTAGAGCCTCTAGAGATTGAAGGAAAAGAAGTTGAAGAGCTATACTCGGTCAACTACAAGAAACCACTAGACAAGAAGCCGCAATCTAGTAAACTGTTGGAGTTGCTGGATAAAGAAAAGGCGTCTAAACTGTAATAAAAATAAAATCTAGTTTCAAATCACTTTGAAACCCGTTGAAACAGGCTTCAAGTTGTGTGTGGCATTTGCGTGTGTGTTTCATCAATCACAGAACTTGTGCCAAATTCAGTTTCAGGGCGAAGTTCACGTTGCGGGCAGACTGAGGAGAGGAAAGCCTAGACAATGAGGATCGAAGCCTTACTCATAGCCCTGGTGGCAGGCCATGTCTCTAATGTTCTTGCTTCAGGGCCTGCTTCTGCTGCCGCTTCAGTTACTAGTACCTCCACAAGCAATGGGATAATATTGGACTATGGTGAGTGCTATGACGCATATTCAAATGTTCTGAGATGGCCATTGATGCCCTGATCGGCTTGGTTTGATGCAAGACTTGAAGAAACTAAAACGTCAACATTATGCCGTTTGTAGGAACCTTGTTTGGCAAAAATTCACCAGATGGTACTGCAAAACTATGGCTAGGTATTCCATATGCTGCTCCTCCTGGTACGTATAGATCGCAGCGATCGATGAATCCATGTGCTTTTTTCAGGCTTTGTCGAAACTTATGTGTGATGATGTGGCATGTTGCAACAGCACATACTCACCCTGCTTACTTGAAACATCAAACCATCAACAATTCGCGTCTCACACATTTCAAATAATCATTTAGTGGGAGCTTTGAGATTCAAGCCACCAGCCGCACCTCAAAATCTGGGCAACTCATTTCAAGCTACTTCTTTTGGAAACTGGTGTCCCCAAGACCCTGTACAGAGCATCATAAATATCGCAACACCAACACAATCAGAGGATTGCTTGACATTAAATGTTTATGTAAGTTTGGGGTTTGCTATTTTAACAACAAAAAAAGCTCACTGACATTTGGATTAGGCACCAGTAAATTCTTCTTCGAACTCATCTCTGCCAGTAATGGTCTTTATACACGGAGGCTCTTACGATTCAGGCAGTGGAGGATCTGAAGAGTATAATGGAACAAACTTGATCAAAAACAGTCCAACTCCTGTGATTGTAGTCACCTTCAATTACCGTTTGGGAGTTCTAGGATATCTGTCCAGTCAAGAACTTTTAGATGATGGATCTACGAATGTAAGTGGGCTATCATTGACGCCTGAAAATCACTTGACCAATCTTCGCTTTATAGCCTGGCATGCTTGACCAAGTCGCTGCATTTACATGGGTGAAGAAGTATATCGGAGCTTTTGGAGGTGATTCAACACGTATTACAGCATTTGGTGAGAGCGCGGGAGCTCAATCGATCGGGTACGGATTTGATTTAAAAGTATCTTGCTGCACGATTTTATTGCTCATTTACTAATCCATTAAAATAGAGCTCATCTGATTTCGTACGGTGGCAACCAAACCATCTTCGGGCGTGCTATACTTGAATCAGGATCTACTCTATCTGGGTAAGTGTTTTTAAAACAAAATTTTCACATCCACACCCCGAGCTGAACTTTTAATTTTCTCTATAATAGACCACTGCCAATGGCCAATTCAGCCAATTCAAATACTGCCTTCAATGCTATTGCCTCTTACGTGAACTGCAACACATCCACGAGCAAAGTCAATTGCATGAGAAATGTTACGTGGCAGGCAATGTACAATGCGCAGTCAACGTATCAGCAGACGTTGAACAGTGTTGTCCGTATTGGCCTCTTTACCCCAGTCGTAGATGGGAAATACATCCTGACCAAACCTACAGCTGCCGTTACTCAAGGTCTTTTCTCCAAAACACCAAGTAAACCTCTTCACGCCCCTAGAACAAAAGCGATACCACAAACTGACTTCATTTCTCTCTTCCGTCTAGTAATGCTGGGTACAAATTCACAGGAAGGCACGCTGTTTGTGCCTGGGAGTGTCGACCTTGCAGAGCAGTTCTACAACGCTTCTTATGCACTATCCTTGTTTGTGCAGAGCTTTTCATCGGCTCTTCCAGCTGGCTCTGCCAATACCGTGCTGTCTCTCTATCCAGTCTCATCATACAACAACAGTGCTGTCCGAGCAGCAGGTGATATCTTTGCCGACTTAGCATTCACGTGCCCAGCCATGTAAGGATTCTGTTGTGCTTGTTTAGACAGTGATTTGTATCACTGAAACGCACTGCTCAATTAGGAACTTGTCTCGAGCCATGACTGCCGCTGGAGTGCCCGTGTATAAGTATCGCTTCAACCAGCTCTTGCTACAAGCTCAAACTCTATGGGCAAGAGATGGAGTATTCCATTCAACAGAGCTTCCATTTGTCTTTGCTACTGGCATTGCACCGTCGGAGCTACCGCTCTCACAAACAATAATTGGATTTTGGACACGTTTTGCAGCTACTGGTAATCCCAACGGTGGAAATGCAACGTGGCCAGTGTATGCTGCAGGAGGACCTCAGATTGTGCTTCAATCGAGTACATTACCCTCATTGTCTACAGGTAAATTGTGTTTGCTGGTTTGCAAAGAACCCGACTGTGGTGTTGTTAACGCTGTCATCATAATAGAATCGGATCCATCAAAAGATGCTCAGTGTGCTTTCTGGCAATCACCTAGTATTCAACCTCTTGTCGACCATTAAGTCAATCATCGACTGTAAATAATTTCAGTGATCTCATTTTGGATTTTTGGACTACCTTTTATCTTTGAATATATAGATTATTCATAATTGATATAAGCCAAAGTGATCTGTCGCGAACATGTCTCGTCAGCAGAGCTCTCAATGTTGTCGGCTTTGAAGGTCGTGTGCACTTTCTGACACTCTACATGTTTTACGTCCATATGTCGTAGCAGTTCTAATATCGTTTGGCAGTGATCATGGGCATGGCTCTCATACGCTTGCTTTGCATTCTAGCTCTTATACGTCATGGTCTTGGTAGCGGTTCAAAGCATCCAGCAACAATTGTTGATACTTCCACCACAGCGACCCTGTCATATGGAACGTTTATTGGAAGCTCTGACTCTGGGCTTACTCAATGGCTAGGTAAGTGAATTGATGCTGGCACTTGCAAATTACTCTGTCAACAATCCGTGTTTGCGGCATCAAACTCGTGAAAAATTCAAACCGACTTTTGAAACTGTTCGCTTTCACTAGGAATTCCGTACGCGGCTCCACCGACTGGTTCCAACAGGTTTGCGTTGCATGATTATTGAATATGCGGTGGCTTCTCAGCTTACAATTTCGCTCCTTGCTCGTTTTGTAACATCCATATAGATTCAAACCTCCCCAAGCCCCTTTGCCTCTCAGCACACCGCTCCAAGCGACGGCAACTGGAAGCTGGTGTCCACAACCGTCGGTACTGATCTGGTATTGCTTTTGAGAAATCAAGGCATGTTTGCTCAACCGACAGGTGTCTCTGTAGAAACAACCAGTTACGAATACTGCTACTCCAGCGCAATCAGAGGATTGCTTGACTTTAAACATTTACGCACATATAAATAGCACTACTGAAAGGCTTCCTGTCATGGTACGTTGTATGTTGATGATTGTTGTTGTAACCTCGCTTGGTTCCCAACACTTTTTTTTTTGAGGTCTGGATTCATGGAGGATCTTCAACAACAGGAAGTGGATCAGCACCCACGTACAATGGTATAAATCTTCTCAACGCTGTCTCAGAACGGATCGTGATTGTTACGATAAATTACAGACTTGGAGTCCTGGGGTGGTTGGCTGGTTCTGACATGGCTGCTGCTGGTGCGCTAAACTTGGGATTACTTGATCAGGCGTATGCTCTTCAATGGGTGAGGACTTACATTGGAGCTTTTGGAGGCAACGCGAGTCATGTTACTGTTGGTAAGCTTGGTGCAAAAAAAAGTATTCATCGACATTAGTATTTCACTCATGAATCCACTTTGACATCTCCCTTTTCATTTAGCTGGGGAATCAGCGGGGGCCGTATCAATCGGCCAACACCTCATTTCTTACAATGGCAATCAAACAGGTTTCGATGCCGCAATAATGGAATCAGGAAGCACGTTTAGTGGTACCGCCAAACTCCCCAATGCCACATTTGATCAAACATTCTTCAATACTTTTCTGAGCAACACAGCTTGCGCTGGAACGACTGGATCTGCAGCTATTATCGCCTGTCTACGTGGTCTGACGTGGCAGGATATTCAGGCTTCTCAGGCCTATGCATCTACTGTGGCAGGCACCGCTTCAGGAGTTGGAAATTTCCATGCCGTAATAGATGGCTCTTTCTTAACTGCCTCGCCGAATACACTTGTCGGGAATGGAATGGTTTCAAAAGTACCGATTATCATAGGTTTGGAACTCAAGTTTTTGGGATTTGTTTTCTGATTTATGCTAAAAGAATCTATGCTCTCCAGGAACCAATACCGATGAAGGCACAATATTTACCACTGTCACTACAGAGGCCGCACTATCAGCATTTATAACATCCATTTCGCTTACTCTTCCAGCCGGCAGTGCTGCAACGATAGCATCGCTCTATTCTTCATCAACATACGGCTCGCCATTCAAGGCAGCATCACAAATGTTTGCGGATATTGCATTTATATGTCCTGCACGTGCATTATCACGGACGTTATCAGCAAGAGGGTACAATATATGGAGGTATCGGTTTGATGCGTACTTGTTGTCGGCTCAAGCGTATTGGTAAGTCTTTGGATCTGTCAAACGACAATAAAATTCATCAAGAGATTGAATGCTGCTCCCTTTTTTCCCTTTAGGAATACACTTGGTGTGTTCCATGGATCAGAGCTACCATACGTTTGGAATACGGGACTGCAAGCTTCTGAAAGTCCACTGGGTGTAGCGATCGCGAGTCGGTGGACTCGTTTTGTAACTTATTTCGATCCCAATGGCGCAGGTTTGTAAACATCAAGTGTCTTGTCGACGTGTATACGTACTGACTCCAATTTTTTTAGCATCTAATCTAAATGGATCAGCGTGGCCAAAATACTCTGGCGTTACGGGACCAGACCAAGTGTTTCAATCGACCACGCTTCCCAACTTTACCACGGAACCTGATACAGCTAATGATGTTAATTGTGATTTTTGGACATCTGTAGGAGCTATAAGCGATTAATGGCCAAGGCTCTTATTTTCTTTTACCTAAAAATAATATATTAACCAGCTGAGTAAACCTTGAAACCTGATACCATTAAATACATATTCAATTTCTTATGATTTCGATTCAGAGTACAATTTTATGTACAAGCTCTCTTTCCGCGAGAATATCAACAATTTCCTTGTTCATGATATCCTGACATACTCTCGATTCTTCTAATGCAGTGTTTAATGCGGGTATGTAGCGTGTTTGACAAGCTACTGCATGTCCTTCGACTGTGTCTAAGCGAGTTTGGAACACAAAATAACCTGTCAGAAGGCACCCAGGATATCTTGGGCAATAACAACACTCACTTGTCAGCAAATTGACGAAATCCGGCAAAAAAGTCTCTGAACGCGGCAACGACAGTTTGTTGGACAAGGAGTCCAGAGTGTCCTTCCAAGATTTCAACGAAGGTTCCAGTTCTTGTGCCAAGACTTGATTCAAGTGATGATCTACGACACCAACAAGTGAGCATTGCCTCTCCATGAATGGTTCTCTCTGCGAAAGTTTTACCTTTACGTTTGAGCTCTTGAATTTCGGTAACTCTATGCTCCATAGGACGCCGAGAGCCAGAAATGATGGGACTCTCACGAGACACAAGAAACAAACCCAAGCTACTCGATAATGTGTCAACGAAAAAAGAACATAGCTGTAGAAGAAATAACCCACACCTTGATGGCTTGAAAAGATGACCAACACCCTGTTGAGGTATGCTCTTGTACAATGCCAGGGAACTTTCCGACGAAGATTTCATCGCACTCGCTAGGTCATCACTGAGCCGGCCACCATACGAAGCGTATTCAACGTTCTAATTGAGGGTTGTGTGTTTGATGCAATCAAGTTTCCTGGATTCAATTTGATATCTGACCTCTGAGATTGCATGTAGTATAGGTTGTCGAGACGATTTCAACAGACCAGTAACAACACTTTTGAGGGATTTCTATGTATATCAAGACAGTGTCAGTGTCAGCGAAATAAAATCGCAAACAGCCCATGAAGAATTGATTTTCGTACCAGTCTCGCAGCAAGGTACAACGATTCGTCTTCCAAACCCTTCAAGGTTGACTCAGCTTGTCTTGCATCACGCTGATGGACTGCAATATTCAGTAACGCAACTGCATGGTCAAGGGCGGCTTGACTTGCATCTCTCTCAACTTTAGCAATTATGAGTGACCTAAACGACGTTGGTTGTGAGAGCGACAATACGTAACCCGATTAAGGGGGGGTTTGGCTTACAAGGCTTCATTAGTCTCATCCTTCGACATTCTTTGCATTAACAGACGCTCAATCTCTGAGACTGCTCCAGAGCAACGTGTCTTATAATCACTTGCTTCCGCAATCAACTTTTCGACTTGTTGAAATCGATTCACATGGTGTTGAGCAGCGTCCTGGACGAAAAAATGGGGGCACCTTTCAAGTAATGATCAGTTATGGAGGTTTAGCGGCACTCACATGTATCAGATTCCATTCTTCGAGAGAACGTTTCTGTGAGGGTGTTGTTGCTGGTATGAGATGTTTTGTTGAATCAGTCAACATTTTGGCATGTAGTGTTGACAGCAGTTCGGCGGCTGGAAACTTCTTTGCAATCTAGAGTAGAAAGCAGGTTTAGTGTTTGCCGCACCAAAAAGGATGGCATTGATTCATTATGGATTCTCACATTCACAACTTGGGTGAGTTTTTCTGTAGCTTTACTAGTCCCTATTGCATCTTGGACTTCACAAAGACAATTGTCGAAATCTGAAAGGAGTGCATCATTCTTGGGCTTATGAAATACGTTAGAGAAAACTCGTAGGTACGTATCTTCAAAGACAAATCCACTCACACTTCTAGAAAGGAAGAAACAAATTGTAAGCGCTGCACCTAACTGACGCCCTGACGCAACAACGACGTAACAAAACTCACTTGACATTCGAATCCTTCAGCGATTGTATAAGTTGAGAATACTTTTGATACACAGCCGCTTGCTGTACCTCTGATTGTCGAGACACTTGAAGCAACTCGACTCTTGACATCTTATCCAGCCAACTCTCTCGAAGCCTTGCTACATTTTGCACTAACGAAAAACAAACACCATCAACAGGAAATTATTTACTCTTGCAATGAGAAATTATCACATACCTCCAGCTTGAATACCCATTGACTCGGCCCGACATTCCTGCTTGAGTGTATCAACACGTTTCTTTGCAGCCGACACTGAATCCAACAAGCGATCACGTTTAGCAATGAGTTCCATTCGGCGTTGGCGTTTCGCTTCAATCTGGTGCTTCCATGTTGTGATTGTCTCAGGTAGGTCTTCCTCACTAAGACTGACGAAAATGACTGTTACAACGTCGCATCATGAATGCGACAACAAGTTCTCTTACAGATCTATACTCCGAATAGCTTGATTGTAAGATCTACGTCATCAACGTGTCAGATCTCGTCGATTATTCTTCCAGATAAATGTTCAACCAAAACCTCTGCGAAATGATATGACCAACAAGGAATCTCCAGATGGGGTCAAGTCTCTCGCAGCATAACCTAGAATAAATTAAACGTCAAAATGAAATTCTCAAAGCAAAGGAACAAGCATTCATACTGATCGAGCTCAATCTTGACTTCGACGTCAGTTTGCGAAGCAACACATCCAAATCCAAGGCTGTTGGCCCAAGCTAGTACATGTTCTGGTGACATTAGAGGTCGAGTGGCAGCTGCCAGCTTCTTACGTGAATCTGTCTTCTTCATTGCAAAGCTCTTGGTCGTAAATATCACAAACTGTGGGAACTCTGGACACGCTGGCTGCGACACAAAAGAGATCATATTTAGGTATTATTCTATATTTAGCTTGTGAATGTATATGTATATATCCAGACAATCCAGCCCGCTTACACCATTTTCCCAGTATTATTCCTTCTTAAATCGTCCAACTCAACAACCTCTTCACGAGGACGTGCGTCCATGTGCATCCAGGCCCCACCAAATCTCCCTTTCGTGACCCAACACCCATCTCCAACCACAAATTCTATACCATACTCTTGAGATAACGTCGTGGCGAGATAATGAGACAATCCCAGGTCATCTTCAGGCAGCCAAACAGCTTCTGGAATATGCTTCAATGCGGGGTTTTGGTATGCTGATTGAGCCCAGTGCTTTTCTACGACACGTCTCGACTTTTGTGACAATAGAGTATCGAACTTATTGGGACTACCACGAGGCAATCGTTTTTCCTGGTCATGCAGTGTAGCTTCAGAGTCACCACGTGTATCAGCTAGATATGTCATTGGTCCTGATGTTTCACCAGCAGATGATTGTGCAGTAGCGGGAGCAGATATATCTGCTTCTTCTTTATCTTCTCGTGGCAACGACAAATCACCATCTTGTGGGACCGAGTCAGCATCTTGTTCCGGTACTGCTGGCTCACTAATCGACGTTCTAGTTGAAGGTACCACCAGGTCATCATGTACTGGTTCGGCGTTCAGACCAAACCGTACTCGTATTCGTTCTAGATATAAAGCCTTTGACAATCGATCCAAGTTGGAACCAACCATTGTCCTAAAATTATTGTGATTCTCTTCCTCTTGTACTGGTGGCGGGACAACTCGTAATGTTGGGATGGTGTTTGTCGATGGTCGTGGTGTATTATTAATGGAAGGAGGTTGGCTATTTGTGGTGAGGTTAATTAGTCCTCCAGTCTGTTTTTGTTTTCGGTTGAGTATTGTTGATAGTGGCAAGAATGGAAAGACTCTGTCATATCGACCACTTTCATGTACCCATGCGATGATGGCGATAAGAGCAATTATTATTATGACGGTTTGATAAAAGGCCTGTTTCACTATGATTTTCGGAGAGAGTTCATTGTCAAACCACAACAAGAGCTAGGTTTCAAGCAAAACGACAAAAGAGCTTACAGATAAATATTCCAAGAGTAGTCAACAGCTGTAATATAATTCCCACATAAACCTGTTTAACAGCGTGAGGGTACAGCAATCCACCAGTATCGTGGGACTTGTAGATGGTCAAGAAATTATTTCTGTAGACAACCTGAGTGACTCCAAAATAGGCTAGCGTAGCAAGAGGCATAATGGGAGCCAAAGTACTGAATATGATTCCAAGGCACAATACTAAAGATGTAAAAGGAATCATGACACTCATGTCGGGGACAATAGTTTGTCGCCTAGATAATAGTATCCTCGGTGTTTGTTGAAAAAACCGGGGCACGACCCATTTTACTATCAGAGACCATGCCTGCACAATCGAGTCTTTTAGCTTTCTCGACGCACAGAAACGACCAAAATGCATGCGTTACCTGTATCAACTCCAGAGCTCCGCCCAAGAACCCTCGAAGCAACACATAACTCAGAAAAAAGTTTGCGCTGTTAGGCACCCGTTGTGCGAGGGTGTCTATCACCGATGTTGGATTGTTGATCTAGAATGACAGCCGCGAAAGGATGGTCAGAAACAAAAATACGGCAACAACAGTACAGATTACAGCGACGGCAATGTCAAGCAGATTGAGAAAATAAGATTAGAGCGAGTTGCAGAGAAGCTCTGACTTACAATTGATGAAACAGACTGTATCACACCACCAGTCAAACCGATGATCAAAAAGACGTTGAGAATCAGTAGAGCAAAGAACCGATCCGCTACTGATCTACTAATGTCCACTTTCGATACATGTCCTTCAAATTGAGCAAGAACTAGAGGAGACGCATGACATGTTAAGTCACAAATTCAAAAAAAACAGGTCAAAACCTCGCTTGTGTGTATAACACGACTTACGTGTAAATGCAAGAGGAGCTAGCAGAAGGAGCAACGAAAGAAGTATGGGAGGTATTAAAGATTGAAAGACACCGACTGCCAATGAATTCTGAAGCAGGAAAGCCAACCAAGGTACACTCGGTATTACAGCTGATATATTTGCCAAGGCAGATATTGCCGTGGACGGGATGGAGAAGAAGAGGATAATAGTTAACGATAGCACCTGTGCTATATATTTACGAGACAATCTCGACCATCCAGGCGTGGCTAAATTTGACCAAACAATCTCTTCGGGTGGCAAGTCAGCTCCAGCATATACAGGTGCCATTTTAGTTAAGTCGCTGTGCAGCACGAGCTGTGCAGCAACTTGGGCGTGAGTCGTAGAATCAAACCGTACAAAAGCTACTGGTAGATCTGGGTGACTGGTTCGTTCAGGGTCTTGCAAGTTGGTGATTCGTGTTGTCAGATCTCTGATTTGTCCACATAAAGCAGCAGCTTCAACAGGTGGCGTATATGTCTTGGCGGGAGATCCACCTACTTTGGCAGTGCGAATTATATACCTTGCCAATACTTTTTCGAGTTTATGTAGAATCGAAGATCGTTTTTTTATATCACTTTCCAAGGTGAGTACGTCTTTGGAAAATATGACTTCCTGTATAGGCAAGACACCTTCAAAAAGTGCCGACATCTTGGCCACGCTGGATAGCTCTGACGGCACGTTGAGGAAGAGCACGGTTGCAGATGCAGGTTTTTTTGATTTTGAGATTAGCCAAGCATGCCGCAGCTTGACAAACGACTCCATGCCTTGAGATAGCCTATACATCAAGAAGAGCGAATATAATATCGTCAAGACCAGATGTGCCCACAACCTGCGATCGTCTATAATGTTCCCAATATTCAATTCCTCGATCCCTCCTAGTTTCAATCCGCCGACGACATTAATGGGTAGCAGTATGACAATAGAGAAGAATGACATGACAGTAAATAGTTCGATCGCCTACATAAAAGTGTGTCAAAATCACGAGTGTTTGAGTTTGACGCGTTATGGGACATACCATCCAATTGAATCGCGAGAAGACTAACGCGTCTAGCCCTGCTCTCTCGTATATATGTACATCTGAAGCGTAAATAGCTTCCGCAATCCACGCGAATGGATTTCGAAGAGACTTTTTAGTGCCTGACTTTCGAGGATCTAAACGACAGGATGTCAGACTCTTGCTTGGTGCCAAACCAGATATGCTTCTCTTACCATAGACAGATCGGACATATAGCCGAAGTGCGGAATAAACCATTACGAGCAACAGTCCAACTAGAGAGTTGATCAACAGCGAGGATAGTAACGACTGTGTGCTGACAGTGAATTTGACTATCGTCTCATCAGTGGAGTTGGTGGAGTTGATGGCTGACATTTTGGCTTAATGATCTCTGTCTAATTGGGTTTACAGTGTCAGTGTGTTGTAAGTGTGTTGCAAATAAGTTTCAAGATGTTTGATGTTGGTTATTTCTCGATGCATTGCTGTGCATTAAGTGCAGGTCCAATAACAGCAAGTACATATCTGGACAATATAATTTGCTTTCAACTTTTCCAGTCACTTTACCTTATTATCCAAAATTGTGAAGCTTCTTCCAGGAAATGTGTCTACGACTCAAATCGGTTGACAGCCTTCCAAAAATGAATTGGAGCGATCGGATCCCGTACTGTATGTAGACAGATTCTCAGCAATCACAGCATGGCACTCTCTCCAAACCAAAACGAACGCTCCGAAAGTTTCGCAAAGAAAGCAAAACGTGAAACCAACTGCCAGAGTCGTGACAAAGTTTGAAACCTATGACGGTGCGAAGTAACTTGTAGATCTCGCGTTAAGCACACCGATCTTGTACAGCGGGACCAGTTTCGGAGTGCTGGACTCACAACAACCTCATGGATCTTGTTGTTTTACTTGTATATATACAGAAAATTCACACAATTCTACACAGGAGACTATGATATTGCAAAGATCAAGTATCATTTTCCGTCCTAATAATGTACTACAAGTTAGACATACCGAGTACCACAATCACAAAACAACGAGTTGATCAACGTACATGATTGCAATGAACTCGTTCTCGTTGACTGTTATAGATAGACTAGTCAATAACACATCTCATGTTCCAGACAAACAATATAAACTTACTTTCACCATCTTGATCAAGATCAAACTCATCAATCATAGCCTGCAACTCCTCATCATCCAACTGTTCACCAATCTCTTTGGCAACACGTCGCAGATTACGTAGAGATATTTTACCGGTACCGTCATCATCAAACAGCTGGAAGGCTTTACGGATCTCTTCAATAGGATCTCGATCAAGGATTCGTTCCGTCACTAACAATTAAATGTGCATCAGTTCATTGTTGTGATGAAGAGGGCTATGGGGATATATATGGAAGATGATGGTTTACTTACTAACTTTATTGAAATCATCAAATTCAATAAGTCCATGGCCGCCCTTGTCGAATTCTCGTAAAATCTTGAGCACTTCGGCCTTCTTTACATCAAATCCTAGTGCCCGCATGGCCACCTAACGCAATAGTATCATAGTTAGATTAAAAGAAGCATCGTGTATATAAATGATTGCCTTTACTTTGAGTTCATGGTAATCAAGTGCCTGGTCCTTGTCGGTATCAAATAACTCAAATGCCTCCTTGATTTCCAGTTTCTGCTCGTCAGTTAATTCGGGGCGTGCCTGTCTACGCTTGTTCTTTGGATGCAATAGACTCATCTTGCTGAACGAGGCCTGCTTGTCCGTTCGAAACTTGGTCAAGGATCGGCCAATATGAAATTTGTGTGTGGTGACTGTATGAGCAGAGTGATGAACTGAAATGCCGGCGAGAACGGGAACTCTAAAGGGTCAATTTCGCTATTGACGCGTCATGGATAACGTTGCTCTACAGATCAATCTCGGATCTACTCTGGTCTCGACAAACAAGGCATGCGCATGTTATTCTGGAATGAAGTCGCAAGTTCAGTCGGTTTCACGACAATAAGCTCACGCTGTTCACAATTCACGACATTTCAAAGTAATTCTATGGTATATTGCAAAAGGTACAAGTTAATTTTTGTCATTTGATCATTCACAGAGAGAATTGTCTAATTTAAACAGCAGCATCTGGGATCCGAGTAATCACTGACGTGATTGCCTGGATGCCATAAGGGTATGACCATCAGCACTCTATCAAGAACAAAAGAGGTTGTTAGAGAACACGTTCATATTTAAATAGCAGAATATACAAAACATTTGAAGTTGATCGATGCACTCACCACTCCCATATTATCCATTTGCTTAATCGCACAAGCTTCCATATGCTTTACATCATGGGACGACTTGGCTTCAGTCTTAAAATCACGGTCATCAGCAGCTGGGTGGTACCAGTCCTTGGGAGCATAGCTCACACGAGTAGGAATAGGCTTAGGCATAAACGAATCAGCTGTAGTTGAGTTACCCTCAAACTTGGCAGTGTTTGGCACATATGGGACTTTGCCTAAATCACGGTTTCGGTATGGGATTGGTTTGACAATGTACGAGTCTGCGGTGGTCGATTGTCCTTCAAACTTGGCTGGGTTGGGAACGTATTGCACTTTGCCCAAGTCACGGTTGCGGATTGGTATTTGTTTGGGAACAAAGGATTCGGCTGTTGTGGAGACTCCTTCGAATTTGGTTGGAGGCAAGACTTGGGGTTGAGGCTTGAACTAGAAGTGTGCGAATAGATTGAATTAGAATAAACGTAACTGTCGGTAACCTTCAACCAGAAAACTTCTCGGACATTCATATAATACTCACCAACTTGTGATCAACATCCTTGTGAGTGATATAAGCAGCTGCAGCAGCAGTCTTAAAATCACGGTCTTCCGTCTGCCAAACAGTGTTTGGTGGTGGCTTCATCGAAGCAGTATGAACAGTTCCCTTCCATCCATAATCGGAAGTCTGAGTAGACTGACCTTCAAATGCACCCTCAGTTGGAGTGTATACTGCAGGAGGGTGGTGGTAACGAGGTGGGACTGGTCGTTGAACGTAATCAGCCTTGCTCGTTGAAATTCCTTCAAACTTGGAGTTGGGCAAGGTCAAGTTCAATTCACGGGGTTTGACGTCTGGACGGTGATTGCCAGGCCAAGGCTTGTAGTCGTTCTTTTGAGAGGTGGTGCCGTCGAATGCACCTGGAGATGGGACGTAGACTTCACGATGAGGCTATAAATATGGAGGGTGTTGGTATAAGAATGTGTAGTCTTTGAGAAAAACATGACGAAGGACAATGTCGTGAAGTCACGTACAGGAACACGGTCAGGCAATGGGTGAGCAATAAAAATATCATGGGCTTCACTGGTTCCTTGGAATTTACCACTCTGAGTAGGAACGTATACTGGGCGAACACGCTTCACATCCAATTGATGAGAATGGAATGTGCGGTTGTATTCTAAACCGTTGGTTGATTTTTAGCATCCAGATTATTTTCAAGTTTGAATGACGCGTCAATTTTATATTTACCAGTTACTGATTCTAACGGTGCAGTGGATTGCACAGCGACTAATTTGCAACGGTGTTTTCCACATGAGCATGCACCTAAAGAACAAACATGTTAAGAAAGAGACCAAATTTAAACACGCGTATAGGTCCAGACTTACCGCAAATGCACTGCTGTCCGTCTAGTTTGTGTGCAGCTGTGGCCATTTTTCTAATAGGTAATTGTTTCTTTGAGTTTGTCGAAATGTGAATTCCCCCAGCACACAATGAGAAACATGTAAGAGTCCAATCAGAGACCCTCAAAAGAACTTTGGGAGCGTGATAATACCTCCGGAGATAGAAGCTCGCATAGAAACGTATATTACAACGCGATTATCGAGTTTGCGTCATTTATAACTTTTAAACGTTATTTTCAATATTCAATACAAACAACATTCCGATAAAAGCCCACCGATTTTACAGTTTAACTGAATACGGCAATGGTTTTCCTGGTGCATCTGGGTCTGGAATATCCAACAAGTCCGTCACAGTCGTGCCACTCTTTCGATCTTTTTGAACTCGAATCAAAGCACCGTTTAACTGCTCGTCCTCAATAGCCCGTATTATAGCATCAGCTACGTAACCAGGCTGGGTTGCCATTGCTTCTAGTCTCTTCTGGTCCATTGTTTTACCCAGAATCTTAAACAAGTTGGTAAAGTCACGGACTCCGAATTCTGTGTAGACAAATCCAGGAAGTACGGCATTGATTCTGATGTTCTTTTTGAGAATGGGGTTTTGAGATAGTGATCGGATGAAGTGCGTTAAAGCTGCTTTGGATGCAGCGTCTATAGAAGTCATTGTCATTAGTTGTTGTTGTGCCATTGCCAGACCATCATTATTGTCACATCATTGTAAGACACGTTGTCCCAAGTATGGCTAGTAAGTGCAGCAAACTTACAGACGACTTGCCATTCTAACGGATAGACAGCGGCCATACTAGCAGTGGTCACAATTACAGCGGGTCTTCCAGTTTTGACGAATTCGGCTGCAGCAAGTCGAGTGCCTATCAAAGTGTGGTTGTAAGTCTAAAATACACGTCAATGGTGGAAAACGGCATTCAAACACGTACCATAGATGACACCGTTCACATTCACGTCAATGACCTTAGCTAGACTTTCCAGATTTTCATCGTAGAAATTACCAACTTGAGGAAGAGCTGCGTTATTTACCTAAATCGATTTATATAGACGAATTGTCAATCAACGTGTTGACAATCGATTTAGGTAGACCAGTCAATATATGGCCACGAGCAAAGCAAGGAATATCTCAAGAGCTTCTGCCACCATGTAATTGTAAAGTGTCACTTACCATAATGTCCATATGTCCAAAGGTTTTCAACGCTTTATCAAACATTGCCCTCATAGCATCGGGCGATGAGACATCAGCAATAATACCAATGTACTTTCCACTGTATTTGCTGCTTAACTCCTTGACAGTTGCATCGAGATTGACTTGATGCACGTCCACGAGAGCAATTGAGCATCCTTTTGACGCTAGCCGAATACACACTTCCTTTCCTATTCCCGATGCCGAACCTGTCACTATGGCGACACTAGAGCTAGACACCTTCATAGTGATAAAGTGTTTCCACAGAGTGTTGAATGACAGACAGTAATGGTTTTGAAGTTTCGAATGTCGCACATTACGGTTGAAGGAGGAGGACGAGTTCGAAGGGGGTCGAAAACGATCAGAATCGATACATTCCGGTATGTCGATGAGGGAAGCAGCACACAATTTCACCTTTGACGACGTGAACGCGTCCTAATGTATAGCTAAAATGGCATTTGAATTTCGCGAAAAGACTCCCTTTCTGACAGGGTTTCTGCGCGATCAGTACTCGGAAGAGTCAAAAGCAAACAGCAAACGAATATCTTCAGCAGACAGTTGCCAGCACCTCTCCTATGTCCTTGAGGCGGTGTCGACTTGTCCTTGCATCTGATTGGTCCGCGTTTTTTGCTCAAAATTCGTTACACAACAATTGAGAGACGCCTTGAGCCCAAGCCCAATTGGAAAACGGCGTCTCTTTCAGCATTTTGAACTGTAAGTTCATTCATTCCATCGTTCCCGTCTCTTTTAAACCTTCTAACTGTGAAATCTTATCCGCATTTCAGGTTCTCAAAAAGCAAACTCGTTATCAAGGTCACTGACCACACAATGTCGGCTGGAAATGCATCTGCTGCAGCCCCGGTCATAGATTTCGATCTCCTAGAGCGAGAATTGTTAGAAGTAGATGATGATAGTTATGCAGATTGGAACGACATCACTAGTGGAGGTGGCCAATACGATTTCAACTCATTGCCACCACTACTGTCGGGTGAAGGCAGTTCGGCATCTCCATATAGTAGCAGCAGCAAATCTCCATCTCCGTCCGATAGTGGTAATGGAAGTCGTTCACCCGTATCAACCATGCCAATGCCGACAATGGTCATGCCAGTGTCAATACCTCCACCTGGAAAGATTGCTATCGCTCCCATATCACGGGCCAAAGTAGAAGAGACTGCGACCGGTGGTCGTAAGAAACGTGCTTTAGACGATCTAGATGATAAAGCACGCGATAGGTAAGACTAGTGTTGGATAGTGGACTTATTCCTTGTTAGTCACTCACAACGCTTTGTTGGCTTTAGAGTAATAAAGAATCGGCAGGCTGCTCAAGAGTCACGAGATAAGAAACGACGCTATGTCGAAGATATCGAAAAGTCAAATGCTGACTTAAAGGCACGATTAGCTGTGATTGAACAGCAACAGGCTGCTAGACTCGAAGCTTTAGAAGACCAAAACAGATATCTAGCTTCTCGTCTTGGAGAGGCCGAAAACGAATCAGCCACTCTGAGGATTCAACTTCAAGCTGCCATGTTGCTGCTACCATTCCCTGGACCACATACTGTAAACATGGCTACATTGGATGAACATGTGACTCCCCCGCCAAATTCTGAAGCTGATCCTCTGATGCGAGAACTGGTGGATGCTATGGATAGGCTACGAGTCGCCTCTCAAGCCGTCGCAGCTGCTCAACGACAGGAAGAAGAAAATCTACAGAACGCACCACCATCACAACCAGCCGCGACAGAGCAATCATCAGCTAGTAAAGACGAAGAAGCACGAGCAGAGCGTAAACTAGAAGACGAAAGACGAGCAGTCCAAGCTGTAGAAATGTATGGGCAAGACGATGACGATTATGATGATGACGACGGCGAGTTGCTTAGTGATGACGATGATTTGCCGCCCTCGTATGAAGATTCAGCGGATCATCAACATGTAGTGGTAGAAAAGACTCTTACGCAAACCCCAGAAGGTCCGGCTATTGTCGAACGAATCACTACAGCCGATAGCACTCTCGTCATTCACCATAGTAATGCTAGCAGTATATCAATAGCAACCAATAGCGCAGGCAGTACCACTAGTAGTCTTGACAAGCAATTACCAGCCCCACCAGTGCCGCTTCGAAATAGTCGAGCAGGTGATGACCGTTTATCATCACTAGCAGCCATTAGTGGCTACACTCCACAGCAGGTGTCACAATTAGCAGCTTCATTAGCGGATCGCATCTCAGATTTATCCGGCCTAATCACCAAAGAAAACGCAACCAATATATTTAGCAACTTGCTCATGAGTGGTCTATCCGGAGTAGAGAGTCTGGTACGTCGAGCCGATGGAGCCATAACAAACACAACACCAGAACGATCTGCATTGGCTACATCATTAAATCAACCTGCCCAGAAGCTCATCACTCGTAAAGCTGTTGGATTACCTAGTCGTGCTGGGGATAACTCAGCAGCAGATGAAGATGGTGTTGACTTACTACGTAATGCATCAATACACGATGTGGTGGCTGCTATACGAAGTGCTAAAGGTAAAGCACCGGCTTTAGGAGTGGACCTGCGAGCCGAGCATAAAGAGCTCAAGAAGCTCGGTCGTCAGGAATTTAAAAAGTATCGCAGGGTCTGGGAGGATTCGAGGAGAGAGTTGAGGGAGCAACATAGGTCGTTTGACAAGGAATTGAAGGCCGAGTTGGAAGCTTGTCTGAAGGTTGGACCAAGGTGGACTCCAGCATCAGAATCACCAATACCACCGTGGTGGACGACCCTCCCTGGCCTTGCAAATGCGACCGTCTTCTCGGAATCAACGCCAAGTCCGGGCTCATCAGGGCATCGTTGCTAGGTAGCTTTGGGTTTTTGTAAATAGTTTACCGTAGCGCAATACTCATAAGTAAAAAATAAACCAAAATTCAAGGATGTAAAATGCAACTAGTATTTAAGTGCGTCTGGACGAAGGAGACAAAGAGTGTCCAATACCAAAACTATGAAGCGAAGGAGATAAAGAGTGTCCAATGCTAAAACTGTGAAGAAGTAAATGCAATGTGTTTATATAATCGTCTCTACGAACGAGTGTCCAATCCTATACTACAAACTTTGTGACAAAAGCAGGCCAGCCCCGACATCTACTACTCCTCATCGTTACCTTCTTCCCCATCACCACCATCATTCGGCGTATCTTTACTATCATCTCCACCATCTGCACCCTTACTCTGCTTATTCAATTTCAATTTCGTCTTTCGTTTCTGTCGTTTAGCTCGTTTCTTTGCAGTTTCCCTGTCTTCTTCTTCACGAGTTTGAGCTACTCGTTGATGGTATTCGAGATCTTCTTTTTCCTATTAATATAGAAATATGCTTTAGTATATGTGTTCCATGTAAAGGGTTGAACAAGTTTCTTAGAGATTCTGTTACAATTTGAGCATTCTCTTCCATAGCCTTGACACGCCCATATTCCTTCCGCCTGATAGCACGATATACGTGGAATTCTCCACTGCCAGCACCAGCACTTGATCCTATAATATCAAAAACTGTTAGTTTCCGAAATCCAAAACTCTGTTTGATGTTGACAACACACACAAACACCATACCTTGAACATTCATATTAAACTCTTTAGGTGCTCGTTCCTTGTGCAATTTAGTATTAGCAGCTTGTGGTAATTCAATGGGCTTGTCAATCTTGTTCATGAGTCGTTCCAACTTAGTTGCTTGCGCTGCTACTGGGCCGGTTCCTCGTTTCTTCCTAGTGCTAGTGTCAGCATCGGAATCTGAGTCTGATGAGTTATGTTTCCGCGTGGTCTTCTTTGCACCTGAATATCCCGGACTCTCCATTGTATTATTTGTTTTGTGGTTTTAGACTTTGGCGTTCTGGCGTTTTGACGTAGGATGATTTGGAAACAAGAGGCTTATTTATCATTTCGTGCAGACATCTGCTTTGTACTTTGCTGATTTAAAGAGACTCTAGTTTTTCCAATCTCTTTGCTTGTTTGGGCGCATGCGTACTTGCTCTCAACTCACAAAGGTTAGAACCGCCTCAATCACATTGCCAAAAAAGTGTCTTTGAAATGATTGCCGCACCTGGTCTATAGAGGAACCAGCATCCGAGGGCCAGATCGTCTCTGTACCTTACAAGGCGACGCTGGAAGGCCTCTACAACTGAGCAACGCCGAACGAGATGTTTGCCCATTGGAAACTTCTGCTCAATCTCTCGCCGAAAGAGGCCTCGAAACCATGCGAATCCACTGCTCTACCTATCTCAAGTGCTAGTCTGAATAGCTTGGGCTCTCTTCCGACCTTTTCTGCTGACGTGGAGAGCATTGCGTCCTCCACAGCAGAAATTGAAACGGTAAGGGGGTTTTGCACACTTGAATCCTTGTTTCGCTAATTCACCATCATTTTATAGGAGCTTAAACGTGTGCAACGAGTAGTTTCAAATCGAATGAATGCTATTCAGGTGCTCCTTGATGATGAGATACCCAGAGCCATTTCAAGGCTGGTATGTAACGAGTTCGGATTTTCATAGACCAGGCTTGCAGGCTTTTGGCTGTGAAACTTTGCTTGTATCAGAGATCCAAATCAACTTGAGCTTAATCATTTACTTACTATCATTCTAGACATCGCCATTCCAAAACAAACCAAAGGCATTATACGCTCTTCGCAAGTTTCTGGCATCGTATGTGAAGGAGAGAGCTGTTGTATTCGGACCAACATATACACCTACTGCTTCTATGGTGTCTCTAATAATGGAAAGGGAGGAAAAGGATGCTGCAATGGCTCGTTATATCACGTCGCTGCAAAATCAAGTGGCCAAACTGTGTAGACGTTTTCGCTCGACAGAGATTGTGGCAGCCTTAAGCACTTTGCTCAATGTAAGAATCCTGCAGTATTCAATCTCACTCAAACAGGGTCGTTAACGCCTCTTTACAACATTAGTTTGAAAAGGAGCTGGTCTCATTTTCAAAACTAGTCGAACAGCAAGCAACGGACGTGGAAGTCCTCATCAAACGATTCCACATACATACCAGCACTCTCAACCACAGTACGTCAGATGGCGACATGCTGAATGAAAGGCTTCAGAATATATGTAAACAGGCATCATCATGGCTTGAATCAAGCCAGACTGTAATCACGGATTTGATCAAGGTCATGAGTCCAGATATACAACAGTACGGATGTTGTATATGTCTTGATGTCAAATTCAAGCCAGTGCTGATACAGACTTGTAAACATGACCAGTTTTGTTTTGGATGTTTAGGTAAGATTGTGTTATATGTGCCTCAGTCGAATCAGGTACTGACACTACTCCTTGATTTACATAGAAAACTTCCAACTATACCAACCTCCAGGGCCACACGTATACCTTGACTCGCCAGGCATGTGTCCCTGCCCTCTTTGCAGGAATGTGTATCTTGTCGGTGCATCAAGGTCCGATATAATGGTCGATACAGCACTCGACAACTTCCTAAGGTCGTACTTTCCAAAGGAGACCAAGATTCGAGAAAAAGAGGAGCAGTGGAGGGTTCAGAAATTGTCATGGAGGAGATTCGTGAGACGGCAAAGAGTGAAGATGTTGAGACTGGTGTACGGTCGAAACTACTACCGATACTTCTAAAAGGGCACATAATCTTTTACCGATACCAGAGAATCTCAGGTGGAATATACTATTTTATTTTGAGGAATTTCCAAATGTATATGTGTAAAGCATAATGTTTTGTCTCTCGGTCGTTTTCCTATATATAAGTTATAAAAAGAAGGATGCATACTACTATAATAAAGTCGTTGTGGTCTATCTTCTACGAGTTCCACCATATCCCGATGCCATTCTCGATGAGGCTGCAGATGACGAGGAGGCACCACCAAATCCACGATTCGGGCTTCCATATCCTCCAAATCCATTCAATCCTCCGCCAAATGCAGGTGCAGCCATGAATGCTGGTTGGGGTGCATAGTAGGCTCTTCTATTTGGTGAGAGCAGACTGCCTAGAATAGTTCCTAACAAGGTGCCAGACCAAAATCCTGGACCACTGGATGATGATGACGATGGTGCGCATGATGGATCTGATGATGGTGAGAAGCCTCCAAATGGTCCAAATCCTCCTCCTCCTAGAGTAAAGAGAACAGTTTATTTCCGTGAAACAGTTTTAACAAAACATTCCTTGAAATCTTATACCTCCTCCGCCATTTCCACCAGGTCCATAATTATTAGTTGAACCTCCACTTGTTCCTCTAGACGCTGGTCTACCATTCGTTGCGGGTACGGGGCTCCACCATGATACATATAGAGAGTAGAGCATTAATCCTGCGACACTAAACCATACTAGCTTCGCTAGTCTCGACGTTGCAGTGTGGTCGTAGGATGATGATGGTGATGATGAGGAAAACCAGCTAGATTGCTGTTTATGTAGTTTGCGTCCCTTTTCTGTGTAGTATAATGTGTCTAGAAAGGACGGTGAGCAAAGAACAGTGATGTATCCAATCCAGATAGCACTTACACTCGACACCACAAGACCCTCGCAAGACATATGGATCATCAGTATAGTCAAATCCTTCTGTTGCGACAACAAATGTGAGAATCGACAGCTCAACGACACACACAACTGTACATACCACAAGTCACTTCAGTAGTTCCAAATTTGAATTCATCAGACAATTCCGACTGACATTGCCACTGTACATCTCCGTCCCAACCTGTGTTTCTACACTGAATGGCTGGAATCAAGACTTTGCCACATGCATCTCCTCCTATACACGTCAATTGTGGAATTGCTCGGGACCGTCTCCCAGTAGTGAGTGCTCCATCCTTGAATGTCAGAGTAGTGATATCGCGTAAGAGTATCTTCTTGTGCTGGGCTGAATTGGAATTCCAGATGGCACTTGTGGTGTGGGATTGTAGGATTAACGCGAGAAGCAAGGATGTGAGGGAGAAATCGAATGTATGCATCGTATATGAGCTGCTCTATGATGCTCTATATGAGGTGGTGGAGGCTAATCAAGGTGTGAACAGTGCGGTGGATGTGTTGGAAGTGAAAAGGTTCGAAACCTCGAAGAATCCAGAAAATGCTGATGCTGGAGGTGAGGTAAAGTTTGTGACGCGTGGCAACTTAACAGCCCAAATATGAGAATTGTTTAAAAACTATTGATCTCGCTCTGAGATCCCACATTTAGTACTTGATCAAGGAATCCGTGATAGCCAAAACGCGAAAACTCGATGTCATTAGTGAACGTTGGACATGGTTATAGTTCAAATTACATAAAATACTGGTGTGGAACATGTATACTGCTCATCCTCTCTCGCGATCGTAGGGTGAGTGTGCTTAAAACTCGACGTCCAACATATTGATTCAAACTGCCGCCTTTCGTGCGAAATTCCACACAGGATCCACAAGCGATCCAAGACGCCTTTCATAGTTGCTGGTAGCCATGGGAGCGCTTCTAAGTTGCTGCATCGGTGGTATGTCAATCTGCTTTCGGTCAGGAATGCCCATCAGGATCTTGTGCTTTCGTCAGATTTCAAGCGCTAATACTCAATAAGATTAGAGAGTATATGCTGTGCGGCTGGCACCATCCTTCAATGCTGCTGCTGTGCTGTGCCATGGTAATTCGAGATCTGGATGTCGCCGAGACCTGTGTGGTGATAATATCACAAGTAGCTTACTACGATTACTTTATGATTAAGGAAATTGTCAGTGGCAACTCGAGTATGGTATATGCTGGGCTTCATATTGGCTACCATCACTGCTCTTGTTCTCAAGTAAATCAACACGACGTCTCAATCTGCCCTTCTTTTCGATCGCAAGTGAACTGTTCTCGTATGGATCCAGTGCTAACGCTTCCTGTATGTGTAGATCTCAAGGATCAAATATCTTCACAGCTGCAGCAACGCCAGAATGCGATGCAAACTGTTGGAACTATCTAGCCGTAGATCGAATCTCCCTCGCTATGGTCATATATCATGCCTTCTTCATGCTACTCCTACTAGGAGTCACATCATCACAAGATCCACGAGCAAGACTCCAGAATGGATTCTGGCCACTTAAATTCGTCCTATTTGTCGGAACCATGATTGGAGTATTTTTCATTGCTTCACCTACTTTCTATACGTATTGGATTGCCGCTCTCTTCTTTTCCGCCTTGTTCATATTGCTGCAGAGCATGATATTGGTGGATTTCGCTCATACTACAGCAGAAACGTGGGTCGCGAATGCTGAGGAAACTGGGTCTTCGTTTTGGACTAGTTTGCTTATTGGGACTGCTGTGTTGTTGTATTCTGCAGTCATTACTGGGTCAGCATTACTATACAATTATTACACTCAAGTACCTGGTTGTGGTCTAAACAGTGAGTTCGCTTGGTATTGGGAATCAACGTCTACTGTGTATGTGGTTCATAGGCAGCAAGTGATTTAACTCGTGACACTCTCTTACTCCTAGTCTTCTTCATCACATTCAACCTTATCCTGGTGGTGTTTCAATCTGTGGTGGCCTTACTGCCTGCAGTACAAGAAGCCAACCCAACATCAGGACTATTACAGCCTGCTATGCTCTCTCTGTATAATACGTATCTAATTGGCTCAGCAGTGGCCAATAATCCGCAACAATGCAGTAGCGGAGCAACATCGTCGGATGCTAGCTGGACACTAGCAATACAAATCATTGGTGCTATATTGACCTTGTTGGCTTTGGGATATTCTGCTGTCAGCTCTGGTAAAGTGTCCAGTGATATTCGACATTGTTTGTCAGTGCTTGTTGCCACTCGTCAAGTGTTTTTGCTGTGATCTAATATTCTAAAATAGGATCCAGCGAGTTCACTGGATCTAGTGACGATATGGATGACGAGCAAGAAGGAACAGCTTATAACTATTCCTTTTTTCACTTTGCATTCCTTCTCGCATCATTCTTCATGGCCAGTGTGGTGACCAATGTGCGTGAGAGACACGTCTATAATCATCCGAATATGTTGAGCGAGAACTAAGGAAGATCATTACTGACTGAAATCTGTCTCTCATAGTGGGGATCTCTCAATCAATACGATACCACAGGCAACACTGTCCCGATAGCTATCGACAAAGGATATGGTGCGATATGGGTTAAAGTTGTATCATCGTGGGTTAATGTTTTACTGTATATGTGGACGTTGTGTGCTCCGCTGCTCTTCCCTGATCGTGACTTTGGACAGGCCAAATGGAGGTCATACTAGGGACAGAAGAAGTTGGAGCTCGACTGGCTATTTAAGTAGCTTTTAGATAGTTATTGTATGAATCGACATGAAATGCCCACAAATTTGTATGTAAGGATCTATATAACTTTCGTTCCGGATGTCAATTCTCGATATCAGCCTTGTTCCGGATGTGTGTTTGGATCTGTGATTAGGCGAGGTGGAGGTAGATCATCAATGATGGATCTGATTGTTGGTGAATTTAGTGAGAATTTCGCACGTGCTTGCTGTATCTAGAGCGTGTTTTGCGTTATTACATCACTTGATCATTGCTACAAAAAAATGCGTAAAACTAGCGAAAGGTTGACATAACAAAAACAAATCTAGATGGTGTAAAATAGGGCATCAGGCACGAAGCCAACCATTATATATCTGAAGAACTTTTCATTTACTTTAGCTGATAGGGCTTTCTCGACAAACCTGCTCGTCTCTCTCACAATCAACAGACCAGCAAAATCAAAACATCGCCAAAATCAAGCTTTTAAAAATCATCCAAAGTGGCAGAGACTCCTCAACCAGTCGAGGCCAGTCTGGCCAGCCATCAGCCGCTGCAATCAGACCCGCCCCTCGCTGAGAATTCAGCTGTTGCTGTTCCTCAAGATGAACATTTAGTGACAGAACAAGCACAAGCCCCATCAGGTGCTGCTGTCATTGTAACTGTAGAAGACAACGGAAAACATAGCAGAGTCAAAGTATATGAGCTATCTGACCAGGGCGACTGGGTAGACAAGGGAACTGGTCAGGTTGAAACTACTTGGGTTGAGGTGCGTTCGTTCGTTACTTTGTTTGATACTTGTGGGATTACTTGCTTTCTGACATTGCTTTCTGATATTGTCGATTCATGGTTTACTTCTTTGGTGTTGTCTTTTTTGCTCATTGTCTGTTTTTTCAAACTTTACAGCCAAAAGATGGTGTATGCATACTAGTGCGATCTGAAGACACTGGCGCTGTTACTCTCAATTCGAAAATAAGAAAAGATCCTATATATCAGAGACAGCAAGGTACATGCATACTCTGAGTCACGCATGCTGTCAGAAACAATAACATGATCCTCATGCTTGCTCGCTTTATCAACAGAAACACTCATAGTTTGGACAGAACCGAACGGAACTGATTTAGCTCTGAGTTTTCAAGAGCCCGGTGGATGTCAAGATGTTTGGTGCGTTCGTGTAAAAGGTGCATATTCTCGTATGTTTTCTTGCTCGATACTCATACTACAACGGTTATAGGGACTCGATTGAATCTGTCCAAAAAAGGCTAGCTATACAGGGTTCAGGTACGTCTTGATCATTCAAAAGGACTTGCAGTAGACTTCTTTTCGCCTCATCAAATTTCATGTTCGAAAAACAGATATCGATCCTTTACCAGCTTCAACAACACCTGTAGAAGGTGCAGTTCGTACTCATCCGCATTGGATCAACGAAATAGAATCGCTGATAATTCTTTTCTTGTTAGGCGATGGTGTTCCTGAAAAGAGTAACGGACCATTTACACTACCAGCACCAGCACTCGCCAATCTAAAAGAAATAGAACAAGCAGTCACAAATGCGTCCAGAACAATCTTTGGGAGAGATCAACTGTTACAAGCTCTGCATCAAGATGTATGGTGTTCTCGACTTTGAAGAAAAGTTTGGTCCAAGTTGCTCATTTTTTTATCTGCTTAGCGATATCTGGAAACACTACTATCATTACTGGGTCCTGCAGAAGATATGGAAATGATGGAAGAATTATTCGCTCTATCGGCAATCATTCGTATGGTCATCTTTTTGAATGAGTCGAATGTATATGATTACATATTGCAAGATGAAGTGTTTGAGCAGGTGGCTGGTATACTTGAATGTGAGTTGCGAAGCGGTTACAGATTGGGAACGGTCGCTTGGAGTACAGATTGAACAAAGATTGGTCCATATATACTGATTTCTTGGCTGTTTTTAGACGATCGAGAATTTCCACATATAAAAGCTAGTCATCGTGATCATTTACAGAGTAAAGCTCACTTCAAAGAGGTAACATCTGAAACAGTACCGCAAATGAAAAACATCTGACTGACATTAAGCCCCGAAATAGATCATACCAATCCCGAACAAGGACATATGTGCCAAAATAACCCTCGTATACCGTGTTCAATTCCTCAAAGACGTTGCATTGGCCAGATTATTAGACGATAGCACCTTCTCAACCATGAACTCCCTCATATTTTTCAACCATGTGGACATTGTAAATTACTTTCAATCCGAGCGTGACTATCTGAATCAATTGTTTGAGATGTTAAGTAACGAGGATGTGTCGATGGAGAAGAAGAAGGATGTAATATTATTGTTGCACGAGTTGACGAGTATTGCCAAGACGTTGCAAGTTGCTAGTAGGAATCAGTTTTACAGGTGTGTTAAGTTGCCCTGTATGTGTGTAACGACGTAGTCCCTTTTTTGCTCCCGAATGAAGTACGTGTTGATTTGTTTCTAATTCGCTGTCTTTGTGTTTTAGGTCATTGGGCAATCACGGTCTCTTCGCCATATTCGAATATACACTAGCAGATACAGACATGTCAATACGGCTAGCAGTAACGGCTATTCTGACATCAGTCCTCGAACACGATCCAGGCCTCGTAAGATCGTTCTGTCTGGCTCAAGCAAAGAACAACCATCGCCCCTTAATCGACTTGATAATCGAGAGGTTTTTACAAGAACCTGATTCTGGACTTAGGTCACAGTTTGCTGAAATTATACGAGTCTTGCTGGATACTACAGGTCTAGATACCACTGATGGAATTATCAGTCATGTGGGCAACGATGAAGATGGAGACAACTTTTTGAAAATGTTTTATGAAAAACAAGTCTTGTCGTTGCTTGATCCTATTGTGACGCTGGATGCTAATATGATTCATAAACAAGAAGGTGAGTGAAACAGTATTATTCTACAAGCAAAAATGCCCCAAATATTCCGGTCTACTGGCTAATCGCTTCTGCAATTCATAGGTCGACCAGAAGTATTAGTAATTGACAAAGATCGTGTAGCCGTCTGCAATCATATTTGCGAGCTAGTGTGCTTCATGATCAAACATCACACCTACCGAAGCAAATTCTACCTACTCAACAAACTGGTTTTGGAAAAGTTTGTCTTGCTATTCAAATGCAAGGATGTTTATGTTCGTCTGAGTAAGTTCGCTTGATCCCCGAGTACAATATGTCCTGGATATTCATTTTTTTCTTGCAATAGGTGCCCTACGAGTGATACGAACCGTGATTGGAATGAAGGATGAATTCTATAATCGTCATTTAACCAAAGCCGATGTGTTTGGGCCAATCTTGTCTCTGTATAAGGAAACAAAGGGCAGATATAATATGATGAATTCTGCCTTGCTGGAATTGTTTGAGTTTATCAAAAAGGTAAATCGAAAAAGAGTCCTTTGAGCATTCAGATAGATGTACTTGATTTTCTTCGTATCTCTGAAACTGTAAATTTTATCCCATATTAGGAATCCGTCAAGCTCTTGATAAATCATATGGTCTCGAATCATCGAAAGCTGATGGAATCGATACCTTTCGGATCATTGGCTGCCATCATTCTTCGATATGAGCAACTACAAGATACTGCTGCACGATTGAATGGGCCATCTGAAGCTGAGCCTGCGACGTAAGCTATAGTACCATTCTTCGGAGATCCATGACAATTAGTTTTCGCCATTTGTGCTAATAGCTCTTCGGTCATTTAGTATCAAGCCAAAGCAGCACAGAGACGGCTGGAGTAAGCTCGATGAAGATGAGGAAGCCTATTTCAATGGCTCAGACGACGATGATGATCCGACACACCATCATTCAAGCAGCGGCAACAATCACAATAGCAATAATAATAGTAGTAGCACCACCATGCAGGAAGCCGCATATACGACACCGCGAGTCGTGACTCCACCGCCAACACTCATACCAAGAGCGCGATCGCAATCCCCACCATTACGACTTGCATCATTATCACCACCACCTGCATCATCAACATCAATACCCGGTCGAAACAAGATTGAGTTTATACAGACATCTTCTCCTAGGCCACGAGCACCCATAACTGGATTAGTAGATTATGATGATGATGAGGTTGCACAACACGCCGATGAGAATAATAATCCACATTCGCATGTCAGGAATACATTGACTTTAAGCAGGAATGCCAATAGTAGTATACCTATAACTAGAACAACAGAACCGGATTTACCACCCCCACCACTACCAGGAGACGAATCGATAGGCAATGGCCATATTCTATCTAGTAGTGGTAGCAGCAGCATAAAACGACAGTATATTTCAGAACCAGACCAGGATTTGCATACCGAATATAGTGGACCAGGACGGCCAATAACAACCACCACTAGTGGTAGTAATGTCGCTATACCACCATCGACATCATCAAGTACGACTACGATTGTTGGAGAAAAGAGGGCCTGGGATGGGGCACAACATGGTGATGATGGGTTTCCTAGTATTGTATCCGATTCGACAAGTAATAATACTACTTCAACAACGGTAGAAGGTGGACTTACCAAACGTAGTAAAAGCAGTATAGCTATGTAAACGAACACCACGCCACAGTCTTTTTTGAACGAGGAAGGAATTTAGAAGAGGAACAAATGAACGGCACAATTTTTGTTGTTTGCAAAATCTATAGGATGGCTAAATATAGCAGTAGATTAGAACGCAACATTTGTAACGCTCCTATGTTGCTCTTTTTCTGCTTGAACAATACATATGTCTGCTCAAGGAAACGGAAGGAACAAGTTCGTGACTATTGTTGCTTTGACATATAATAATATTGACGAACCAGAGATACAATGAAGGATTTTTATAGAACAAGATTATGTTACATTCCACACACGTACAGCATCTGCTGCACATATCACCTTCCTATAAGCATCACCGGCCACCACAACCATGGTTAAAACGAATCTGCTAGGGATGCTACCACTACTAGAAATGAATCGATTTCAGCAGTACGCCCCTTTGAACATTAAGGCTCCAACGGCGGAGATCGTACAAGCCTTGGACTGTCAAGGCTGTCCTTCCAACAAGAGGTGTGGCATAATTGAGGTTGATGTTGGCGACAACTGACTCCAAGTGGCCTATATTGGACTAGAAAAAGCGACAGTATGTCAGTGTATTATATTGAAAGAGATAAATGGCAAGAAATTTCACTTTCAGCCGCTCAAACGGGCACTACTGTCAAGCAAATGCTGCTTGAATTTAGGAGCTCTGTACCCGCGTGTTTCCTCCAAACAGCGCTGCATCGAGATTTGGAGATGCTCGGAATTGGTAGTGGTTTTGCTTCCAGTATAAGTGAGGGAGGAAAAGACATCTTGACGAATTAAATTTCATCGAAACAAATTGTACGCTCGTCGATGACTTCAACTCGCTAAGCGCTGAGGGTTCGATACAGGCGGGTTTGTGCTGGAAACCCAGTTTGGACGCTTCTGGGATTGAGAACGTAAGATGTTACTAATTTCGTGACAGAACCGCCTTTCGACGACGTCAATGGAGTTTTTGCAGCATACTACAGTTCTCTACACTTGTGTTTTACAAAAGAATGCCGTGTTATGGATTGCGGTAAAGAAACAAATTACAAAGAAGACAACCAGAAAGCTTTACAGACGGGGCACGCACAAATACACTCCTTCTCACTCAATCTCTAAATAAACCCCAGTGAAAAACAAAGTTTACTAGTACAAGCAGATCTCCGCACCACGGACATACAGTGAATCAGTTCGTCACTTTGAGTTTCGCTAAAACATCTATTAACTTCTTGTCCTTGTCTTCTTGTTGTGTTGATGTTGAACTAGCAGAATCAGTGGTCAGCGAGTCATCTGTGCTCTTCGATCTCATCGACATATCGACCAGAGTTCCCAGTCGAGAGACACCACGCACAGCGCTGATAGCTATAACAAGAGTTACAGATTGGTTGATTTGTATGCTGCATATGAAGATCCTACAAGTTGTGTACCTTTTCCCCATTGCCTCCTTGCGTTGAACCCCTTTCTGACAGTAGGCAGCAGATCCGTTTTGGACTCAGAAGCCAACCATGGATGATCAATGGCTTCTTGTGCTGTGGGTCGTTTCGAAGGATCCACAGTCAAGCACTTGTTAATGAAATCCTTGGCGTTATCAGATACGTTTCCCCAATACTCTTCTTCATACTCATAGCGACATTTTACTATGGCTTCGAATAGTGCTGGTTGATCTTCACCCTGTGATAGAAAACGGTAAGGTCACACTGAACTGGTATAGCACGAAACTCAAGAAGCCGATTTGTTTTACCCAAAACGGTGTAAATCCACATAGCAGGACATACGTTATCACCCCTAGCGCCCATACATCAACAGGTTTTCCATGACCCATTTGTTTCAGGACTTCAGGAGCTACATAGTCTGGAGTGCCACATGCGGTTTTGAGATAAACATCAGAATCTACCACTCTCGATAGTCCGAAATCTGTTATCTACAAAGTAGAGATTGGGGACTTGAGTTATTCGGTTACTTTCTCATAAGTACCTTGAATTTAAATTACCATAATATCAGCGCTGTCAGATGTATCTCTAAACAAGAGATTTTCTGGTTTCAGATCCCGATGTACAATATCTATGGTGACGAGAGTGTGAGTATACGAAAACTGACTTGACTCAAAGCAACCACTATTCGTACCTAGTTCGTGCAAGTAAGCAGTAGCGTCAAACAGCTCTCGAACAATCTTGGCAGCATCTCCTTCTGTATAGCTTCCCTTCTTGACGATCTGTTCAAACAGTTCACCTAAAGACAAGAAACCCTTCAGCCAACAGGCCCACCTTGGTATGAATATCCCAGAATTCTGATTATCACCTCCAGTAGCCAGATCCGTTACGAGATACATGTGTGAGGGGGTCTCGTACTTGTCTCTCAAGCCAATAATATTTGGGTGGTCAATCATTTCCAGGACTTGGATTTCGGTGCGCAACATCTCATCTTTGCCTGTACAATGGAAAAATAAAAAAGCAAAAGTCGTGTTAGTATAGAATGTACGGTGTAATTTATATAGTTCCTGTAGCTGTTTTGTGGCTCTGTGGAAGTTCGGACCAAGAGTAACCATGCCAACCCAAAGTAAACTAGAGAGACAAGCAATGGATATACCTTTCAGAGGTACTTTGTCAATGATTTTGACTGCAAACTTTTTAGAATCTGTCTTTCGAGTGCATTCTTTTACAACAGCTGTGATGGCATGATGGGTGTAAGTAAATTGTGGCCAACAAAGACACATTCAAGCGACATACCGAAGCTCCCTGAACCCAACTTCTTTCCTAAAAAGTAGTGCTCTTCAAATCCAGACTGAAAAGAACCACCATGCACTACTTTAGCTAGTGCTAATTTTGAAGAGAGCCTTGGCCGATCTTCTTTCTTCTTTCCAAAGAAGAATAGACTCTTCATGCTTTGTTAATGTTGTAGAGTAATTATGTGGCCTGTATTTGTCTCGGAGCTTCCTTCGTCGTCCTGTATTCGTTTGTGATGTGGCGCAAGCGATGACTACTTTCACGCCAAATATCACGTCCAAGGACAGAATGAATGGGCTATAACTAATCTAAATCTATTTGTATCGTTCTTGTAATAACACAAAAGGACAGGGCTAACAAAAATTGCAAACTCTTGTCCGAAACAACGGTTCGTCATGAGTATGCATCTTGACACAGCCTTCTACTCGTCGTCATCGTCAAATGTAGTTTTCTTTCCCTTAACACTCATATCCACGTCCTTCACAAAAGCTCCGTAGTTCTCATTTACTTTTCTCTTTACAGTGGTTCCAAACTTGATGAGATTCTCGGGCACTATTTGATTCGCCTTCTTTAATACATTCACCAAAGCACCTAGAAGAATTGGAGTATCAAATTGTGAGCAAAAACTCATACCTAGGACGGAAAGTAAGCAACGTACCAGCATGAGACTTTTCATTCACTGTGAAGAATGTGTATGCGATACCCTGGAAAAAACAAGAAATTAGCTTTCAGATGACAACCACGTTGGCATCTTTATAAATTATGCCAAGATAATAATTATTAACAACTTTGACGGAGTCGTACCTTGCGACCTGCTCTACCCGTTCGTCCGATACGATGACAATACTCTTCTGTAGTAAGAGGATATGTAAAGTTGATGACACATGCTACTTCTGGTATGTCGAGACCACGAGCCTATAGTAGAACAAGAACGAGAGTGAGACACGTACGGTCACCGACGTCGAGTCGTAGATACGCTTGCACTTACGGCAACGTCTGTAGCAACTAGAACGGGTGTTTTACCGGTCTAGCAAGAGATTTGCAGTTGGAAATTGTTAGGTATCTGACGGTAACGACGTGTCTACCCTGAGCGTTTTTGCCTACCTTGAACGAATCCAACGAAGCAATACGATCCCTCTGAGCTTTATCTCCATGAATACTAGCCACCTTATATCCACGTTGCACCAGCAACTTTTCCAATTTCCCAACTTCCCACTTGTACAATGCAAAGACCAGCACCAAATCCGTCTTTGCTTGACCCTTCAACAACTGTAATAATCTACCCTCTTTAGCATCTTGAGTCATAACTTCTACGTTTTGTGTAATGTCTGTATTTGCTTGTAATTCATCTGATCCGACAGTGATTCGGATTGCTGATGGTGAGAGATATGTGTTTGCTAAATTGCGAATCTCCATTGGCCATGTTGCTGAGAACATGACTGTTTGACGGGGTGATGGGACTGCTGAAAGAATTCTTTTGATGTCTTCTTCAAATCTGGTGGTAGATGAGAAGAGGGTCAGACAAAACAAGGCGACTGGTATGTCAAGACACTACTAACAGAAAAATAACTTTCAAAGCCCCACCCAAACGATAACATACGATCAGCTTCATCAAGGACAACCATTTTGACAACTCCCAAATCAATAACACCCTCCTCCATGAAATCCATTAGACGACCAGGAGTAGCAACCAATACATTACAATCTGCTTCACCTAATAAGTGTCTCTGCTCTCCCTTGGGCACACCACCATATATACAGACAGGTTTCACATATGATTTCGGTCCAAATTGTTGGAAGGATTCAAATGTTTGGATTGCCAATTCTCGTGTAGGTGATATGACTAGTACAAGTATTCCTAATTGTTTGGGAGATTGTTTGCGAACCATTTTGGCTGCTGGTAGTCCGAATGCGAATGTCTTTCCACTGCCTAGATCGAAAAAAGAAGTTGAGCCTTCACTCAGCAGGTCCTTCAAGAAAGAAAAACTTCAAATCAGATCAGTTCGCACCTGTCTTTGCGACGCCAACGACATCATCACCATTAAACAGATAAGGCCATACAGCACTTTGAATGGGAGTTGGAGCATCGAACGATTTGAATGGTTTGAGCAATGATGGTTTCAAATGTTCGATGTTTGCGAAGGTGAGGTACGGATCTTGTATAGTTTTAGCATTTAATACGGTTATTCCGTGCTTTTTTAGGAATCCAGAGCCTTCAGCGATTGTAGGTGCAGCTGATATTGTCGTGGTTGGAGGTGTTGATGTTGGGATATTTGCTACTTTCTGCTTTTTGATCTTTCGAGTAGCTTCAACTGGTATCTCTGCGGTTTCTTCTGATATCTCTGACGCTGCTGGTGTCTGTCTCTTGGCCATTGATGAGCGATTGCTATAAAGCGTTTGTTAAAGCGCTTTTTGGAAAAAAAAAAAAAAAAAAGTGAAGGTGCAAGAAAATATTGAGATCAAAAGGAACGCCGCTTGCTTCGACGACGCGCTTGTGCAGATGGTGCCCTCAAAATGCAAAGTATCGACGGAATATCTTGGAGTTGATATAAGAAATTTTCTCTTTGGGTTGTGACAACTTTTACCAACTTGTCAATGACAGGTACTATATTGTCGACGAACAAGATGGGAATGCGATTTACAATTTTACAGACTAGAATGCGTGTGCTATGTCACTAACTTTTTCCATTCACTTCAAATAGCACCAGTGGCTGAAGTAAATTTCAGATTCGACGCTGCAGGCGACAGGAGTGCAAGTACCCTCTAAAAACGAGATCAGAGTCAAAACCAGAAGTTCAGCATCCATTGAGTTGGAATAACAGCTTACTGGGACAAAGATGATGCCAACGATGGTACCAGTCGTGAATGCAAATGTGGAGACTATATGATCCGATGATGACCTATTAAATAATCGGGTGACAGAAGTAAAGTGGCCTGGTTGAATTGCGACCAATTTGAATATCCACAATCCTGGCATCTCACATATCAACGAAATTTTACAAATCATCGAAACGTTTCATGTAGTCTGAGACCTTGACAATGCTCGTTGTTTCATGAAGATGGGTTTTAGATTGTTACAACTTGTTGAGTACTTGTTTAACAGCAGCTATTACTTCAGGGAAGATTGTAGAATTGGCAGCAACAACTCCCTTATTTGCCTTCAGTGTTCGACCCAATGAAAAGTCCAATGGAGCACCAGTCACATCAGATATTTGTCCACCGGCTTCCACAACAATGAGCGCACCACCAGCATGATCCTACAGGAGTTAAGAAGAGCGTTAATGAACCAGATTCAAATATTGTACTTCTTTTCGACGCAAGTCCTGTTTTGCACGTCCAACATACCCATATTTTTTCTTCATAGTCAGCACGAGTAGGGACTCGTAAATAAATACTAGCATCACCTCTAGCCAAACAACCATATTTGCATTGAGAGTCCATCCGAACAGGAGCCTTTGTGATTCCCAATCGTTGAGCAATGACAGCTGTGTCACTTTGCGATGAATGAGCTGCCTCAACTGATTCACAGAATGATGCTTGTGCTGGTGATGAGATGTCTGCTACGTGTATTCTTGTTTCGACGTTGGAATCAAATGATCTCTGTGAGTGACAAAGGGATGAAGCGTGAGCTGAAGAGAAAAAGAAACTGGACTGAGGCTTGTCTCATGTCTTACTTGGAAGGCACCTTCACCCTTTACAGCTACAAAGATGGTACCACGGTCTGGATCATTTGGATTATTTATGTTGCGTGGTAGATTTGGACATCCCATGACCCCAACCTTGACATCTCCATCTTCAATGAGTGCAAGACAGACTGCAAACTGTTCTCCACGTAAGAATCCCTTGGTTCCATCTGATAAACCCCGGCGAAAGAGTTAACACGGTATTTTGGGTAGAATCAGCGAGATTTCAGAAGTGGAGATAGGTTACCAATAGGATCCAAAGTCCAGAATCGTCCTTTTTTTCCACCGGCAAAAGTCCCAGCGTCAATGGTCGTCAGCACCTAAAAACATAGGTTCAACAACATAGACCCCAAGCACCATCATCAAGCCTCATCATTCTAGTACCTGTTCAGACGTCAATGGTACATCCAGGACCGAGTTTGCTAGTTCGGTGACTTTGGCATGCAACGTGGCATCCAATCGCAAATCGGCTGCATCTTCTTCTCCAACAATTGGGTATGAAAAGGACTTTTGTAGGATGGCGTTTACTACTGCCTGAGCTCCAAAATCAGCAACTAGTATAGGAAATTGGTTGAAGTTAGCTCAGTTCTCACCAAGAGCAACAAAAGACGGCGCTTAACTGGTAACAGGCGAGTTGTCGGCTTTAGTGACTGTTTCACCTTTAACTAGTTGCTTAAACACACTCTGACATAGTCTGCTTGCTTTGATGATGGCCTCGATTCCTACAGCTCGTTCTATAGCGTACATCGTATGATTTCAAGTTTTTGTCGAGTAGAAGTTTGACAACGATGCCAGTGACGCAAACAGGACGCAAATCAAGACTTTGCAACCATAACATGAATGATGGGGTCTATATCTCACGTTTAAATACGCGTTTCAATTTGTATTATGGTGTCTTGCCACCCTCATTGTCGTTTTTCCACACAAAATGCAAGTGAGGCTGCCAGCAAAGACTAGCTAGTCCGGGACTTGTCAGCTAATTTACTCATAGTTTGGAGACACATTCGTAATTGGAATCCGATCTTTGAAAGAATGGCAGCCACGGGAAGCAAAGAGCTTTGGCGACCAATAAATTCGAGCAAAGAGCTTTACTCCAAGGAAGAGAAGATCGGAGAGGGCACATATGCTCATGTATTCAAAGGTGCAGACCATTTCTTTTCTTGAAATGTCGCAAGTCAGTCAGAATTGGCAAACATTTGACCAACATTTCGACCATTTGTTCAGGCAAGATAAAAGCTACAGGACGAGAGATTGCCATCAAAAAGATCAAGCTGGGACATGTAAAGAAGCATTTACTTGACGAATCTGTGAATTATTTAGCTGACAATCCTTCTCGTCAGTTTCGGGATGGAGTGAATATGAGTGCTATACGTGAAGTAAAGGCGTTACAGGAGTTACGGCATCCAAACATTATAGAGGTCGGCACCGCATCAAATTGTCAATTATGTTGACGCCATTGCTCATTCTTCACGTAGCTCGTGGATGTTTACATGCACAAGGGAAACTTGCACCTCATTCTCGAGTTCCTGCAATGTGATTTGGAAATGGTCATCAAGGATACTACATTGACATTCAAACAAGAAGATGTAAAGAGCTGGATGCTGATGATTACGCGAGGATTGTATCATTGTCATCGAAACAATCTCCTACATCGAGTAAGCTGAGTTTTTGAGTAGGAACAGTGGCTCCCGCAGGGCTAACACGACTTTGTCAACAGGATATGAAGCCAAACAATATTCTTATATCTCCTGATGGACTTGTCAAGTTGGCTGACTTTGGTTTGACGCGAGAGTTTGGAGAATGGAATCGACCCATGTCTCCACAAGCAGTCACCAGGTATAGAGTCGCCGTCAAGACCTGTTTTATACCTAAAATGACACACAAATAACTAGATGGTACAAGCCGCCAGAACTACTTTTGTCTGCAACAACATATGGAAGTGCAGTCGACATGTGGTCAACAGCATGTATATTCGCAGAGCTATTCATTCGAAGTCCCTTCCTCGTAGCAGAGAGAGATAGTGACATGGGACAACTCGATGTGATTCTGAAAGCTCTTGGTACTCCGACTGTAGAGGAGTGGAATGTGAGTTGTTCCACTCGCTATTCGCTGTTAGACACTGTTACTGATCGGCTTCTCACTTGTCTAGTACATGCCATTGAATGCGAATGTCGAACTGCAACTATTCCCCAAACCAAGGTCCCTTCAACAGTACTTTACAGCTGCTCGACCAGATGCGATTGACCTCATGCGTAAGATGTTTGAGTTTGATCCAAACAAGAGGATATCTGCTGAAGAAGTAAGACACATACTAGAGATGTTTGGTTTCGCAAGACGCTTGTCTCAACACAACCTTCCAAACTGTAGGCATTACGACACCCATACTTTACCAACTTGCCACGTCCTACTCCACCTCCCAAGCTTCCGGTCACAACAAAACAAATCAAGCCCAATCGAGACGTCTACTTGGGTCCAGAGGCCGTTGCTCCAGATGCAGGTCCTCGTGGAACGAAAAGAAAACAATCAGATGATGATGATCAGGATGCAAGTAAACGAAGCAAAACACAACCTGTGACTCGTCTTCTTTTCAAGTAGTAGGTTTATATATATGCACAAAACATAGAAATGTATATTGCTTCGCAAGTGGTTTGCCAGAGTGCGACTTCAAGTGTTGCGATTTCGTTGTTGCACCACCCAACCAAGTTCCAGCAACACGCAACGCCCAAGAAGGACGATGAGTGGGACCACAGGATGGGAGACGCCGTCCACAAAGCGTTCCAAAGAAAAGAAAGAGAAGAAGGAGCCCGCATTATCAGGTAGGATGCTCGTTGTTTGTTTGTGGTCTCAATTTCCAAACTTCAGATAAGAAGGAGAACGACAATGTCTCTGTATCAAACAACGAGAACATGGATTCTAAAGGCTTAAAGCACTCTATGAGCTCTGATCGCAAGACTCTAACCCGAACTCATGAAACTTTTAGGCACATCAGCTGCGTCAAATCCCCAAAAAAGAAGCACAGTGCCATGCAAGTTTTATAAGATGGGACATTGCTCAGCCGGTTAGTTCGCATCTTACTCGTTCTAGAAACGGAACACGTATTGACTTGATGTCTGGTTAGGCTCTTCTTGTACGTTCTCTCATGAACTCCAATCAAACGCAACTCAAGATCTAGTTTGCATGTGTAAGTTCTCAAGTCCCAAGTTCCTTTTGTGCAACTGCTTTATAGATCTCAAACCCTGATGCGCTCGCTCCTACATCTATCTAGATTTCTTGAAAGGAACTTGCAGATACGGCTCGGTAAACTACCCAGACCATCTTCACACGATCTTCACACGAATTCAAACGTCAAGCAAGCATCTGACCCTCAATTCCATTCATAGGCATGTGCACTTCCACATATATCAGCACAAAAGCAAGCTCAAAAGAAGTCAACGGCATCATCTTCAACTAAAAAGAATGCCACGTCAAAGGGCGAACGTACGAGTAGTGAACCAGTTACCGCCTCAACAAAGACAACTGAAATATCACCTACATCAGCAAGCAGCTCGGCGTCTCCTGTAAACAATCATAGAGAGTCCATAAACCCTTCACCAGAACCATCTCCTATAGTTTCCACGCCTCCTATTGCATCACAACAAACGACGTCTATTAAACCACCTATACTACCAAAAGCAATGCCAAATAATAATCAGCCATCATCGCTATCTATACAGCTTCAACACCAAGCCCAGCAACGTCAGACTGCAGCGGGTTCTGCATCGTCTCTGCACGCAACGTCGCGAGGTGTTACAAATCAATACCCGTCACCGATAAATGAGCCAATATCTCGGCCTTCTCAAAACATCCCTATATCTAGACCACCTACTTTTGCAGAACCGGGACAACAATCTCGCATTAATTCAGTACCTCGCGTTATATACAGTGACATTGAATACGATGATGACAATGAAGATCATGATGGCCCTGGCGCTATACTGCCATCATCGTTGAATGAGCTGTTGACACCATCTGAACAAATACAGCTGTCACGATCAGCTGGCAAAACCAGTCTCGAATCATATTTTGGAGGTGCCCAAATACCCATGCCAAACAATGCCAAACGACGTGATGAGTATATATTAACTGCTCCTGCCTCACCACTACGTATGAATTCCGCTCTAGCTTGGTCCGCTGAAAATGGTCGTCAAACTCTCTTGAATGCCAGGTCTCTACCGAACGTTTTGGGTCGCTATTATCGTGCTGCAGAGAGCGTCCATGGCGACGATGTCAGTGATCTCCCTGACGATGAACGTATAGAAGACGACGATGAACATCATGTACCGTTTTTGATGGAGGAAGAGGAGATGGTGACGAGCAGCAGGCCACGAAGGAATGGATCAAATTCCAACTTGAGTGGTCTAGCTGGATCGCCAGTGATGAATAATCGTTTGAGTGGGTTGGCTGGATCTCCTGGCGGTAGTCGAGCCAATGGGATAGGCATGAACCACATAAATGGAAGCAATATTTATCAAGCTAGCAGCAGCTATGGTAGCAATGGATATGCTAGTAACGGCTATCAGACTTATGGTCAGCAATCTCTTGGATTAGGCATAGTACCTGATAAACCAAACGGCGTGATGAATATAAATTTGACTGCCCGAATTCCATCCGACCAACACGCGCAACTATCATATACGTCTCCTGGATCATACTTGGCACCAACTCAACGTGGGCCTCGTATGATGTCATATTCGTCTGTAGCAAGGACAGGTGTAGAAGAGAATGTCATGGGAGCACTACCAGCACGACACGAAACTCATATTACTAGACCACAGCAAGAATTAGAATTATTATGTCCATTTGCTCAACAAGGAACTTGTCGATTTGGTGACAAGTGCAAGTGAGTTTCGCATTAGATCAGTTATGGTCATGCAAGGCCAAGCTCAAACATCTCTTTTTTCCCCTCTTCCCAGATATTTACACGGATTGCCTTGTCCTGTATGTCAAAAACTGGTACTACATCCCCAAGGTTCCTCACAAGAACACACAGAGCATATTGCTTCTTGTCAAAGGAAACAGGCTATAATCAATGCTAGGAATGCTCAAGCTGATCATGCGGACGATTTGGAGTGTGTGATATGTTTTGAAGTGATTAAAAAGAAGAAGGATCCAAGATTTGGATTGATGAGTGAGATTTCTTTCACAATGTTCTGTTGCTTTTCACGGCTCGTTGTTAATCTTGGGCTTCAAACTATTTAGAGTGTCCTCATCCAGTGTGCTTAGACTGCATACGGCAATGGCGTCTGAACGAGGCTATGGACAATTCAAAAACTTGTAAGACAAAACAAAATTTTTGAACCTCCAATTTTGCTGGTTTTCTAACCACTTTTTCAACCACCGTCTACCTAGGTCCAATATGTAGAACGGTAATAGTCTAACAGTTTCTGAACTTGAAAAATCACTTTTAAAAACTTTTTTTGCATAGGTCACTCATTTCGTCATTCCAAGTACAGTATGGATTAGTGATGAAATGGAAAAGGAGAGAGTCATTGAGATATACCAACAAAAACTGGCAACGTGAGTAAAAATGCATTATTTGAGAATATAGACGTGTGCCGAAATAGCCAACACTTCATTCCAATAGCATGGACTGTAAACATTTCGATAATGGACGAGGTCAATGTCCATTTGGAAACAGTTGTTTCTATCGCCATGCTTATGCTGACGGCTCGTTAGAGCAAGTCAAAAAAAGATGGGTCACTGGTGGTGGTGAAGAGGAATCAAAAATCGTTGGGCCAACGAGGCTCGCAGATTTTTTGTCGGATTACATGGAACGGGCATAGCGGACGAAACATAGAGAGTCCAATATAAAAAGAACGAGAGATTAGTTGGCAAGCCTCATTTTGAAAAAGGAAGCATTTAGGTAGAAAAAAGATACACAGTTTTGCGCACAATAAAAAATGTATGAGTGCAATATTAAAAGTTTATACATTTGTTGGTTGGAGTTATCTACAAGAATTTATCTATGTACAACCATAATGGGAGTCCTCTTAGTCGTTGTCAAATGAGAGCAGATTCTTATTCGTCACTGCCTTGACTTTACGCTTCTTTGGCGCTTCCTCAGCCTTTACATCTGGGGCTCTGACGTCCTTGCTCTTCTGTTCTTTATCAGCTTTTGATCCTATATCAGCAATCTTTCGTTTCTTGTCTAGATCATAATCGAGTGATGGGTAAATGGTATACTGCGATTTTACCGCAGCAACTAGATAGACATCAGCATACCTTGTACAACAGCTGCCGGTATCGAATCTGCTGCACCCGCGACAACACCATCATCTGCGACCTTGTCTGGATCTTGACCAGCCGTCTTCTTGCCTAGGAAATGCTGGACCTCAAAGTCGGTGATTCCCTTTCCAATATGAATGGCCGGAGCCTCATCTTCGAGACTCGACGTGCTTTGTGCTTCACGAGCGTCATGTGCCCGTTGCTGTATTTCTGCGACTTTAGAGTTGGCTGCTTGGAGTTTTGCGAGAAAGTTGGGAGTGTCAGGTTCGAATTTGAGAGCATTTCTGTGTATACATGAGTTGAAAATTAGTGGTGTGCATGAGAAATATACGTGTTATGATATACCTGAATTGCTGGTTACTCCTCTTCTCCCCCATCGTTGCTCTCGACTTTCTTTGGTGTTGGGAGTTGGGACTGACGCGTTTGACGTGAACACGAAGCAGATCCGATAATTTAACTTTGTAATTAGTTATGCACAATCAGTGTCTCAATATCTACATCACGTCCGAAAAACCTCAATCGTCCCAATTCCTCTTCCAAAACTTTTTTTTGTCAAACAATCGACCATAGTTGAAAACACCATCAGTTCAATAACCGTACGCTCATAGCTATGAGTACCCTTAGCAAGGATCCCGCAAGACCAAAACAGCCTCCTAGACAAGGTACATCGCTACATGATCTAGCTTTTGAAGCTTCCGACAATTCACACTTTTTTCGCTTGACTGTAGTCGACCCAGATGCAGCACGAGTATATAATCGAGGCGTAAACCGTCACAATGTGCCCATACGCAATGTCCAAGATCTGAAACTCAAGACCCTACTACGAAAGAGTGGCAAGAAACAACACATTGCTGTTGAAAAAGCTGTCGATCATGAAATGCTGCTGCCAGAGTCGGCTGGTTTTGTTGTCGCTGAGGGAATGGAGAGAACGTGGAGGTTTAAGCAGCATGAAATTGAAAAGTCGGTTGATGTCTCTACTTCGAATAAGGTGAAGATCAGTTTGCACCGAAAAAGGCATATCTATGTATTTGCTCATGATCAAATTGTAGATGTTTGATCTGGATTTACCTACATTCGGACCATATTGTTTGGATTATACACGTAACGGACGGTGGGGGCAGTCACTAGTTGAGCAGAAACATGGGGCAACACCTAAACACATATGTAAACTTAGGAACGTGTTGATTGGAGGCAAGAAGGGCCACATAGCTACCTTCAATTGGAGAACTGGAAAGCTAGGATGTGAGATACAGGTCAAGGAGACGATTCGCGATGTCAAGTAAGCCCATTACTTGTACTTGAGTCTTTTTTGCGCTGCTTGAAAATAACATCTTGTCTCTTTAGATGGCTGCATAACGAAACCATGTTTGCCGTAGCTCAAAAGAAATACGTCTACATATACGACAACACGGGTCTCGAAGTGCATTGTTTGAGAAAACATCTTGAAGTGAATCGATTAGAGTTTTTGCCGTATCATTTCTTGTTGGCTTCTGTGGTAATGCACGAATCATTCATATCATCTTTGTGCGATTACGTGCTTTTTGGTTGCATGTGTCTGATACGGTAACGTTGATTTAGGGTAACGCTGGATACCTAAAATATCAAGACACATCAACAGGCAATCTGGTTGCGGAATTGAGAACTGGATTGGGTCGCTGTGATGTCATGGCTCAGAATCCGTATAATGCTATAATGCAGTTAGGCCACACTAACGGTATACACCTAGCAGATTGTCATGTTTGTTCTTTTTGGTTTGGTATTCACACTCAAATTTCTCTTTAAGGAACGGTAACACTATGGAGTCCAAATATGACAACACCGCTAGTCAAGATGTTGTGTCATAAAGGTCCTGTGTCGGCGTTAGCTGTAGACAGGAATGGATTGTAAGTCCAAGAAAGCGGCAATTCTCCTGTGTGAATGGACTATCTGATTGTCCCTTCTTCACATTTATAGATACATGGCCAGTGCTGGACTGGATGGCCAATTAAAGATATGGGATATACGTACTTTCAAGCCTTTACAATCATATTATACTCCAACACCGGCATCGTCCCTGGCTATCAGTGAGCTAGGTCTGTTGGCTGTTGGATTTGGGCCTCATGTTCATGTACGTCTCGTTTGCGCACGCAAACAATGAAGATGAGAAAACGGACTTTAACATTTCTTTCTGTCCAGGTTTGGAAGGACGCCTTTCTCGAAAAGCAATCATCACCATACATGACACATCTAATACCTGGCTCCAGTGTCCAAGACGTGCATTTCTGTCCGTACGAAGACATACTTGGTGTTGGTCATGCCGGTGGAATATCAAGTCTCGCTATACCTGGTTAGTTTTCGAATGATCTCGAGTCAATATGTCTCTCTGACATATGTATTTTTTGTGCTCTGTAGGATCCGGAGAACCCAACTTTGATTCACTTGAAGCCAATCCATACCAAAACAAGAAGCAGAGACGAGAGACTGAAGTTCATAGTTTACTGGATAAGGTAAATTGGTAATTGGGCCTTGATGGCATTGTTCAGGAACTTAATTTTTTTCGTTTTCTAGATACAACCTGAAATGATTGCCATGAATCCCGAATTTGTCGGCACTTTGGATAGAGCTCCACGAGAGGTTATTGCTGGTGAACGAAAGGTCGAATATGAGGTACAAAAAAACCGGACAGGACGCAAAGTCTACGAATCATATCAATTCTGGCAACTCATCTGACTCTCCTCTGTCAATCATATTAGGCAAACAATCCCACAGAAAAATATATTCCAAGACCGAAAGCACGAGGCAGGTCATCCTCGTTGCGCAAGTATCTTCGTAAACAGACAAATGTTATTGATTCAAAACGAGTAAGTTAGCCCTTGTCGTCCACAATTTCGTGGATACTTATACTCATGATGTTTCTTTTGTTGCAGGAGGCCGCGAAAACAGCTTTCGAAAAGGAGGAACGTGAACTGGAAAAGATTAGGAAGCGACAAGCTGGTGAAGAGCATGGCGAAGAACCAGAGTATACAGCGCTGGATCGATTCGCTAAGAAGGCTAAGAGCTGAGTCGGAGGTTTCATGTTGTACATAACGGTATCATTGGATTGCAATATAATTCTTCAAGCATATATTATTGCTTTCCAGTAAGAGGATGAGAAAGGTTTCCGCAGAGCTCTAATGTACTTAGATCAATTTAGGTGTTGTAGCATGCTCATTGGAACTCGATATATCACGCATCTTTTTGTGAGTCTATTCAATTGTCTAATTCGCTACTAAGTTAATTTAGGGTCACGCTAGATACCTGAAATATCAAGATACATCAACGACAATGGGAACTAGGGAATCCGCCGAGATCATTTACATTCATCTTTCCAATGACTTCAAATACGAGGAATTTTAATAACAAATCAGTCTTCTCGTAGTCAAACCATCACCATAGTTCAAATCATTGAGTCATTGAGGAGTGCTCAGCTTGATTTGATAAAATCCAATTTGTCGTGATGTCTTTCCCTCCTTCACTCATACTCAAGGAACAATTCCCCAATCTCGAGACATAAAGCTATTTGGAGAAACACGGCCGGTAAAGAGCCCATAGACACTAGCCCTCATGGCTTGATAGCATTCTATTCGATGGGAGCTTCTTTGGTAAATTTGAAAGCAAGCACTTCCCTGTTTGATTTGAAGTTTTAAGCAATTGCTGGCTGGTTTACAGCGGTTGAAAGTGGAACTTCGTGGCAGCGATCTCATTTCATATCATTAAGTGACATACCACTTCCCTCTTCTAGTCCGAAATAGACCACTTGGAGTCAGTTGTCCTCAACACCAATCCAAACCTCGTGTTGGAAGGACAATGTTGACTCTCTCATACTTGTTAGATCTCCGCCGTTGAAGACTCATTCTCTAAAGTATATATTGACGAAAGTGGTAAATTTCCAGTAGTCGTAGTAGAGGTCGCTTCTTTGCTTTTGGTTGCTGGAAAACTGAGCATAGTTGCAAAGCAACCTCGGAACGGCAGCACTGGATCTATTCGCAAAAGAGGATATCAACAGCGTCAGAAGTTGCACGTGTTGGAAGAATTTGTACGTAAACACCACACCGGTTTTTTGCAATACACATCTTCAAGCTATTCGATATTTATTATTAGTTGGCACTAGGACCAAAAAGACCACTTTCGTCTGGATAATTCAAGTCATTTTAGGTGTAGCAGGCTCATCCGAGCTCGATATACTAGGCAACGGTGGTTGAGAAGTAGCAACTTGGATATGACCATGCGATTCAGCCGTCTCGGGATGTAAGTTTGCATTCGTAACAGGTCTAGTCAAACTGTTTGCGTTACTTGCATTGTCCAACTCAAGTGCTCTTGCCAATTCTTTGGAAGTTAGATAGCTTCTTTGTTTAGAGCCGTGGTTGGGCTGTCCTGATGCTGATGCTTGCTTGCTCAGTGGGTTTGGTGTTTGTAATTGGGAAGGTGTATTGCTGTTTGTTCTTGTGAAGACGAATTCTTTCTTGATATAATCGAGAACTGTAGTTATGCAGCAGTGGAGTGCGACGATCTAGACATTCAATGGGACGAGCATGAGATACGTATGATGCGAGAGAAAAGTCTCGACGCAATGGACTTGCATGCATTGCATTGATTATACCTGAACGAATAAGTTAATTATAATCCACCATCCTTCAATCGTCCATAAGCTTGAAGCCGCGTTGTATGCTACAACAAAATCAGCTGTACAGTTGGTACCAGCAGCTAATGCCGGAACTGTAGAGATCAAGCAATTAATCATGAGGGTTCTGTTTCAAAGTAAAGGTTGGAAGACTGCGAGATGCACTACACACCGTAGAAACAGTCCGGTGAGGTCTGGCACCCTACAAATCAAAATTAGTTAGCAACAAAAAACTCCTATTGTAACTCTCAAATATGAGGTACATGTTTACGTACATTGTCCACATTGCAAGGTCAGAGTGACGCCCTGGTTGACGTATGCAACAAAGTACAAGCTTTCCAATAAGATGACAATCATAAAACTCCAAATCAGCTATTTCGGGATGAGATGTTGTTAGAGTTACATGTGACATAGAGTTCTAGCCTGGCCGTTCTCTTTTTGTCCGTACAAAGAGGAGTGAAAGGCCCCGTTTCCTTGGATCCAATTTTTCCCAATACGCGACAACTCCTAGGCCTATAGATATCAGGATTTGGAACACGAATGTCCACACTGCTGTGACCATAAGCCTGTTTTCGAAGGAGAGAGCAAACCTTGTGAGTGTACTTGCATATGTTTTCAACAACAAACGACTTTCTCAACTTGCTAAGGAATCCAGTCGGCACGTCAGATCTTGCAAAAGGATAATTGGTACCTGGATGAGGTACCGGCTGAACTATGGCACATTCGGCTACAGCCAAGATCTAGCATTTTTCATAGAACATTTAGACCAAAAAACTTGGAATCATCACCACAAAAGCGTTCAGCATACTGCACTGAGTCCAGCCAGCGACATTTGCACATATCTATTCTTCTTAGCCTTGCGTTGCCACTGCACAAATGCAACAAACTTTGGTCCCACTGTGCGCATAACGAGAGCAGGGTACCGTTCGTACCACGGCATATTGCTTGTGATGCTAGGTGATTTGAAGTTGATGCTTTTGCCACGAGATATGCCTTCACCACTCGGAGATGGCTTCATTGGTCTTGAATGGGAGCCAGGAGCGAATAGATCACTCCCTGTGGCGGATGGCACGTATGGGTAGGAAGACATGGATGGTGGGGGAGGATTTTGCTGCATCATATCGTCGTAAAAGAATTCGGCGTAGGATGTGATAAAGTAGTCGAAATCTTGGTGTGGTGATGAAAGAGATGAAGGAAGTGGATCGACTCTATTTGATCGATGTGTGCGCGCCCAAAGTCCCAGGCCTAAATGCAAGAGAATTTAAAAGATTTTTTTGTGTGGTTGAATTGATCCTTTCTATGCATCAACATCCGGATGTGTTTGTTGTTCCCAATTCATTCCTGCTTCTTCCACTCACGGTGCCGCGAATGAGAAGAACTGCCTTCCAGGATTAGCAAACCGAGCTTTGCAATGAGGCCTCTTTGCTTCTAAAGTTTACTGATGGCAGAGCATGTTTTGATGAGCTTAACGACCAGTTGCAACTGTCGGGTTTCTTTCGTGTGAATGTTTTTCTTGCAGATCGAAAGTTGACAAGACATGTTGAAGAAAAAGAAGAATTGAATTTCACTCGTATGAAGTTGAGAATTTAATTGGAGTTTCAGATCTAATGCAGTTTACTTGCTTCTGCACTTCTGTTGCTTCAAGATGTAGCGGAAAGGCACAATTCCAATGATTTAACGCGACAATGAGACAACTAGAGTCGGATTCTATCAGATTATTTCATTTTATATTTCATATTTATATACGCGTAAGCCAGGTCCTTTTACTTCCTATTATTCCTGGCATTCGTGATGCTGTTTAGCAAAACACGACAACAATGGAAGCGGCGAACCCCGCCCCGAAGCCAACGTGTCTTCTCACTCTGGCAGGCCCAAATGCGCATTCATGTGGATACTGCCACTCAGATGGCGACACGTCTGTCTCTTTTGGTAAAGCTCGAGTTAAAATGTTGGTTGCTTTTGGCTGATGAGGAGTTGTGACTATTTAAATATAGGAATGTCGGCTATAACAATCTCGTGTCAAGTAAGCAACCAGCCCAAAAGAATCCTACTAGGAAATCGCTTAACTGTTCAAATTCCAATTTCAGGATTACCAAGATTTGATTGATCGCGGCTGGAGGCGGTATGACGCTTCAAACTACGCTATTTGTTGTAAACGATTATTGAATTTTTATTCTTCAAAGGTCTGGAAAGTATCTCTACAAGCCAAATCTAGCTGAAAGGTGGGCCCAAAACGAACCTTCATACTCAAGGATGATGACTCACCAGTACCTCCGTTTCTCAAAAGTTGTTGTGCTTGCTATACCATCAGACTGGATGTCAACAAATATCAACAATCCAAATCACACAAGAAGGCATTGCGCAAAGTTCACAAGTATTTGTATGAAGATGTACAAGAGGCTACTGCAGAAGATGAATACGGCAACCCCATCAAGAAGGAGGACGACAAGGTGGAAGCGAAGCCCGTGGAAGAAGTCATGCTTGTTGTCGCAGAGACGTCGTCAGGGTGCGCTGGACTGTAGCAATCATACAGTTACATCGTTGGACTTTTTTGCTCAACATCTTCTTCACGAATCGTTAGGGGCAAGAAACGTAAAAGTTCTAGTATCAACCAACAACAAGAACGCAAGAAGAAACCGATACCCATGAATGCCAGATCACTGCTTGAGGACAATGAGATCAACGGTGATGCACATACACTGAAGGTACTGCTTCCTTCAAAACCGTCAAGAGGTTCAGTCACAATATGTTGCTTACTCCTTTTTCCGTCTCTAGGTGGTGTTATCACACGCAGCGTTCGAAATGGACACATATCAACTATACCGAAAGTACCAAATCGCCATACATAAAGACGAACCATCTAAATTGACTGAAAGTTCGTTCAATAACTTCTTAGTCGAGTCGCCTATCAAGGTAGACGAACTCTTATATGTTTACATTTGTTGCGCAAACGCTTACAACAAAAGTCACAATTTGCCAACACAATACACGTTTCTAGTTTGAGCCACCAGCATCACCAAGCTTGCCAGGATACGGTAGCTTCCACCAGAAATACTACCTTGATGACACATTAATTGCAGTTGCAGTCATTGATATACTCCCGTCTTGTGTATCCTCCGTCTATCTGATGTATGATCCAGATTATGCATTCCTTGGTGTGGGGATTTACAGTGCAGTACGAGAGTTGGCATTTGCCAAGACTATGCATGCTAGTTTGCCTGATCTGCATTATTATTACATGGGTGGGTTTACGGTGAAGTGCTGACTGGTGATTTCAACACAATTGCCGGAACAATGTGGTCGTTTTTTTCTGCATTGTTTTTGACTTGATCTTCTGAAATCTTGTTAGGTTTCTATATACATACATGCACGAAAATGAGATACAAGGGTAATTATCGACCGTCGGATTTGCTGTGTCCGGTGAGGTTGCTTTGCTTGCAAATATTAATCTCTCTCCACTATTTCCATTTTTTGCTTCCGCCATCGACCAAACCACTTATATCTTATAGCACCTGTACTAATAGGATCAATTCGTATGGGTACCACTAGACAGATGTCTACCCGAACTGGAAAAGACAAAGTATGTCAAACTATCGACTTTATTAACTGCAGAAGAAATGGCTGCTCAGACACCACAACCATTGGATGCACCAATATTGGATGATGATGTGGATAGAATCAAACTGATGGTTAAGGGACATGGTGTGCTTCTGCTTGGGGTAAGAGATTTTCAATATGCCACTATGATTGATATTTTGACAAAGGTTTTTCTGGCTGTACGCTTTCATTAGCACACGAATATCAGAGATATTAAGGAGTATAGGAAAATGTTTACGGAAGCACTTAAGCTGCTTGGACCTGCTGTTTCGAGAAGGTTGATTGTGCAATCTTGAGTTTGCTGAACCTTGACATTTTAATGTGGGCAAGCACTTGCTTATTGTAATTTGTACAGTTTCATTAACAAGATCTGATACAACACGACGATCCTTTGGTGGGTTTGTTGTAAAAATAAAGAAGCTACGATTTTTTGCAAGGCTTGGTTGCTCAATTCCAATCGCATGAGTGTCAAGAGTTGATTGATGAGGCTAAAGGCGGTATGAAGCTACTTCAAAGAGCCCAATTCATCATAATATATATTGAATATGCTGCTTTTTGACAGGTCTCAGAGGTATACGCTACCAGCCAAATCAAGTTTGGAAGGGTCGACCAAAACGATCTTTGATACTCTAATGTCGTGACCTCGATTTCCCAAAATATGCTGTGCTCACTATACCGTCAGATTGGATGTCGACAAATACCAGCAATCCAAATCCCACGAAAAGACATTGCGCCAAAGTACACAAGTAACCTGAACGAAGATACGGGAGGCTATTGAAGAATCACAATATCGCAATGAGAAAGGTTGAGGAGAAAACTCGTGGTGGAAGTCAAGCGTGTTGTCGCTGATGCATTTGTCAGGGTGCTGTGAAACGACTACGTTAGTCAATATAATTGAGGGGGGTTTTGCTCAACCTTGATTCACAAGAACGTTAAAGGCGTAAGGAACAGCCAACGGCAAAGAACCCCAGAAGAACCCGATAACCAGGAATGCCAAATCACTAGTGGATGACATTGAGATTACGAGTAATGTACATATCCTAAAGGTACATAAGAAGTAGGCTCGAATCCATCACGTTCGCAATGTGCGCAATGAATTCATATCTTCTTGTCCCCTCTTCAGGTTGTACCATCACACGGCAGATTCGAAAAGAACATTGCATCAACCACCAAATCGCTCAACGCAAACACAAAGCGTCTCTCAATTCGCTGCGAGTAGGGTTGCCTATCAAGGTATGCAAAGTCTCGTATGTTTTGCATGTTTTGGCAGTCATCGAAAAAAAAACCAACTGGTTATAGGATACATTTTTAGATCGAGCCACCCGCAACACCAAACTTACGAGGATGCGGTAGCTTTCACCAGAAATACTTTCTTAATGACACATCAATTGCAGTTATAGTCATTAAGATACTACCATCCTGCGTATGGTTGGTTTACCTGATGTATCAAAAGATCATGCATTCCTCGGTGTGTGGGGATTTGACTGCAGTGCTAGAGTTGGCAACCCACGACTTTGAATGACAATTTCTCCGTTTTGCATTATGATTGTATGGGTGTTTTCTCATCCAAGTGCTGGATGATGCGCCATCTGTAAGATAGTCTTTTTTTTGTCGATTGATTTCATTTCTCCCTTTGTGGTCACATTTTGTATTGCAACACCTCGTTACGCTCTCGATGCAGACGTTCTCGGAAGTGAGATACAAGTGTGTTTAACCACCATCGCGTTTACCATGTCTGGTGTGTTTGAGCTGTTTTGGAACCATCGATGCCCAGTCCACGTCTTCCGGCTTTTGGTCCACCAACTAAACAAACCGCTCGAGCACTCACAACCACAAAACTCGGATGGGCAACACTACATGGAGGTCTACTGGGACTGGAAAAGTCAAAGTATGTCAGACTATCGACATTGTCAACTCTGACGCTGTCAACAATATCATTGGATGCATCGATTTCGATTTATCAAGTCAGTAGAATGAAGCTGAAGCGGTTGGGTGACGGACTGTGTGTGCTGCTGTTGGGATGAGAAAACGGTTGAATGGACTGCATGGGTTTACATACGGTTGAAGCTTTTTTTGTCTCACCAGAGCTTCAACATTTGAGATATCATGACGATTATTGAGAAGGACTTAAACAGCTTGGTTCTGATGTTTCTAGACAATCGATTGTGTATTCGTACTTATGACGTTTGGGTTCGTAAGATGAGCAGACACAGGCACTCGTTGTAACTTGTACAAATCGATAAGTAAACAGATATGATACATTATCCGCCCTGGTGGTTTGTTTTTCTTGTTCGCGGAGCTCAAAAAAATGCACAAAATAACCAAACGAAAAAGATGCGCACCGCTTGCCGTGGGGAGGTATATATATGACAAGTGGCAAGCTTTTGTGATACAAATCATTACTACAGAAAAAACAATCAAATTCCAACACTTTGATGCAGTGATTGCTGAATGTCTGAGTTGTCAACATGATCTGCTTCATCTTCGGCTCTAACTCGGTATACAGTGATTTCCTAGTTTAAATCAATATTAATTGTTAGGAACTGGGCCAAGGTAAAAAGTCGACCAAGCGATTGCTGATAATGAGTTTCACCTGTTGTTTGAAGTATCGCCTATTCTCTTCATCCACCAGTACGAGATTGAGATAGTATCGTGTCGAGAATTTCTTGTTGACGTCTCGATAGGTGGGTGTCAGTTCAAATCCACTCAAAAAGAGTCGTATTGGTATTGTTTCTCCTGTAAAGTTGTAGGAAAGTGTGAGATTGGTCAGGTGATGAGGCTGCAAATATCATTCTAAGATTGATCATACCTCGAACTGGGGCTCCATCCATGATTTCAAACTTTGTTATTGTTTCACTTTCATTGTATTGATTTGGTGCTGTGCGGGAAAAAGCCGACGAAAGTGAATCAAAGGGATTGAACCGAAAGCTAATGTTCGCCAACCACTCCACGATACACAACTTACGTGCTCCTGTAGTTTCTCTTCTTATAATGGATAACTCCATATGTTTGATTTTGATGCGAACCAATAAAAAATAGATTTTACCAACAATGACGTCTCGCAAATGGTATCTGGATTTGCAAAAAAGAGTGAGAAATGATTACCCATTACGTGTCTTTCAATAAGACCAACACTCTCTAACACATACTTGTTCTTGTTGTATTCGAATTCGATATGCAAGCAGTCTTCAATTCCGACTTCCATTTTGATTGAATTGTTTGATTCTGGTGGCATACGATACGAGTATACCCATAAATCCTTTTCCTTAACGATACTTCCAATCCTACGTCCAACAGTCACTCGTACCAGATACCTGTGCAAGTGGTTTTTAGAGTGAGTAAGAATTTGAGTAGAAAAAAAAGGAAGATCAGAGGCAATAATGGGAATTCTTGTATACCTCAGTTTGACATTGATTCCAAAGTAGGATTCATATTGCTTTTCGACATTTTTGAATTCAAAGTCAAAAGTAGCACTTTGCCGTAACTCGCCGGGAGCAGCTAATTCTTGAGCCATGGATAGGAATTCGTAGTGGTTTCCTCGATCATAAAATAGTTCTAGTGTAGATGGAGGGTGTGAGTAGCGTGAATTCAAGTTCCAACATAGTTCACGAGGCGATAATCTATATGTATCAAAGTTTTAATGACTCACCGATGTGACCCACAAACTCTATTTTGATTCCCTGATGTTCAATCTTCTTGCCATCACGCACACGTACTTGGACCTAGTGGCATTGTACACGAATCATCAAACCAATGATGTTTGAATGTTGAATGTGGTCTTAACCAGTGTACAAGTACCTTTCCAATGACAGATTCGCCATCGAAATACAGGGGATATTTAGCCTTTTTGTCCTTGTCGACCTTGACCTCTACGAGTTTCCTCTGGTCGTCTCCTTGAAGTGCAATTTCAATATCAGCGGAAGCACCTAATCCAAAGAGAGCCTAATAAAGGAGAAGCAATTTGTTAGAATGCTATGTCGACAATATAAATATTTTGAAGTGACTTACGGCCATTATCTTCCTTCTGTCTCGAGCGGTTTGGACTTTATGGAGTTTTGAGCAAATACCGAGAATAGAGTTATAAAGTCAAGAAAGGGTGACAGTCGTGAGGTGATATTGTATCTTACAAATCGATTGACGCGTTCCAATTGCTTGGATGTTGAAAAATCACGTCAATTTGAACCAAATTCGACAATGAACAAGTACTGTTTCTTTGGACAAACCAAGGCAAGCCATTTCCACGCTTCCACGCGTCAATAGGCGTATACTGTACACTGAACCATGCTACTCAATAGAAGTAGCTCCATGTTGGCATCCTTTGTTTCAACACTTGCTCGAGACAAAGGAGAACTTGGAACTTGATGAGGATGGAGTGTTGTCCAAGATTGCGGTGGCTACACGGGCTGTCGACACTTTTAATATTATGGGCAATTCAAGGTATGTCCGGATCCTTTCAATACTTTGTATTTACGCCCAGTGTTCTGACAGGCCCTTCTTCAGTCAACGGACAGTCTAGTTTATATCTGGAATCATCATTCTACCAGGGACTGCCATCTCTTTCTCCCTGTACAAGGATCCTTAATGCGTCGCAGTCGATTGGTTGTCAAGGTGGGAACCAACAGACATTGAAAATGTGTTTGGACTTTGTCCAAAAGCACGATCGTTCTGACGTGATCCCTTTCATCTCATCAAGCTGGAGCCGCGTCTGGTGTATTATACGCTATTACAAGCACCGAAGATGTCGCTGCTTTCATAGACAGTGCACCTTCGGCACTGGCAAACTATGTACTAGTGATGCCACCCTCGCTACTACAAAGGCATGACAATCTGGAATTGTAACAGAATAGACGGACAGTAACTGACATGCTCATCTCACTAGTTTGAGTGCTTTGGCTGCCACCGGTCGAATGGCTGGTGTCATTGTATCGCAGGACACAATCTTGTTTCCAAACTCCCAGCCAGCTGCTTTCTCGCCGGATAGTACAACGCCCAACTATCAGTATGGGCTGTATGCAAACTCGACTAGCGCGCCGGTTATATGGAATCCCAACGTAAGAATCGCCTACAATTGGGCTTGTATTAGAAGTGCTACATTGACCTCATTTTTTGCCTTCGCAGGGAAACTCATTGATCTACCAAGTAACGCACTTACACACTATTCGCAAGAGCCGACAGACACAACTAAATCGGCACCTTTTGTAGAACTACCCATACCCAATCTTTGGGGGCTATCCGTTCGACACGTCATCGCAAACAACATTAGCAACACTGCGCGAAGCAGGTAACTTTATTGCAGACATTGCTTTTAGGTGTATTGATATCTCTAATCCCAATACATTCGGTAGTCCTGTCGAACAAGGCCAAAGGTTATAACCAATATCCTCTGTATTCTGCAGAGTTTGATGCATTCATGTGGGCCGCCGTGGACTCGAGGACTTGCTTGAGAAGAAGTACGCTTTGCTTGATGTTGTAGTCGAGTGCCAATACCACTTCCTAGCGTCTCTTCGTCTCTTCTGCCATTATGCATTGAGAACCTTGCATCTTGAGGAGCATTTCCAAAACCTACTTCATTATAGGTTGGTGCGATCCTATAGGTGGACTCTCAGTGTGGTCTACACTCTCCACAAATCTCGCTAGCAATGACGGCAAACCCATAATCGTCGTCGCCAGCAAAATCGATGGTGATGCCTTCTTTCATGATCTGGCATGGGGTGTAGAGTCTACATTGTCTGGTATGATTACGGAACTGGCTGTCATTGATGCTCTTCGCAGGGTAAGCAAAAAACTTTTTATTGAGAACCAAAAACGACGCTTAGCTTCGATTCAAACCATCTGTCGATAGTCAACGACGTCTCTGACAACTCTACCTAAACATATCGTGTTTACATTCTTCAACGCTGAAAATTTCGGGTTGGCGGGATCCCAACGATTCGTACAAGACATATCGTCAACCTTTTCTTGCACCACATCACCACCATCAGGGACAACAGGTGGAACGACCGGATGCTATACTCCAGATGGAATACAAGCGGCATGCTGGAATCCATGCTTTGCCCATTCACAATTCACGAGAATCAATTTTAACAATATCGAATCCGTAATTGAATTGGGCCAAGTATCATCTGCTGCTAGCACTACCGGTAATGGGACTAGTTTAAACTTTTACTTGCATTCTGATGATGAGAATGCAGATAATTTGGCACTCAAGACTCGATGGTCGAGTACGTTTAGCCAGCCGGGATACAATGGTGGTGCTCTGCCAGTTACGATACAGAATGCGGTAGTAGCGGGCAGCGTTAGCAAGAGACTGCCACCTTCTAGTGCTATGGCTTTCTTGCAAAAGAAGAGAATACCGGCCATGGTTATTTCAGATTTTCAATCACAGTTTTCCAACCCGTATGTTGGCATACTCGGAAGCTTATCTCGTCAATTCACGCTAATCGATCTATACATTGGACAGATTCTACAACTCTGAATATGACACAAATACAAGGCTATCCAATATCAACATTACATCGTTGTGTGCTATAGCCAATGTCACAGCAAAGTCACTATGGGGACTAGCTTCTAATGATGGAGTAGCTCTGCCATCTAGTGTGGTTGTGAATTGTTCATTTGTAAGTAACGCAAAGCAAACGATCGTATGGATGCATTGGCTTATGTTTTTTGTTGTGGGAATATCAATGTAGGTGGCTGAATTGGTGTCTTGTTTGGCTGGCAACTTTTCTTGTCCATTGATACATGGCTTAATTGGAGGTATGATGGAGAATGAAAAACATTGTACGACAGACACTGCGTCCTTGCGATGAATATTTCGTTTTTTTTTTATAGCTACTGGAGTTGCCCATGTCTCCAATTATCCCAGTGTCTTTGCGGTAAGCCCTGCTGTTCGCCGCACAAGCTCTTGTCTGAATTCGCATTAACCGTTTCACACTCTTACGCAGTACGACAATCCATCAGCCTATACTCGTTTCCTAAAGAGTCTAGTTGCTACCATCACTGGAACACCGGGAGTGAATTGTTCATCAGATGCTGATTGCACTCAACCGGTATGTGCCTAGTCGAGTATAACTGGTTATCGACCCGCCCCTGATCATCATTCTTGTTCCAACAGACTGGAATGTGTGTATCTTCAACATGCATATCTTCTCAGACATTCTATCACTACGCGTTCGGTACAGGCATAAAATTCAACGCTGATGCTTCCGTTTGGGAGGTAACTGATTCGACAAAGGGAACTTGGGTTGAAAGCAGGTAAGCCTGAGCATTTGCTCCAGTCGATCATGCAGTCTTACACTTTTTTGCATAGATGGTATAGCACGAGGTCGAGACTGCTTCTTGTGTCTGCACCTTCGATACAGATTGTACAAGTAGTGGTTGGTGTCTTGCTGACTCTCATAACGCTAGGAATCGCATTGTATTTAGAACGGACACTATTGAGCAAGTTATAATAATGTAATAGCATTTGTACGCATTCTTCATATTATATAGTTTGTTGGGTTTTGAGAAGTGTTTCGAATGGCTGGGTAGCGTCTGGTCAAAACACAGAATTGTTGCAAAAGGTTGGAAGCTTTTGGTCAAAAGTACCAGAGATTCTAAAAAGACACATACATATAGCAATACAGTAGAACATTATATTCAGGAGCAATTATACTAGAAGCAATGCTATATAATCCCTCGTTCCGACGCTGGCTGTGCTTTCGTCGTTTTAACTGGGGAAGGCACAAACGTAGCCTGCCAAACCTTTCCCTCTACCTTCCTCTCCCCCACAACCCTCGCCCCCGTAGCCTTCAACGCCTTTTGGGTCGCAGCAACAACTTCCGGATGCCCGCTACGCCCTTTAACACAATCCACTGTAACTTCAACCCTCAACCCCCTCCCCAGGAAATCTCTAGCCTTTTTCAACTTGATTTCTAAATCATGCGGTGATATCGTGGCTCGTATCTCAATCTCTTTGGTCTGTATTGGTGATGCACCTGCTGCAGATGGTTGCTGTTGTTGCGGTTTTGGTTTTATGGGTTCCTTTATCTTTATACGTGCTACGGGCGGCGATGATGTAGATGATACCATGACGAGATCGAATGTGTTGCGGTCGTAGGATTGTAGGGCTTCTTGAAGGGACATTACGCCTAGTTTGGCACCGTCGAGGCCTATTACAAGGAGTGATGGGTGCGGTATGGCTTCGTTGCGTGGAGGGGTAAGGTCGTTGTTTGGTGTATTCCATGATGATGATGATGAGGCGTAGGCTCGATTTATTGTCTCGTAGTCGATGATGTGTCCTGGAATCAGACTCGGTTGTATTATTGATGATCTGACGTTTTGGGATGCAGTGGCACGGTGTATCAGTGCATTCTGACAATATAGTAGTAGTGCTCGTGTACGTAACATTGCTAAACATAGAAAAGACCAACAAAAAGGGAGTCGGTTACTAGTAAATTACATTTTTTGATGTTGCAGTTTTCAAGCACTTGTGGGTATCTGAACGTGGAATACACGTCAAGACTGATCTTAATAGCTTCAAATTGCAACAATCTACTTGCTTTCTGTTCAGATCCTCTATTGGCTCACCTTCACAATCTCAACAATAAAACAAAAGATGCAGACACCGTCCCCGTCAAGAAGCAAGGCAAGCTTGAGGCTTCAAACACCAATATACAGGGCTCCGTCTCTAATATCGTCGTCAGCCTCGCCAAAGAAAAGACTGCCTCCGTCTCCAGCTAAACAATCACCACGGAGAACTACCTTATCAAGGACACCATCACCAGAGAGGCAAGAACGAGTCAGTCAAGATTTACGCAAAGTAAGTTATATTACAAGGAGCTCATTCATGCATCGGAACTGCAATTAAACATTGTGTTTTGGTTAGCATGCAAACGCATTGAAACACGACGACCAATATTACGAAGATCTGAGGGATTTCAGGGATGCGTATGCTGGTTTATTCGTCAGTGACGGTGCTACGTAAGCTGCATCTCCAACTACCTTCAAGTATGCAAATCATGACGCTGCAGTGGTTTGATAGGATTCCAGACCTGCCAGAATCAATGCCACCGTGGAAGGATCCAGCTTTGGAGGATGACGACTCGGTATCCCTGGATGATCGTTATATATGTAAGACCCGACTTGGCTCACTTTGGACCGTTTGATCAACACTCAACTGAACCATTTATAGACAGCGGATTCTTTCGAGTCAACGAACGGTTACAACCTGTTCCAAGTAAACGGCCCGCGCCTGTAAACTTGGATGCCTACAAGGAAGAAGTAGTGACGAGGGCGCGCGATTACCTTGATGATGATCTGATGGTCAAGTACGTATTTTTGTCTTGTTTGAGAATCATTCCCAGCTCACGGGTATTTCTGGCACTAGAGTCAGCATTCCTTCCAATTTCGTGGATCAGAGCAAGCGGATTTTTGTGTCGCATCGACGTAGATCCTTTGATCCGGCTGATAGTGTTAATATTGAATCGGTGAGTGTTGGTGTTTCGAATGTTTATAAGCTCGCAATGTCTAATCCACGTTTCTACCTCTAGTTCTTGCTACGGGGCATGGAATACGCTAATTAGCTGTGTTTGTTTTGTTCAGTGTTTGGGATGTGGTTATTCAGGACTCGTGTTTGACGCGCTTTTCGCGTATCTCTATACTGGATATTCTGGATACTGTATACTATATATATATCTTGAAAATAATTATTATTTCGTAGATAGTCGGAATAACTCATAAGTCTTGTTCGCTGTTGCGGGTTTCAAAAAGCTCCAGACATTAAGCTTTAGAAATGGCAGACAATGAGGGAGAATCTGTTGCGATGGCATCATCTAGTGCTCAGAATGAGACAGAGGAAGATATGCGAGCGCGGCATCGCAAGGAAGTCAAGGATTTGGCTGGAAGGACAACATCGTTGAAAAAGAGTGTTGGCAAAGGAGCTAGTTCTGCCAAAAAGAAGAAGGAAGTCTTGGAAGAAATAGCGAAACTAGGTACGAATTCAATTATTTTAGTGGCAAGTTTGTTTTGCAGTCCTGTTGGGAAGGAAAGAGATCAACAATCATACGCAACTCAGCGTTTACTCGTTTCTTTTGTAGAGCAAGAACTAGAATCACGTCACGAATCGGAATTGAATGCTCTCCTCGCATCGTCGTCGTCTTTATCTAAACCAGACGAACAGCCAATTGCAGTATGTTAATGTTGTGACTATGTTTTTTGCTCGACTCATATCCATTTTCCTTGCAGGAACCTGACGCAGATCTTGAATCACGTATGGACAACCTTCAAGTGTCGCCCGATGCACCGTCAGCATCAGAATCTCGATCAAAGAAACCAAACCGACAACAGCTTCGAAAGGTTTGCGTCCTGCTCAAGAACGTCACTCAGCAACGCAATATTGAACGTATTATAACGTTTCATAGGAAAAGAAGCAAGCTAAATTTGAAGAAGACAGGGCTCAAGCTTTGAAGGAAGCAGCTGATGCACCCAATCTTCGAGAAGTTGAAGATGCTGCAATATCGAAAGCTTTACAGCCTATGGGGTTGACAATTAAACACGTAAGTCCCCCGCCTAGATGGTTCATTCTGTTTCATTTCATCTAATCATGCTTGCGTAGATAATGCCTGACGGTCACTGGTCAGTCCACGTAGTTATTCCAGCTTTTTTGCGGTTTGATTCATACCACATATTTTCCATCGATTTTAGTCTGTATAATGCCATCTCGGATCAAATGGCATGGCGACGAGAGGATTCTGCTGTGGTACAGAGTTGCATCATCCAAAGTTGGAACACCTACCTGACTTCCGAAAGTAACGAAAATATTCATCGCTTGTTAGCCTGCTGCAGACATGAGAAGAACAGCTGCATCTTATTTACGCACCCACCAGGATGCCTTTGCTCCCTTCCTTTTGAGCGACGAAGGGGAGATGATGACGGAAGGTATTGATTGGAAATATCGACCCTTTTGCCTACAGTATTGATCAACACTAACCATTGATTTAGGTGAATTCCAACAGTATTGCGATGATATAGAGCAAAAGCCCGTATGGGGAGGTCAATTGGAGGTACCGTTGTAGTGGTGACCGTTGCTCAATTCCATGTGGTCATCGACCCTTCTCCTTTGAACAAACAGATTCAGGCTATATCAGCAGCCTTGTCAAGACCTATCCACGTCGTTCAAATGAACCAGCCAGTAATGGTTATCGGCGAAGAGTTTGCATCATTTGAACCTTTGATTATTTCGTAAGTATATGTTTGCAGAGGTGTTTATTTATTATTTATTTATCAAAAGAAATGATTATTAGATACCATAGGCACATGTATGGCCTCGGAGAGCACTATAATTCATGCAGACCTATATAGGTATATCTTGCTCCCACCATTTTTTCTGGATGGCTTTCAGCTCATATCTGTGCCGCTCTAGCACCTTTGGCCTTAGATGCTCTGGAATCACTAGAGATTCTAAATCTTCCGTCAATGTTGACGTTCCTATAAAAACTCATTGTAAGATTTCAAACATGTTTGCACATAGGTCTTTGAATCCATACTTGTTATGACATCCACAAACGTTCGTGTTTCAGCCGCTTTGGCGAGTAATTCCTTTTCATCTGTAAAAGATCTCGATGCATACTCTTTTCTAAACTCGTCCCATTTCTCATTGGCATCGCTAACGTGCAAATCGCAACCGTAATGTATGCCTTCTTCGTTACTGATTCGATCTGATACACGAATAGCCGATTTTCGTAAGGCAGATAAAACGGTATGTTCGATCTCTTGTTGAGTTGGTTCGGGTATGTCGAGTACCACCACAGTAGCAGATTCAGCCGCATCAGGTCCCTGGCGTTGTGGAGAATTCGCTCTACTTCTGGATCTAGATCGGTATCCTCTGAAATGTTTCTGGATTGTGCGTGCGGATTCTTCTTTGACGTCGTTGAGTGATGAGTTTTTCAATTTAATTAAGAGTCGTTCCCTGGCAGAGAGAGACTTTCCAATCCTGTTCAGGAAAGAAATGATAGTTTTAGTATGATATAAAGCTGATCCAGCTGGTCTTAATATCGCAACGGGTGTGATCATATACATTACCTCCTTAGATCATCACTTGCTTGCAATCGCTCAACGTGTGCCTTTACGAGGGGAATTATACGCTTCCGATCAATATACCCTCTATAATATGATTGAATTTTGGTGGCGGCATCTCTTGGCTCCATTGTATCTGATGTGCTAACTGGTTTCGAAAGACAACGGTGAACATCTACTATGAAGAACATGCCACGGCCTGACTGACGCTTCTTTGAAACTCAAATCATCGTTTTAATGGATATATGAGATTCGCCAATATTAAATAGATGGTAAAGTACACCTGGTAGTCTCAGCAGAATTTCAAAGTCACCGAGATCTCAACTGTTCGCATTGCTTGCGTATAAAAGGGTGATGAGCAACATCTTTGATAGATGCGCGTTTATGAGGTTCATATGCCAGTGTGATGTTCAGCAAGTCCCTCAAGCCTAAAGAACCATTCGTCAGGCAAAACAATCGTATCTGAAGTCTGGATATTTCGTACCTTCGTCGATATCAACAGGCAACTTGTAAACTCCACGAACTATCTCTGCTTTCGAATTGAATGGGTTTTCACCGAATATGATGGTGTATAGCAACACTCCAAGACACCTAGAAAACGTGGTTAAATGTTAATTCATGTTCGTCCTGATCACAAATTCTTCTCGAGCTCACCAAACTTCAGCTTCCGGTCCACGATACGCATACCCTCTTGCAATCTCGGGTGAAGCGAAATGTGCAGTCCCATTGAAACTCTTGAAATAACCGTTTTCTGTAGTGGGTATATACGATGCTGATCCAAAATCAATAATTTTGATATTGTAATCGGCATCGATGACAATATTCTCATCTTTGAGATCTCTGTGAACGATGTGGTACTTGTCCATGTATTCTACGGCCAGCACGATTTGCGAGAATATCTTTATAGCTATTGGTATTGGCAGCTTGCCGTGAGCATCTGTAACGAGAGAGGGGTGAGCTGGCTCACAATGGAGTCATGAGACCGTCGCGTTCTTTCTCTCACCGATACACTCAAACAAATCACACGAAGTTCGTCTCTTGATTTGCTTTTCTTGCTCCTCCGTCAATCGAAACAGCGGCGAGCATTCGACAATGGCGTTAGCAGGTTTAGAATTGCCAAGCGGTTTCTTCTTTTCTGGTACAGCATTCTTTGTTGGATCAAGTACTGTAGGATCCCACTGCGTTCCAAACAGCTCGGTCACCAGGATTATGTGCACTTCTTCCACATAATGATCGTAGTATGGGATGATGTTTGCGTGGTGTAGTGACTTTAGGATGACTATTTCTGAGGGCAACATGCCGTCCTTTGTCATGGTGTAGAAATCTTTGGGTAATTTCTTCCGTATTATGAATTTCACTGCAACCTAAGAGTTCTTTCTTGTCAGCCGTGATATCCACATGATGAAACAAGGCTTGCAGTACCTCTTTCTGATCTATTTTCCGTGTGGCGGACAAAACAAATCCGAAGGCACCATCTCCCAGCAACTCACCAACAGCATACTTGGCTTCAAAATCTTTCGGAAGTTTTGTCGTCCCATTCATAATCTTGAGGACTTCTAAATGTCTGGCATCGCGTTCTTCATCGTCACCATTATCAGAATTGTTTGAAACCGAAAACGATGATGAGCTTGTGGATGTAATTGAGCTTGGTGATATGGGATCTCGGGGAGCCATAGAGGCGGCAGCGGGTATCAACAGCTTTTTGGGCTCATTGGTTGGTAAGGTATGGGCTGGTCTTGGTGGGTGTTTACTACTAGTGTTCTTGGATACTTGTTCTGATGTCGATGACAATTTCTTCACCAAGGGAGGCGGCGGAGGTGATTTCAATGGCGGTGGCGGTATCCTTGACCTGGAAGCTACAGGCTGCACAGGAGCAACAACTTCACCACGTTCAGCAGCTGGAGCTATTCCATCGATGGGAGCAGATTCCACAGGTCCTTTCTGCACTGGAGCCTTTATAGCAGCATTAGATGCAGCAGCTAATGCATCGATTTTGGCTGCTTCAACAGCACCCTTCCTTCCAAAATGCGATAATAGTGACCGTCTCTTTTTCAATGTAGCTGCTGGCTTATCCGTCGACAAGGTCGTAGTAGCATCAGATCCAGATTGTGCACGTCCCTTCCTCTCACTCTTCTTGTTATTACTTGCCAAAAATTGGGCATGAATTTTCTGATCTTGTTGATCTCGATCTTGCCGCCAAGGGTTAGACAGGAATGAAGGAGCACCAGAGGGAGTGGTATTCAAAAGCGCTTGCTTGGATGAGTTCAATCCTGAATTGGCTATTTGATTTGAGCCCTTGGTTGATGGTTGGCCATGGAAGAGGGTGGCGAAAAGTGTTATTTGTGGTCGGTTTGTCGTTCTTGAATGAGCTGGAGCTGGCTTCGAGGCCATGGTGCTCAATTTTGCAGTCCTGGTCGCGTCTTTAGAGTCCGGCATGAGGCTATTATATAATGGGGTTTCGTGGATTTCGAATGAGGTTTAGTTGTTTGTGGTTGACTTGGTGACGACTTCTGAGCAGGACGCAGACGAAAAGAACGACGGTTAGAGCGTGTAAATTAAGAGCTTCTTCACCTCAAATATCTATGATTTGATGAAAGGATAGTAGAGAAAGTGCATCTACTGGTGCGTTGATATGCGCAACACGTCAAAAGACTTCAAAACAAACATTTGTTGAAATACTTGACAAGAATAAAAACTTCATATATTTGAGTACTATGACATTTAACAAAAGATAACGTATAAGGATATGTTATAAAAGCAGGGACCTAAACGAAACTAGACGACCTCATTGCGAACGATCCATGCGTTGCCTCAACAGGGTTTTGGTTGCTGCACTATCAGCTCCACCAGTACCAACACCGCCGTCCCTTAGCAATTTCTAAAACGTATTTTCAAATTAGTAATTACATTGACTGTCAAATACCAACAATCAAAACCACTCACCAAAAAGACTTCTTCGAGGGACGTGTTAGAAATGCTCCAAGCTCTAACAAGCCCATCACTCTTAGAGTCACTTTGCGAGTCCAGATATTTTACAAACGCGGGTATAGCAGGTGTAGAGCTCGGCGGGAATTGGAATATCATGGCTCCAGCTGACTCGTCCTCCAGTATAGCATCAGGTACTTGCGATTGGATCTTTTGCTTGGCCTCTAATACTCGAGACGCATCAGTTACTACCGAGATCCTATATCCAGCTCCATATTTCGTCTTGAGAGCGATCGAAGACCCTATAGCTTTGAGTTGACCACGGGCCATGATACCAATACGATCGGCTAAAACCCAGAGTGAGGATTATTGTTGAAAAAAAGAAACAAAGGTCAAGTAAAATACCTAGGACATCGGCCTCCTCCATACTATGAGTCGTAAGCACGACAACACGGTTCTTTTTAAATTTTTCGATAAACGTCCAAACGTGACGTCGGTTGACAGGATCCATTCCTATTCACATGAGAAAACAGCTGATGATCAAAACTAGCCAAAGGCCGCAGAAACTTGCGATCGAGGATACGTACCAGTGGTGGGCTCATCAAGATACACCTAAGGGTAGACAAAAAAAATTAAAAAACTCTTGATAATATGCATCCAGCACAAAGCATCACCCACCACTTTAGGATCACCGATTGTAGCAATAACCATAGACAGTCTGCGCTTCATTCCACCAGAGTATGACCCAGCTCTTTGGTCAGCAACTTTTAGTAGTCTCACTGCAGTCAATCGGGACTGAACCAGAGCTTCGATAGACTTGGATGGCACACCCTTTAAACCTGGTGGACGAGTCGGTTAGATCAATATCCAAGTAGGCATTGCGAGAGAAAGTAAATGTACCTGCGTATAAACGAATATGTTCTCGAGCAGTAAGATCGTCAAACAAAATATCGTGTTGTGGACAAACACCCATGATGCGACGGATTCGGTGCATCTGGTTTCTCGCGGAAAGGCCGTAAATAAGACAGTCACCGGTTGTAGATGGAGTGAGACCAGATAAGATGTTCTAGTGAGAGTTGACTGTTAGACACTGAGTTCGAATCTTTCAATTTTATAGCACTCACTATACTGGTTGATTTTCCAGCTCCGTTTTGACCTAATTTATACCAAGACATAATCAGAACCATGTACTAATACACCAAGTTGCCTCCCTCAGGTTATATACAGACCTAGCAAGGCAAACACTTCACCCTCTTTAAATGTAAGGCACAAGTCATCAACAGCAATTTTGTCTGTCGTTGACTTGAATCCGAGTGGATTGGTTGGGAAAACCTTGCGAAGATTTACAATCTTAACCGCTGGCCAATAATCTAGTTTACGAAATTTGGTAAGAGACAAGAACTCGACCGCCGCGCAGATCAAAAAAGTACATCAACTTTTATTATACCTTCACTGAGCGTCTGAACTCGCTCTGCAGCAACCGCATCTTCCTCATTGGCAGGAGGTTTGACATCAGCAGTTTTCTTCTTCTCCTTTTCTAGCCATTCTCGAGCTTCAACGCCCTTTCGTTTCCCAGTCTCAATGCCCCAATATGAAGCGAGGAATGGGAAATGCCATGGCAGACTCATTCCAAATTCATTCGGGATGATAGTGTCGAAATACCATGTCAAGAGTGCGTAAAAGGCGATATTCATAAGAAGAAAGTACCACGATTGAACTGGTGCTGGCACGTTTGGAATACTTCCGCCGCCATAAGTCGGCCGTAATTCGATTGGAATGGGGTTCGTCAATGCCGTCAAATTGAACCCCGGTCCTGGAATGTATGTGTTTGTTAAAGAGTCCAAGCGACCTGTCGTATACGTAGTAATATCCAAAAAGATTTTTCCAAAGCTAAATACAAAAAAGGGGTTGAGCTATAGTAGCAATTGAGAAAAATGGATCCAACTAGCATACTTGAAGAATGGGAAAAACATCAATACAATCCAACCAGCAGGACTCGTCGACGCGTCCCACCAGATATATCCAAGCACATTCGTCCCAAACACAAAGCTTTCAAATAGCAATCCAATGACGAATACAAAGATACCGATCAAGACTGCTACACGAGCCTTTCGTACAAAGGTTGTTATGAAGAAGGCAAACATGACCATTCCATCCCCAAACAAGAAGAAGCTTAAAATGCGGACAGTCGTTATTTCTTTGCTCTTAGGCTCCTGCACCATGAAAAAATGGGTAAAACAAACCACACTCACGTAAACCAAAGAACAAAGAAATTAGCATTCCTGAAAGCCGAAAACTTGAGTATCAGGCCAAAAACGACAGTGACCAATGACGCGAGAGCACAGAGCAATGTGTTGGAGAGATACCAACTAATCCAATATATGCTAGAAGACCAAACACGACGGTTACCAATGATGCGAGAGCACAGAGCATATAACGAAAACGAAAATAAATTGCAATAGCAAATTGGCTGAACGAGTTCGGCTTATATTGCCATTTACATACCTTGGTTTCAAACCCATCATCTCCATTCCATGCCTCTGCTTGGCTTCCTTCTCCGACACTATTTGATTCAATACATTGATAAAAATGACCATGACGGAACAGAAGAAGAATACTGGTCCAAGATTCTGGACGATGGAATCAGACAATGTTGATGGGGGGATGACCGGCCAGTCACGAATATCGACACTGATGTTGGCCTTGACTGTAGCCGTTGGATCATTCAAGTTCGTGACTAAGGTTGACAGTTGTCAGATATAAGAGAAGTTGTATCAAAGCTTTTTGCGCATTTCGACCTGAAGCACTTACTTATGGCCTCGTCAATTCCCCTCATAAATCCAGTCAAATCACGTCCAAATATATCACTTCCATTAGATACTTGGGTTGAATTGTACCTGAGATGTAGAAGGATTTGCGTGTGTTGGCCTTGAGCTGTGAATTTGAGTATCTGCGATTAAATAACACTGAAAAAGGTCCGACAGCAACACACCATATTTGATATTGATAATTAGGATTAGGTGTGGGAGAGTAGTTAAACACAATTCCTGCAGAAAAAAGAAGCATTTCAGCCATTGGAGATTTCAAGTATCAATTTCCAATTCAGAACTTACCCCAACTAGTATAATTTGGATGATAGAGAGTAAAGTTATAAATATAGTCTGCATTTGGGACAGGCACAATGTCCATTTGTCGTGCAGGGAAGAAGCCAGGATCTACAATTGAGATTTCGTCAACATTTCCGCGACAGTCTATTTTTAACCTTGGCTCTTCATACCAGAGACAGCACTTTCAATGACCATAGGAACATCGCCCATTCTAGGACCATTGATAGCAGCAAAAGTGGACATAAACCCCGTATATATGGGATCAGCAGGAGTGTACATGATCGTGACGCATGGAGAACCATACGTAGGACCTTGACACCGTTGTATTCCTTGTAAAGGTGCCTGGCCCGGATGTAGATTTGCTTTGCCTTGATTTGCATAATCGGCCTGTTGCAAGACGTAGAGCAGAATCATAAAGACAAAAGGAGCGACCACGAATTGCGAGAGTGTTGATCGAAACCATCGAATCTGTCAGGCAGAAGGAGAAGATATGATGATATGCATTGTTAGTAATCGAAAGGGTGGATTGTGGTTGGCTTATGTTCGAGATCAGCATTGGCCAGATATTCAACAAATGAAGTTAAATGAAATTGCAAGAATGAGCAACATTCCCATCGAATTTGGGCGACACAGGCCATGTACTCTTTCAATCTCTTCATATCGATCCTCTGCGTACCTGTAAAATGGTGTTCCTTCGCAACATGATGCTCAACTGTGACCAAAAGGTCGACAATCCACTCTTTTGGACGATATCGTATCTTCCCAGGTCGTCAATCTCCTCAGCGGGAGAGATGGGACTCGATATCTGAGTGTCTCCATTCAGGGCCATGTTCTTTTACCGTCCTAACTGCAAAACACCAACTTTCTAAAAAGTGTGAAAAATGTCGTCCCTAAACTGACACCCTCGCCAGTGCAAGAATTGTGAACAGGCACAATCATCGAAATTGTTTTTGAATCGTTGTTGATTCAATACCGGTTCGTTCTCGTCCGAGTTGGACGCGTTTCTATCAGTTTGCAGCTCACGATCATCACCCTATTCCTCCCAGGGTCGTATAGAAATGTTACATATGTTTAAAATGCATGACTACACGTCTAAATATATCGAGATCTTTACAAGAACGCATTTTTGTGTTCGTCCAACCATTTCCCAAAAGGCTTTGCTGAGCGACCCAACAAGGACTCGACAGCTCCTTGCCCCATCAATTTCTCCTCATCGCCTTCCTTTGTACGTTCGTCTAGCCAGCTCATAAACTGAGCAACGGGTTGAGGCATTCCAAGACCCACAAATCTAGCCATGTTTTCCTCCTGTGATAGCTTTACGTGTTGAATCTTTCGATTGAGTGCCTTGCTAAACAGAGCAGCAATATCGTCATAGTTCAACAGTTCCGGGCCAAGTATGCGATATTCTCGATTATGCAGCTGTTTATCGTTGAGCAGATGGAAGGTCACAGCAGCTATGTCGTCTGACGACACCCATGCGGCTCTACCATTACCAGTTCCGCTATACATTTTACCATCCTGACGTATGTTTTGCAACAGAGGATTTTGCAAAAAGTTCTCGTCAAACCAAGTAGGCATTAGCACTGCGTATTGAGCTCCAACATCGTCAAGATGTTGCCACACCATTCCTATACGGGGTCCACCTTTGACAAGAGACGATCCACCGACTAGGATAAAGCGTTTGATGTGATGCTTGGTCATGGCCATATCTATGAAATTGTTTAGCAAGGCCTCGGCATTATAATCGTTCGGGGGAACGAGATAGACCTGCGAGATCGAATCGGCCTTCACTTTAGCAAGAATGTCAGGCTTGAATGGAATGTCCCATGAGGAGGTATCAGCCCATTGAAATTCCACTCCTGTACACCAGTCTGGTAAACCGGCTTGACCTTTACGTGATGTTACGATGCATGGCATTGAGGCATCGTGCATAAGTTTAGCGAGACGGAGACCAATCTTTCCTGTTCCTCCGGTTACTAATACTGCCATTTCCTTGTAAGATATTGAGACTCTCTTCTATGATAGATAAGAATTCAGAAATGTTAGATGTTGTGACAAAAGCATCAGATCCTGTTCGACAGATATAAATCATGTCGTTGAATTTCTCAAATTCTCATAGATGTTCATGAGCACGGACCTTATAACGTTATTCTGTTGTCCTCCTCCTCCACTTCTACCAATTTCCAAAAAGTGCCACGTCAGCTTCACCCAGCAACAAATCGGTGATCCTAAGAACAGGATGCCAGTTCCTATGGATGTGGACGCTGTGCCAGGGCGTGCAATGGATCTAGAAGCTGCTCTTGGTGTTGTAAAGGCTCCAACAAGCGAAAATCAGTTGATTCACCAAGCTCTTACAACAATCGACACTGCATTACGAATCCGTCCTCTAAATCCAATATTATCAAGTAATACCCTGACTATAAATGTATTGCTGCCTCACCTTCTAGAGCCAGAACTTGAAGAAATCACATCAGCAACCATCGAATTGTACATTCGAGCAAAGTCATTTGATGAGTTGGTCACCGTCTACTCGGTATAAAGTTAGAATTCATCACATTTGCTGCATTACATACTCACAATTCGTCTCATTAGAGCTTTATTGTCGACGGACTGACAAGCGACAATACAACTTTTCGCGAATTTGCAATTATCGCATTGCAGCAACCTCCATTGAACTCGAAATCCAATTCAACATTCGAACTCGTAAACCCATTCATAAATCCTCTCATAAACTGCCTATGCTTCAAATCCGAAACAATCGCATCTCCTGCTGCCAAAATACTAGTGACATTCGCTCATAACTCGGTCCAAATTCAGGAAGCCATTCTAACGTCAACGGGATTGATAGATATGGTTCATCAGCAAAAGGATTTGGAGGTGCAGTTTAGAGCATTGGCTTTAGCTGTTGAGCTTGGAACTCTGAGCGACGAGAGTTTCGCTTTAGTGGAACAGAGCAAGCTTTTGAATGGTGTATCTGGCTGGCTTGTGCATGCAAATGACTTGTTGGGGACTCTGAATGCTATTGAGCTGTATACTCAGGTAATAATGCCTGCATCCGGCGGTTTTTTGCCTTTTTTGGTGCTGAAGTGGACTACTCTCCATGGAGCATTGATGTACCGCTTGACATACTCAGCCAATCACACGCTCAATTTGCTAGATTGCTACTGATATCGATGCCGGCATTGCATTCTTGGAAAAAAGTGGTGTATTCACTAGATTACTAGAATGGCTACTTCTTCCCGAGACTGAACGACTCATCAAATCATCCATATTGAAATCATGGGGTCGCATCGCTAGTATTCGATTCACTGTAAGTCGTAACGCAAAGTTTTCTGTCAATACAAACTCCCAACATCCGTCTCCTTGTAGGCCCTGTCAGATACAAGCTCTTTCAACCAATACATAGCAACCATCATACAAATCATGAAGGCAGACGAAGAGACACAATTATTTGATACTGCCGTAATTACTGCTGGAAACTTGGGCTCATCTATGGCTGGATTACGACACTTGGGCGAATTATCTGATATTCTTGGCTACTCATATCAAGGTGCACCTATACATCGACGCACTCTTATACTTCAATCAATATCCATATGGCTTTCAACAAAGTAAGCATTCCTCTGCTCAGTTAAAACCCGGTTTTTTTGACCTCGGATTCTCACTTTATTCACCCAAAGGGACGGATCTGATGAAATAGAAACATTGACAAACTCCATCTTTAAATCCGCGCCATCACTAAAACATGTCTTTGCTGATACACGATCTCCAGATGACGAATTAGCACTAGTCGCTTATGACTATCTATCATCGATGAGCATACATGCTTGGGGTGTAACTGAATTGAAGTCTACATTGATTGCTACTCTCTTGACAGACAGGTCAGACTCTCGAAAGCCTGTTTTGGATGCCAAGTTTGCTGTATTGGAAAAACTGGTGCTTGACAAGGCTGGAAACGCAAAGACATCGTTTGCTGCTGCCCAATGGAGCTCAATGGAGGAATACTGGAAGAATGGTCCCTATTGGATTGAGCGAGAGGCTCGAGTTGAATATGCACCAGGTCAATGAAACACTGGAAGAAGAGTCGCCTTTTGTAAAAATTGCTTTATAAAAATCCTTTAAGTCTGATGATTGTTCAACTACTGTATATTACTTTAAGTGCTTTCTATGGTTCAAAATCACAAATCAGAGCATGTCTACATCACTATCCTCTAGATCCTCCTCTGCAACCAACTCTCCTGCTGCTCCACCAACCGAGTGCGACAACTCGCGTCTGACTTCAGGAGATATGGCATAATGTATCTTGTGCTTAATCAACTCCAACAAGGCCTCCTTTTGATCATCCGTCAAGTCAGCTTTATACCTGTACGTTTGTGAATGTAATCAGCGTTATGGCCAGAATCACATCGAACCCAAGAAAAGAGCAGCCACCAAGCATGCATACCTTTGACAAAACACCAACAAGGACTGATGCCACAACACTGGCATATCCCGTTCATCCTTCTTAAACCTCAAGAAGTGAAACACCAGCGCATCCAACACCTTAAACGGCAATGCATACTTTTTATCCAGCAGCACCCGTATAAACAAACTATTAGCACCTGTATATTCCAATTCCGCCAGTTTCAGCAAGCATGCAGCAGAATGCAATGCCGGTATCGATATCTTTGTCAGTACCGACCCAATAATAGCCGCTTCCCTCAACGTACACGTCCCTGATTCACATAACGGCAGCAAGAATCCCTTAAAAAACGCAGCTGGTTTATATAATGCCTTTTTCAATGCATTGTATAAATGGACGTTTAGTTTCTTGGTCTCGGATATCTCGGCTCGGATCCTGTCGAGGAGAAAGACCGAGTAGAAGCGCTGTGCCATGTTTGCTTTTAGGTTTGAGGAGAATATACGGGTTGCTTGGTATGTGGCGTGTGGAGTCCAGGTTTCGGGGTTTGTGAGGAGGAGGATGTCTTCCCAGTTTGAGAGGGTTGGTATTATTTTGAAGGTTTTGGGGAGCTTGCCTGACCTGTATCGTGAGAGAATCATTCCGACCCTGCATGCTGAAGTGTTAGCTTTGAACAGTCGCAAAAAAAATGATCAAGATCACAGTCATGCACACCCATATGCAAAGAACACGCATCTTGACCTACTAAGAACTTACTTGGTGTAGACCTCGACAACTTTAGGATTCAACTGTCCCATTCCTTCCTCTTCACCATCGCCTTCCTCCACCATATCCGTACTTGCAGCCGCCAAAGCAGCCACAACCTGTTTCTCAGCACTAATTTTATCCATGACAGCATCAGCAAGCGCCAACTGCCGTCTTGGTTGCTGACTAGACATAAACTTTTCCAATATAGCTTGATCTGATGCGTCAATCCCTAATTCAGCCTCCGCGTCATCATATGATAGCGGCAGACCACCATCATCCTCTAAATATTCTTCTTCGTCGCTGCTATCTTCTACGACTGGTTGTTGTTTCTTGACCTGTTTTTTACTGTGCTTGCTTGATGTTGATGATATAGCGTGCGGGTTTAGCTCGTCTTGCTGTTCACGGGCTAGCGATAGGATCTTTTGAGATGTTTTTGTATCGATTACGGTTGATTCGTCGGCGTCTTCAATGTCGGCAGCGTCTCGTTGTCTCTGTTTAGATTGTTTGGTTCTTGAATCGTGCCATGTTTCCAAGTTGAATTCTTGGCCGAATGCTTCACGTTCTGGTGCAGTCTTGGGTTTCGTAGGATTGTGTCTGGATGGTAAGCTCTTCTTTTTACTCTTGATTTGAACCATTTTGATATAGCGATCGGTAGGCTGATTTTTTTTCGTCAAGTGTTTTGGAGCAAAAAAAAAAATTGGAGTCAGACGGAGTTGGATTTAAATAGGAGGCTGCTTGCAAACGTCAAGTGACGACACATTACACATCATACTACCGAAAATTTAATTTTAATTAGCAAATATGGCTACAGACTCTCTTCTAGTTCCACAGTGCAAGACTGTGACAAAAACCGTAGATCCTGCCTCATTCACCAACAACAGCAACATATACTCGCAACTACCAGATCATACCAATGACTCGACTGCACCCACCTCTACCCCATCTACCAAAGCAGCCGACATACAGGTCATAAACGAGGCATCAACACTCCTAAAACAAGGACATTTGGTCGCATTCCCAACAGAAACCGTCTATGGACTAGGAGCAAACGCACTAGACCCATCCGCCGTATCCAAAATATACGCAGCAAAAGGACGTCCTTCCGATAACCCACTGATTGTACACATATCATCACTCAAAATGCTGTCCCAGATAATGCCAGAGAACACGGAACTACCGAACGTATATAAAGCTGCTATTGCCAAATACTGGCCTGGGCCTTTAACCATATTGCTGCCACGAGGTCCCAACATACCTGACTCTGTGGTCGCTGGACAGCCGAGTGTTGGTGTTAGGTTTCCATCTCATCCGGTAGCTAGAGCTTTAATTGACGCTTGTGGATTCCCGATTGCTGCTCCGTCTGCAAACACGTCTGGGAGGCCGTCGCCGACACTTGCGGAACATGTAGCGAGTGATTTGGATGGGAGGATACAGCTTGTTGTGGATGGTGGTGCGTGTACCTCTGGAGTCGAGTCTACCGTATTGGATGGCTTGTCGTCGCCACCTGCGATACTACGGCCTGGTGGTGCTACGTATGAAGGACTATGTAATTTGCCTGGATTAGAAGGGCTACGAGTGCATGGTAGAGATTTTAGAGATGTGAAATTAGAGGCTACGCCGACTACTCCGGGAATGAAGTATCGACATTATACTCCTGAATGCCAGGTTGTACTCTTTGAGTCTAGTAGTGGCTCGAGTAGTAAAGTCGAAGCACTCATACAGCACGAAATCACCGAATTCGTTGAGTCTGGACAATCACGGATTGGTATATTACGAACTAGAGACACGCCAATAGTAGTATCAGACTCGGTATCCGGGCTAGCTACTATAGAAGATTATTATCTAGGTAGTAGTCCTGAACAGGTTGCTCACGAACTGTTTAGAGGGTTGCGTGAACTTGAGGCACGCAAAGTACAGGTAATACTAGTTGAGGGCATATCGGACGCTGATGAGGGGCTCGCAGTGATGAATCGTGTAAGGAAGGCTGCTTCTCGAGTCATAACGTGTTAAGCTTCTTTAATATGTAATCTGTATGCATGATGTATTATTTGATATGATGCGGTGGGGGCTCTTGTATAAAAAAGACACGGCAAATATAGATATATAATTTCGGTAGTTGAATCTATGGTGTGGAGCTATCCGTTGACTGGCCAAAGTATGAGTACTCTGAGGTCGTAGGCGACTTGATACCAACTTGTAATCCATCTCCTAGTTTCTGAATACGGACTGACGGTTGGTTTGGATTTATATCTGATGACATGTATCCTGCTTGTTCGTGGTTCTTATCGGTAATGTTGACCCGTTGTTTTTGTGGGCGTGGACCTACTCTACTGTCTTGCTGTTGGTGTCCGTATAAGGCCATTGCTAATTGTCGTACTGGATCAGACGATTGTTCGTATATGCGTTGATGTGGGAGTAGTACGGGTGCTGCTTGGTGTACTGGAGCAGCAGTATGACTGGGTTGTGCGTTAGTGGGATGACTGCTGTTCTTGATTGGTTTTGGTGGAAGGATTGGTGCAGCAACGTTTGGTGCTGGTCCTGGCCTGGCAGCCTGTATAGGCCTTCCAGCATCGAAACTACGTTTACGTTCTTCCGATGTCCTTTGCATCGGGGGTGTTTCAGTACCCTTATAAGCGAAACGTTTGTTTGGTGATGGTGGTGCCCGTGCTGAAGATTGGGCAACAGATTCGACTTCAGTTACATTATCCAAATCAATCTTCTCCTTTGGCACTTGGATGTTCTTTATGCTCAATTTTGCCGCTCGGTTGGATCTTGTAGACCTGACGGATGGGTTTCGAGATGGGAATCGGACGGTTGAAGCGACTACAGCTGGTGATAAGTTCAGAGTCAATACGGGAAGTTCCAAGGGAATGTATGGTAAAGGATCAGTTTGCAGTTCATCGGCTTCTGTTAGGCCCAATTCCAAGTTTGCTTCAGAAGCACGTTGTTTGCGACTCTTTTTACGACTGAATCGTTCGGGTACTGTAGGAACATTGGGTGCTTCCGGATCTTCCATTTGAGAAGCAGGCCGTCGCCCAACTTTAGAAGCAGCTCGTTTCAGACCTTGTAGACCGTCCGACGCTATTTGAGGGATTCTCATACTCAATGCCCTGGCACGTTTAGCACCAGTTTCAGGTACGACTTCAGCGACTTCAGCCTGTACAGCATCATGAGTGGTGGCAGACTCCCAAACATGATCCCACGAGACTTTACGAGGTTCTGCCGATCGAGTGACTCGATCACCATCAAATAGTGTAATTGTAGCTGGCGGCCATGATCGAGTATGCATATTTTCTAAATCTGCTGGTGGTGGCCCTGTACGTAGCATTTCGATGAGTTTGGCACGATAGTATTGGCGTTCTGCGTTTGTCTTTTCCTTTTTGCGTCTTCGACGGACGTCGTATGTACCACCAGCGACAACAAGTACTAGGATGAGTACACCGATAGTTCCGATAATGACTATCAGTTGATATCCTACATTTAGAGGATTTTTGTAGTTTGGGGTATTCCAGTTTGCGTCGATAATGTTGGCAGTGGGTGGATCATACGACGATGTATAGTTGACATATTGAGGTGCCGGTAGAGGTGAAGCCGTTGCCATTTCAGGTTTTTACTTGGATTGCTGTGTAGAATTTGAATGGATGTTAGGTCGTCGCGTGAAGGGTTGAAAAGGCAAATGTGTCTTTACCCAGTCGTTCAAGACCACACATCCAAATCCCAAAGCAAATGGTGAAGCAAAATACAATGAATGGCCTTTCTAAAGCTTAGTGCCTCTCTTCACTAACACACACAACAGTTGGTTGGTGGGTTTGAGTGATTCGAAAACCCACACCCGATTTCTCACACACAGTACAATTTGCAACAGGTCCAACACGTTCTTGTATAGTTTCTGACGCGTCAATACACATATTCCAAGCTTTGAAAAATCTGACGACCGTTCTTTGTCGATTTAATCATGTTCCTTCAATTCCAACTTTTCATTGTTGCAAGTTTTGTGTCAACACACCTCAAGTTGGCTGGCAAGTTAGTGAAATAGACTAGTCCTGTTCTAGATATTGGGTACTGACTCAATTTCTCTAATAGGCTGTTTGTCTTCTCGAGATGGCCTTTCAAATTAGAACTAATAGGGCGTTGACCAGGACATCGCTTGTCGTCCTTGCCCTTCTTTTCGCATATTTACTGATATCCTTCCTGTCGCCGCCTACGCCCATCGACTCAGAATCATCGCTGGATATAGATCCCATAGACGTACTCCACGACAGAAATCCAGATGTGCAAATCCAACCAGGCAAGACAGATCAAACATTTGCAGATGATACGACAGACAGCACCATAGATCGCAAGCCGCCATCAACTACTAAAAGGAGGAAACAGCCTGCGTACAAGAATGTATCGCTTCCTCCTCCTGGAACTGTCGATAAGCCTTGGGAGTATCCAAGTCACTACCCTCCCCTATATAGATTTTTCGCTGTTGCTCTCAAGAGTGGGAGGGATACAGCTCTTATACGAGTGCCGATACAGATGCTCACCTTCCTGAAACGGCTGGATAAGGTCGTTATTATTGGAGAGGCTGGTGGTATTTCGGTTGGGGAGATACCTGTCAAGGATGTATATACCGGTGTATATGAGGACGCTGAAAGGAATCTGGCTGCCAAGAATCTATCGAAACGATGGCTTGTAGATGAGCCTGTACAGTTAGCATTATTCAATCAAAAAAATACCCAACCTGTCATGTACGGCAGTAATTATGACACACTACCACGGTCGAATCGTATTATTGCATGGTGGGATGCTACAAGGACTTATACTATAGATACGACAAAGGACATATTTGAGTGGTGCAGTAGTATACTAGCCATGATGAAAAGTACTAACAGTAGTAGTGACAGTGACAGTTTGACAGGCTCAACTCGTCATGACCTGATACACCAGCAGCAGCCTTGTAATAGGACTTCTCGCCTGAAAAAACGAGCAAAAGCAGATGAGGCTGTAGAAGTGAATAGTGAAGCTCAAGGATGGAAACTAGATGCACATAAAAACTTGCCAGGATTTAGATACCTATATCAATCATATCCGGAAGCCTTGTGGTACTTTATGGTGGACGATGATACCTATATGTTTGTAGACAATCTCGTACGTCTGTTACTACCCTTTGATCCATACGAGCCATACTACTTTGGAGCACATAATTTATTTGTTGGATGTGATGGAGTCAAAACGTTTGATGAGGGCCCACCATTCGCACATGGTGGATCTGGTATAGTCCTGTCTCGAGGAGCCATGCTGAAACTACTAGATGTAGTTGATTCATGCATTATAAAGTATAGAGATTGCTGGGCAGGAGATGTCAGAACAGGTCTATGCATGCGTGACGCAGGCGTCAAACTGCAAGGTATGCCTGGCTTCAACACTGATCCGCCAAACTCGAGATTTGGATGGCCTTCCGCATCATGTAGTAGACCACATACATTCCATCACGTCACCACCAGCCAAATACAACGATTATCGCATGCTGAAGAGCAAGCTATAATACATAATCCTGAACCTGTAGTCACATATGCCGATATATTCAAGGAATTCTCGTCTGATTTGACAATGGTGCCTGGTGTAGAAGTCGATACCAATAGACCAGGAAACGATTACGAAAATTTTTATACAGAGACTGCTGATGCTTGTGAGGCAAGGTGTAAAGCTAGCTCGAAATGCTCTGCGTGGACTTGGGAAGGTGAACAGGGCAAGTGGTGTTGGCTGAAGGATGCCATACCGGCAAGTAAAACAAAGAAGGGGGCCGTGTCTGGTATCATACCGCCTAAAGTACCATCAGAAACTAAATATAAATGTGAATGGGGCACATGATATACATATTTTTGGTAGTGTCTGTTTTGTAGAAAGTATTTACTCCCCCCATCATACATCATTGGTATTCTATATGAACTGCTTTCGTCGTTTCATAATCAAACTTGTGCAAGCGGGCTAGAATAAAAGATTACGTACGGGTCTGAGTCGTATCTCCCCAAACGTTTAGACATCTATCAGAGTTTGATGTCCGCGATGAGAACAAAGGACGCAACAACGAATCTAGATTAATGAAGTATTTGCTCTGCACGGTTTGATTGTTGAATATTAGGTAGGACCAGATGAACCATATATGAACGGTGTCTTGATATCATCTTCAATAAATGCGCAGTGTCGTTCCTTAACAACACCCACAAACCTATTGTGAGCAAGAACAACCAAACGAGAAAGAGAACCCAGATTCTTCAGATTTAGATCCAACCCGATATATTCTAGCAGCCATGGCCTCTATGCGAGACGCAATGAAGCGTCTCCAGGTCATTTACGACGCGTGCTCTCCCGAAGCAATGGAACAAGGAGCAGCAGCCAAATCCATGGACGATTTCACCAGAATACGCAAGAAATTGCATGGAGATTGCAAAACTATACGATCATTGCTCAAGGAACGGGAAATGCTGACTGCTCGAATGGGAACTACAAGCGAAACTGCCGAAGCATCATATCGAATTCGTGTTGCCATTCGATCGCTCAAGGAAGAGCTGGGAAGGATGGATGATATTATGGCTAAAGAGGACAAGAAGGTGAGTTACATATATGGGTCTTCGGCTTTCCTAGATGTTGACTTTTTGATGACCACGTTGATCTCTGATACAGTTTTGATCGTCTCATTTAGAAAAAGCACAAAAATCCCGAAGAATATGCTAAGAGGAAAGAAATCGCTGAGCTATGTCATAAGCACGTTGAAGAAGTTGAAGCTTTGGAAAAGAAAAAGTTTACAGATCGAGTTGGCAGTGATCGGATTGAGCTTATGGCACGTTCTGGTGGTGAGGACCCAGTTTGGAGCTTCAGAGACCCACTGAAACTCGAAGACTGAGATATTAATTGTTTTTAGATGGTGCTAGGTATCGAGGAAACGCTGCACCTGGAGGAGGTGATCCATTCATGGAATCAGACTTGGCACCTATTGATCCTGATGTCGATGAAGATTTCAAGAAGATAAAGGGAAAGAATCAGGATATTGTAAGGCTACTTGCTGAGAGATTGATGCCTCTCGCTGATGTTCACGCCATCGCTCTTTAGGACAACGATTTGGATGTGATTGGCAAAGGAGTGTCCAAACTGAAGGATATCGCCAACGAAATGAATACGGTACATACAGAGACTGCGTTTCGTTAGAATGTCCTGACGATCATACCTAACACGTCAAGTTCGGTTAGGAACTCGACAAGCAAAATGAGATGCTTGATGCCGTTGACACCAAGGTGAACAATGCTTTGGATCACGTTGACAACGTGAATATCAAGATGAAGGTGGCGCTTGAAAAGGTAAGAACGTCGATTTACTTCGTCGTTCGGTCGTGGAATAAGCTCACATAATACTTACAGATGATGAGAGGAGACAAGTTTATGATCAACTGTATCTTACTGTGTGTTTTACTTGCTCTCATCGCCTTTGTGGCCACTGAAGTAAGCCAGTGTTTTAAAAGTAGCTCGTCCAAGATCAGCTCAACTGACGCGTGTTTTTCTTCTAGTTTACTGGAGGCCTTTGAGAACCTGTTTCGGTGTTAATTTTAATTGCCGTATTATTATTGTCCACACCTCGTTTTATAGTTTAAATAAATTCACTCCTCATCCTGCTTAAGCTTTCTTGCTATCTCCCGTTTGTCGCGACGCTGAAGAAGATATCGAGCGATGAAGGGTTTGAGGCTTGCAAGAGGTACTCTCATCTATATCGATTTAAATTGGCACGTATATCAATGCTCTAACACGTTCTCCTATCGTCAAACGTAGGAATAATCTCAAAACATGCGTCGCTCTCTTTCGGCAGTCGGTCAATGTCGAGCAATGCACCACCACGTAAATCTGTATTTCGACGAGCTATCGGCCCATTGTTCAAAGTCGTTGTTGTGACCTCAATCGTCGGCATGGGATATGGTAAATCAAATTGGAACATCAACCATTTGCACTCTAGGAATTCTTAACACGTGCTTGATCAACCCAATGTGGTCAAGATAAGCAATGTGATTCAAACGGATGAGAACTCGCTTGTATCTCATGCTTTTTGCCGCTGATCAAGGGGATCCACGTGCCGAATCCAACCTTTTTGACACTCTATCAATTTGATCTAGCGATTTGGGTAGCTAGACACCCGCCTCCTCAAAAAGAATGGGATCCATCAAAGAAGACTCTGGCAGTGCTAGGCACTGGCTGGGGTGCAACATCATTTCTGAAGCAACTTGATAATGACGATTATAATGTGATAGTCATCTCTCCAAGGAACTTTTTCTTGTTTACTCCATTGCTGCCTTCCTGTACTGTTGGAACAGTCGAACTGAGGTCTGTATAATTTCATACTTAATAGGCTGTCCCTCCCTTACAATCACGACTCAAATTTTACTTTTTTGGAACAACAGGTCTATAATGACACCTATTCGACACTTTACGCGTTTCAAGAGGAGAGCAGTCAAGTTTGTGGAAGGTAGAGGTCCATGACTTCGATACCATCCGACCTTTGTTTCAACTCAATGAATATTCGTCGTCGAGAATAGGTGACTGTGTAGATATTGACCCAACTGCTCAAACTTTGATGATCGAGGACAATTCTGAAGTGAAGGGTGCCACTGCTTCCCAAAAGGTTCGTACGTGGTTTCAGGTCATCCTCAAATTGAACATTAACAGTCAGCTCTTGTGCATAGATCAAGTATGACTATCTCGTAGTGGCCGTAGGAGCTGAGAATGCCACATTCGGTATTGGCTGTTTGCACTGTTAACGATGGTTGCTTGCATTCTCGTTAACATACACTGCTACTCATCTCCAGGTATACCTGGAGTGAAGGAATACGCTTGTTTTCTCAAAGAGACTTGGGACGCTAGGAAGATTCGCACGAGGTTGATGGACTGTATTGAAACTGCAAGTATCGTTACTGATGATAGTCTTGTTCGAAGCTAACTCCACTTATCCTGCTCGTTTCGACAGGCGTCATTCCCAGGTCAATCACAAGAAGAAATTGAACGACTCCTCCATATGGTAGTAGTTGGTGGAGGTCCTTCTGGCATCGAATACGCCGCGGAACTACACGATTTCTTGGTATGTATATTTGTGACATTCACTACAACACAATCATCAACCCAATCTATCTTTTCAATAAGGTCGATGATCTCCAGGACTGGTTCCCAGAGATCTCCGGTCAAATCTCGATAACTCTCGTTGAAGCCATGCCACACGTCCTTCCCATGTTTAGCAAACAACTCATCGATTATACAGAAAAGACGTTTGCCGAAGAAAAAGTCAACATACGAAACAATACCGCAGTCAAAGAGGTCAAGGAGAAGAAGCTGGTGGTGCAAGATACCAAAACCAAGGAAATGTTTGATATCAACTATGGATTACTCGTCTGGGCTACTGGAAACGCTCCACGGTCTGTCGTATCAAATCTCATCAAGAAGCTGCCATCTGATCTGCAAAACCAACGGTACATAAACACATTCAATCTTTGTTTTTTTTTCGGCATAGCTAACCTACTTTTTACTCTTAAGCCGAGGGTTGGTAGTTGACGAATTCTTCAAAGTCAAAGGTGCTGCCAATATGTTTGCCCTTGGCGACGCATCAGCAACGAAATATGCCGCAACAGGTGTTCTCTTTTCATTTCTGAGCTTGAAATGTTCTTTACTCTAAACATTATTCAATATTCCTGTAGCTCAAGTGGCTTCTCGTCAAGGTATAACGGCCAGTGTAGTAATATGGCCCAGCAATTCTCACCTTTCGCTCTAAATAGGGGAGTATCTGGCTTATGAGTTCAAACAGATGGCCAGGCAAGAGAACGAACGACAGCGCTTGGTATCAGAAGGGAAACTTTCCGATTCCAAGAAGGTGTCCTTATCGATCGAACCTTTTGAAAACGTCACTTTCGGGACATTGGCTTATATAGGTAGTGGCCAGGCAATAGCAGGTAAGAGCTTGATTCAAAGTTCTAGAATGCATGAGGGCTAAAAGTTCTCTGAATGTCCTAGATCTTCCTGGTGGTGTTGCGCTTGGTGGAGCACTCACATTCTACTTCTGGCGAAGTGCCTACATGAGCAAGTATGTTTGAAGAGAACCCGATCAAGTTTTGAATTCTTCTAGAGGATCAATTGGAGGCATGATGCTAACGACCCTTTATATTTTCTAGCTTGTTTTCGTGGAGGAATCGAGCTTTAGTCGCTTTCGATTGGACCAAAGCTACGTTATTTGGTCGAGATGTCAGTCGAGAATAATTGAGAGCTTTTATACTACCCTGTTGCCTTTCGTACTTGACACGCGAGGAATGTCAATCGCTCATTAATATAAAATTAACGGGGAAGGATACTTGTAATTGATCAAGCTTCTTATTTGTTAATGATTGTGTTTGATGAAACTGTTGAATTGATGGCCATTTTTCTCGTTCAGCCAGCCTCCAGACGGTGCTAGTATATGCCAGCGACAGGGTTTAGGCCTTTCTAAGCTGTGTATTTACCCGTCCAACTCCAGTCTTCGTCGATCAGTGGGGGTTGACCTCCGCCCGGAAGGAGGTGGTTTCGCTGTGAATAACTCATTGCATAAAGCGAAATATGCCCTAAACGAATGGGCCAGTGTAGTAATATGGCCCGGTCTGCCCAAGATAGGAGCGATCGCTACAAGTGAAGGTGTTTCCTATATTTTGTAATTCGACGAGAAACTGGCAATAAACGCGTCCTTTTCAACGAATTCGACAAAGTATGAGTGATATGAGAAAGGTTCACTCGCGTCAGTGTTGTCCAAAGTTGACGCACTTGCAATGTGTGTACTCGATCATTGCACGAGTAGTAAATTTAGGCAGGAGTTTTTAGACTTTGAGAACAGCAAACGTCATTGAAAAAGTACGTTTATCCTGGTCGATCCAGCTTGTCGGCGGAAGCCATTGTGGTAGGTGAAGGAAGGTGCCTGTGGACCCGTTTGGTCGATTTTTCGAAAAACACTGCAAATCTTCAGGGACCCTCGTTTTTCACTGAGTGTGGGACTTCAGGTGAGCTTGTTCCTAGACTTTGGGTGAGATAATCACGCTACAATTTGCTAGTCCACGAAGAATATTCTGTCATTTTTACCACAGGCTTTTGCGGCAGCACTGCTGATTGCTGTGAAAGCTAGTTACCCAAACACACAATCTAGACGATTTCACGTCTGTTAGATACTTGCAATGTTTGCCAGAAAGCAGTTATTAGGGTATTGGAACACGTCGACACATGTTTTCCGTCACCATCATTATGATGCTGACCGGATGGTTGAAATTCAGAGCTGACCTGTTTTCTTGTAGAGAGTATTCGGTTGGGAAGACCATTGGTCAAGGTGCCTTCAGTAAAGTGAAGCTAGGCATACACAAGGCTACAGGACAGAAGGTGAGGAAGTGCATACGAAAGTGGAGAAATCGTTTCGTCGTCTCAGGACGACCAACCAAATCGTTTCCATCTTTTAATAATATTACAATTACACAGGTCGCAATTAAAATCATCAACAAAGTCGAAATGGAAAAGCAGAATTCACCCAAGCAAGAGAAGAAACCACGAAAGGCGCCTGATGCTGACAAACCTGACGAAAAACCAGCATCGCCCGACAAAAAGAAGGCGAAAGATACTAAGAGGGCAGAATCCTCGTCAAAGAAACCATCGTCATTCTTGTCACATTTACAGGCCGAGGTGCAATTGATTATGAGGCTTGATCATCCGAATGTCATCAAAATCTACCAAGTGCTTGACACGGAGGAGGAATGCTTTGTTGTCATGGAATATGCTTCAGGTGGTGAATTGGTGGATCTGATTGCTTCGAAGGGACATTTGACTGAGAAGGAAGCTCGATTCTACGTGAGTTGCACTATGCTTTTCCTACATCCTTCCTGTAACTGTAAAATCTTCGTTTAGTTTCGTCAAATCATTTCAGCTATGGATCATTGTCACTTGAATGGTGTAGTGCACAGAGATCTGAAGCTAGAAAACATTCTACTCGACGCTCAACGGAATGCGCTTGTTTCTGATTTTGGATTGGGAAGGACGTTTACTTCAAATAGAGAACTACTCAACACGTTCTGTGGCACGCCGAATTATGCTGCTATAGAATTGATTACCGGAACACCATACATTGGAACACGAACAGACATTTGGGCTTGTGGTGTGATACTGTACATAATGTTGACTGGAAAACCGCCGTTCGTCGGTGAAAACGTGTCTGCCCTATATGCTAAGATCAAAGCCATAAATTATGCCATCCCTGACCATTTCTCAACAGGCAAGTGACTTGAAGTCGATTGCAATAATTTTGTTTCCAGAGAAGACGACAGCAAAAGTAATTCTGATTTCTCGAAACAGAGCTGAGAGATTTGCTGTCCAAAATATTCACAAAAACACCCAAGCACCGTATTGACATGGACGCCATTCGAATACATCCGTGGGTGAACATTGACGAAGTAGACCCACCGGAACGTATGCTACCACATGGAGACCAGACAGATCCTAACTTTGTGGGCTCCAAAATCACAGCGATTACTGCTGATGAACATTTGACCACCTACACCTTCCGACAACATATACAATCCGGCATAGGACTGAAGGTCATTCCACCAGGCTTTGATCGAAGAAGCAGTTTCTTAGGGGGGAGTTCGTTCCTTGGCAACTCTCGTGAAGGATCTCGACGATCATCGATAGAGAGTGTCTATCGAGCTGCACGTAGGCCAAGTTGTTCTGGCGACTCACCACATGCTGACCTCAAACGTACCACATCAACAAGAGGAAAGGGCTCAATAGGTACAGACGATGCTGCTGCCCATAACAGAAGAGCTTCGGCACCACCTTCACAAGCAGTAATACAACCCGTCATCGTCCTTCCTGGATTCTCACAAGATGTGTTAGAGTCACCTAGTGATTCAGGCTCCTCATCAAGCACTTCATTTTCCCTCCCTACAAGCCTCCCTCCACTGCCAGGCCAAGACCGTAAGCCCGGAGCGCGGCCAAAGAGTTTCGCGGCACCATGTCGGGACTCTGAATCGATGGGTCGTCGCTCATCCGTAGCCTCCACGGGACCAGTGCCTCAAAGCATGTCTTCCGCTGGAGTTGGATTCAACACAACACCGTTGCCAGGAGAGCCAGAAGCGAGTCGAAATACGGCTCTACTGGTACGAATGAGTACCGCTGGACCAGGAATTGCACCCTTGCTAATAGAGGATGTTGAACTTCGTCGAAGCTCCGTGTCAAGCATTACCGGTTTCATAAAACGTGCATCACCGTTTCGAACATCAACAACAACTAGTCCTACTGGTATTCGTAATTCCGTATCATCCGAGCCATACATCCCACTAGTCCAGACACCCATGATTTCTAATACTATTATTGATACCGCATTGGACAGCTCCGCCAACTTCACAGGTCCGCGAGCACATGCATGGAGGAACCGAAAAGAGAGCTCTGATGACGGGAGCTCTAATGCCGGTAGTTACAATTCGGGAGATTTCTCGTATGATGTGTTTGCTACAGTCTCAAGACCCGAAAATAAGCATCAATCCCACCGTCAACCATCGAATACTACTTCCGCCTCTTCTGAGCAGGTGCCTGTATTACGAAAGGGCCCCATTTCTCTCACAATAGAACCACCAATGGCGACAAGTGATGCCCTTATTCAGGATACAACAAATCGATCCCCGTCAACAGAAAGTGGTGCATCTGCATCTAGTAGTCCTCAACGCTCTTCCGGACAGACGTCCAGTGGTGCGAGTATGAGTGTAATGCAAAAGGCACCGTCGTTTGCAAGTAGTATCGGTTCTTACCTTAGTGAGTTTGGCAAAGGACTGGCCAAGTCAACTTCAGCTGAACGTCCTCAGCAACAATCCGTGGAGCCATCTGATAAGGAGATTGAGGAGTGGCATATGTTGCATGCTATTCCGAAACAGATTCGAGTTGCTCGTTTCTTTATGGGGTCCTCTACCACCAGCAGTTTACCAGCTGCTGCAGTGTTTTTGGTACGTGAATGCCATTTGATGAGTTGCTTAATCACTGAAAGTCTCTACGGCTCTAACTCAAGACATGTCACTATAGGATGTTCATCGAGTATTAGTTGCAATCCAAAACTTGAATGGTGGCATTCTCAAATTCAAACGTGAAAAGTCTCTATACCTCTTCCGTTGTGAGCTACTGCCAAGCACTGAAACTGCATCGAGTGTGGTCTTTGACGTTGAAGTGTGCAGTGTCTGGCTGCTGAAACTTTACGGAGTGAGAATAAAAAGAATATCCGGAAACGCTATCAAGTTCAAGGAAATGTGAGTAGATTAAGATCAGCTCTGTTGCAATGCTATGTTGGTGAAGTTTAACTAACTGCCATGCTTTCGTGTAGTCATTCGCTAATAACTAGTTCATTGAGAATCTAATCAAAAGACCTATCAACAACTATGTGTATACCAAAAAACTTCGGGGAAAAGGTTACAGTGTACATAAATAAATAGTGTGGAAACAAGGCTTAAATACATAATTCAGTCAAAAGGTAACCTTTAGCAGTTGTCGTTGTAGACAGTGAGTCGAGATTGGAGACGTGATTCATCATGTCATCAGACTCTTTTAGCTTTTCGCTGATGGCCAGTATGCAAACAGGAGACCGTACACCCCTCTTCAAACAAAGAGCTGGATTTGCGTGCTCGTTCAGCAAATCAGTACAAACGACCCTGCCCTCACGATTTCCCGACGTATTGAAAGTCATGATATGGGGAGATGCGACCCAACTACACGTAGGTGTCGTTCTCTCTCCACTGTCTACCGTAGCTAACTGTCAAGTCATATTGCATCTCCTGCACTTGTAACTCGTAGCATTGTCCATAACAGGAACCCAAAAAGACATTTTGGTTTGGAACCATTGATTTAGGTGTCTTCGTCGTGTTTTGGTAGTAGACCAAGGCCGTGCAAGTCTCTGGACAAAGGGTGTGATACATATTTGGATTCTGTCTGGACATGACGACCAACGTTGAATGTAAATAATTTAAATTTGCCTCGTCTATTGCAAATCTAACATTCTTGTAATGTGTTTAAATATATACATCTAATCTTTTAGTCAAACGGTAATCGTTTAACAGTTGTCGTTGCCGAAGCAGCTGCTACCGCACTTGGAATCCTTATACCACAGCAATCAGGAAACTCTTGCCCAAATGCATGTACATGACCGTGACCATCATCGTGATCATGGTCGTGATGATCTTGTTCAGCGTCGACAGAACCTTCGAAACTAATCAACGATCCAAATCGAAAGTGTTGCATGATGGGTAGTTTGCCAAGGACTTCGGCTCTGTGCATCTTCACCATGCCGTCATTCACTTTGCTCCATGTTTTGACTCCTGATATGTCGTCGAGCATTGGAGAGTGCCATCTAAGCGATGCTGTTTTGATCTAGTTGGTGGTGTGAGAATCAATTTTGGCCTAGAGACAATCGTTCAGTGGTATCGATTCTTATTTTGCTTACAGAGTTAATGAACTTGATGCAAGCGAGGTACATGTAATGCTTTGAGAATTCGTCTACAGTGTCGGGATCATGTATAGATTTGGGCCGTATGTACTTATGATCTGCACAACACAAGGTGTTCGAAATGAGACGGATGGAAGTGTTCACAATATGCTCCAGTTATCACCTATCAGCTGTGACGATCCAAACATGAAGGGCAAGAAGTGATAGTCATCAAGACCCCATACGCCATGTGAGCCAGCTGGTTCTAGCCAATATGCAAACTGGAGACTCCTCATTACATTGACATACCGCCAAAACACGGATAGGACCAGAGCTGGATGGTCTGCTGGACCAACAAAGCCTAGCTTTTCAAGACAGTATCTGGGTATAGGTCAAGATGAGTGTTGTTGTCGTTTCGATCCATTTGATGGAAGCGCAAGTTGCCAACTACAGTATCTGGCTTACAAGAATGCAATGAAACTAAGTTCATGGCCAGTTCCATAATCGATTCTCTTTCGATCTCCAAAACTGTGTATCAAGTAAGACGCGACTTCAGGTATCGCACCTGGTATTGTGACGATGTCTTGTATCAGAGCTTCAGCATTCTAAAACCACAAGAGACGTGATCCTTGAGCACACGGTAATGCAAAGCGAATGAAATAGCTACTAGATGTACTTGCCTTGTCCAATCGATCGTACCATATCTGGAAGGCAGGGTTTCCAAACCTGGACTTTGTATCTGTCGAGGGAGTGATTTCAGACGTCCATGCATCCATAGTATCGAGTAGATGAAGTAACTGAACGACCACCTATGGAATAGCATTGTGTTAATGTCAGTTGATGCCAACGATGAATAGACAACGAGTTGAATGGAAAAAAAGAGATCCAATGAATGGGTGACAATACAACGAGTATTTACATGTGATTTCTCAGTATCGACAAGTAGGGATTTTCCCTTTACGCTGTCATTCAGCCTCGATATGAAGTCTTGAAAATCCAGACCAGTTTGAGAGGTCTGAAATCGCTCCAGGTCCTCCTTTGTCAGTATGGACCTTGTTGGCAGACGAAAGGAATGGCTGGCAGTGACGGACATTGCAGCCTAATGGATCTAATAGTAAAGTATTGCTAAATGCTTATAACTTGGTTGTCTTGACAGATGTTGGTTGCGACGAAGGGAAGGACAAACTTTTGGCGAGACTAAAGACTTGATGAATACGCGTTTCCCTCAATAATCTACTGGAAATCGCGTGCTATTTCCTTCTTGCTCACCATGGCTCAAGCTGAAAATCCTACCTTGTAAATTCAACGTTTTTGACGAGCATTTGATTCCTGAGAACTTGGCACGTTGAATATAGAAGCCTCGTACTTGAGGTTCCTGAAATATTTTCATCAAGGTATCTATTTGTTCGCCTAGCTTTTTCTGTGCTGTTTTGAGCATGATTTGGTACGATGAGGAATCAATTATTCACATCTAACTCCCTCTAGGTGCTATTTCTTCCATCCATTCGGAGTCCAGGTCTGCTGGCCATTATCATAGCTCCGTAACCGTTCCAACTTGAGTAGGTTTGGGCTTCAACAACATCAAACTCACTTTCCAAACTTACCATGTTTTCCAATGTAGCAATCATGAAGTTCAGTCTCCAAATCAAGCTGAACGCCTTCGCAGAATGGTCCGATCATTACATGTATGCCGATTTAACTTGTTCCGTGCTAGTTTGTCACAAGGTGCCATGTCAACCAAACTTCACAACCATAATCCTTGTAACTTTCTCGTCTAGGAACTACTCAAACTTGAAGAGGCTGATATATCGAATTGAAAAGTCATTGATGAGCAATGTGGCTCTACCTGCCACTTCTCACGATCAAGCCGTCGTCGAAATAGAAGGGGAAGACGAAATCAATGAAGCTGCTCCTCTCTTGACTCCAATCAACCCAGCTGATGCTGATGCGCTGTTTACGCAGGCTTTGGACAAGGAGCTCAATAGAGTCGTCACCTTTTATCGTGAAAAGGAAGAAGAACTGTTTGATGACGTCCATCAATTTGAAGTCGACATGTCGTATCTCGATGCTGGACAGTACATGAGACGACGATCTGTGCCGGATCTGATGCAAAGTGGATTATTGCGTGATCTAGAACAGGAAGAACGACGTGCCAATTCTGATGGTGAAGAGACCAGTCCATCTCATCCACCACATGCACTATCACTCCCTATGCCAGCTATTGGTCCTGACTCTGGATCAAGTACACCCCCTATTATATCAGGCTCTCCACGAACAAGTGGTGGTGGTCGACAACCTAGATATAGAGCCAAGTCTGAATCTTTTGCAGAATGGACAGATCCAGTGCCTCCCACTTCTGGTAAGTATCGTGTTGCTATATTGGATGTCAGCCATTTCTGCATATTGATCCATTCAATATGATTCAAAGTAGAAACTCGACTCAATCAAACACCACCGCGTGCCGGTCCTGCATCAGCAGATACATATACGTCAACTATCTGGGACGCTAGGAATTATAAAGGTCATCGCCAGCGCTTTCGACGACGAGCTATATCACTATACGTATCTTTGAAGGAGCTCGAAAAGTATTCCGAGCTCAATCACACTGGGTTTCAAAAGATATTGAAGAAATTCGACAAGGTCACTGGCCGAAAACTGCTGAACGTGTATACCTTCAACAAACTCTCTAGGGCATATCCATTCTTGGCTGATACTATAACAGGTCTGTCTCGAGAAATCAGTAGAGTCATCACCCATTACGCTCGCATCTCCACCAGAAATAGGCCAGGAGATGCCAAGCGTGAATTGGATCTCAACTTGCGAGAACATCTAGTCTGGGAACGTAACACAGTTTGGCGAGATCTCGTGGCTATTGAACGAGGAAGAGGAAATGTGGCATTAAAGGCTTTGAGATCGAAAGAAGACAAACCTGCTCTACCGTACGCAATCAAAGTTTGTGGTAGGAGTGTCTTCATTGTCTATGTCCCACAAGACGTTATTTTACCAGTGATAAAGATGTTGGTCTGCCTGGCCATATTGCCAGCTATCTTGTATTCTCCTATTGGTCTGCAAGTCGAAGCTCAAAGTTGTTTGGCAATTCTCAGTTTTGCTTCTGCACTTTGGGCAACTGAGGTAAGAGACACATATGGCATGCCCTCGTATGGTATTCATAGAATGAAAAAATGCACTGGATGTGGTTGGATGGGTTGTCCACACCGGGTTCAGCTGAAATCCCTCTAACTACACCCCATTCTCCAAACTAGACACTACCATTATTTGTCACATCACTTTGTATACCCTTCCTCGTAGTAACGATGAGAGTACTCAGAGCACCAGTTGCTGGTGGGCAGTTTGTACGTCTCACGCCAAAGGAAGCTACAGCTCGTATCTTTGCAGACATGTTCTCACCTGTAATCATGTTATTACTTGGAGGATTTGCTCTAGCGTCTGCGCTCTCAAAGCATCATATTGCACAATGGTTGGCTCAAATAGTACTCAGTCGAGCTGGCTCAAGTCCTCGTTATGTAATACTTGCCAATATGCTGGTCAGTACCTTATTTAGTATGTTTATATCCAATGTGGCTGCTCCTGTCTTGTGTTTTAGTCTCATTGCCGTAAGTGCTCGTTATTTGGATTGGTTCTCCGTCATCTAAGGCTCGGTTTTTTCCCCTCTCATTGCCTCTAGCCAATATTACGAAATCTGCCATCAAAATCACCATATGCCAAATCCTTGGTGCTAGGTATAGCTCTAGCTGCCAACGTTGGTGGTATGGCATCACCGATATCATCACCTCAAAATATTATCGCCGTCAACAACATGAATCCACCACCAACTTGGTTGGAATGGCTGTCTATATCACTGCCTCTATGTTTAGTATGTGATTTTGCCATCTGGATATTGTTATTGGTCGCTTATGAGCCTGGTCGAAGCACAGGAGAACACGCACCTGCCCCACCATCATTGTATAGTACTCATACCCCCATGAAATGGACAGGGACCCAAATGTATGTAGTGTTTGTCCTTATCCTTACTATATGCTTGTGGTGTGGTGAACGAGTCATAGAACCGTATGTGGGTGATATGGGGATATTGGCCATAGTGCCTCTGGTCGCCTTCTTTGGTACAGGCGTCTTGTCCAAGGACGACTTCAACTCGTTTTTATGGAATGTAGTTATATTGGCTATGGGTGGTATTGCTTTAGGCAAAGCCGTGGACTCGTCTGGTCTTTTGGCAGAGTTGACGAAACAACTCTTGCCCCATCTTGAAGGAATGAGTGTGTTCCAAGTAGTGGCTACTGTTGGGTGTGTAGTCCTGGTGATTACTAGCTTTGTAAATCATACTGTAGGAGCTCTCATTATCTTGCCTGTGGTCGCTCAATTGGGCACTGCATTACCTGAACCTGCTCCTCGAACACTTGTTATGTGTACTGGTAAGATGATTTATTGTGATCACTTGGAACATGAAAATCTGAACTCTTTCTTGATGGGTAGCATTGGCATGCTCTGCTGCTATGGGATTACACGTATCGTCCTTCCCAAATATGAACGCGATAAGTGTTGAAGATCCTACTGGAGAAACATGGTTGACTGTAAGCGATTTTATCACACGTGGCATTCCAGCGAGTGTGGTAGCATTTGTTGGAATACTCTCGATTGCGTTTGGCATCATGAACTTAATGCATCTTGATGGTGTAAAATAGAGTTGGAATGTCATTTCAAACAATATATAGAAATATTTTTACAGTAGCTGTTCGAGTTTTGAGCAAATAAATAAGGTTTGCTGTTGCCAAGATGTGTGCGACGAACACAACTCACAGCATCGAAAAACAGGGAGTCGGAACAAAGCACCCATCCTTGTATTCGAACGGCGACCTTGGGTTTGGTGAGTTTGCTATGGATGCTTGGTAGAAAATTGGTTGGGCGCATGTTTGCTGTCAGTGTCCATTAGCAACAACAGCAAAACTACTTCAGATATCTCCAGACAACTATTGAGCACTTTTGATGTGAAGAATATCGTTTCGTGACGTCAAAAGACCCCAGCATCGTAAATTTTTTGAAACCACGTCACGTCAACCATCAATCACAGTTTTTCTGTTTGCCGCAAATCAGAATCAATTCATTAAACGGTATAATGGAGCTCTTCTGCTTAGCCGCACCTGATGAAGTGGACTTGGAAAAGATTTTGAGCGGGTATGCAGGCTACTTTTGAGGATGCGTTCCAAACGAGCTCTGAAAAATCCTAAGTTCCGTTTTTTTGACAACTTGCAGAGAGCTTTGTCCACCACTTAGTCTTAGGGATTTTCGTGGTACGTATTATTTCTCCCTAGGACTTCATTCGTAGGCGCTTACCCTTTTTCTTTCTCTCTGTTAGTATACACGAGAACCGTCGAACTCTCGGAAGAGAATGTGCTAGCTCATTTAGCGTAAGCGTAACCCACGCCAAGACTGACATGAAACATACTCATAACACTCCAAACAAAAATATTCAGATTCACACGCTATCGTGAAGGCTGTGAGAACGTAAGCAAGGCACTAAACAAATCGGACCGAGGCCTCCTACAGTCTGTCCGCTCCTTAATATCTATATCATCCACTGATGGAGATATGCCAATGTCACCAATGTCACCAACATTATCATCAGCAAAACCATCTGTCGCTGGTCGAATGCCACCTGCTTCAGCTCGAGCAAGTGCCGTGGTGCACGAACAGGCTGCTAGTCCTGACTCGCTAATACCAGGACTAGAGTCTGGTACAGCGGTAGTTGATGTTGAAAAGCCTGGTACTGGCAAGAAGAGGAAGGTGCCGACCAATATGTCCGAATTGATGTCTGAGGCAGATTTCATACTCAATGAGTATATTGCCCAGGTAAGTTGTTGGTGTAGTAATTATTGAGTGAATGATTTTTGAGCTGAAATGGTTACTCAGGGTGCACCTCAAGAGCTGAATCTTCCTTCTCAAATACGTAAAAAACTGGTTGATGATATTGGGACAGCTCTTGCACATAACTCTCCACCAGAGCCTCAAGTTTTTGATGAGGCGAATAAGCAGGTTAAGATCTCCTTTATTACGATTCGAACATGGTTATTTCGAAGGATCTCACATTCTACAAAATAGGTCAAACACATGATGCGAGAAAACTCTGTACCCAAATTCGTGAAGCGGGCTGCTCGATCCAACATATCAGCAACTCAAACGAAAATCAATCGATTCTCAGCACTACTTATCGATTTAGCAATTGTTCTTTCCATATGTATTCCCACTGCTTTGTTAGGTAGGCATCATGCGCTCTATTCCAGTTTTACCTAGGAGTATTAACCCCAAACGATTAGGCGCTCCTCGATACCTCCGCTTCTTATCATACCCCTTCATCGTACACGCCTTTTGTGCACTATTTACAGTCCGAGACAACTTCTGCTTTTGGCATGGCACGAATGGAACGTATGAGTTACTTGACGGTGGGAATGTGTTTGTGATGCAAATTGCGGATCCGTTGATGAAGGCTTGGCATAGTGAGTGTGTCATGTTGATGCCACACCAATTTTGAGTGTTGCTGATACTGCTTTGAAACCTAGGTCGTAAACTCAGGACGTTGACCGGTGCTGCTGTTGCTTTTGCTCTACCTGTCACCTTGATTCTGGTTTTCACTATACCATGATGTGGTTGGCTCTGATAACATTTCGAGAGTATTTGAATGATTTAATTCCTGTTTCCTTAGAGCTAAATAGTAAATAGTTCATATATGGTGCAGGACTAGTCTTGAAAATCGTGTGTTTTAGCGACCAACTCTAACGCGTCAAATGAGGAACAAAATTCCATTTTGGACCATGTGTATCACGTTTCTACTTCCACCGTCGAATATTCCAAAACATCAAACATGAACTGTAGAAATCGACTCATCAAATTGCTGACTTTTTGACGATGCAATCCAGACACTGTTTTATAACCGGTCGCTCACCACTTGAAGGACGGAATAACGACAGGAAATTATTAGACGTTCGGACTGTTTTAAAATTGACGAGAAGGGTTTGGGTATTGGGGTCCTCTTCACATCTCCGTTGATTGTCGAGTTCAAAAAATCTAGCTTAGCAACTTAAAAGAAGAGAAAGACGCCAAACATGCAGTGTGGTGACTTTTACATCAAGTCGTGCTTTGAAGAAGTTCCTGATGTTACCATTCAGCAGATCCTTGATGGCGAGACTTGCCCACCAATTTCATTCACAGATTTTCGGAACTTCTTGGAGACCAGTGAAAAGGCCGTAGAGAACTTTGATTATTGTAAGTTATGCAATTTGACGTTGATAATTGTTTGTGAAGAGTCGGGAAGGCTACAATTTTTCGTTGGGAAGTTGCTGTTAATAATCTCGAAAATAGAGAAATTCTGATTAACTCTGAATTTTTTTCACAGATACCACGTAAGGGATCATCATTTGAGAATTGAATTGTCCACAGTTCTGGCTAGAACAATTTCACTTGACCTTCGATAATTGAATTGTTTACAGCTAGAAGAATATCCACACTTCATTTGACCATCGCTTCTAACCATCCTGTGCGTCCTTGCTTAGGATTTGTCGATACAAGGAAAACTATAACAATGTCCACCGAGCTTTCCTTGCTGCTCAAGCCAAACTCGCTGCCGAGGACAAGTTGGTTAGACCCCTCGACACACGTCCAGGTGACATTCAAAGAACGTCTACAATGGAAGGAAATCCGACGCTACCTGCTCTGCGCTCGGTTGATGCACCAAGTGTAACTATCTCAATGGACGCTCGCAAGCTCAACCCATCCCATTCATCGATTGATTTCAATGCTGATCCTGTTCCGGGATCTTATGAATCCAAGAAGAAATTGGCCAAACGCAAGACTCCAAAGACTGTCAAGGAGTTGATTGAAGAGTCGCAATATATGTAAGGGCGGCTGTTTCTTTTGATTGTACTTTCCCTCGTGCTGAGTTGGCTGACGTCTGTTTCTTGTAGCGTTGACACCTTCCTTTTGAATACCTCACCACAAGAAATCAACATCACGAACGGCTGTCGTACATCTCTCTTAAAAGACATTGAGGAAGCTGTGGCTCAAAGCAAGGCAGTCCATCCCCAGGCTTTCGATACCTCAATGAAAGAAATCGTCGAGTTGATGAGGACTGCTGCTCTGACTCGTTTCTTGAACAAGGCCGTCAACAAAAACGTCGCCACTTGGACTGGCACTTACGACAAGATTGGAAGTGAGCTTTTTCGAGTCCATATAATTTCTCTGTTCAGAAGCTAAAGGATCATTTTTCTAGTCCTCGCGTTCACTATTACTTCCATCACTGCCATTACAGCATCCACCATTTTAACAGGTAGGAGATCAATGTCTGATCTCGCCAGTTTCCAAAATACAAACAAACTGAATTGATCAATTGAATAGGTGCTTCTCGATACTGGAGATTCTTCAACTTCCTTCCATTCATGATATTCTTTTCGTGCTTTATTGCAGGTAAAAAGTAACCTCAGTTTTCAATACGTGGACATTTTAGCTGACAAGTTTTCTTTATTTGGCACTCGTTTCATCTAGTCAATGCTGGTTTCTGTATCATGTGTGCCAAGAAGCGCAAATACGAGTTTTACGATCCTACAATAAGTATGCATTTCGTCTGCTTGGTTGGTCTGTGATTGTTCATAAAAGGAAGCCTAATAATTTTTCCCACGTTTAATAGTGTACCGTGTCTGGCAAGAGGTGACCGACCCGATAATTCTTGCCTACCAGAGTATGAGTGATCCTGTTCTATCTATTGTGTGCACTCAAAATACCAGAAAAACTAACTCAAATTCGTATAGATGACAAGATTCGCAAGCTATATTTTGTGACGGTGCCATTATCCTTAATATGCACATGCATTACAGTGTTCGCTCCCCCAGGCGGTTACACCTAAGCTCTTCCTTCTCATCCTCTCTTACATTCCTTCCCAACAACAAACCTCTTCCTTTTCACCCTCTCTGAAATTCCTTCTCAACAACAAAAAGTCTCGATGTGTGTGTTTTCATGTATGAATATTTCAAGTCTTCAAGGCCTCTATGGATGGATACCCTTATTGTTTTTTAATAAAAACTAGTGTGTGATTCCTTCATGGTTTAGTCTTGCTTGTCATGAATTCCTGGATGCATTCTTACGTTTCTCTCAAATGGCGTGTCTCTGTTGCATTTCAAGCTAAAGGGTCTATTCACAATATTATCTACATGGCATGTATATTAAATGGATCTACTACTGGTATCAGAAACACTATCAAAAGTGTTGGAATGCCTGCTAGAAACACTGACAAGAGGAACAGTTTCACAACCTTTCTGGAATGTGCAGCAACTATTGCCAGATCTTTGATATATATCAAAGCACCCGAAACAGCAGACATGTATGAATCAAGAGTTTCGTAACCACCTGAAAGCGCTCGTGCCTGAATTTGTAGTGATTGTCAGCTGCTTTTTGTATGAGAAACAACTTCAAAAGTCGTCATACCATGCAAAAGCTTTCTGTGACTTGAAATATGGTAGATATCAAAAGAAACAATAGTGGCCATGCTACGAAACGGTAGTATCGTGATCCACCTTTTGAACGAAATGGTGAGAATGAGGTTTGGTCATCCGAAGGCAATGCTTTTTCGTTTCCGTGATGAATGGTTGAACACAATGACCAATTTGACATACCGAGTAGAGTTGGAAGAATTAACGAAAAAACTGTAAGAAGTCCAATTGGGACCAATGACTTTATCCTCTCTGCCTTGACTTTACTAGAACAATAGTTCTTGTTGGCTGCTCGATCCAAGAATCCCATGAGAGCATTATTTTGCTACGTGAAAGCGTCAGTCGAGTCTTCTCTGACATTGACAAAGTGGTGCCATGTCATACCATGAGTTCTCGAGCTTCTCTTCTCACAGAATCGAAACATTTTGGCGGTGGAGCATGTTGCCTCTCCAAAAATGTAGTCAGATCGGCAATAGTCTGGTCACGAGCGTTTGCAGTAACGTTGATTTCCCTCGTGGCACCCTATAAATAGTCACATTCATACCAAGAATACGGCAGTTGTATCACGTTTTGTTTGGTTTCATACCTGCTGCAAGTACTGGTTCATAATAAACCATGCCTCTTCAATCAACTCAGTAACTGTTTCCGGTACCTTCCTCGTCTCGGCCTTATCGAAGTCCTTGATTGTCCCCAAATCGAAATTTTCGGCGGTGGTGTATGGAGCAACAGTGCTTCTTTGAGTTCTTGAATTTCTGGCAAAAGTTGCAGAATTACTGATTTTCATCGTCTTGGTGAGCTCCTCTTGACTTGTTTTTGGGTCAGCAATTGGAGCCGGCAGTCCATTCTTCCCAATTGCATCAAGATCATTTCCGACAGTATCGAGTTTCAGCTTCCCACTAACGTCACGGTATCCTTCTTGATATCTCCATATTCTAGATGGAATTCTGTGTTTGTTACACTCTTGTTGTATGTTCTGTTTGTGGGTTATACTTACGCGACATCAAAATCAAAGATTTCCTATTCGACCATCAATAAGTAAGCCAAACTTAGAGAAGAACATGAAAGTTGTAGTTGGGTTGAATATTTATCACCTCTGAATGGAATTCTTTCGCGAGATATACTATAGCGCAGAATGAGCGTGAGACTGCCGGCGAGTTGCGCAACTGGACAGGCCGATAAGAGAAATCCAACATATTCTTACTTCTGAAGTCTCGTTTGGAAATGGGTGGTAGTGTTTCTGTATTCGATGCGACCAGTCAATTAACAAAAGTTGAGGAAATTGTAAGGGGGGTCTTACGCCCTTTTCTCAACAATGTTTACCTCCTTCGAGTATTTGATTAATACCAATACTTGGCGGTTCCTCCCTCAGCAAGTGTGAGAACATCGGGGCGGACAGCGAACTGTTGGAGTACTTGTTGAAGTTTCTGGTTCTGATTCAAGGTCGTCGGCGAGGGGGTTTTCACAGGTTTAATCATCTTTCGGCTAGTCAAAACCAGCATATCCGCATTCATCAATACAGAGGGGGGAGATTTCAACCAAGTATGCTGCTCTCTTTGAAGAAAAAAATGGGGTTCTAGCCATCTGCGTCCAAAAGTAGCTAAACTCCATACAGAGAAGTTGGCGCATTTCCGAAGACGAACCAGACAAACCAAAAATACAAGATGTTATCCAAGACTTCATTGACGAAATCCTGTCGAAGCGCGTCGTTCCCTATGAAACGCTACAAAGACGCAATTTCTTTTTTGGTATTTGCCAGATGTCAACGCGAAAAGCTAACGAGTAAATGCCTCTATCATTCATATTTCAATAAAGGGATATCAGAACTTCTATGCGTTTCAAACTTGGTGGTGTTTCATCTTCGAGCAGACACATGCACTATCCTCCAAATTTTCCAACACACACAACTCAACAAACAGTAACAAACCCACACTTCCTTAGAATCAATCACAGACGACACAACATGAGCTGGACAATTAACCTCACCATTGCATCAGTGCTCATTGCCTGCATTCGTCGTATAACACACAAAGGCAAGCAAATTGCGAAATAAAGCGTGTTTCACATTGTACTGACTCCCAATCACAATTGACATGCAGAAATCAACTTGGAAGGACTAGACAACAATGTACTTCGATGGATTCTATATAACTATAATGCTATCGGAGATTTGCTTTTGGATTTGATTCTGAAACTTGTTGACTCGAAACCAACTTGGTTTGTAAAGTCTGCAGCCGCACATCAACCGCCTTCAATGAACTTTGCTCTTCCATTCTTGACATCAGCCTCTGCAGCACCGTATGTAATTGCAAAAAGCTCTCAGCCACTCAAAGCACGTAAAACCGATGGTCTTATGGGTCTAAAACGTCGATAACTGAATTGAAACACTTTGAAACACTTTGAATTTTTTTTGGAAAATAACCAGCTGGTGTTGAAGTCCAATTAGTTCGCCTTTCTTTTGCTCGATAATAATAATAATAATCGTCGTTCCACGCTTTGTTCAAACTCTTTTCAAAATCAACTTATATGTATATATTCGCCATGACTTTCGACTTTAACAAAATCGTTTTGATCCAAAATCTTAAGCAAAACGACCTAGTTTCGAAGCGATTTTGAAACTGCATCCAGTTTTTGCCTTCACTTCGTCAACAGTGACATCTTCTGCTAATTCAACCAACATGATGCCCTCTGGCGTGACATCCATTACGCACAACTCGGTGATGATGCGAGATACACATCGCGTGCCTGTGAGTGGAAGATCACAGTTTTCGAGTATTTTGTGCTTGCCTCCTTTGGCAGTATGCTCCATCGTGACAATGACACGAGCTCCTGGCGCTGAAACCAAGTCCATGGCGCCTCCTAGAGACAACATTCAGAAGACACAAAAGCAGGATTCAAAGAATTCCAAAGCCACATACCAGGGCCCTTTACCATTTTACGTGGTATCATCCACTAATTTAAAAACGGTATCACTTTAGTGCACAAGATATGCGAGTCTCTAACAAGGCCTCTTACATTGGCCAAATCGCCCATAGCCGAGACTTGAAGAGCACCCAATACAGTCAAGTCAATTTTTGATCCTCGGATCATAGCAAAGGATTCGTCAGATGAGAATAATACAGAACCAGGTATGAGTGTCACAGTCTCTTTTCCAGCATTGATGAGATCAGGGTCAGCCTTGCCAGGTTCTGGATATGGGCCCAATCTAAAAAATCAGTGAGCATTGCCTTCAAAGTCCAAAAGAAGCATGCATGTGTCTCCTTCATAAAATCCAGAATATGTTGTACTTACCCAAGAATGCCGTTTTCAGATTGTAGATGCACGGTGACACCTTTTGCAAGGTAATTGGAGGCCAACATTGGCATACCTATATCAGGGAGCAAAATATCGATGAGAATCTGATAAAAGTTTGCCAGTTAACGCACAACCGCTTTAATAATACCTATTCCAAGGTTTACATAATCACCATCTCGAAACTCAAGTGCGGCACGTCTAACAATCCGTTCACGTAATGCAGCTCCTTCATCCTGTTTACCAGGGACACCAAGTTTACCAGGTGATGAGGTAGTCAACCTTTCAATTCTCTTCTGGTACGAGGCACCCTTGAGGATACGATGCACGTATATTCCAGGGAGATGAATTTCGTTTGGATCGAGAGCTCCTACAGGGAGTAGTTCTTCGACTTCACATATGGTGATTTCTATAGTATATGCAATCGTTGTTGGATTTTTTCATCGTCGTTATAAAATGATTGTAATCTCTTGTTTAACTTACTTGCAGCTTTGGCCATAGTTGGATTGAAGTTTCTAACAATTCAGATCAAGATAGAAACTTAAAAAGTCTTTCGTTACAATGAGGGTGACAAAATAACGTCAAATCGAAAAGTCACATGGCATTTACCTTGCAGAACCTTTGAATATCACATTGCCCAATTCATCACCCTTCCACCCCTTGATAATCGCCACATCACCAACAATAGCTTCTTCCATAACATATTTCGTGCCATTGAATTCACGAGTTTCGCGTGGCTTTGAGAATATCTCCACTTTGCCATCTTTGGAATATTTGATTGGTAGTTTGCCTTCTTGAATGAATGTTCCATAACCAGTAGGGGTATAGAATGCTACCAAAAAGCAAACAAAAAATAATGAAATCGATAAAAGGATGACTCCAACAAGCCACATCAACAAATATACATAATCACGCAACGTAAACCACATACCAGGTATACCAGCACCACCAGCCCTCACACGTTCAGCAAGAGTACCTTGAGGAGTCAACTCGACTTCAAGTTCTCCACTCAAGTATTGCGTTTCAAAGAGCTTGTTTTCACCAACATACGAGGCGATCATACGTTTGATTTGCTTCTTTTGAAGTAGTAAGCCAAGACCACAATCGTCTACTCCAGCATTGTTGGAGACGACTACGAGTAAATGGTGATGGGAATCAGGTTTGTTTCAATCACCAACATTCTTTCACAGTTTTGAGTCCATACCCGTGAGTCCAGTGATATCATTGCGATTGTTGATTGCATGAATGAGATTTTCCGGATTACCAGACAGACCAAATCCTGAAATAGGTAAACATGAATGACGAAATCAATTACAATGTATATTTGCGGGGGGTTTTCTGTTTGAATGTTTAATGTCGTTTGAATTGCAACGAACAAAAGCACCAGCAGAACTCAATGCCATAGTCAGGACGTACCTCCACATAAAAGCGTAGTATATGGCTTCAAATCATGTATAGCCTCTTCAGGAGTTGTGAAGACCTTGCTTGAAGAGGTTGTTGCGAGATTTCGTTTGCTCCAGTTCTTGATGATTGGACCAGCACGACGAGACAATACCAAAGAGAGCATAGTGACGACGTGTTTTGCAACTCCAAAAATCGATTCACTAGCTTGAACTGATCCTTTCGGTGTTGGAACGACCACAATTGTCGCAGTTGCAAACAACGTGACAAATTTTGTGGCTTTGCTCATCAATACTACTTCGCAGTAGTCAGAGAGACATGTTCATAACATATCCTTTATACAATATCTCTTGTTCGTTGCTCTACATACATTTACAAACGGCATATTCAGCATATCAAATGTCCATCAACCAATTTCTTACAATTCACCACCAACAACATTAGCACCCCTTGCACCCAAATTCCTACCACCACCATCTTTCGAGTAAAACAAGTTGTAATCCAACCGCGTCAACAGATTCACCAACCGATACGTCTCTGTACTAGCATGGAATTGCAACTGGTCAATTAATCGATGGAGGTATGTTGTAAATCGAGTCTCGAGGTTGGCTACTAGAGTAGGTAGTTGAGCTCGCGTCATTTCATGCCTCGTTACTTGCGTCATGATGCGTGAGAAACTGACGCAGGTCTCCATTAGTACAGTAAAGATCTGGAGATTGTCGGAGAGTGGTAAATAGCCATCCTTACGTTCACATGAACAAAAAAATGTCTAAAACTGTTAAATCATACCTGAAGTAGGTTGGAATTAGTCAACATGCATTCCTTCAAGCATGTATCTAAAAAGTCACCATGTACTTGTAACACTTGTTCAACAGTCGACACCTACAAGTGTGTGTCGTGGTCAACCGCAGCTCCGTTTTGGCTCACATTCACATTGGCATTTTCAACGAGCAATCTACCTTAGCAAGCTCCTCTTCCAATTTGCTCCAATTAGGCTCCAGCACTTCATAGCACACATAATACAAGAATTGCTGCACAAATGCCAACATCTTGACTCGTAATGCATGTATAAAGCCTTCTAACGACGCATCATCCATAACCTTCTTATCTACTTTAGCTGTTGCTGCTGCATATTCAACACTAACACTATCTACAACAGAGGAAAATGACCGTGATGGCACAATCTTCCTTTTACCCAATGTCGATGTTGTAGCTGGATTATTGCGTCGTGCTAATGCATTTGCTCGTGATGCTTCAAGCCACGACCCACACAAGAGTCGTTCGGCATGTTTACATAGTAGCAGATGTCGGAAGATTAGTTGGTATCTTATAAGTGCTCTCTTGTTTAATATCAATGAGAGCGGAAAGCGTACTGTATACGTCAAGGTCAACGCTTCTATACCTATTACAGAGCAGCAGTTGTAAAATTTAATGTAGGGTTTAAACCATTATTACGTTGAGGTTTTGTTTTACCAGTTAAAGGAGCTCCACCACTCGACCCAACAAGTCCACCGTGCTCTCCCGAGACCGGTTCTTTCTTCTGGTGGCCATCAGATTGTTGTCCTTGTACTAGATTAATCCTCTTTAAAAGATCCCAAACAGACGAACTACTCAAATCAACACCAATGTCTTCTTTATACGGATCATGCGCAAGTGCAGATGATGGATTTCGAACCACAAGCTCTAGAAGAGATCGAAGCTTCTCTATAGAGTTATCTCGTGATGGCCGATTCAGTTCAGGTAGTGCCAAATCCAGAAAGTGAGTTAAAAAGTCAGATTGATCGAGTAAAAAGTAGTGCTTGACTGATCTATGAACAAAAAACAAGAACGATAGTATCTCGTTATATCGCGAAGCGTTGAAAGCCAAATAATGCGATGTCATACCTCAATCTTGGCAGTAACTGCTGCTCTTTAAATAGCAAATCGAGCAAAGTCTTGTTGGCATATCTATAAGCTATCTCGATATCCTGAATGAATCTAAAGCAATAAAGTTCCAGTTGAAATGTCTCGTAGAACATCTGTTTTACGACCGCTTTTTGCTTGGCTTACCTTCCACCTTCAACAGCCTTCACAACGTCACTAGTAATACCATGAGCAACGAATCCTCTACTACCACCAATCAATTCTCCAGACTCATCAACGACTTGATTCGGCATCTTGATATCAATCCCACATTCTCGAATCACATTCAAGTATTTACCAGCCAGTAATACTTTATCACTGACTGAACTTAGGAAACTTGGGATGGCTTCTTGTCGTAGGGTGTATCGTTGTTCCCAATACACGTCATTGAAATCGTTACGAATGTTTTCCTTGGTGACTGATTTACGTTCTACGACCATGAATTCATCGTATGGATCGGATATTTCTCCACGATGAATCCAGGAACGAAGTGTCGCTAGATATGGGACTGCTGCAGCTGACAATAGATATGCATGGAGTGCTCGAGTGGCCATGTCACTAGAAGCAAAGGCATTAATGTAAGTGATAATGCAGAGGTTCCTGATTGATCGAGACCAATACCGCGACTTTTTTGTCGCTCTCCATCCATAAGACCTTCGCACTCACCCACTAAAAGCAACCATCCGATCAGCAATAACACCCAACAAGACGCCTCCTCCTCGAGGTTTACCCTCCATGGATAGAATCTGATCAGGGCTATCACTCCTTCCTAGAGTCTCTGCAGCTCGTATACCTCGACACAATGAAGTAATGTTCGATAAAGTGTGTAAAGTCGGGTTCAAGTAATACCATAGCTTTTGTAAACCAAATGATGGTGCACTGCGGAATTGATACTCCAATTGAGCAATCAATATCAAGTATTCCTATAATTGCAAAACCAGTCAGCAACTCAAGCGGGCGCCATGCATTTTTTCTCTTTTCATCCAACTTCATACACACCTTGAGCAGAGTACGGATTGAAGCACATAGTGCATGACTAACACGTCCATATTCAAACCTGGAATGTGTCTCAATAAAATGCTCAATATACACAAAATGTGAAGCTACAGCCAAGATCCGTTTTGCTTGATCTGAGAGTGATGCATCTAAGACGAACAATGTTTATGTGAGCTGTTGAAGACATTTTGTTTGTACAAATTGGCAAGTCCTTCAGAATTATAACCGCAGTACCTAAACTCGAATCAAAGGTGTACTGAACATCCTCCCAATAGTCTTTCTCCTCCAATTCTGACATGATTGAGCCTAGTCGCCGTATATACATTCCATTTATACCCTGCAAAGCAAAAAACTGTCAGTACTAGGTTTGCAACACAGAGATGTCAGCTTAACACACCATCAACACATATAGTAAATCCTCTAATACCAGCGCCTCTTGTTCTTCAAACGGCATTCTTCCCAATGCTTCGAGTATCTTGTTGCCATTTGATGCCTATTTATTTCAAATTGATGACCAAAAAATTTCGAGTAGTGGATGGAAATTGAGCAAACCTTCTCATTTTGAAGTCTCGATCTCAGTGGAGCATTCAGTCCTTGTAATCGTTCGTCTAGAAGTTGTTTACCTCCTAAAAAATTCAGAGTTACTTTCATTGAATGTCGAGTGCAACAAAAAGGGTGCAAAGTACTTCTGGGATCACTCACGTTTTGGATCAGTGGAATCATTCACTAATGTGGTTGAGAAGGACACTGTAGAAGGTGTAGCACGTGCAGATCGATGATCATGTACCTAAAAATAGCGAATTGGATATATGTAGATTAGAAAACATTCAGGAATGAAAAGAATTCATGCTGTTGCAATTCTTTCACTTTTACTCCCCCTGTCTAGTAAAGTAGCTTACTTTTTGTGACTTTTGAGCAGGAGAAATGCTAAATGCAGGTGAGGGCATCGCTGAAGCACCACCACCACCAACAGCAGTAGCCGTCGAATAAGGAGAGAAGGTCGTCGTACTGTCGGATGATTTAAAGAATGGGTTAGGAGTATAAGCAGGTTTAGGCGACGTCCTCATAGCACGTAATCCAACAGGAGTCATATGATGACCCAACGATCTATTCGGCGATGATGACAGTCCACCACTACTATTAATACCACTTTGTTCCTTCAATGACGTCCTCATGGCCATAACTTCAGCTTCATGACGCTCCCTTTCATGACCCTCAGCAGATATCATATTAACGACGGCAGGATCATCACGGATTTGTAAGAGGACGTTTATCAAGGGATCTAATTCACGAGTTTGAGTTGCTTTTAAGTGGGATGTTATGTGTCGCGTTAATGCTGCTCCATCTTCATCAGCGTTGGAATTCAATGTTGATTTTTTGGCTAGGTCATCGGCGGCGACGAGTCCATACGAGGCGATTGGACGTGGGAGTGGTTGTCCTATTGCAGGAGATTTGGATAGTATTCGTTCAGAGATTGATGATGGATCCCTTGTATTGTCAGGGAGATTCAACACGTTTGATAATTGAGAAACCAGAGCATGCACTTTGAACTAGTGGGTAAATACATATTAGAACAGTGTTTGATGAATTGTCTCTGAATTATGATAGACTCGCCTCGCTCATTTCTCTCTCATCAAACAGTTCTGTAGGTGCGAAGCAATAGATGTATTTACAAGTGCATTGCAGTGTTTGGTCTATAAGTGATTTACGTGATTTTACGTGTAATCTGTCTATAGTAACAGGACATTGTCATCATCATTGTCGGAAGCATCAAATCCACCAGTCCTAGCAACAGCAGGAACATTTCTTCTAATTTTGATTTCGCCTGGAGTAGGGAAACTGGTGATAGCTGGTGGCGTTCTTGGTCCTGGAGGGATTTTCCTTGGTGCCTAACACGTGTAATACTCAGTTTCAGCTCTGATCGTGTTTGAGCCTTCATAAAAACAACCAACATCAACAGTCGATACCTTTTTCAAGAATTCGCTAGCCCCAAAAGTGTTTAGACTGCTCGTAGAGGATGTAGCAGAGGGAGTGTTTGCAGCGAAATCCTTCATTTCGTTGTATGTAAGGAGGTAGCTGCCCAGGAATTCGATGACATCGTCTGGTTTTTGTAACGTGATTAGGGATAGAGCTTCAGTAAGGGCTGGACCCACTTGTTCAACTAGATACGCGTTGTAAGCCATGGGTAGATTGAAGTTGATACGATTTTCAAGTTGAAATCGATTAGAAAGGTGAAGTCACAGCGTGATATGAGCGCGTGTCAATCAGAGCAAACTTGGTAGCTTGGTTTTAGAAAATTCCGTATTAAGGATCACTTCAGGGTATCAATCATCATTAGCCGATGTACCGATTTGCTATGCGATTGGTTGAGCAGGTTAATGCTCAAATGCCTTTTGCTCAAAGCTCACCAAATTGTGGAAATTCAAACCCAGTTCAATCCCTTAAACAGAACAAGAATCAATCCAAAACGATTTACAACTCACTCTAAACAATGCCAGAATTAAAAGAGCAATTCGAAAAGGCTGTTGATTTCATCCAGCGAGCTCCAAAGGAGGCTGCTCCAGGCTTTAAAGTAAGTTGTGGTGTCTGTTGGAGCACGCTTTGGGCAGGACAACGGAATAATTGTCTGCTATCAAAATAAGAAAAATCAGTACCTTGTCTAATTTGGTGATCCACATAGCAGATTTAAAGCTTTCCTTGACATCTTGTCGCAAAATTTTCGAAGTTTGACGCCCACCGACTTTCTGACGTACAATACTAATCGCATCTACTTTCAGCCATTATCTACAGCTCAACGACTTGAGTTTTACGGGGCGTACAAACAGGCTACTAATGGTCCCAACGAAACTGGCAAACCTGGTATCTTCAACATGGAAGGCCGGTACAAGTATGTTTAGACTCGTTTCAGTAATCGTTGAAGCAAAAAAGTGGTGATCAGTGCCCTTGAATTGACTACCATCTCTTCGAATCCAACAGGTGGGACGCATGGACTCAGTTAGGAAGCATGTCAGAGAGTGAAGCCATGCAAAAATATGTGGGTCTAGCTGTTCCCTTCCTCAAGCAATTCGCCGGTAAGTAATCTTCATATTTTCGTTGTGTCAAAGTATTTCAACTGTTAACATTTGAGAGCCTGCGACTCATGAGCCTACCAACTTTTCTTTTTTTTAGCCATGAGCGACGAAGACTTGGAAAAATACTTGCAATCCTTCAAAACTGAATCTCGTCAAGCTGAAGTCAAGACATTGATTGACGAACTCAAGGCCTTTGTAGCTACTTTGTAGAAAACGCAAGACACATTCATGCTGTCCATGCTATTTGGGCAGTATGCAACAGACATATATTTCTCATACAGTTGATGATTCTCAACAAATAAAATATGCAGAGTGATGTACACACAAGTGCGATGGGTATTTACAACCATTGGTTCAAGATTGATTCTTCTTCGGGACACAACTGTGTCCACATCCTGTTGGGCATTCATGATGTTCCGTAAACCAATCTAACAGAGGAAGATATTCAATGGACATCAACGCTTCTTTTCGGGTGTATCTTCAAAAGAGGATGCCACCAGTGGTAGCAGTGAAAGCCTATCATTCATACCTCGCATGCATTCAATATGACCTCCGTGCGAACATCCTTGGCACCATGCAAAAAGAGTCTGGACTGTTCGATGACTATGATTTACAATGTTTGATTTTTCTGTTTCAAGAATGACTCCTGTTGCAACCCAAGCGTAAAGAAACATTGTAACTTACCAAAATGAACAAGAACCCTGTGCTCTCTTGCAAGCATTACACATCCAACCAAGACCTCCTTCTATAGCGATCGCCTTGCGACATTCACCACAACCAGTATATATCGGCGTCACTCCTTTATGAATCTCTTTAATGGTCGGTATTCGTGTTGACGAGATGACATCTGCTGCTACAGACCATAACTGGAGCCTTCTCAACAAGTCCAGATACGACCATGTCCATAGTTCTGCTGATTCTGCGGATACTTCAATCTTGGGTGCCAAGACGTGTAGCAGTGAAACACACATTTGCACGTTACCCTGCAAAAATAAAACGGTTGGTGGGGTGAAATATACGATACGATTTAGAAGAGTCTCAACATAATTGACTTGATAGAGAAGAATATCACATGGACTTGATGCCATCTGCTTCTGCTCTCACCTGTGCAGCATAATACTCCAAAACATCATACATGACATTATACGGATCCCATCCAGGCAAAACAAAATCATCACCCGCAGTCTTGAACTCGGATGGTCTCGAATCAGTAGCATTCGCAGTGGCACTATGACGAGGTGAAGAAGCAGGAGAATCATCACTACCAATTTCGGAATCAGAGTCCAAGATTGCATCCAATATTGTAGGACGAGGTTGCAATGCTGCTTGTCGTAACCAAGGGTCAGGTTCTAGTAATGGCTGAGGAGAATATCGGTCTGGTTGATCGTATGGACCTGGAGAGACTAGAGAGAAAATAGAAGGCACAGATGAGACGTGGGTCGAGGACTGGTTGCGTTCTTTTGCATGTAGTCCCAGCGGTACCAAAAGCACTTACCAGAATGGGCTGCAGGCTTCGAAGCAAGCATAGCTGCCATACTTCGAGGAGCAATAGACTTAGTGCCATATAAAAGCTGCACAATCTTCCAAGTCTGAGCTGCTTTATACTGTTCTTCACTTGCAGCAGCTTGAGCATTATGTTCACATGACTCCCATATGTTCGTAGAGTCCAACATATACTTTTTAGCAAGAGATGTGAATGTTGGGGCTTCAAAGCTACCAGTATTAAACACCCCTGCCTTTTGTCTAAGCGTAAACTAGTACCGAAAAAATGAGACACATCTTTTTAAACACCAAAAAAACCCGGGGGTGAATTGTGTCTAATGACCTACGTGCTCATCTGGACTATTATCCGTAGCACCACTAGCTGGCCTTCTATTACCGCGCTGCCTCCGAAGACTAGCGAAACAAACAAGATTTATCAGCAAGTTATATCCGAAAACTGGATGCAGAAATGCGACTGACTTACTAGTCCTCAGGCCCACACCAAACACTTCTAACACCCCTCGACTCAACAGCAAACGTAAGTTCACCTCTCAAACCCCATCCCATAGCACTAGTCGACAACAATTCACGTGGTCGATATGATGCCCGTACATCCTGCCATGCAAACGTCTTGTCTCGAGAGCAGCTCCATATCGTGTCTGAATCATACCATAAGAAGGAGGTTGCCACGTCTTTGTGGACGTCGAATACGGTAGATGGGACGTGTGGTTGTAGTGCATCCAGAAGAAAGATGCGAGTGTTTTGGAGGAAACAGGCTGCTAATTGTGTTTCACTATGTGGCCGCCAGCGTATACGTGATACGCCTGTGAGGGTATGTATAATGTGTTTAAGTGACTTTTTGTTTAGTTCTTCAGACCAAATCTACATGTGTATAGCGAAGTGAGAATTGGATATTACTGTTAGAGGTTGAAGCAAAAGGAAAGGTAGATCAATCATAGTGACAGACCTTAATAGTCTTATCCTTTCCAGCAGTAGCGACACGATGCCCATCAGCATGCCACTCACATGTCTGCACCATCCCAGAATGTGGCGCAGAAATCATTGAAATCCAATGTGCAGGATACCTCAAATCCCACTTCACGACGGAATTCTCATATCCAGCAACCAAATAATCTCGATTCACGGGATTCAGACGAGCTGCAAACGCATCACCACATTTGCCATCAAATATGAACGCTGCTGTCTTGTTATCTCGGACATCCCATATTCGAACCATGCCGTCTCGACATGCTGATGCGAGAAGAGGCTCTGTTGTGTGGAAAGAGATTGTGACTGGGCGATCTTGTTCTCGAATTATACGTTCTATTCGGCATCTTATCAATCAGTTTCATTTGAGCAACGAGCAAACGGTTGTCAACAAACCTCTGCACTTCTTTTCCACGTCCCACAAAATCACAGCTCCATTAAGTGATGCAGTAGCAATTCGATTTCCAGCAGCTATAAACGTGCATCGAGACAAAAAAAAGTTGAGCTCAAGGCGATCACACACATCTGTTGACTAAGCGTACATCGTGGTGCCCAAGACACGTCACTAAACTGATAATCCAAATTCCTTGTTCCCGACATAAGATTCGGATACTGTTTAGTCTCAACGCCCTTCTCGGTCGTAAAGACTTGGAGCACATTAATCGCTAAAAGTTCGTGTTAACGTGTGGCTTTAGCTTAACACACAACACCCAAACCAAAAGATTACCATCAGTTCCAACAACCGCAGCGTACTGCTTATCAGGACTAGCAGCTAAAGCCAACAGTGGGAATTTGGTCTTGACAAATCCAGCTGGCTTGTCCCAATAGGAAATGGGCTGTTCAATGGGCTCATTGACTTCTAGGACGGGAGAGGTAGCAGTAGAGAATGCTGTTGATCGTCCAAAAAATGAAGCTAGTGCTATTGGTTGTGCTGCTTGATTAGGCCGTGGGGGTAGGGCAGGTGGAGGAAACGGGAATTCATTGCGATTTCCTGGGGAGGATGAGAGGAGAGATGAGTTATTCGTGGGAGTTCCTGAATGCTGGTTGCCTTGTGGTGTTCTAGTTCCTCGCATCTTTGCATGACCGAAGCTTCAACAAGAGCACAGCTGTGATCTGCGTTTTGCAAGTGCATGTAAACGAAACAGGCGTTTGGACACAGGCGTGCTATCATCGCGTCTCGACGTGTTGTATTTACTCCTAATCATGAATATACGAATATACAACAGATGTTATCATGTCGTATCTATGTTTGTTAGGTGTAAACCTCGTGTGAAGTGTAATGTCTTTATCTTTTAGCTGAAGAAGGAGTCAATGACGAGGCTCTAGGCACAAATGATCCTCGTGGCTGAACTTTATGAGCTACAGGATGTAAATTTGAGAAACTGTGAGGACGGTTTGTTCTAGCCGGCAAAAACATCAGATCTAAACAGGACTAACCGGCCAAGGCTGCTAAAGGGTTCACACGGGGCTTCTTGGCCTTCTTCTTTTTGTGATCCTTCTCATTCTTCTTCTTGGACTTTGAGTCTTCAGAGTCACCCACCATACGAATAGGAGCTCGAGTACCATTAGTAGCAGATGCACCCTTTGACTTTTGTACTACTGGTGCTTCTTCTTCTTCACTGCTACTACTGCTACTTTCACCAGAATCCCTATCGTCATCATCTTCAGCACTAATTTCATCGTTTACTCGATCCTGTTTATAAATTACGGACTCTCGGGAGAGCTTTGAGGTCGATTTCGACACACTGGAATCAACTTTTTGCATGAGTTCCACCAACGAGCTTGCTCGCCGTGGTAGAGTGGATTTGGAGGTTGACTCCTGTAGCACAGACCCAATAGTATTACGACGTTTCGAAAGCATTGCTAAAGATTGTGACAAGGATTTGATGGCTGATCGACTATTGGGTGCTGCTGGTTCTATCTTCATTGGTTTGGGAGCAGCCTGCTCATCCTCAGACTCTTCACTGGAAGACTCGTCGTCATCAGTTGTCGATTTAAGACTAGGTGTACCAGCAGATAAAGATGCTATCCTATCCGGTAAAAGGAAAGATCTTGGGGGTATCGGGGTACTGACTTTTGGACCAGAATCGTCTGAGTCCTTCTTGTCTTTATTTATACGTGGACTACCAGCGTCACTGGCGCGAGCCGATTCAGTGGCAGACTCGTAAACGTCCTCCTGAGAATCGTCTTCCGGAGAGGCTCTAGTGGTTCCTTCAGCTATCACAGTATTATCAGAATTTGAGTTCGACAAGATAGGTGATGGACCCCTTGATGCAACAAGAAGAGGCGATGCGGCACTAGAGGTGGTGGATGAGTTGACTATTTTCGATGCTGACAATGCAGGCGGAATCGTTGAAGCATCGTCTTCAATACGATTCATAACAGCTATCATTTCCTGTTGATTTTTTGAGTCGGTATCATTGAAGGAGGGCATGTCTTCATCTTCTTCAGACTCGGATTCAGAAGAATCAGGGAGATGATGTCTAGGTTGGTTATCTACCGCTTCCTCTTCAGTCTCTGAAGCTTGAGTGCCTTCATCGTCTGTTTCTTCAGCTTCGTCATCTACCAACTCCATTAACTTGGCAGGATGACTAGCTTTTGCAGACTTGCCTACATCGTCATCTTCCTCTTCTTCGATGTCGTCGTCTTCTTCCTCTTCTTTCTCTTCATCCTCTTCTTCTGCTGCTGCTTCCTCAACTACTTCATTTGCCTGCTCTTCCTCTTCCTCCTTCTCTTCTTCCACTACTTCGTTATTATGTTCAACATCTCCGTCACTATGAGGTACTGATTTTGCTTGATCGTGTTGACGATCCAGGCCATCTTCAATAATATGAGGCACTACCTGTTCTTGGTCCTGTTGATGATCTATACCATCGTCATTATTAAACACAGGTAGATCTTCCTTCTCTGATATGTTCTCTCCAATCGTTTGTTGTCCTTCTGCATCCATTTCTAAAGCATCAGTTGGTATTTCTGGCCGTGCAACTTGCTCGGTAGATGTATCTTCATCGTCAACCATCTTTTCATTGGGTTTGAGAGAAGCAGCAGCACCGTCAAGGACTTTGGTGGGCTCTATATTGGGTCTATTGATCGTGCTAGAGGATTGGTCGTCGAGTATCATCAGACAATTAGGCGGGTTGATTTCCTTCCTTTCTGTAACAGTGCTAGATATAGAAGGCAATGCTGGTGGTAGCACTGGCTCTGCCATCTGAATGCCGCCGTGCATAGAGGAGGATGGGTTTGAGTTGCTATAAGGTACTATTGGTTCAACAGACGTAAGGCGATTTTGCTGTTGTTTCATTGTGTTCTAAATAAGTGATCAGCAGTCAGCCATTTGTCCGAATCCAGTCACAACCAAAGACATATACTTGCATCGATTCTCTGCTTTTTGGCACCTGGCTGTGACTCTAACGAGCTAGGCTTTCGTTTTCGGCTGCCAGAAGTAGTCCGACATAAGACTACCATATAAACAGTATCCCTCTCTTTAAAGTGCGCGGAGAGAGCATATTGCGGTAGTAGTAGCGTATCGTCAGCCAACCGTACGGAAGCAGATAAGATTCGGCTAACCAAAGAAGGGAGTGAAACCCTGAGTAAATGTCAAACCACATCTACCGACACACGAGCTTACGTTGCCTTGTCTTCAATTTCTAGTACATCATCGTCACTTAGGGAATCAACTTCTAGTCCTCTTTCATCAGTTGCAAGACTAGTGTAGGCTTCCGATACAAGAATTCTCAAATCCTTAATGTTTGCAGTTTCTGGAGTTTCGATCAAGATTCTACGTATCTCGACCACTTCTTGTAACTGTATGGGAGGCACAACACTAAACTTGCGATGATCATTCACGAAAAATAGTTCAACTAGCAATGTTGGCATGTTGAGATTTTGGCCAGATTTTTATGGTGTGATTTTTTACGACTGCGAGAGCATCCAAAGAGTGTTGATCCGTTCCCTTGCCACTTGAGATAGATTTGAGCAGCTCTGCTCGCCACCGATTGGTTGGAGTTTTCGTGGGTTGCTGTTTAATTTGCTAAATTCGTACTAGGGAGACAAACACCACGAGTAAAAAAAGGTACGAAGAAGAAGACACCAGTGATGGTAAGTCCTGGCATTATCGAATCGTTATACCTCAAATCTTGGAAATCGTCAGACACTGGTTTTGGAAGCTAACAATTCGAAACAATCATTCAGGCAAACATGAACGCAACCCTCAAAGGAGCTGAACTAGGCTTGTGAGTCACTGTTCTGATCATTAGCACCTTTCTAAGAGCTGCCCATGGTCAAATCTATGGAACCTCCCACACGACACGTCGGTGGAACACATCTGTTTTGGTAATCTTTGGTGTCGTCAAGACCTGACTCATGCCTATTTCAGGGATTCTGGTGCCTACCATGTCTCAGAAACTGATGACAATGACGATTATGACGATCAAGAACCGCTGGAACAGTTCCAAAGCGGAGTAGCTGAGATTTATGAAAACCCGTTTGAAGAAGGCGACGAAGAAGACGACGATGACGACTTCGGAACTCATCCGGTCTCGTTTGGTGGAAAGACTGGCGGAAAATCTGATCCGAATAGTGTTGCTAGCCGAGCTCGCATAGGTGAGCAGAGCAAGTTGTTAATCATGTGCCGCGTGACATACCACTCATTTTTCTGAGCTAACGCACCAGACGACGACGAAGAGGAGGAAGAATACTCTCAAGATGAAGAACAGCAAGACCTTGGCGACGGTGAGCATCCGGTTTATCGGGTTTGTCGTCCCTTTATTACATGTTGCCCTAATTGTTGCCCTAAGCCCTAAAACTGTTAAATTTACTTAGACTTTGTACCTCAAGGCCAATACGCTGACGAGGAAGAAGACAACGAGTCTTCAGATGGTGATGATTACGATGCGCCCGTTGAGTTCCGACAACAGTCTTCTCAGAAACGAACTTATTTGATGGTTGCCGACTATTCTGACGACGAAGAAAGCGAAATATCAGGTAAGCTTCCGATTGGGTGACCTTATTTGAGAGGTTCTTACCAATCCTTTCTGCTTCTTTCCTAGAGCAAGTGACTGGATACATCCAAGGTGAGGCATTTTTCAGGAACATGCTTTGCCACATCATACTCATCCAACTTTGTTGCTTTTCTCAACTGATAGACGTAGGAGGCCATTATGACGAAGATGATGCTGAAGACGACGCCGAGGGAGAAGAAGAAGATGAAACTGTTGAACCACCACCGACAAAACGCCAAAGGATCGAATAGCGGTTGCAAACATTCGAACTCGGAAGACTTTCAGTCAACTTATGTGCATCTGAAACGGATTTATCTTTAGCTCTTGAAATTGAAACGACCTCAAATCTAGCATAATCAACGTGACGTGGTGTGATCGAATAAATTGCTCCTCTTTTAATCTACATGGTTGAGATTTAGATCAATGTGCAGAATGTGCAGTAGAACTTCACTAACTAGTTGCAAACTCGTAATGTTCCTCCTCGCGTTTTACTAGGGGTTCGGTATAAGATCTTACGGTGGCACAACTTACACTTTTGTTTTCTCACTGAAAAAGCATCAACCGCTGGAGAAGAAACCTAGCCCTGTAGCGGTGTAGAGTTAGAACAAACACCAATATGGTGACCAGCTTAAGGCTCCAGCTTTTCCCCTTGGTGCTCTGTCTTGTGAACGGCGTATTATCAGCCAACATTCACCTTTTTGGGCATCAGCATGTCCTGATAAGTAACTCGACAGCTCTAGTTCTAGGTAAGCTTGTTCAGAACATGAATTTGAACCACAGGAGGCCTTCCTTTCCCGCACAATTGCAGATCTGGGGATTCTCTTGGGCTCGACATTTCTAACGGCGATTGCAATCTGTAGGAGGCAGAGGGTATCCGACATATGATTCCACTGTCGCTGTAAAGTCTAGGAACTATCAGTATCTAGTAACTCTACCATCGGACGTTACTGCTTCCGACGCATTCTATGGGGCGGGTTACATAAATTTACCATCGACTCTCCTATCGAGGCCGACTCGATACTATGATGCAGCCGTCGCTGTGGTACCCGATACAGCTGGATCTGGACCTACAGTGTGGGCTTTGAGTGGAGACGGAGTATACCAAGTTAGCACAGCTACACGATCCTGGGTTTCAGCAAACTCTAGCACACTCATATCGACAGTCGGTGGTTCGTCTGAGGCAGCATTCTTATGTGCCACATATGTATCTAGCAGCAGCACTCTCTACTTTATGGGCGGCTCTGCAAGCTCTGAAGGGGTTTCATCACTCTATCTCTACTCATATACACCCTCAACCAATAAAGCGACACTAATGGCGAGAGCGCCATCTGGACTGCCGTGGATTGGCCCGACTCCCTGCCGCATTTTTGCCGCTGCGTCAGGTACGTTTACACTTGTACGTTGACACTTTATTTGGTACCAATACTCTTTATGATAGGTCAATTGATAGTCATTGGTCCACAAATATGGACATTTGATACAACAACCGCTGGAGCGAGTTTTCAGCAGCTCGTGATAATGGCAGGAGGTCCTGCATTCCCAAGAGTTAGTACAGCAGGAGCCATGTCAGGAACTAAAATATACATCCATGGCGGAATCAACCCCAATAGTGGGACAATATACGATGATTTATGGGAATTAGATACCTCAACAAGCAATCCAGGTGGTTGGACTTGGACATCCTTGTCTAGAGCAGACAACGTGCAGCCTCCTGCTACATATGGACATTCAATGGTAGTTAATGCTGCAGGCAACTTATACCTTTTTGGCGGCGCCCAAGTACCGGCCAGCAGCCAGCCCGAAGTCATTACAAACATCACATACATCACGTCCGTTTTGACGACGCCGCTCGTATGGTCATCACCAGACACAACCAACATAAAATCAAACGGCCAAACCGTATCAGTAGACGCTTTCGCCATACCAGGATATAGTAAAACAGATGTAGGTAGCCAGCTTGTCGGTGGGACGAATGCGGGCTCGTCGAGCTCAGGTCCATCTACCGGGGTCATCGCTGCAGTCTCTGTAGCTGCTGTATTAGTAGTCGCTTTAGCCGTAGTAGGTGCAATAGCATACATACGGAAGAGGAATGCCACGAACACCATGTCGGGCAAAGATATTGCAGCATACCCACACGACAGTCACGACAGCACTGACGACTTGAACAATCAACGGTATTGGTGGTCACGATCTCCCTCCCGAAACTCGTATCTGGATGACGATCCCAAATCTGGTCGAGGGTTTTTGTCCGACAATTCGGCTGCTCGGCGAGAACAGATTGCCATGTCCTTTGTACCGAATAGTCGACCGACGTATAGTAAACCAGCTGTGAAATACCCACCACAGGACTATAATGTCGCCTATGACCCTAGGTATTATGATAATGTCACTGCACCATCTGCGGCATTTACTTCACAACGCGGGGCGGGAAGGTATGATGATACCATAGAGCATAGGGGGGATTTGGCAGCTGCCACGCCACCTCGACCAGCTAAGTCAGGACGTAGGGTGACTGCTAGAAGGAATAACAGTGAATCAGAGGATGCAATGGACGTTGCTGGCAACTCTATGCCGAGAAGGGACAACTACTATGCTAGTAGTAACCGAGTGCAATATGGACGATATGCTGATTCGTAGACTGTAATATATAGTTTTTTAGTAAAGTAGTTTGAATACAGAGATCTCAAAAGAAACTAGTCAGACTCAGTGAGCGAGAGTGACATTATAACTGCCATCGAGTTTCCTTGCGATCTCGATAGTGCCCTCCAGTATTATGAACATTGAGTGGTCGTGTGGCCAACCAGACGATGGTATCAGCTCCTTGTTGAACTGTTCGTGGTGCGGATTTGCCTCCCATGTCGGTAGCCACCCAACCTGGGTCCAATGAGCTGTTGAAAGGCATACGAGTGAGCGCTGTCTTGTAGAGGAGGTGATGAAGTTTTCAGTGAATACCTGACTTCCACATTCGCAGCACGAGCCAATTCTGCAAGTTTCACGGTAGCGTGATTCAAGAGATACTTGGACAAGCTATAAAAGCCAGTCCCATCGTTCTTATCAAAACTCCAGCTCGCAATTTGTTCTAATGAAATTTCGTTTCCTAGTACAGAGATGATTAGCCGATCCTATGGATCCAACACGATGCAATGAATTTTTTACCTGATTTGAAGTACGCCTTGGTTTTTTCACCCATTCCGGATTCGTTACCCATCGAGGAAGAGACGTCAATAATCCTGCCATGTCCTCGTACTTTCATCATTGGTATCATCCTTTTTGAAAGTAAGATCGGTCCACGGACATTCGTGGCGATAGTCGCATCAAATGCTTCTGGTGATGATCCTCGTTCTTCTTATAGCGAGCTAAATAGTCAAGACGCTTACTGATACGTGATTGCACATCAACATACCGTAAATGGCAGCATTGTTAATCAGATTGATAACCGCATCAGATGGAGTCAATTGTTCAACCTTCTTGGAGAAGGATTCGATACTGCTGGCGTCAGTAACATTCAATTCCATACCAACGATGAAGTTTGGTCGATTGTGTTCTTGGTATGTTTTTGACTCGTTGCGGATCGCTTCAGCGGCAGCTTCAGCTTCTCTGCCTTTACGAGCTGCGATTATGACATTCTAAATATGAAATTGGGTGAGTTTTAGCTCAAAAGTAGCTGAAATGGCAAACGTTACTAATGTCGGAACGCACATGTTGATGTTTGTGGAAGAGATCTCGGGCCACCTGGAAGCCTATGCCACTTTGGCGGTTAGCTCCTGTGACAATTGATATATTCGCAAACTGTGACATTTTAATCCGTAGTTGAAAACCAGATAACTAGCGCAGCTCGTAATGTTTGAAATATCCTGCTTGTAGCAGTGAAGGTGTTCTTGACCAATATCTAGAGGATGAAAATACGTTAATATAGTTCTTCTCAATCGAATTATAACATCTTACCGCAAGCGATCGCAATACAAATTGCTACTGTGTTGCTAGCTGTTGGAACAACACCAAAACAAAAAGAGATCCACAACAGAAGAGCAATCAGAGCATCATTATATGGGGCAGTTTTAGCTTTATTTCTTCAAGAAATGCAGAAAAATACGTGGATTTTTATTGAATTTGAGTTCAGAGGACTCAGTAGGCGGGACCGCTCAAAGACGGGCAGTCATTCGCGCCAAACGACCCTTAATGATGTCTTCGGCTTCAGCGACCATACGGGTGAGTAAGGCCTCGCAAGAAGGAATATCATCTATGCAACAGTGTCAATTCTGCTCAGTCTATGTACATAATCCGACAAATCATACCTATGAGTCCGAGGACTTGACCAGCAGACCAAACACCGTAGTCGACATCACCGTTCTCGTACACTTGCTTGCCACGAACACCAGCGACCAAGTGTTGGACGTCTGCGAACTTGGCATTGCCTTTACGTTCAATAGCGACGACTTCGTTAGAGACCTTGTTCTTGAAGACACTGTTTGAAAGGGCGCCAGATATTAGGCCACGGGCAATTCAATGTGTTTCAGTTCGGGTAGTGCTTACCGAGCAGTGTTGTGCATGGTACGGAACATCAAGTTAGTGTCGCGTTCAGTAGCAGCAACCATTGCCTTCTTGACGTTTTCGTGGATGGGAGCTTCCTTGGTAGCCATGAATCCTATTAAACAAAGAAAATCGATTTAGAATCAAGACTCATACAAAGACAGGCAAAGACTTCTTTTTGCTATTATGCTGAAATACTTACGGGTACCCATGTTAACTCCTTCAGCACCCATAGCCAAAGCAGCGGCCAAACCACGACCATCACCGAATCCACCGGAAGCGATGAAGGGGATCTTCAAGACCTTGGCAGCCTTGGGCAACAAGATCAAGTTGGTGATATCGTCTTCACCAGGGTGACCAGCACACTACACAGAATAAGAGGACGTGTAAATCAAGCAAGCTAATACATACTACGCGTTTCAACTATCAGCATACCTCGAAACCGTCGACTGAGAGCCAGTCTACACCGTTACGTTGCGCCGACAAACAGTGACGAATGGCGGTACATTTGTGCAAGATCTTGATGTTTGCAGCCTTGAATCGCTTGATGAATTCAGCTGGGTTGTTACCGGCAGTTTCAACAACCTTGATGCCTTCTTCGATGATGACATCAACGTATTTACTAGTTGTAAAGGACAATGAGTCAGCATCGCGATTCCAACTGGACGTCAAACAATATGCATTAAAGAGCTTACGCGTAAGGTGGGGGAGTGATGGCTGGGAGGATGGTCAAGTTGACACCGAATGGGGTCTTTGGGTCCTTCAACATAGATCGGCATCGTTTAATTTCTTGACGGAGATGTTCAGGTGTGGGTTGGGTCAAAGCAGTCAAGACACCCTATGTAAATTATACCATTGTAAGTTTAAGAATGCAAGATAGATGAAAACATTCGTTTCGCATTGAGATTGGGACATATGTCATTTGTGTGACGTAAAACATTCAACAACAGTTTAGAAGAAGGAGAAGAAAGACTTACCAAACCGCCAGCGTTAGAGACAGCTGAAGCCATTTCTGCGTAGCCGACCCATTGCTAGTTAAGAGATAATGCGGTTAGGCTTTCTGCTCTCTTGGCAAAGTTGAGCCTTGTTTTTGGCCGAACGAAATTGGAATGGTGCAACACATTTCCCATGGTCCCAGGAAAAAACAGAACCAGGGAAACGAGGCTATATAGGAAGCAAAGTAGTGCTCTAATGTAAACATACCATGCCACCTGAGAGAGTAGCGAGAAATGAGCAATGTGAGCAGGGCAAGGAGTTTGAATGGAGGAGAAATGCGCAATGTGAGTATTAGAAGAAGAGACGGGGAGCGAGAAAAGTGTAGTGTAAGTTAGGCACAATGAAGGTTACCTTGGATGATTGGGTGCTACATTACAGAAATGTTGGTTAGAATCAAAATGCGTACAGTAATTCCGTCATCGACATGTTTTCCAAGTCCAATTGCTCGTCAAATAGCAAGAAGAGGAAGCAATTACGAAGCAATAAGCAGTTTGAATCGATGGGCTCACCTTGATTCCAAGCTCTTGCGTTAATCTAGTGTGGAGAACCATCTTCTATCAGTTTTTTGTGATTTTTTTTCTGCAGAGAAATGTGTACAACGGTAGAACTGAGTCGAGAGAGAAAGAATCGAAAGAATGAGAGATTTGCTTGTGTTAATCTGGGAGGTCGGATCCAATCAGCTTCTAATTCCTCCAAGCTTGAATCGCATTCGCGTCCGAGTCCTCGAGATTCATAAACAAAATCGTGCTTGAGCGCGTGATAAAAAACGACATCTCCAAATCTTACAAGTAATTTACAAGTTTACAATGTCCTCCGTATACAATAAATTAGACGTCTGCGCATCCTCCTCGCCTTCGTGACTGTTTGTACATCGACCACAGCATACTCACTATATGTACGTACCCGTTCTCTAGTGTATTTGGCGACAAGGCCTGGAGTAGGACCAGCCACCTTTGCCTGGATAATCCCTAGTGATGGTGTCAAAAACTCTTGACACGTCATCAAACCATCGTAGTGACTTACTCTGTCGAATCGCTTGGCTCTGCAACGACTGGAGTGAATTGATTGTGGCAGTACGTCATGAATGTGGGCTTCAAATTGACGGCATTCTCCCAATCAACTTCACCAGTCTCAAAATTGGTCGACCCAAAGAACGCTTCAATTGCTGAATACCGTTGCTCAGGCTGCCAACCTTTTGAGAATACAATACCTATCAGGCAACATTTCACAATTCAAGGCAGGATGTTGAAACAATACCTGCGAAATGTAAAACCAGGTCACCGGGTTGATACCAGTCTAAACACGAGTTGAAGTCTCGTGTAGGGGTAAATTTGGCATGACAAAAGACAGTTCCCTTAGAATCTACGTCTTCCCATTCCTTTAGTGATGCCGGAATGGCTCGTAACGTAATCATGAGAAGACCTTGATCATGCCATATAATGTTTCCAAGATCACAAAGAGCTTGATCCCTATATCTTCCCTAAGAAAAAGTATCATGCTGATCAGCTGTCGCTGAGGTGGCTAACGGAGAAATAGCATACCATCGGATGTGATCCATTTACATCATGACCCAATTGGTCCTTTGTGCATTGCTTCGAGTTCGTATACATATCTACATATTCCCACATAGCCGTGAAAAACTGCAGACTGAATGGCGAATTCTTTATAAACATGATTCCGTTATTTACAGCGTAGACGTCATCTGGAGGCTGAACAAAATACAGATCGTCAGCCTTCTGCAGGTTGTTGAGTTATTGAAACGAACTGTTTACCTTGCCCATTGCGTTAAGAACAAGGTCGTAATGCTCATCAATGTGAGTTTCGAGACGTTGCGAGTGGTTCAAAAAGAATGCATCGGCATCCATCCACATTATCCAATCAATCTCTTTGCAATCCCCATCTTGTAAGGCTCTCGTTATTGCGAGAAGCTTCAAGTACTCTGAGAATATAAAATGCGTGTTAGCACTCAAACATGGCGAGATTCAAAGAGAAGGGCTTACGCGGATCAATGGCGGTGAATTCCTTGTGTGTTTGAATTTCTGGAGTGTTTGAGATTGAGTCATCTGCAAACTAACCTCATTCAAAAGGAAGAGGCATTATTCACCTTGGTAGCTCGTAGCATCGATTGTCAAGTAACCGTGTCGGTCGGCATACGAAACTCGATTTGGCCAAGTGAGTTCGTAGAGCTTTTCTTCCTTCAAGTAGAGCGAAAGAATGGCAATTCTAGGTTCGTTGGCTGCCCTAAAGTGTACTGGTAGAGGTTAAAACCTGATTGCAGCGTAACAACATTACAGCAATCGTCCAAAAACTTGGAAGATCGTACAGTTCTGCCTTCGACACTAACATCACATACCTCGGTGTATTGCACGTCACAAGTGATGACAACGGTACATCAGCACGGATTGGATCCGAGTATTTGCTTGCAAGCGTCCAAAAACCCGAAGTGACAATCAATGTGATGCTCCCAACCATCAGCGACAGAATAGCCAAGGCTCTAAAGGTCTGCCTCACCGTTAAGCGCATGTCTCTTGACGTGTATTTCATGATAACTCGAGATTCAGCCCCATTCAGGCGTGTCCTTTAGGTGTCCTCCTCTTTTCACCACCAAAAAAGTCCACAAGTACGCTATCCGGTCTAAAGATTAGTGTTGAAATGGTGGAAATTAATAAATGCGACCGCACAATTAGATCTGTTCGCTCTCTTACCTTGCAGGTTGTTGTGTAATCCCGAATGGCACTAGTAACTCCTTGCTTCACTACACATGAGCTTGAGGCTTTTACAGGCTACAACAAAGTGCAAAATAACATCAAGAGCTAATACACGAACATTCTCGATGGCCTCTCCACCTCCAGTAAAGCCTGCAGCGTCAATTATTGTGTGTGCACCAGTGATCGGAAACCCAAACGAATATAAGGTGCTCTTTCTACAACGGTGAGCTTCATTTAATCGGATATCGACTTTCACTTTACTGATGCATCGTGTTTTTGCTGTCTCTAGTAACAATCGAGGGCCATTTGGAGGTAATCACACATCGTGGAAACATGACATCTCGACATTTTAACATGACCTCACACGCTGCCCGCATTCGCATGCAGGACTGATGGTATTTCCAGGTGGAGGATTGGACAAGGCCGACCAAGATCCTATCTGGGGTAAAATTTTGGGTAAACCAGCTACACGAGAACTTGCTTTCCAGGTACGACCAGACACCAATTTTGAAGGAAGAAAGCACCCATATAAGTGTTTCCAAGCTTTAACAATTGCTCGTTCTAGGTTGCAGCAATCAGAGAAGCATTTGAAGAATGTGGTCTACACGTCTTCAAACCAGACTTGAAAGTGTCGCCTGAGGAAATCGCCAAATGGAGGGACCAAGTACATGACGATGGCAAGAAATTTATTGAAATGGCTCAAAAGACCGGTTCCATCCCCGACCTGTCAAGACTGGCTCTGTTTTCGAACTGGATTACACCGACGATGGAGACCAAACGATTCGATACTTTCTTTTTCATAACTGGTTGGTTACGTTGCAGTGCTGTTTTGAAGGCCGTCCACTGACGCTACCTATACGTTAGTGTTGCCAAAACCTGTTGCTCCTCAATCCAAACGCATGTCTGCAGACGGTGGAGAGACTTTATCCCTTACATGGTACACTCCATCAGAATGCATCGCGGCTTTCAGGAAGGGAGAGATCAAGCTCTTTCCTCCACAATTCATTACAATGGCTGAGATGGCCAAGTTGTCTTTAGACGATCTAAAGAAGATTCTGTCTGGAGCTACGAAAAGGGTTGTTACTCCATGGCAGCCAGAATTGGGACCCGGAGGTTAGCAAGGCAAATTATAGAGACGAAGCAGCGTATCACTAATAGCACTCCATTCTCTAGGTCTAGTACTACCAGGTGATGAATTCCACTCGACAACAAAGAATACCGTGAAAGCCGGCTCAAAGAACAGAGTGCTGTTGACGAGATCTCCCAACGGTGCCGGTATTGCAGATATTGAATGGATTAGAGAAACAAAATTGTAGAGCAAAAAGTCTAGACATCCCAAAACAAAGTTTTCTTAATTATAGACAATTACTTGTTTATTACCCCCCCCCCCCCTCTTTTAAAAACGACAAGTTTGAGTGAATTATGAAAGCAGCGTTACGGGAAAGTGTGCTTCTCACTACGGTGAGAGGCTAGCCGGCGAACATGAAGATGTGCTTTGCTATGTGCTCGTTGCATGATGTGCCTGCGCTTGTCCTTCTGTTCGCTAGCCGACAGTGAAGATTTGCCGAGGAAGTCTGTTCCGTAGCTAGGCTTAAACCAACCTTCGTCCTGAGCACCACGTCTGTATATAACACGGATCTGCGAAAGAAATGGTGTTAGTACAACTTGGGGCGAAATAGAGTAACTCAAGTGACTTACGGGACGAGCATCGGTCTCGAATGCCTCGTATCTAAAGTAGCCAAGAAGTAACGAATTAAATCAGGTCGAACAACAAATAACCACAAGCGAATTCGGAGCGTAAACCACTTACAGCAGGTAACGCGAATCTCCCTTTGCCACGCCAAGTGAATTCTTAATCGTACGAATCTGAGACTTTGACAGGCCAGCCTCCAAGTCCAGGATCAATCGAGCCCATTGCAATCTCCATTGATTTGTGCTAGCTTCAGACACAGATTCAAATACACCAACCAATAGTGCAATAAACACATTCAGTAGCAGGATTGCAGACAAGAAGACTAACGATGCAAATGCAAGTTGGAGGTTGTGTGGAGTTCCTGCGAATCAACTGCATACCATAAACCATGTATAATACATGTGCAAACGCAGGTATGCTGGCATATCTGAAATTATCATAAACGCCTTCCAACTGGAGAGTCATGATACGAAGTGACCATAGAATCGCACCACCCAAGTTCTCCCAATCTTCTATGTGACTTTCTTGCATGAGGATGAAGAATGCATTTGAAAAGCCAAAGAAGAACAGAAAGACTAGAAAAAGAGCCGGTGAAATCAAGGTTTTCATCATGTCCAATTGCTTTAAGGGACGTACAGAGTATAGCCCACTTGATAAGCGCCCCACGTAAAATAAACCCAAAAACCAACGCCAGAGGTCCTATCGATTGTGAGCCTGGGGTGAAGCTAAACATGTACAGCCATCTGTTGTTTTTTGCAGTGTTAGTTCGATTGAAGAGTACAGTTGAGAGAATACACATACCCAGTTATTGCTGCGAGACAAAAAGCAACAGTCTCAACCTTCCCTTCCAGCGGTTGCGTGTATCGAAGAATTACCAGCAAAAATACCTCCGCACAGAACAACAGCTGGGTCAGATTACGTTTACCGCCGAATCCAAAAAGATGTTCTCGAGGTCCATCCTGGGCCACAGAAAACAGTTCTGCGATGAACTGGCCTACAGCGCCAACCACCACTATTAGTTCGAATGGTAGCCGATGCCATCCTGATTCGGCATAGTTCGTCCTTAGCGTGTAATCTCCCGGCATGGTAGCCACCACCACCGTGAAGCAACACATGTATAAGAATGTCAAGAATAATCGTCTTGCAAACATCCCCCAGGCAAAAAGTAGCCACTTTGTCTCTAATAACGTGTAAAACAGATCGATCTCGATCATTTCTGAATCTCCGTTGATACAGGCGATTTCCAAAGCTCCAATGATTAATTCCGAGCTTTCATCTCGAAGCGAGTCTATCTCGTCGATCTAAAGAATACTGAAGTAAAAAAGGGGTTGTTGTTTTTGTTTCCAGTGTTACGTACATTATGCAGAGTAGTGGCAACCGGACCAAACTACTAGGCCGAAAGGAGATTAAAAGGCTGAAATCATGTAAAAAGAAAGTGACCGAACTGACCCTCCACAAAATCTGCTTTTCGTGCTCTATGATGTCTTGAACCATCTCAACATGCCCCGACGCAACCGCCACCAGCATGGGCGTCATACGGTCATGATTTAGCTAGCAGAGTCGTGTGAGAATCCATGCTATTCGAGACATGTAAAGCGTCATACACACAAGCTTAATGTTCGGATTAAAGCCCATCATCTCGCCAAACGTCCACGCCTTATTCCAGTACGCTAGCACATGCATAACGGTGTTACCTATTTTTTTGGGAAATTGTGTTAGCGACAATGTTGAATGATTGGGAAAAGGAAGGCCGTACCGTTAACGTCGGCCGTATCAATCTTTATTTGCGGCCAAACAACATCCGAGCCATCATGGACTCCTCCATAGACTAGTCTCTTCACTACCTCTAGCTTGTCTGCGCAAGCTGCAAATGATAACAGCGATTCACCGAGGTATAATGTTCTAAACCAAAGCAAGTCAGGTTAATCTGATTGCGTTGAGTCTGAATACATTCTCACCCCAAGTCTCTTGAAAAGAATTCACCACTAGCTCGAGGTTTAACGATATCAGCACCCGCTCGTATCTGGATTGTAACATTGTCAGCTAAGCTCTACCAGGCGTTTAAGGCACGGTATTTACCAGAGCAGACAAAATCTCGATAGTATCGGCTTCGTCGTCTTGTTGTATGACTGCAATATGAGCTGCAGATTCACCGAAATACATGGGTGCCTCGAGCACACGATCCACTAACTTTATACCATGTTGATCGGTTCTTGATCCGTACTAGAAAGACAAGCAAGGTAATTTAGTACAAACGAAGCTTCAACTGTAATAATAAGATCGTCATTACGTACTGTTGAAATCAACCACTTCGCACAGTCCAGGTGCTCGGGCGTCCCTCTTAACAAACAGACGTGCAACGCCGATTCACCTTCAGCACCACGTTCATTCAGACGATCAGGATTTGACGTCAAGATCTCTTTTAGAGTTGCGAGGTCACCGTTCTCACAAGCTGCCCAAAACGGGCTGTAAGTGCCAATATCAAACTCTGCAACACTCATGTGCTGAGACTGATGTGGCCGTTGCACCATTCCTTCGCCTGGAGGCACGCCAGATAACAATGTCAGGGGTATATAGTCGTTGATCCTCTCCCAAAGGCTAACTTTCTGTGGTGGCCCGACGTGATAGTTTGACGACTATAGTAAAGAAGACGAAAAAGGGTATCAGATGCATGCGATGACATATATGCATCTCGAAAAAGTGGATGCGGTTCCAAATGCGGGTTCTCATGGCCATCAAGTAAGCCAGCACTGACAACAAAACTCACTTTTCGTTCCAAAGGAGCCTTGTCAGATCTCCTGCGTTCACGAGACAGGTATATAGCTTCGCCGCCAGAGTGCGTTAGTGTTGCATCCCTTGTGAGCGGGGAAGGAGCTCTATTCGTTGAGTAAACCCCTCTGGATTGTTGTTTCTGAGATGTAGGACTACCAGGTACGAAAGCGGCTAATCGGTCCACTAAATCTGCATGACCGCTGACTGATGTTGGTTGGTCCTTGAGTCTTGACACCATCGCTATGGTAGCTATGGTAGCCTTCGAAATTGCGATGCTAGCAGGTTTTTGGTGAACACAGAAATCGTCAAAGCCAACCCCAGGTTTTGTAAGGGACTTAGGAGAGGAGATACCAATCAATTATTCCATTATTAAAGTCAGATGAGGGCTTTATTGTCTTATTGTCTTTATATGCAAAGCAAAGAATTGGTGTACAGGTTGGCTGCAGTTTGATTTTTTACTACAGCGAAGGCCGTCCTCTGGTTTCGGCTCATAACACAGCGAAAAACAAGAATGAGAAAGATTTTTATGTGCTATTATTATCCTTTATGTGATGGTTATTTATGCATTCGTGTACATTGCCTCATTTTATGTGGTTGGGATGAACCCGAACCAACTATTTCACCTCTTTACACTATTGTTGCAAGGCACTTACAGAATCCTCCAATAAATAGTTTGTGGTTTGGTGGTTTGTAGCAGCACCCACACGTTCACGCAAGAGAATGTGTTGTTTCGTCAATCCTTCTGGTATCACGTTGCAATCTATCTGCACATGAGTCAAGACTGTGAAAAAGCTCTGGAACTACCTTTGTGGTGGAATTTCTAGTCTTTCATGTTGATGTTAGACATGCGTGTTTGGTGGCGACAGAGAACGATACAAAGGCAAATGAGGTCACTTATCTGTATCGCCTCGTCATAAATCATCTATCGCATCTTAGTTTTCATAAGACAGCCCCGCCAACACGCCAACAGGAACCAAACATTGCAAGCTGCCAACCTCATGATTGTGAGTGACGTGATGTACCTGTCGGCACGTGGTAGAAAGCAGCTGATGATTGATGGAGATGAACATTACATTGTCTTGATTGAAGATGCGGCTACTCTTCCCACTTTAACCAAGGTGTTGCTTTCTCTGGATTAGCATTTGCTAATTGCGAGGTCTCTATGCTTTGTCTCGAGGCGGAAGTCCCCATGTGTTTCTATTTTTGACGTGTCAGATCTCTCAAAATAAGCTCTCTCCGCTCTATTCTAAAGTACAAATACTATCTCAATATGTCCAAGGTAGCTATCTTCTCGATTATTTGAGCTTCTCTCTGCTTTCATGATGTCATATTTGGACTTGCACGTGAAGACAACTAACACACCGTACGCTCGGAATAGAAGATGGAAAAAGGTGGAGACACTGCATCACCTATGACTTCCAAAGCCCAATCTACAGCCTCTGGTGCCATGCAAGGAGCCAAGGATACTGGATTTTCAATCGCACACTCGGCCACAGACACTGCGTCTGGTGTTTTGAGCAGTGCTGAAGGAATGGCTTCCAAAGCTGCTGAAATAGGTGGCAAGGTCGCTGGTGGTGCTGTTGAAACTGGCTCTCAAGCCGCTTCAGGTAGGTATTTGGCATTTATGGTTTTGGTTTGTCGTTCACGCTTTGTTTAGACTCGTACGTTCATGAGTGTTTTAACTGCCATTTCATCCAATCGCTATAGGAATTACATCTACTGTCACCGCTGTTGGATCTACCATTCTTCACACTGGACAACGTGGTGTTGAACTTACTGCCAACGTCGTTGAAGTAAGTGATTGGAACAGAGCGTACGCTCCGTTAGACATACTCAAATGATTTTTTTCTCTCATTATAGCATGTGGTCACAGCCTCTGCCAACTTGACCAAATCTTCAATCCAAACTGTCGCTGACGCAGGTGCCAAAGTTGCTGATATCGCAGCTGTCAGTGTCGCCGGAGCTTCAGAATTGGCCAAAGCTGCTGTTGGTGAGTACAACTATCTATTCATAGATTGTTATACAAGATAACATAGTCTCACTAGTATTGAAATCCTCTTTTCGCTAGGTGTTGGAACTACTGCCAAGTCCGCAGAAACTCATAAAACCAAAGCTGCTCACAAGACCGTTGAAGAATAAGTGTGTTGGTGATGAAATTATTGTCTTGTATGAATCGCTTTGTATCAACGAGTATAGTGTAGCTTTGATTTGTTGCTCAAGAAAATACACACAAAATGTTTTCGTAAATTCTAAGTATCTTGTTCGTCGGCGTAAAGGAAGCGATTCTGCTTGCAAGGATTGCAACGTCCAAAAGGTTTCTCCGTGAAGGCGAAAAAGAGGCAGTTGCATCACAACAGCACACCTAAAACGACTTTCAAGTTTTTCTCTAATACACGTTTGTATTCTTATAGTACACGTACAATAGTATTTGAAAGCCAAGCCATTGTTAAAAGAGCCAAAGAATAATGTAATGATTCCCTCATCCTCCGTCCTTCATCCTTCTCATAGCTCTGATATCCCTCGCAACACACATTTTTATATCGGTCTAGCAACACTCATACCACCACTATTCTTAATAGCACCACCACTCTCATGTGTCTCAACTTTACTAACAAACGAAGCAATATCAGGAGTAGGTACATCCTTGTCCAATTCTGCAACAACCAACAGACTGGCTATATAATCATCAGTAACCTCAGTGATTGGATGCTTGGTACACGACGCTATGATACGTCGATATTGTAAATCGGATGTGGATGTGGTTTCCTTGACATTATTGATTTCTTCTCGTAATCGTTGTTCTTCGACTTCGTGACGATGTACTTCGTTACGGAGGTTGGTTACTTCTTTACGTAATTCTTCGAGATTCGGAGGTGTTGGCTTGTTGCTATTACCACTACGAGATTCACTAGCTCCTGCTGCTGTTGATGTTGTTGCCATACCACCATGTATAAGTTGGGTTCGAGCAGTCTCTTCGGATAAAGCAGTTTCCAAAGTCTTGGTACGTAATGCTAGTTCTGGTAATTGACTTATTTGTTGTCGCAATCCCAAGTTTTGACGACGAACGTCAGCGAGTTCTTTCGTCAATTCTCGTAACATGCTTTGAGTTTCACCTAATTGATCTTGTTTGGTCTTCAAGTCACGAGTGAATGTGGAATTCATGTCTTCAACCATTCTTTCAACCGCTACAAAGGAGAAGAAATATTATGAGTTAAACAAATTCTCAACAAAGCACAAAAAGAGCGATCCATGATCTAGGTGTATCGGACCCAAGATTTAAACACATTGTTACTCACTAGTTGCAACAGCCTTGCCCTTAACAACAGGCATTCCCATAGCATCTACGTGTTGTCTCTGAAGCGGCGGAAATCCCATCCGATTAGATTGCACAGCAGCAGCTTCCGGACTTCTAGGCCTTTTACGACTAGGTCCTCCGCCACTTTCTGAATCAACCATCATTGGCTCGTTTGTTGACAAGATGGATGCAATCGTTGCTGCTGTAACTGCTGCTGTGCTTGCTGTTGTATCAGCAGCACTAGTAGGTATGACACCTTCCATGGCATTACTACTACTATCACTAGGCATAGCATTAATCTCAGGTGGTAGCAAATCATCAGTCATAGACTCCGTCAAGGCTCGTACAGCTGCAGCGGCAGCACGTAAACCCTCTCCATGATGTAATAAATCATCAATTCCAAAATCTGATGGTCGAATACCAGCCTTATTTTCCATATCGGGTGATGCTCCAATATCCAATAACTGTTCTACGAGATTACGGTTTCCGAATCGAGCTGCAATGTTAAGTGCAGTATCACCATGTTTATCTTGTATATCAATCAGAGTGCCAAAGAATCCACCTGCCATCGCTCCGATACGTTCGAGGACACATTCCATATAATATTTGGCTGCTAGAGATCGACCTTTTATACCTGCTGTGAAAGCAATATGATGTAATACGGTACGATGCTTGTTATCAACCAGTGATATGGCATCAGCCAATATGTTTAATAATTCAGGGAAGCTCTGACTATCATAGTTATTGGTTACGAGTACAGCACGTACAAGTGCCGATTCACCCAAATTATTTAATCGTTTTATATTTGCACCCTTTTCAACCAGTAATCGAAGTATTGCAATACGACCTAATGCAGCAGCCCAATGTAATGCTGTGTGTCCCTGATCATCAATAACGAGATCAATATCTAGATCTGTAGGTGGGGTAGGATTTGTCAAGAGATCAGGGATGTGATCACGATCCTCATTCAAGAAGAGAGCCATGAGTGCTGCTCGGTGACGTTCAGCACCTGTCTCGACTAGATTTGCTGCAACGTTATATCCACCAACGTATCCATTTGGTCCATAATCATCTGCTCTATATTTTTTTCGTGATGGACCTGATGGTGGTGAAGATGCGGGTGTGTTTGTTGAGGTTTGTACAGGTGTTGGACTTGCTGACATGAAGGGTGTTGTTGTGGTGTCCTTTCCATCACGAATGGCATTTTGTATGGCACGATACGTTGCAGCGGTTGTTGACACTGGTCGAGCTATTGTGAAAGGGAATCAGAACAAGATAGCTTGACACGCAAACAAGCGTTTGAAATGTCTTGCGAAATGCTTACAAGAACCAGCTGATGGCTTCTTCTCTCGGGTAGCAGCCATATATTCTTCCTTTGTAGGCGTCTTATCTGATCGACCAGCTGGTGGAGGCTGAAATTCCAGAATGGCTCCAAGGTAGTGCTCAACATTATACTGCCTCGCCAATGCAACACCACGTTCAAATGGAATCCTATCAAAGCAGGAAGAAAACGAGTTCAGACACAGTTATGCCAAGAAAACGTACATGAGCATGACAAAACAAAAAAACCAAGTCAACAAGGTCTTCGACATACCAAGTTCCCTGATACTTTCCATACCCACCCTGCACCTTCTCATGTTCACCAGTCAAGATTTCACGTTCCAAAATCTTTGTCCGTCTGCCCTTATCAATACCAGCCACCTTCAATATCTGAGTAGCGTTCAAGAAGGAATCAGCACGTCGTCTCATGACAGCTACATTCCTACACATCATTTCGTATACGGGGACTCCAGAATACACTGCTGCGTATACGGCATGACTTGCTATTCCTGCTGGTGGTGTTGGTACTGTTAGAGTAACAACGGGAGTTGTAGCAGATGTAGCGACAGCTGATGTAGAAGAAAGAGCAAGACCAGTTGAAGATGGTGGTTTGAGTATTATTGTTGGAATTGCGGGTGGTGGTGGGGGCATAGATCTGCTGGCATTTGGATCGTCCATTTGAATGACATGTTGATATAGTTGTTGTGGTGGTTGGATTATAGGCGGTATGAAAGGAAACTGCTGCTGCTGCTGTTGGTATTGCTGTGATGTTGTTGGTGGTGGTCCGTACAAGAGATTCGCGTCTGTTTGGTGCAAAAGGAGATTTGATTAAATACTAGAACACGTTCAGACACGAAAGAAATATTTCGCGTTTGCGACTGTGACCGTCAAGTTTGAAATCAATAAAGTTACCTGATGTTGGAAGCATTTGAGGCTGTTGAGGATACAATGGCACTGAGGTAGTCGGTACACTTGCAGTCTGTTGCGACGCGTGTTGATATGAATCGGCCAGGAAGGCAAGATCATCCAGCGGATTCGACTGGCGACCTTGTTGCATTCTGGTCGGTGTGTTTGGTCCTTGTTAATTGTTTCAAAGTAGGAGGAATGACCAAAAGATGAGAATGATGGTATAAATTGACGTGACTATGGCATATACTTACGTGATTAGAAGTCGTTTCCACTTTGCTTTCAGAAACCGTTTGCTGTCTCGTTTCGTGTGTTTTGAGAGAGACGAAACGGATGACAAAAAAATGGATGTTTTGATGAGAAACCGAGTTGGAGAAGATACTGTTACGTGTCTACATATGCAATAAGTAATTGACAATATTGATCCGTGCAGGGTGAACTAGTCTCCTGACGAGGTTTGATACGAATACTCGGCAAATGATAGAACAAGTTCGCGTTGCCTTCCTAGTGAAGTCGAGTACTTTGACAATTGAAAGCCAAATGGATATTTAAATGACTAATTTTGTTATGTTTATTGCTCATAGATCGCCTTCATAATAACATATGACAACGAGCTTAGTAAGCACAGCACCCTATAATCGCATCCGTCCTAATCACATACATCCATCAAAAGGGAATATATAAAGCATGGTTAGTGAGGCAGATATGTGCTATTTTGCACCTCTTTCATACAGGGAATCTCGTCTCCACCTCCTTCTCCTATATTGAACAAACTTTCCCTATTGTTTGTCGTTAATCACCGACTTTGATGAAGCTCTGTGGAATTTTTTGACGGCAATGGATGCAGGAAGTAGATATTCAGAGGCAATCTCGTCAGAAATGCTGCATTGTGTACTGCATCTTGGAAGAAATGAGGGATTTAAACTTATTTGACATCCAACATTTGGACATTGCCAGAAAACTCATTAGTCGATCACGTATTACACCCCATTTGACGGAGAAGAGACCTATTGAAGAGCTACTAAATGAACACATATACCCGCATCTTGAATCATTTGACTAACTGCTCCTCTCATACGATAGGCCAAAGTTAAGACTATGGAATTGAGGTCCAAGACCAAAGCCGAGTTGACCAAGCAACTCGATGAATTGAAGCAAGAACTTGCCTCTCTAAGAGTGCAAAAGGTCGCTGGTGGAAATGCTTCCAAACTTGCCAAAATGTAAGGCAGTGAGCAAAACGAGAAATCATTTCCGATAGTCGAACTCAGCTAACTCAACATCTCTCTCGTCTCCCTCTCTCCATTCATTCCTCCATCAATATCCAACCCACTCAACAAATACCTATATATTCAAACCTCAATTAGCAAGGACGTCCGTAAATCAGTCGCCCGAGTCAAGACTGTCGTCACTCAAACCCAACGAGACCAACTCAGGTTGTACTACAAGGGCAAAAAATACATCCCACTAGACCTTCGCCCAAAAAAGACTCGTGCCATCCGTCGTCGTCTCACAAAGTCGGAAGAAGGCCTCAAGACTCTAAGAGCTCAAAAGGTCGCTCAACACTTCCCTATGAGGAAGTATGCTGTCAAGGCATAAAATAGTTACTCTAGCTGCTCTGTAAAATAAAACTAAACTTGTCGCACACTCACATCGTGCTTTAGTGTTCATTTAGACGGGAGGTTGAAGATGCAACAGTAAGAAGGGGTCATACCTCTTTTAATGCAACGATGTCGTGCAGATACTGATGTTGAACTGAGGGAAATGCGAAAAACAGACCTACGACTGAAGTCCTGGAGTGCAACTCACGCGCTGCTCCTATGCAAATACGACTCTATTCTTAGATTACAACAACAAACCCAACCCAATCAATCTCCTCCATTATAATTGAGCACACGCCGGGACTTGTCCCTTGAAAGTTTCAGATAGCGATACAACAAGTCCAACGAATCCTTGATAACGACAAACGCACAACCACCAATTAGAGACTGATGAAACACATCCGGGAAATATTTTCGAACCAAAGCAATACGAGATATCAGATTTTGTCCAAGAAACGATGCAAGTGCTATTGTTCAAAGGTTAAAATGAGATGTTGGAATTGCATCAGACAAAAAAACAGCAAGTGATTGAAAAAGAACACCTACCAGGTAGTAGCAAAGCACCCACTACAACTCTCGGCCCATTCCTTCTTTCAAGACGTTCACCGTTACCAACTACAACACCATCATTATTCATTACGAAATCATCGTCTTCTGCTACCCCAGGATTATCAAACTCAAGATCATCGGCTGGTATAACTGGTGGTGGTGCTGCTTCACCCCTCTTTTGGAATATGAGGCCCTTCACTGCTTTATATGCTCTGGCGTATACAATTCGAGACCATGGGAGGAGGCATAGTGTGAGAGCTCTAATAGCGATATATTCGATCAAATTTTTGGTTGGTCAGTGAAGAAAACAAGCAAACACGTACGGAGAAGGCGGCATCGTAAGCTTCATCTGCCGATTCCCAATAATGATGAAGGGCAGTAGCGGAAGTAGCGGTTCAGGCGATGACAACCGTGACAATATCAGACCAATCGGAATCATGGGGAGACCAAGCCATGTACGCCAGCTCCATGGTTCTGAGAGTATTCTTTCTCCTTCAAGTGGCCCACAAAACATGTATACTACAAAAGCGCCGTACGTTGTTGATGCGACCATTGCAGCTGTTCCGAGACCGGCGAGGGAGATGTATGGGACTATATCGCCATAGACCTACACGAGAAGTCGTAAGCGATTTGAAAAAGGGTGGACATGATTGAAGCGAGGTTTACCTTGTCGATGATTGCAAAGACACTGAGTATGGCCGTCGAGTTCTGTTTGATTTTATACTGATATCCGCAAGCAGCACAAGCGACTATGGACGATGTAGGTGTACTTTTTTCGGCAATCCATTTAAGCAGACATGCTTCGTGTGCCCATTTCAGCGACGATTTACATTTGCCTAAAAGAGTTTGAAGGTTTAATGTATTAATGTCAAGATCTCGAGATCGAAATCGAACGCATTAGAGGTACAAAGTCAACAAATAGATCAGAACATAGCGATTCAAATCATGCCTATGCTATGCATACTCACATGGCTTGCTCCATGATTGATTTTTCAACTCAGTGTCACTCACTAAACAAATCCAGCATCGCCTCTCTTCCTCCTCTGACGCTTTAATGTCCTGTAGTGGACTCGGCATTGCTGCGCTATCAGTCATATTCCTCTCTTCCTGCCTCCCGTGATTCTCATCAACGGTTGCCATTGTTGTGTACTGTTGGAAGCGTTTGTGTGTGTGTGTCGAATTACGACTAGGAGACAGAAAATGGCCTCTTTTATTCAAGCTACAACTGGTGTCAAACACTCAAAACACGCCTAAGTATTCGTCAAACTTCCGTGAACGACACAAAGGGTTACTTGTTCAAAGTTTACTCATTGATACCACATCACAATGTTACATTCATATATACTAGACGTGTTTTTACTGTCCAAGTATGGACTCAATGAACGCCTTTTCATCACTTGGATTCGGATCTCTTCCCAAAAAGTCCTTGAGCATTTGCGCTGCGTCGACATTGGCACCTGGCTCCAGTATCTTTTGGCGATAATCCAATCCTAGGTCCGTATCAAGACACTTCTTAGGCGACTTCTCAAATCGTGTAAAAAGTGTATGAGAATTGACCTGTGGAAAAATCTGGTCAGCATGATCCTATTGTGGTTGCTTGTTTCTTTTGGCACTCACCTCAGCCCAAGCATAGCAATAGTAACTCGCATCATATCCACCCATATACAAATGATAAAAGCTACAGGCTGGATCAGTTTCAGGTATCATATCCATACGCACAACCTCCTTTTGTAGCTTCCTCCACTCTTCTCGCAATTCAACACCTGGCTTCATCACCCATTCGCCCTTTGTGTCTTGTTCAAAGAGAGATCCGTTGTGTATCTTGACGTCAAACAGGCTCATGAATACTTGCCGAGAGTATCGGAGTCCTGGTACCAGATGTCTAGATTTTTGGATACCGACAATGAGATCGTCTGGTAGTGATTCACCGGTTTGGTAGTGACTTGATAGGCGCTTCAAGATGACGGGATCATAAACAAAGTTCTAATTTGGTGCAAGAATCAGTGGAAAGACCGGATATCGCCACTGCGGGTGTTTGACCGTTTTTGGTTTGGCTTACCTCCAACATTTGAGATGGTGTTTCTAAAAAGTCAATTTCAACGCCACCAGGGTATGGCACGACACTCCAAGACCACGAGAACAAGTTATACTTTGTCTTGGTGCATAAATGATGTACGACATGGCCGAATTCGTGGAAGAAGGTTGTCACTAGTTTTGATTGCAGAAGAGAATTTTGTTAGATTTGCAAGCAAAAGAAATTAAGTTTTAGTTTTGTATCTTTAGGGCAAAAAAGGGCGAATGGGGTTGCTTTGGAGACTTGCAAATATTCCAAGTTACTACCTTCTGAATGCCTCAACAGTGCAGGTTTCCCTGGTGTTGGTTTTGAGAGGTTGCCAACATTCACTGCAACACCAACGACTTCACTTCCATCTTCCAGCGTCAATGAAGGTTGTAGTGGCACAACACACTGGTGGCCGTATTTGCCTTCACGTGGATATATATCCAAGAAGAAGCTATAGAAAATGATTGTAAATTTATGTGAGCCATGAGGTACTGAGCATAATGAATCAGCACATGAAGAGCACATAGCGAAAAAATGTCAAGTGTTAAGACTGTATGTGCACTCACTATCCAATAAACACACTCGGCCCCTTGTCATAGACAGCATAGAGCAGCACATCTTCATTCCACGTCACGTCCGCCGTATCGAGTTTCTCAAACCGAAGATGCAATACTTCTTGATATACATCGAATATTGTGGCGATAACATGATGCACAGGAAAGTATTGTTTCATGACCTCATCGTCTACACCGCATCGTTCGTTTCGAAGCTTGGATTCACAATACCCTGTATCCCAAACCTGTAAATCTCCAGTTTCACCAGACTCGTTGAGTTTACGTCTAAGGTCCGTCAGATCTTGTATGAGACGGTCTGATAACAAGTTCTTCATTCGTCCTAATAGACCATTAACAGCATCTGTTGATCCAGCCATGGTTCCTTTTAATTTATATGCTGCATGTGATGGAAAACCTAAAAGCGTAGCTAGTTTGTGTCTTGACAGGATGAGCTTGTTCAATAAGGGTGTGTTTTCGGTGCCTGCTCTAGAGTTGTACCCTTTCGATACACGGAATCGTGTTTCACGATTCGTACAGGATTGTAAAATCGATACTACAGCAGGTGTCTTCATTGGCACGACTATTTTACCGTTATCGATCCGCGTCAGTGATTTCACAAACGATTCCTCACATCCAGATAATTCGTCTTCGGAATCTAGTAAGATGATACTGACATCCTCATTCACATTCTGTTGACATGCTAGTTCTAGTTGCGTTATTTCACGTTTGAAGGCTTCAGCTTGAAACCTTTGTTCTGAGGGTAGATTGACCCCGTTCTTTTCAAAGAGGAGCAACGTTCTGTCTAGAAGGCGTTCATAATCTTTTGGGATTACGTGTGATTTGAGTGATAATAGTTTGGAGTATACGTCTTGACGAGAATATATCGAGTCCCAAGTGTTCTTGAGGAGTTCCTTTGCAGCAGCCGACGCAGCCCTTGCGGTTGGATCAGAAGAGACCAATGATGGAAATGTTACTTGAGCCTAGTATGTTATTTAAGAAGATGAGATCGCTGTTGAAGTGCAAAAAAAGACATCTTAACAGGTATTGATGTTTGTATGGCATCAAATGTTGGACCACGACCACCACCAACCACACATACTATAAAACCGATAATACCTGAACCGAAGCAGCCTGAGCCTCTCCATAGTTCCATTTAAGTAGAGACTCGACACTAGCTGGCATACCAGCAACGACATTCCCATTTTCCACCAACGCTTTTGCGATAGACTGTGCAAGAGACGTGATCTCTGCGGCACTCCTAGAGAGACTGAAATTGACTACTGGAGCCATTAATAAAACACTATGGAGACTATGACCGATCGACTAGTATCCTCAACACAGTCTGAGCTCGATACTGAAATCGTCGAACGAGGAGAGGAGATCCTAGCTTCTAAATCACGTGCAGCACTACCTCCAAGAGATGCTTACAAGGTTATAAACCAAGCTGGAAAATATTGGAATGATTTCTATATGAGGAATGAGACTAATTTCTTTAAAGACAGGTAACATTTGAGTGATGAAGAGGAGTGCTCCGTGTTTTAAGGTGATGCTGATCGTATTTTTTATGTGACAGGCATTGGACTGATCGAGAATTCGAAGAGCTCCGTTCTTCCGACGCGGTGATTCTGCTAGGTATAACTGCCTTTTTTTTGCTTACACATTTGCGACTTTAGCTAACGCACACTTATATTACAGAACTGGGATGTGGAGTGGGAAACTTTGTATTTCCTCTGCTAGAATCGAATCCAAACTTGTTCATCCATGCTTGTGACTTTTCTGCAAAGTGAGTGATGATGCACCAAAACAAAAATCGAAACATGTCACCGGGTCTATGTGAAGAAACACCAACCATTCCTCTCACGCTTTTCGAATCCTGTTAGAGCTGTAGACCTCCTCAAAGAAAACTCCAATTACAACACAACAAGATGCAACGCATTCGTCCACGACCTCACCAAACAACCCCTATCAGACAAAGTACAACCCAACTCACTAGACATTGTCAGCAACATATTCTGTCTCTCAGCAATCCCACCTGCATCTCTCGAATACGTAATCGACTCAATCCATGCAGTCCTAAAACCACATACAGGAATACTTTTATTTCGTGATTATGGCGTATACGATGAAGCCGAGTTACGGTTTAATGGTAACAGGAGGATCTCCGAACATGTGTATGCGAGACAGGATGGCACACTGGCAGTGTTTTTCAGTAAGGAAGGGTTGAAGGAGTTGTTTGAACAGAGGGGGTTTGAGGTGCTTGAGATTGTGTATGTTAGAAAGAATACTGTTAATAGGGCAAAGGGGACTGACTCTGATAGGGTGTTTGTGCAAGGGAAGTTCAGGAGGCTGTAAATTTGGAACACTTACTTGGCTATAATTTGTACATAAAGGCACAGTTGCATCGCGTAAGGTAGTGTTATAATTTATACATAATGGCACAGTTGTATCTCATAAGGTGGTGTTGAAGAATGATGCATCACACGTGACTCTAGTCAGAACTTTAAAAATTGATCCCATCCATCGTGTTTCACACTGGACGTCTCTAGTGCTATCAAACGCATCCGGCAAGAACTCCTGAAGAATAGGACTATTGCAGAAGAAGAGGACTTTGTTACTTGATTTGGACAAATATGAGTCAACGGGAAGCGCCTCCTGGAACCAACTGGTATGGTTGGGTGAAGGTTTTAAAATTTGAGAATGGTCACCGTACGCTTCTAAGTTTCGTGAATTCAAAGTACAGAATCCTATGACACTATCACATATCCTGTTCATGGATCCTGTTTCCCTCTTGAACCTGTTGTTTTGCAAGAATCGAATATCAGAAGTCAGGGATTTTTGACGTCAAACATATCTTCACTTTCAACTAGTCTTGTTGGAAACCTTTCATCGAATACTGAATGTAAATGGTCTTAAAATATCAACAAAAAGCAAGTTTGCCAATCCAAATCCATCAACACTGTCGTCATCACTTTAGCGGATCAACTCCCAGCTGCGTTTGAACGATACGGACATGTCACAGATGCCATTGTACCGAGAGATGGTGTATTTGGTCGCAGTCTCAGGGTTGGATTTGTGACCATGTCGACTGCCAAAAAAGCAAATGCTGCAATCACGTATAGATCCAAGCTCTCCTGAAAATGATGCCCCTACTGAGACAATCATGTTTTAACGTCTGAATACTGAATGAAGCTGTTCTCGATGGACGGTATGGTCTAGTTTTGTCGCATCAAGTTGGCATCCATACAAGTCCTATTCATTCAGCTTACTGATTATGCTTTTACTGGAATATTTGTGTCACCTTATCAGCCTCTGGTGATTCTTTGAGCAGTCTCAACATCACTCTCCTCATCAAACTTAACCGTCAATCTCTCATGAAAGGTCATGTCGAGAAACCTCAAAAGAAAAGTATTGAAATCTGTCATCTGGAGGTTTCGCCTAGAACAGTACGAGGAGATCTCCAACTTAACGTCCAACATGTCCCAATTCACCAGCATGGCTACGGCAGAATGAATGCCTTCTTTTCTCACCCAGGATTATGCACTTCAAGGCTCAACACTTGTCTTGCGATTATAGTCCATTGTCCTGCCAGAACAGTTTTTTTCATTCTCCAAACTTCATGTATCTCGCGGCAAAGTTCCATCCAATTTTGGCTTGGGTGCTCAAGGTTTGAGATCATTTGGACTTTTGAGGTGTTGCAAACTATTTTGCGTAGCTTTGACTTAGTAATTTTTGCTATTTTCAGGTCTCGGGACTGAGCTTCATATGAGTAGACAACTTCTATTGTTTGCAATGGCGCCTGTAGTAAAGGTCTCAGTTGCTATTTTGAGGCGTGTTGGTTATGCCAAGGCATCGTATGGAAAGGGTTGGTGAATGATTTTAAAGAGTTCCGCTCTGAATTGAATGGAGTTGAAGCTGATGTAGTCAACTGCCCCTATATCTGCACGAGGTAAAAGTTGGGTTTCGTGCGCTCCTTTTCGTAACTGTAACTTTCAACTGCTAATCTCTTCTTTGAAATCAATTAGCGCTGCTGTCCTTGTTGACAACCATACAGCCAAAGTCTCTATTCTGAAAACAAACCGAACTGGCCGGTTGGATCTTCGCGATCCCAGTTTGGCCGGCCAGTACTCTGACGCTCAGCTCAATCAAACTCTTATGTGGGCGAGCCTCGACTTATGTCGTGATATCGTCCACAACACAATCAGAATACAATATGACGTTGATAAGTACGTCCACTCTTGGAATCTCTCTGATGAAGCTCGAGAACTCTTGCGCTCTGCTAGAGCAAAGGGCTCGTCGAAAGCGGACTTGAATCTTATTATGGCAACGTATGGAACTTCACGTCAAAACTCCTCTTGAATCCATGAAGAATTATTTATTCTGAGCTTGTTTTGACGAAGCGGTAGATTTGATTCTTTGTGAATGCTGTCCCAAATGCTGGTACCCAAAGATGCTCAGGTTGTGGTGGTGCTTGGTATTGCTCACGAGCCTGCCAGAGATTGGATTATCCTGCACACAAACAATGGTGCAAGGTGCATCCCTTGAAAAAATAGTAACTGACTTCAGCATATCATTTCGATTGTAAGAGTTTTCTGTTGAGTTTTATATCAGCTACGTGATGGGATGTATGTATTTGTCTGATGATGAGAAGTTAGCTTCATAGTGTAATATCTAGAATAAAATGCTTGGGTTGTATATCGCAAATACACATTCATATAATCCGCAACAAAATCGAGGTACTTGAGACTGCTTATATTGAGAAAGACACAAGATGCGTCAAACAAGTTAACAAATACAAAGCCTTCTTCAATTTAGCCCGCCGAGTTTTTGCGATGCAAATTCCTATATTCTCTACAACATTTACAAATACCCTTCATATAAACACTGGCATCCACACCCAGTAGGACACTCAACCTCCCCATTCTCGTCATCCTGCTGCTGCGGCTGCCACTCAACACCATCACCTCCACATCCTCGGCTATGTCGACTAAACCACTCCTTCATATGTTTCGCATGCCCTCCATGCCCACACAATATACAAAACGCGACAAGTCCTTTACACGGTAGCCGACAGTACGCACATATAGGAGCAGACGATTTACGGTTGCATGAGGGACATGGTGCAGGATTGACAAAGTTGAATTGCTTATGAGGTGCGTGTGATGGTGAGTATGAGGTGGTAGAGGAAGAATGACGGAATGCGGATAGTGCGGGTTTGAATGTTGGTGGTGTTGATGGAAGAGATGAGAGTTCTGAGCCACAGAATGCACATTGTAGACCGTATTCTACAAGGAAGCGAAAAAACTTTAGCGCCATGATCCAAGTACATAAGGATCACTTCACAGTCTCAAGCATTACCTATATCTTCATGCTTTTCAAAAGATGATCCAGGCAAATGCGCCACAAACTTCAACAACTCAGCACGCTGCTCGAGCAATCCCCACCCATACAACATGTCAGCATACGCTAAACGTATACAATTGAATGTATACCGTTTAGAAGCATCCAACAAGTACGACCGTTTAATACCACTACTACCTCCTCCACCGTTCCCAGTCAACAGAAACGAATGTCCATTCTTTCTCCTTTCGCCATGTGACTCTTCACCATCCAGTCCAAACTTTGTTATAATAAATCCGTTCGAAGTGGTTATACCAGAATCACCCATTACGGATCTGGGACGTATAGTTGCCATGAGTAGAGCTGATATTTGTGTCGGCAGGCTAGTTGGTATTCCTGATAGTCGTCTGCTGCGTGGTAGTATAGATGTAACGCTGTTATTATCGGATTTGTTGGTGTAGGCTTGAGGAAAAAAGGGTGCTGTGATTGTTGATGGGCCTGAAGTTGAGGTTTCTCGAGCGTCAAGAGCTCCCCATTGACGATTTAGATGGAGCGGTGGGTATGTTTCACTTGCTATTGAAGTCATAAAGTGCGGTGACATTACTGTTAAAGGTGGGCTGGGAGCATTACCAGGCATCCCAATAGATGAGAATGTTGGAGAAGGGCTTCGTTCTACTGGCTGTCGTTTGATGAAACATTGTGAGCGTACTGCCAAAAACGCTTTGAATTTAAGAACAAAATACCCGAATGTTTGGAAGGAAATCCTTTTCTGTCTTCTCATTCTTGAATGGCTGACTCAGTACACAAGATAGCATGGCAGCTGTTTGCACATCTCCTGTACGTTCAAGAAACTTGAACCTATGTGATATGAGCGTTCAAGGCAGCAAAAAAGTCAGACTCCTTCAAACTCTTGATGTTTTCTCATTGCAACTCTTACATGCTATCAATAAGCCTCTGTCCAAAAGGATGAAATCCCCATTCAACGCGTCTCCAATCTCTCCATTTGCCCTCAGACACCAATATCTCCATCGCCTTGGCATCAAATTCAGCTTCCATAGCTACACCACCGTCTCGATGCACATTGACATGATCAAATGACGGTACACCAGCAGCTGTGGCAGCACTCTGAAATAACGACAACCAAATGTTACGTTTCTTATTCTTGGCTATTCGCAAATCATAATAATACGGCGCTGATCGAGCAAGTAATAGTCCTACTAGACCCCATAGTTTAGCTATATCTGGACGATTGAAAATCGTCGCAGCCTGACAATTTTGTCCACATACGGTGACTGGATCGTCATCAGCTAGAGTATACACCCTCGCTAATTCTTCACTGACGGGTAGAATCCCACGTACATCCTTGACAATGACGAGCGCACCACGAGACCATATAATAGAATCAGTCATCATGTCGCTTGTCATGTCATCACCATCACTAAATATAACACTTCCCATTCCTGAATTACTAGTGTTGCGACGATGAGGTGAATTATGGTTTGTATAGGTTGTCGAACTGCCTTGCTGTAACCGTTTAGCTTCTTCCGTAGGTACACGAGTTAATGGTATATCGGATGTATCTGATGGTGATGAAGAGACAGTTCCTGTTCGTCTATGCCTTGCATGGAAAGCTGTAGCGAAAGATGGTGTCGTGTCTCCGTTACTAAAGGTTTGGCCAAATGATGGCATTCTTGGTCGATTCGACACAGGTGAATACGTTTTCGTTATAGATAGACGTGTCAGCAGGTTGGCTGGGGTTGGTGTTGTTGGGGCAGTAGATGACTAGAGAAGGGAAAAGGTCAATCACCCTATTTTCAGTGAAGCAACCTCTGCATACCTTATTCGTATCAAATCCTCTCTTTACATCTTCATCATCTTCAAAGTCTTCAGAAGTTACAGGTCGAGGTGTCCGTAAAAATGTAGCGAGATTGGTGGCAATTGCTCCCAGAGCCGATGTTGCATGAGGACCAAGAGGTCCATGACCTCCTTCTAACAGGAATGCACGGAATCGTTCATAGGTAGCATAGTTCTGTGGTTGTGGCTGGCCAGAATTCGGATTTCCTGATGATGTAACAGACGAAGGAGTTGTTGAAGTGTGGGAAAATCGTGTCATTGATGGATGAGGGACCGGCGAATGGAATGTTACCAGACGACCTGAAACGATGGAGTAAAGTGAGGGTGAGTGAGTGAAAAATAGGAGACGAAGCAGCCCCAGAAGCAAAAAAATCAAAATATACAACACTCATACCACTTGGAGAGAATCGCACACCACATAAACATGGATATGGTACATTAAGCCCATCTGATGCCGATGGTTGAAGTGGTGTCGTAGAAGATACATCTAAAGTACGACTCTCTGTTCGGTCTCTAGAAGGTGTCTTTCCCACAGGAGGAGGTGAGACACTTACTACTTTTGCTTCGTTTACTGTATCGAGGGCTTGAGTCTTTGCGGTGGGTTTTGTCGGTGAGGCCATTGGAGTTGCTCTTGCTGAAGTATCTTCGTACAGGAGGTACTTGACACAAGAATTCAGAGATAGCGATCCAGTTGTAGCCGTTTGTTCAGCGATGTCTGCTAGAGCCTACGTTTTTTTAAACATTAGTCACACTATATTTTGAACCCATAGCGAATGCAACATCGATAACAGCAAAAAAAGGGAGAGCACAGAACGTGGATGCACACCTCAAATGTCCGAGTCCTATCAGCCATAGACATCATAGCAGTCTTTTGCACTTCAAATGAAGGAGCAACACCAATTTGACCAGGATATCCCATTGGATATCTGATATCGACTCGTATCAAACCACCCATTTCTTTAGCACGTTGAATCGTCATAGTGCAAACTCTACCAACAAAATCAACACCATCAAAAGTGACTCCTGGAAATTTCTTCCGTATAGCTCTCATTTCTTCTTCCCATGACTTGGGGGCATCTTCGAACGGTGTTGATGGTTCTATTCTACGAGAAGGAGAAGTGGGCGGTGTCTTGTCCCTTGATTGAAATGGTTCAGGACTATGGACGGTTTCTGATATAGATAGTTGGGCTGGTTGATGATCTATCTTGGCTAGAGATGATACTCGATGTGATGGTTGATGTCCGACACCCTAGAAGAGCATTATTCACCAATTTGAGATTACCTGGTTGTTTTGTTAGCTTTCAGCGAAAACGCATATTTACCTTCATGAAATCCATATCTACAGTCCACAATCTCAAATACTGATCTTTAGCCCATGTAACAAGTTGGAATTCACGATCATCACCATCAGCAGGAATATCGCCACCTCCAATAAATCCACTAGTTCCACCCTTGATTCTCCATACGAATTCACGAGGTACATCCATATGACCTGTGAATCGATGTATCGGCTGTAAAGTATCACGACTCCAAAGAGTCAATGAATTGTCTTTACGTTGTGGCATTGTTAGAATTCCGTGTCCAAATGGCTGGAGTGAGAGATTTAGTGTGAGATTTTTTTGTTGGTCAAATATCGTTTCGAAAAAAGGTAATACTTACCGTGTAACGAGCTCTCCAAACAGGAGATCCAGTATCAATGACGCCTGAGCAGGTTTTTCTGTTGACGTCCCAGAACTAGCCAAAAAGATCAGATTAATTAGAACCTTTAATGGCGATGGAACGTTTTGTTTACCTGAACACGAGAGTCTTGAGAGCAAGTAGCAATTTCAGTATCACTTGTCCTACTCCAATCAATACCATATATTTTGGATAGTCCAACTCGTATCAGCGAGACTGGTGATGATCCTCGCTGAAACAAAAAAGTCAGCACGTCAACATGACAATGACATTCAGTGCCACTCACTCGAATATCCCATATTCTGAGATCAGCATCATGAGAACTAGCTAACAGCACATCACTCTTTCTCGAGAACTTGACTTGAGTAGCACCAGCCGTCCAAGCCGGGAAACTCATTGCTGGTTTATCCACAGGACCCCTGAGATCCCATAAGTGAACAAACGAGTCATAAGAGCAAGTTGCTAGCATTTCAGCTTGATGTGGGGACCAATTCAAGTCTGAAACAGCTCTCTCGTGTCCGCCAAGAATGTACTCGACAGAACGATTCGAGTCAGAGTCTGGTAGTGAGACATTCCATACTAGAGCCTTTTGGTTTGACTACATAATCGCTCGAGAGGCAGAATCAGTTCGAAATCACTGACACAAGCCGTATTGCAGCTTACAGTTGAGGCGACCCAAGCCGAACGCGAAGGATGTTGATTCCATTGTACGTCCGCAACCTCCCAACGCGTCAAGTGCTGGATGAAGCGTGTAGATGACTCATCCTGTGGATTTTCCAAGTCTATAATATACAGTCCTCGTTTTCTATGGTGATTTGAGGTAAAAAGAGGGTTAGATGAAGCTAGATTGTGTTGCAACACGACGACAAATGATCAAACAACATACGCGGCTAGTACAATGTCACGCCCGCTAGGTGATATACTCATAGAAGTAACAGGATATTCCAGTGGAATGGCCATATTTTGATAAAAGGTTCCAGCAGTTCCAGTAGGAGCATTGGATTCCGAGTTTTGGGTCGATACAGAGAGCCGATGAGGCCGTGGCATAGGCGCCAGTCCGCTAGATGAGGGGTCCATAGCTGGTTAAACAGGCTAATCTCGGCCAGAGCTACTTCCACCGCCTACAGTTTGCTCCATTGGATACTACTTTTTTGATCGATTTTGGAGTGGTTTAAGCTCTGTAATCTAGACTTGAAGGATGAAAATCACGTCGGCGAAGCAATTATTTACGCGTCCAAAGATACAATTATTCAATCCGTGGTCCTCGCTGCTCATATTGCTACAGTTTGTTTGATAAAGTTTTGAATTTGTTGAAAATACGGGTCAAAACACTAGTTGGCACGTCCGATTCGTCCGATTCTCTAGATTCACGCGATTTACCATGTAGGCAGCCCAATATTTAAGGAATCTCCAAGTTTCTTAACGGTTTGGTCTGTTTGAGCTCTTGCTTCAAATTCGCACAATGAAATCGCAAAACCCGTCCACAACAGCCACTTAAACGCGAACATCCATAGGAATGGCAGACGAAGAAGAAGGAGAAATTATAGAGACTGATCTAAAGTCTCCAGATGTCTCTTCCGTAGCAAGCAAACTTGTAGTATTGGATGTAATAGACCTGGATAATGTCGACTCGACATCAACTGGACTCAAGGACAACACTGCTAGTGATATCACCGACGATCCTGCTCGAACTGCCTCTCCACGTCCCAATTCTGACCGGGATATACCCGACGATAAACACGGCAGGCCATCTTCCTCGACATCAAAACGACACCATCATTCATCTGATCATCGACGACGAGACAAAGACGATCCAACAACTGATCACAAGTCTAGTAGTAGATCGAGTCGCCGTGATAGTCGAGATCGCCATGATAATAGAGACTCGCGCAGAAGAAGGAGAGATGATCTTGATGATAGAGAAAGGTCTCCTTCTGCACGCCACGATTATAGAGACCGTCGTAGCTCTCCTGGACGACGATATACACCAGCTCCGCATGAATCTTCAAGCCGTGATGGAGGCTCCTCTTCTCGCACAACAACTGGACGTGATTACGGTAGTAGCAAAGTCTCATATAATGATCATCGCGGATATTCTACAGATGCTGATAGAGGTCCCAGTACTTATAGCTCTTCATCAAGGCATACCCCGCCTCGTGACAATCGTGATTACGGACGTGACGCTGGTAGAGGTGAATCACGATCTCGTAATCATCTAGAACATCGTAATCACTCACCTCCTACCTCATCATCATACAACAAATCATCTACTTCTCACGACCATCCTCGAGACAGATACTCGGAGGCTGCTGTGAGCTCTGGCAAGAGGCCTCTCTCACCAGATTATGACAAGGGTACAATAGGTCCTGCTACCAAAGTCCGTAAACTTATGGATGGTAAAGTAGGATCTGCTCCTGAATCTGGCAGTGAAGAGAAGTCAAAAGAAGAAGAAATCATACGACCACAAGTTATGGATGCTGTGGATGAAGATCGTCTCATTGAAGAAAGGAGACAGAGACGAAAAGCGCTCCTTGAACAATACAGCAAGGAACGAGCTGCAACTTCTGAAGTTGCTGGTGCTGCTGCTTCTGGCGAGGCTCTAGAAGTCAAGTCCGGTGCAGGGGCTGTCGATATTCGTGTAGCAAATATTAAAGCTGCTGACATGTCACGTATTCCCAGCTCTGATGGTAGCATAGATATCCCAACGCCACGAGATGGTAAGTTGGTACCAAATCGTAATGGAAGTACTTGTTTCCAAGTTAGTAAACTTAAGTCTCTACTAAGCGACGCTTTTTTGCTGTTTATTAGAAGAAGAATCCGCTCAGCCTGATATTGATGTCTTTTCACTTGAAAAGCACAACGAAGGCACGAATGCTCAACAAGGCGATGCTGCTGCAGGCGACGATATAGATGCAGCTGATTATAATCCGGATGAAGATAAGAAGGATGATGAGTACAAGTTACACCACATGCAACATCCAACTGCTAGTACAACAACCACAGCCGCTCCTACAACGACATCAAACAAACGAAAGCAAGATGACATGTTTGCTGATAGTGCCATGATTGATCAATCTCCTTCATCTAAAAGGAAGGCTGTGGTCATTGATGACGAAGATGACATGTTTGCTCCTATTGACGATATGTTTGCTCCACCCGCATCGTCAGCCAACGCTGATGGCATGTCAGATACGATCAAGGGGGCTGCTCATGTAAGTTGAACAAACATTTAAGTGTCTTCGTATTTTTTTTTGATGTCATGCTTCTTGTAGATACTGGAATCAGCTCCTGTCGTAAGAATATCTGACAATCCGTCTTTGTTGGATAACTGGGATGATCCTGAGGGATACTATCGTAAGTGGTTACACATTAGCAAGTAAGGGTAAAAAAAAATGGTCCACCCCTTCCTAACCCTCCAACCAACGCTTTGCAGGTGTCATACTGGGTGAAGTACTCGAAGATCGATATCACGTCTACGCCAATCTAGGTCGTGGAGTCTTCTCGTCCGTAGTCAAGGCCAAAGATACCAAAGATGGAGATCAAGATGTAGCCATCAAAATCATTCGAAATAACGAGACCATGTATCGAGCTGGTATAAAAGAGGCTGGAATATTGAGGAAGCTGAATGAGACTGATCCAGATGATAAGAAGCATGTAGTTCGACTCTTGAGACAGTTTGAACATCGTAAGCATTTATGTCTGGTATTTGAATCACTCAGGTATGTTTTCCAGTGTACATGGTGCTGATATGTCGAAAGCAATTCTCCAGTCTCTGTCATATCTGACTCTTTTGTTAACTAGCATGAACCTACGTGAAGTCTTGAAAAAGTTTGGCAAGAATCGAGGCCTCAACATTCGAGCTGTGAAAATATACTCTCAACAGCTCTTCCAGGCTTTGCATTTGCTCAAGAAGTGTACTATAATGCACGCGGATATAAAACCAGACAATGTGTTGGTTAGTGCCAACAAGTCTTCTCTCAAGTTGTGTGACTTGGGATCAGCTTCAGATTCATCAGAGAATGAAATCACACCCTACTTGGTGTCGAGGTTTTATAGAGCACCTGAAATTAGCAAGTATCTCCATCCCAACGCCAAAAAAGGATTGAATCGGTGTAAGCTAACAGGTTTTTTTGCAATTTCTTCAGTACTTGGTATGCCATATGATGCTGCTCTTGATGTCTGGTCAGTTGCATGTACACTATATGAGCTATATACAGGCAAGATACTATTTCCAGGACGAACCAACAACCAAATGCTCAAACTGATTATGGAAGTACGAGGTCGATTTGCCAAACAAATGCTGCGTCGTGGTCAATTCTCATCATTGCATTTCGATGATGATGCCAACTTTTTGCAATTGGACGTTGATAAGCTTAGTGGCAAGGTATGCTCTTATTATGTTTTCTGGTGATTGGTTTTAACCATTAGTCTATCATCAAGATTTGATTTTTTTTGCATCTGATGTAGGATGTGAAAAAGACAGTCCAAATACCAGCACAACCACCACGAGACTTGAAGGGCTTTTTCAGTGCTGATGCAGCATCTGTACCACGTGACGAAGCAGCATTGGTGACACAGTTTGCGGATTTGCTTGATAAATGTTTGCAACTCAATCCTGAAAAGAGGATATCTCCCAAGGAGGCGCTGTTGCATCCTTTTATATCTGGTAAATAAAGAGGGATTTGGCAAGCTTTGTATACCGTAAAAGGGGTTGGCAAAAACTGTATAGAGTATATTGATGACGTATAAATCTAACACTGTTACGTTGCGAGTGTTGCGTGCAAAAGGGAACTCTTCGATGAATGCGATGTGTATAGCCGTCAAGTTTTGCAACCTTTGCCTTTTCATTGGTCTGCCTTTTGTCCTACTGATCGTGTTCGCTCAAAACTCAGACTCACTTTGCTCAGCTCTAGTTCCAAGCTTCCAGAGCAGTTGAAGAGCACTCGATCGAAGTAGTTAAGAGGGTCGCATTTCGAGCTGGACAAGGTGTTAGGGTGTGTTACTGATCTGCAAGCGATTTGGTTGCACAGATGCCAGCATCAATCGTTATTTGGTGGTTGTGAATATGTCATCATTACTTTAATGACATTAAGTTAAGTCTTCTGTGCTTTGTCTCTCCCCTTTCTTATTGTTTATTGCCTTAAACATGTCGACATTGAATGTGTTTTCTGACCGACTTGTCGTTTACTAGATAGGCATATTATAACAACGGCATATGATAGCACTAATATAAAGAATTCGAACATCGATACTCCACCTCGTCTATATCTACCCGTACCGGTTCTCGATTGCATCATCGAGCATACCGATGCCCAAAACATCGTATATTCAGCAGCTTTGGTATCCAAAGAATGGAATATGACCGCAATCAGAAAAGTGTATAAAACCGTCGACATTTATTGTAATGGCTTTATGGGGTCACTGAGCTGGATACTTCAAGTCCCGTCGCCTTCCAACCCAATATACAGCCGGTTCCCTTTGAATTATACGAAAAATCTCATTGCACATACATGGCCAGAAAACTCGGTCCGGGAAGCTCGTTATATTGTAGGAAAGAGCATCATATCATGTTCTGTGAACCTAATGTCACTCGATATAAGAGCAGACCAGCTCTCCGTATTGGATTATGTATCTACGTCTTTAGTAGCTTTAACTTTACGTACAGCTTATGACGAAGATAAGAAAACTTCACGCTCGGTCTCGGCCCCAGATTGGTCTAGATTTGCTGCCAATCGTCCCAACTTACGTGCACTCGATTTACGATGCCCTCCTCCCCTCTGGTATAAAGGAAGCGCTGAATAGATGGACTCTGCGTAGCTTTTCAAGCAGAGAACGTGATATGGACTCTGATGGATGGATGTCTCTGGCCAAAGGAAGCAGAGAATCACTACGTCACTTGCATCTACAGCAGTTGCACACTGCCATATCATGCGCCGTCCACGGAACATGCACCGAACACGATACTGTAGAATTCTTCTTTAGCGCCCTACCTACTGGCTCTCTCAATCTTTAGAAGACTCTCGTCTTCAGGTTCTGAGTCTAGGTTTTGTTCAAGATCTGACTGTCCGAGGTAAAGACACTGCAATCATCTTGCGTTTTCGAATGCTAAATGAACACCCAATAGATTTAGAAACGCTCTTGGTAAACAGCTCGTCTTAATTGGAAAGTTTGCAATAGGGTTTCGAGAATCCCCAACTTAAACAGACTGTATTTCTTGACAATGATTTCCCATCGTTGACCATACTCAAAATATCCGATAATGATGCCATAGCGGGCGGACTCTTCATGAGGTTGAATCCTTTGAAGAATGTTGATTTTATGGTGTTCTACGTGAACAGACTCGACACCCAGTTGGATTATGAAATTATCCCAACAGTATTACCAAATCTGCAGAAAATATCCTTCATTGCAGCACATGTATTGTATTTGACCGATGAGCATGTGGGTAAACCTGTAACACGGTTGCCGGAACTAGGAACAATCCGATGTTTGGGTAGAACTGATGCTACTCGCTTGTGTGGTAGTACTTTACTGACGGTACTCGCATTGCGACCGTCAAAGTCTCCTCCTTTGACGATGGAAGGGACTGGATCCGCTGTGATTCGTTGGGGGAATCGCCGAAGGTCGATCAGAAGACTTGGAAGAAAAAGGTTTTCAGTTATGTGAGCTTGTAGTTGCTGCTACAAACGACAAACTGATTATTGACGGTGGTTGGGAGTGTGCAACTCTCGATCTGTATATAAGTAAACCTGTCATGCATAGATTTCCGAAAGTGTACTTTGAGGGGAGGTTCAAGGCTGATCGATTAGGAAGAGTTGAAAGAACGATGAGTTTTATGCTCTCGATTCATGGTGTCGAAGGATGCAGATGTTGATATGCGAAGAGAAGTTGGATCACAGGTTGCAGACAGTTCAACTCGACCTTACGTTATCGAGGCCGCCCTTTCATAATTCAGAGAAAAGTATCTAGACGGATTCTTTTCCTAAGTTTCTGCGAGAACGGAAGTTGGCGATGTGGTGGATATGAAGTGTGGCCTCGAAGAGACGATTTAAAGCAGTTTGCAAAGCAGTAACAGATTTGAATCTGCCATAGAGACAGTCGGCAGTATTCCTTTAGACCAGATCGGTCAAGTGTGTTTGCCTGTCAATGTTTGCGTAATCTTTTACACGATCTGGAGTGATTGTTCAGCGAATCGAACATGCTAAAACTCGAGCTGTCAAACACGATTTCCACCCAAACCAGAATGACCAAACCGCTGTTTCTGATCATGCTTGATGCGGATGACTTCAGCTTCTGTTTGGAGCCAACTAGACTTCAGGAAGTGTTGTTATGGTGATCGCACGATA